AGACAAGAAGACAAATGCGCATACATGCGCAAAGAAGAGAAAAGGTAAATTAATGATTTGTCACCTTTAGAGAACATTTGAAAAAAAAAAGTAAAAATGTATTCGATTTTGTTTCTACCACCTTTTCACATTTATTTTCATTAAGCATGAACAGTGTTCGATAAATCTTTTTTTTTTCTCCTCTTTCATATTGATCATTTTGCATTTTACGCCTGTGCTCGAGTGAGTATCAAGGATTGATAGAGGTCATTTTTGTAATTAATTAAAGATGAAGAAGAGCTAGTAACATGCCGATACACACGGAAAGTAATCGTGCGACCATCCATAGAATGCTTGCGATTTTACTTACTTGAGATCAGTAGTTTAGTTCGGAGATCTTTTATTCAGGTTGGACATTACGCAAATGAACTTCCTCCTGTCTCTTTCGCTCGTGTATAACTCGACACGTCGATCTTCACACATCTATCTATGTCTATTGAGTAATTCGAAAGATTGAAATTGTACGGATATTGAATGACAACGAGATAAATTGAACTGTAATGAGCGCAAGATAGTAGACGAAGAAAAATAACTGTCGGCTCTCATTTGTCCCTCGTCGAAAAAAAGACGATGTTAGCCAGCATGTGAATCGATCGTGTAGAGAAAAAGAGAGATCGATACTTTTTCTCATCAATTAACACGAACGATCGCAAGATCTGTTTGCATAACTCCTGTTCTTCTTTTTAAATATTATTTACCTGTCGTTTGGACGTATGATGAAAACCATTGGTTGCTGTTAATGATGAGGGTGAATCGAGAAGATGAGAAGGTGTTGGAGGCGAGGCAGTTTTCGTTATCGGTGGTGGAGGAGGACTCAGTTGTACATGAAGATCGTCAATGCGGGCATTCAATTGATCAATTCTATGTTGGAGTTCAGTGTTCATCGATGAAATCTAATTCGAAGATCTTACCTTTCTAATGCGTTTCGTACTTGTTCGAATGGGAGAGCTAAAGTTCGACAATTATTTAATATGTGATCTAATTTCATTTGTATACTGTTCAGTTGATTCATTGTTGATACAATATCTAATTGTCTTGACTAGAAGAAAAGAATGAAATGAATTGAATTAGATTCGATGGAATATTCGCTTTCTCAAACCTTTATCTGCACTAATCTGTGGATCTGAGCGATATCACGTTCTATTATATCTAGATCATTATCAAAATTTGACTTTAGTTTTTTGTATTGTTCAATAAACTGTTTCAAATCATTCTCCACACGATCAAGAGTCGTTTCGAGTTTGTTCCAAGCGATATTGATTGACTCAATATCTGGTTGTAAAGTTTCATTCAATTGCAAAGTCTAAAAGATCAAAGCAAATCTCTGTTAAAACAACAGCGCATGAATAGATAAGCCTTACTTCGAATTCTGCATCAATCGATCGCATTCGATGTAGAAGTTTCTTGAATTTACTCATTTCGTCATATCGAATAGCTTGAAGAGTAGCTTTATAGTCTTCAATTTCATTTAAGCTTTTAAATTTGATTTCACTCTTGAGAAAGTCTAGTTTGGCTTTAATCCATTGTAGTAAATCCGAAGCTATGTTCGTGTATTCACAAGCTAATTCACCTTCCAAATTCACCTGCAACGAGCAAATCAATATATGCTTAGTCTCAAATGAAATGACGAACCCGATCATGTTGTTGTTGGAACGGATGTACTGGTAATGTTGAACAAACTTTGTACAGATGTGCAATGTATAGCAAAATACTCTTTTCATCAGGTTCATCGGTGTCAACATCTAATGCAACGGAAATTGTCGATTTTTCACGCATTCGAAGCAATGTTTACTTTACCTTCAGGATCTATCAACTGCATAATACCGTAATGTTTTTGCGCAAAATCAAACGCCTGAGTGAGATTATCTCGATTCGAATTACGATAGGCATTTTTGATGTTAATCAATTGTGGACTGAAAGCAAAAGTCGGCAATGTGAAATTCATCGAAAGAAATATGTCACTAACTTATGTCGATGAAGAATTGCAAGAAAAGCTCGCCCGTTACGCCAGGATTGTGTGAAATTGTCGATGTAGATTCCCGGATAGCCTTGGCATTGTTGTCGCGCCCAGATTAATAACATATTGCGATAGTTTGATGAAATTTGATCGAGCGACGATTTTCGTTCAGTTTTAGATGAGATTGAAGAGATTCGTATAGGTTTGATCGGAGAAGATGTAGCCGGTTCACGTGTTGGAATTGGTGGGACAATTTGTTGAACAGGTTCTGGAATGTTCTCTTCAATTACTGGTAAATTAATATCAGAAAACTAAATTCAAACATTCCAAATGAATTTCGATTGAGATAAGAATTGAAATTTACTTGAAAATGAAGAATAATTCGCCAAATTAACCCTAATGTCAACTTAGGATTTCCATTGACTAATTCTTCCGGACGAATGTTTACCAAACGAATCTAGCAAAAAAAAGCGAATCGCATGTTATATAAACAATCAAACGTGAATCAAATCAAATTACATTGTGATCTTGTTCGAGGCATTGTAAACACTGTTCAATATTTTGTAGAGCATGAAATTTTGAAGTACCTTTTTCACGGGGCTAAAAACAACAAACGTTCAAATACAAACAACAATGATCATTCGTAGAACTTTACAATTATTTGATTGGTAAACAATTCTAATAGAGTTATAAGTATATGTCCATCTCTGAGATCGAGAAATAGATCATCCACGTGTAAACCTGGCCGTTTTGATAGATGAAAATTAATCCATTTCGTAAATGTTTTCTTCTGCACAGCATCACGTTGATCAGCAACTTTTAAAACACGTCGATCAGCCGGATCCAAAGCGAAGACAGATATGGGCTTTTCTAAGATCCAATCTTCATCATCGATTTCATCAAATATATTATTATTATTGTTAATATTCTCTTCATTGTCGGCTAACATCTCCATCTAGAAAAATAACAGAAAAAAAGAAGAAGAAGAATGTCAGACAACCTTGAAGAAAAGAAACAAACAACAATAGTGACAGTTGGCACCCAGACAAATGACCGACCTCTCGACCGTTTGTTAATATTCGAATTGTTTATTTAAATCTTTAATGTGAAATAACGCTCGACTCGTTCATTTACATCACTTTCTCTTCGAAAAATTCATCCCTCTTTCTACATACGCATATGAACATATAGTTTTAACATGTCTCGTTTTGAAGACAGACATTGTTAAAAGAAAGGAGAAGAAAGAAAAGAAGGAGCGTACGAGCCGTGTTTATCGTTGTTGGTTCATTCAATCGTCTACGGCCCAATTCATTTTCAACGAGAGCAGTGCCAAGCAAACATAGCGAGGTGCTGGCACAGCCACACACGTGTATGTACATATAGACGATATATGGTCCATTATATATGTATGTCTATCGCATATGTACAGACGAGACGACGAAGCAAATAAAATGGTGCAGAGAAGGGTGAAGCACTTCGACCATAAGTTGAATTAAGCCAATAAGATCAATCCGATTTAACTGGTGATAACAGATCAATTCTTCTTATCGATGTTCGATCAATTGTTTCATCGAACGAGAAGAAGAAGAAGGAAAAAAAGAAACAGAAAGTGGTGCAAACTAATGTGATGTTCCACTGGTGAGAGAAAAATAGAAGCCATTCAGGTACAAGATAAACAGAACACTGAATAGAGACAATCTATTCGGATATTTTCATTCTTAATATGTAAAAATCGCTTTCTGACGATAGACAAAAGAATGTTTTTACAGGTTTCCGTTAACAAGTCGTTTCATTCAGAAGCAAAAAATTACAAAACATGTTTTCTTTCCCAATCCGACTCATTTCATGCACCTATTTGCTATGTGTCAATAGATATCACATATAACGAGAGAGTGGACAAGTCATTTCATTTTTTTTTACATAAGTTAGTAAAAGTATCAAATTTATCACGTCGGATTGAATTTTCAAGTTTCTCATACATATATGAATGCAATTACGTATCGATAGTCTCTCCACTTAATCAATGCAAATCTAAATTCATACATTTTATAATTGAAATTCAATGACATATGTTATCTGGAAGACTATCATATTTATCTTTCAATCGCGACGTTGGTTTTCTGATTAGATGATCTATTTGTTTTCCTCTACTTACTATTCACCTTGATATTCAACGAGGAAAAGGGTAAGCACTACCATGATAACAGATGTGGCTTCAACGTTCGAATTTTATGAAACATAACTAACCTTTATATGAGTATCCACGAAACATTTAGTATGAATGTACTGCATCAAGCAGAAACTTACTTATTGAAGATTTGGTCGAAAAGTACAATATGTTGATGGATGTAAATACTTTCTCTGACAAATAATAATAACGTTACGACTAACAGATAACAAAACAAGCAGAAGTAACAGCCTATTGTTTACAATAACATAATACTTTACAATTTTTACTAGAAAATATCGCCCATACGGTTAATAATTATATGTGGTTTGCGTACACATAAATAACTGACAGTATGTATGCAAACCTGTAGTTAAAAATAATCTTTTATCGTATGTCATTCTTTGATCAACACTATCTCGAAGCATAAGATTCTATTCTATGAGTACCATCAATGTAAGTCGTCGTTTTGCGAAGTTATTGATTTGGTGATATAGGAAAAAAAGAACTAGAAGAAATCGATTAGAAATACTTCATGCAGAACAGTGACTCTAAATTATATTTCAAACAAGACAATGAAGTTCTTCAAGGTTCTGATAGTATAGAGAAAAATGATGTAATGCACTTACAAACAATGATCCATTTGAATCCCTAAAGTCGACATCATCATATCGCTAATTCGATTATTTCAAAACACACGCACACAACGTTGCCTTGAGAATCTTTACTAATCAAATCTTTTTCAAGTAAGACGAACATTCTGTTGTTCATGTGTTTTTCTCTCTAGTTCGAACTAATACGATATACAGATAAAAATATTTCTACGTGCACTTCATAGTCAATCAAACATGCATAATTCGATTAACGGAAAAAACACAATGACGACGAGACACACCGACAAAATAATACATACAGTAGATTTGATTAGTAGTAGAAATCAGTAATCAGATGCGCGAAAGGGAGAGATTACCATCACCGGGTATTAGTTAATTAGTGAGAAGAGTGATCTATAACAAGCAGAGAAGGCGAGTTGAAAGAAAGAAAAGGAAGGAAATTTGTTGTTATTGTTCAATTGTCATACGGTATCGATATTTCGTTTATTTTTGTATTCTTTTCATCTTTATCGACATGTTGTTTTTCTTTCATGTATGACAAATTTCAATAAAAAACAACAAGACAAAAAAATATCTTCTTTTTGCTTCATTTTCTTTTTTTAGAGTTGATAACCATATTTTTGAAGTACGGCAAGATGTTTAGCAACTTGTGGTTTGGATGCTAATTTTGTTTTGGCGCTAGTTTTCAATTTCTTTAATTCACGTTGTCGGAGATAGTAATGTTTAGCCTTTATTTTTCTCTTCTTTTCTAACGTGGCAACGACAGTTTCGTATTGCCAACCGACTTCAGTTGAGAGACGGCCAAGTTCAGTGAAACGGCGACGTGGTTTCAAACGTAATGTACGTAAAGCGCTTGGAACGATCACACGTTTCTTCTTATCGTACGGTGTTGGAACACCTTCAAATGTACGAAGACGAGCTAAGGCCTGTTTACCACGTTCAGTTTTGTGTGGCACCATTCCACGTACGATACGTGAGAAGATTTTCGATGGTGCACGGAAATGAAATGGACCACGTGATGGATTGATGTTACAGCGTTTGCGAAGAAATTCCAAGTATTTGAGTTTGTTACGATAGAATGAGCCACTGATATTAAGACCTTCGCATCGTACAATGACAACATTGTGACCTTGAAGAATGGTCTTAGCCACTGTAGCTGCCAAACGACCAATTAAATGGCCACGACCATCGATGAGTATTGGTTGAGCACGGAAACCGATTGGTTGCAACTGTAAACGAAAAACGCAGTGTGAGATAATTGAAATGAAAGATTAGGTTTTCTCTGATGAAGAAGCAAAAGGAACTTACAGCTTTTTTGCGTGCTTGGGCCGTTTTTGGCATCTTTGATTTATTTTAGTTGATCGAAAACGATATCTACAATAAAGGTTATTTTCAATCGTCCTACAGGAAAAATCTTTTTCTCAGGCCACACAACGTTCGTCTATACAAAATTCGATCGTTATAGGATGACATATGGAGGAGAAAATGCTCTGTAGCCATTTCATCTTCCACTAAATATCTACTTTTTCGTTGTCTACTTAAAGAAAGTAAACAAAAATAAGAAAACAACATCCATTCATCGTGTGATCTGATTAGTTCATTCCTGACCATACATGGCACATCTGCATTGATCAACTTGTTTTTTCAACAGTAGAATCAAAACTTTGGAATCGGATGAAAATGTTCCGCAAAACATCTCGTAAATCGAGTACAGACCGAAAAAAACGGATTTATTCAAAGAAAAAAATCTTATTTTTTCTCTCGAGATTACATTCAGTGATGTCGAGTGACCTCTATTTCGACCAATCGAATAATATTTCTCTTTTTGTCTTGTCTCTCTCCTTCCGATAGAAGACAAATCAGTTGTTAAATTTCCATTTTCTACGTTATTACGACTGATTTTTTTTCTTCAACGAACCATTGTTAGGTCGAAAAAACGTCAAATTTTATTTCTTTACTCGATTTCTCACGCGAAAGAATTTGATTAACATCAAGCAGATGATAAATATGGCAACATTAGCCTTGATTGACAAAATAAAACTGTTTTATTCTTATTTTTTCGCGATTTCATAGCATTCTAGGCACGAAGGGTAATTAATTTAGGTCATGGTGCACTCACCAATGCTGATCAAATCGATGTTGACAAACAACTACACACAAAAATTTAGCTTTTTGTTGTTCCAAAGCGGCTTGTTTATGCAAAGAAAATATCTTCTATTTTAAACAACATGATGAAATTACTTTTTGCCTACAAGAAAGACCCTTTTCGTTACATTTAGAACTACAAGTTTATGATAAAAACAATTTACCGTTTCTTAGGAGAACGTTGAGAAGAAAAATTGACTTGTTTTCATATTCCAGTAGAATTGACGAATTATTTACTTCTAGATAAATCTATCGATCTCCGTCGTGTTCCAATATGAAAAAATGAACGATGAGTAATACAAATGGCTTTCACCCACCATCATCATCGATGGTATACAATGGTCAAAGTGGTAAATGAACTATTGCTTCACATCTCGGCATACAACCAATTGTTTACTTGTCTTTAGAAACTTCGAAGCGTCTACCAAGTACAAGTAGTACGAGCAGTACGAGTAGTAATAGTACCACAGCAACAAATAAGCGTCTAAAAGCAAAGATCGTCGTGTCGACGATAACCGAAACACGGACAATGAAAAGACATACGAATAAGAAATCCAAAACATCTCTGGATACAACTAAAAAACGTCATAATCACAATGACTCAAATAACAATACCACGAAAAAAGTCAAACAATCAACCCATTCTCGACAACTACTAACACATCCGATCATTCAAAATCATCAGAAGAAATCTGCAAATCAAACAGAAAATCTTCCCACGCCGTCAACGAAAACCGATCAGCATCAACGACGTCATCATCACCATCATCATCATCACAACGTTATCAACAATGATCATTGTGATTTCTGTGGGGAATTGTACGGTGAAATGATATCATGTGATACTTGTCCAGCAACGTTTCATCTGCTGTGTGCAAATCCTCCACTATCACGAGAAGACGTTCCCAAAGGTTCATACTTCTGTGAAAATTGCCGAGCGAAAACTACCGACGAAGAACTAGTCAACAAAGATAAGCAAATGAAAGCAAATGTGCCAACACCGAAAACATTGGCATTAGATCAGAAAAACAAGATCCTTGTCAATGGGTTCAAAAAGCACCCCCAACGGAATTCTCCTTTAGAACAAGTCAAACTACCCACAAGTAATTCATTTTAAACTCGACTACGAAAACATTTTCTTTGTTTCTATTCGTATTTAGCATCCAATGGTAGATCCTTAGTTCAAGCATCTGGCGAAATCAAATTTCGTGCAACAAATAGTACTGCGAAATCTAAAGTACCATCATCAAATTTCAAACGTAAACGAAATGATTCGTCTATATCGCCTCCACCAGCTCCCAGTTCAAACAACAATGTTAATTCAATTAAAATTCCCACCACACAAATCGAAACTCTACGTCGTTTGTTACTTTCATGTCGACCGGAAGAGTTTCGCGGCCCAGCTTTACCCTTCGACGATCCGAGTTACAACCGTGATAATTATTTTCAAAAGAATGTTTTATCGTGGCAGAAATTTTGTTTTATTTGTCGCAAATCTTCGACAAATCATATTCCATCAATTCATTGTGATTATTGCCCGTTAACATATCATTTAGATTGCCTGAATCCGCCAATGAGGTCTTTGCCATCGTCGACGGATAAATGGATGTGTCCGAATCATATAGAGCCGATATTAGACCGATATTTATTGCGAAAAAAGAAACTTTCAACGAGCGAACGTGTGAAAATTTATCAACAATATTCTCAAATTGAACATAAAACAATTATACAAGATTTTATACATATGAGACAGAAGAAATCTCATCTACTATGGGAAACATTCGACAATCATCGCTTAGAACGTATTGATGCCAGTCAAATACCAAAAGTGATCGAAGATTTTTATTTTAATGCAAATATGAAATCAAAACCAATCTGTTTGGATGAAATCGAAGACAATGCTGTACAGGTACTACTTGACTTCACATTTTCTTCGACAATTTTACAATTCTTCTGTAGACTTCCGTTCCCATTGATGAACCTTCAACACAATATGACCCATGTGTTTGGGATACATTGCAAGCAATGTTAAATCAAATTACTGGCGGTCAGAAATATGAACTCTCATCAATAGTTGATTCATCGTTATCGATTGAAAATAATCAAATGAAAAGAAGATTCGACGACAAACAATCGAATGTTCTTGATACCATCGATAGTCTATTAACTGCATTGAATGAACCGAACTATTCCATTGAACAAAATAGGACAACTAATGATCGATTTGCAGCTCTTGTTTCTGCAGCTGATTCTTGTTTTAATGATGAAAAGTCTTCAGAGCCGCCAAAACCAGTTCCGTATGTATTTCTATCCATGAGTTACTCGTTAATTTTGTATTTATTTGTAGAAATTCACAAGTGAACTCTCTCTCGCTCCTCATTGATCTTTCACAATTTCGTTTATCTCACGCCGCTTTAATTCATACACGCACTAAACATGTGATTTATATACGTAAACAAGTTATTTGGTTTGGCTCATCGAAATCGAATGATGTTTGTTTGAAGAATTTTAATGATCAACAAACATGTCAATATGTAACGGAGAAACACGCATGTTTATACTATGACCGACGACGTAACATATTCGAATTATTGAATTATAGCGAATACGGAACAATCGTAAACGGCTTTCGGTACGGTTTAGGAAGTCTATCCGATGATGAAAGTGACGATGATGATGATGATGATGATGAAGAAATACATGAGAATGAAAATTTACAAAGATGTTTCTGTTTGACTACGCCGATGTATCATTCAGCATGGGATGGACCTGCCCAAATAGAACAAGGAACAGTAGTTCAAATTGGTTGTCATGAATTTCTCTTTTACCGGCATGTTGTCCGATAGTACACAAACAATTAAAAAAAATAGAGTTTCATTCTTTTTTCTGGTTGTCTGTTTCTCTATGTCGTTTTTTGTATATATATACATATATATATAATCTGCTTGTAAAAGTTAGCAAGTCATTGATAAAGAAAGAAATCATCTTGTTGATGAAGATAAGAATTAAACAGCAGAGATGCGCGCTTGGATTCTTTCTCTTCCCTTCTTATTTTTCGGTTTTCCTGTTTTGTTCCTCTCTAACGCATTTCATTATATATATATAGATATATATATATAGCTTAGTGCCCGTGATCGACATTTGTTCTCATTGTCTATTTTTCTGCGTGTGTATGCTATACTTTGTTTTTTCTTCATCTTTCTTTGTATCATGTGTATAAGTAAAGAACTATGCGCGACTTATTCTACAAATATAATAAGCTTTTCTCGTTTCAAAATGAGAAACTGGCATAAACTTCGAACATCCATTCGTGCTCTATCGTGTGAAATCAAACATCTATCGAGGTCAAGCCGTTGAGAAGAAACCCGTCTTCGACTGTCATTTACTGTACTCATTAGCTTGATATGCCTTTGGCACAAGTCGTCCTCATCCTGTCAAATGATATAGCTGATGTAGAAAAGAGCAAGTATCAGATACAATTGAACGACGATAAGATATAACCTTCGACGACTCTTCTTGGATGATCATGTTCAAGGTAGTCACTTGTAACGTCGATCAAGGTTATCTTTTGAACAACGACGTCACTTTCATTCATTTCAATCTTATGTGATTACTCAAGGAATATTATCGATTTATAATCTAGACAGTGAGACTCATTCGTTTAGCATTACCCTGTGCTACCGTAGAGAATAAGAACTGATCAATACTGTTCTTTTTCTTTTCAATAAAATGACCATACGCCACTTTTCCTCTTCTCACCTCAGCATGATGTTTCCTAAAGTGACAAGATACGTAATAAGAGTATATCCACGTGTTGTTGTCGTTGAAAAGGCGTGGCTAAGTAGGATAATATACATTCTCTCGTCACCATACAGATTTGCTTCTTATTGTCAACCTCTACTGAAAGTTGATAGTCATTGATTAAAATTATGAACAAGCGTGAAGTGAAATCACTCGTAGTTACAAAACAAGAACTGAAAAAATTCTTCCTGCTGCGAACTTACCTAAATGATCTGTCTGCACGAGCATTAATCCATATACACATCTCTCTTCTAAACAAAAGAAGTTAGAAAGTTTAGTTACTATCTAGCTTTTCCTCATATTGTATGTCTGATTGAATGCAGGTGTAGCATGCTACGACTACTATTTCCTGTATTCAAATGTTCATTCATTGTACAATGATGAGTCGTAGGTGGGCAGAAGGCATTGCATGTCTAGAAAAACGGCTAGACATACTACTCAAGTGTGAGAACAATGGTGATCACGCTTGTTCAGGAGAGGAGAATATGTTGTTCACAATCTAATTGTTTCTGTCCGTGTGTATAAACGACGGAAATGAAGACGACGAAGAAGAAGATAGATTTCGATTATGAATATGTTTTATTGGATTGTTTGTATTGTCAAACTGACAATATGCGTTCAAGTAGTCGCAATTTTAAGATGTTCTTTCGTTTTGATGATAGATAGGTATTCGCTTTGTCATCGTTCTTTGTTCTTTCCTACAGATTTCAAGTGTCTTTTTGTCAACGAGAAAAATTCCGAGGAATACACTTCTTTTAATCTTATTTCACTTCGCTGGAAGTTTCATGATTCATTGCGCGACAAAGGTGTCGTTTTGATATTGTTAAACAAATACAAAAATCTGCTTTTTTCATATGATGTAACGGTCATCTATCTAATTGTTTTGAAAAAAGAATAACAAGACTTATCAGATTTTAATTAAGACATTTCTCCTCTTTCCTTTCTCTCTCTCCTCCTCTCTTCTTCAATCCGACGATCATTCCAATTTTTTCCTTTCCTGTCAACTGATTTTCTTCTCTTCGTTCTCTTTCCCTTTCTCTCTTACGTCTTCCTTCTCATTCTCTCACTCTCGTTCATTTTCCATTTTCATTTCAATCAACATACATCGAATTTCCAGACGATGACAACGAAAACAGCAACTACATTATCACCTATCAAGCGATGTCACGGATCACCTAATCTGAAGAAACGTCGCCTATCATCGATTGCAACACATCGGAAACAACAAATGGATTTATCTTTAACTGTTTCAACAATGTTATCTTCACCGAAAACGATCACAATCACTTGCGAAAAACACTTTGTATCGTCGATTAAGTTACCCGATCTTGTTCACGACCTATTCATAGAAGAACAACGTCGACAAACGATTGTAAATATTGCCACATTGTTACGAAAAGTTGGTGATCAAATGGATGAACGCTTACAAGTAATTATCCTTGAAACTTCTCTCAAAGAAAGCGAACTTATTCCTTATAAATATTTACATTTTAGATAAACAACAGTTCATCATCATCATCATCGTTAATAGATCACGTATTCGGTCAACGACCCATTACATTTACTCAATGTTTATCTTCTATCTTTCGCTTTTTCTTGTAATATTTATATCAACAATTTGTTTTATTCTGCTCACCGGTTCATGGTGCTCTCGTTAGCCCTTCCATGTGTACATAGCATGTTTTGGTTTCTCTTGTTGTTCTTCTTCTATTTATTTTTCAATATAATATTTAAACGTATCTCTCATTCGTTTCAGCTCTTTTTTTTTATTCCTAGACCTACTACCACGATTTGATTAAATAAAGGAAATGTGATTTATCACCTTGAAAAATTTTAATTCGATCAACAATTTCTGCTGATTACCTTATCACCTTTCGTCTCGTTCTGACTGACACGCGAACATATTTATTTTCTTGAAATGTGTCAAGTATGAACTGATTAGGTCATCGGAAATGGTCAAGTGGTGATCATCAACACCTTTGCATTTTATTTTTCGCATTCTGTCAAGTACTTATTTGTCTACGAGAGACAGATATTCTGTTTTTGGTCAATTTCTAATATTCGTCTGTTTACCGGCATGCTGTTTGATCAAGAATCGATAAGTGTCTTGTATTCAATGTCAGATCAATTTCATTGCAGTCGATTGTTCATACACTTCATTTGTTCTCTATGGTAGCGGTAATGGTTGCTTTCCCCTTTCTTATTTCTTGACATTTTTTGTCTTTGTTGATATTCTCGTATTGTGTTTTGATCTTTTCTTTTTCATCTTTGTCAATGAAGGGAAATTAAAAGTGGCACGTGCGTTTCGAATTTCAATCCGGGTGTAGTAATATGACCATCCCAAAGTCGAGTCCATGACTAATAATATGATTCTTCGCTTGATCTTTTGCTTTCGACAAGACTCGAATATATATATATAATTAATCAAGTGCTGTTTCAATTTGTGGTAAAAATGCCTTGCGGCATTCAATAATCATGCAGGTGATGCATTTGTCTTCTTGTTAAATCATTAGAAAAACAAAGTTGAACAAGAATGAATGGATTTATATCTTATCGCGTGTTCGAAGAACAATACTTGTATATGTATGTATGTATGAAGTTGATCGACTGATTACCTCATCGATGTTATTGGATAATTAAAAATAAGCTTTCGTCGATATTATCAAGTGTGAAATATCCTGCTGTGATGAACAATCAAATAGAAGACTGCTTCTCTCGACATGTGATTGTTAGACACCTGTATGTTTATGGTAAACGAAACTATTGACTGTGCTGTACTTTTCGTCTCTCTCAGTAAAACAAATGAACACCGGATGTTGACGATAAAATCTAATCAAGTGGATAGAAGTGAGAAAGAGGAAGAATAAGCTCATTGACAAATGAATGTTGAATACATTTCTATTCAAGAATGTTTACTCGATTGAAACAAAGTGTGCAGACAAATTTTGACTTATGTATACACTTATCAAGCTAGATACACAATTTATGTTTGACAAAAATCAATTTCCTTATCATGAGAATTGACGAGCAGTGTCATTGTTGAGAGACATATGGATGATTTACTTAGTAAAATTTATGTTTTTCTAAGAATTTTCTTTTCCAAAAGATTAGAATATCTCTAGCTAATAAGAATGTCAATATTGAAGGTGATGTATGTTCTTTTGGAAAAGTCTATGGATACATGGATGAGTCAATATATGACCTTGAGTAAATAAATCGATTTTCTCATAAATGGATATGTAATAGCTTCAAAAGACTGTTGAAAGTAAACATTTGTGTTAATCATGCCATTCGATTCTCTTTCGTTTGCGAACATTGAATATGAATAGCATTTATGCTCTTATAGTTGTTGTATTTATTTTTAAAAAATCAAAGACTCGTATCATGCTAACTAGATAGATCATGAATCACACACCCAGCAAGTGACTCGGAAAGCTACATAGAAGGTCAGTTTTGTTTTCTTATAATAGAATAAAGATGTTCTTCAATGTGTTGGATGCTGCGATTTATGAAGCGAGTATTGAATTCTTTCGTTTCATCTCGTTTACTAACAAGTTCAATAGAAGAGTTAGATCCTATAAGTCAAATAAAAAAGAATCTCCTTGATGATGTGTGAAAAAGCTTTTCAAGCTCACCAAATAATTCATTGACATGATCATTATTCAGAACATGCGGTGGACCTGCAAATGATATCAATAATTAGAAAACCTTTCAGAAAGAGATAATTCTAAACTTCACCACTGAATGTAGGATCTTCGTAAACGATCGCAACAAGGAAAAGTTCAGTTCGGCCTGGTGTCATCATGCGACAAAGACAATCACGATATCTATTGGCATATTGTGAGAATACAGTAGGTCTCCGTTTAATTTCTTACTGTTCCCGAGTGGTTGGCGTAACTGCGACTAATCCACCGCGATCCCAAATATAATCGACCGGCGGTAAATCCCTATAAACATACGATTTGAATCATGACAAGATATCATTATTCGATTCTCACTTGTTAAACGCGAAAAAATCCGCGCGATAAATCGTAACAGGACGATCGACACCCTTTACAACGAAATGATTAGTAAATATCGAAAACAGTTTTATTGCAAATTTACTTTATAGATTTCACATTGATTGCTTGCATCATTCTCGATTTCATAAGCAATCTTATTTTCACTGAAAAATGCTTCGACAGGAGCCACGCCACCTTCGATGCCGATAACTCGATGGCCAGCATCCAACGCTGCCATCATATCCACGCTTTTGCCACACAACGAAAAAACAATGCATTTCTGTTCAGTAGCCGTGAGTAACTTTGGAATCAGATACGTTTTGAATAAACTTCATCATCAGAAGCGAAACATAGAGCTAAAGAAGGTCAAAATATGACTCACTGACTGACATCACTTCGATGAAATCCAATCCGATTCTCTTTCCATGCTTTAAGCCAATAATCTAGATTGCTATTCACATTTGCTAAAAAATCTCCTGGTACCGCTGGTTCACTCATGCGATAATTTAGTTATGCTAATATCTATAAAGATAAAACTGATTTCACAGAACATGGTCCTTTCATCAGCGATAATAAAGTTTCACAATTGTAGTTTGCACTTACGACTTTGTATTTTACTTTTATGTTCCTCATTTTTTTTTGTTCTTCTTTCTTTAACCATGCATCTAAGCGAGTGGCTACACAAGAGAAAGAAAATTTTATTTTTTCATATTACACTCTCCATGTCGAGCATACATCGTCCTTTTCCTCCTTCTTCGTAATGCTATTTTGACATCAACAATCAGACTGAGTCATCAAGGGTGAATATATATCTACATACATAATATATACGCCAGACAAGCAATATATTCCTCATTATACCATTACGAATGTAATGGATTACTTCACTCGTTCTGTTTTGTTTATGTAGAAACGTGTGTCCGGTATCAAAAGCGCCTGTTAAGTACTAATCGTTATTTCTTATTTTCTTCTCTTGACCTGTAATACTGTCTCTAAAACAAGAATATAGTTAGGTAGCTTACAGTGGTTTTAACTATTAATTTATATTAATCATTCTCGATAGATTTGAAAAAGCTGCTGCATTATGTCTATATCATTATTTTCTCTTTTTTTTTCGCTCGTATCTCTAGTCTCTCGCTTTTTTTTATATTTCGTCATATCTATCTAGAGAAGGAAAGAAATGGATACAGTAGATAGAAGGCCTGTGTAATGCAAAATAAACTTTGGCCTTTTTTCTTTCTTTTATCATTCTTCCATTAACGAGACATCATGCAGGAGAACGATGACGGCTATCCTTAGTAGAGAAGTCAAGGTTAAAAACTGATCGTAATATTTACATTAACCTGCGATACAAGAGACTCCTTTATATATGTCGGATTTTGTAGGACATAGTTCACGGCAGGTAATTATCACAAAAAAAAGACGCCGATATAGTCACTCTATCTTCTCCTCTTTTCTCATTATACATTGACGAATAAAAGCTGAGAAGGTCAACACAGTACATTGCTACTTGATGTTTGTTTTTGTTGCCGATACAAGATAATAAACTAGCTGCCAAAATCATCGGTCATGTAATTATTCATCCCTGTTCTCGACGAAATTTCTTCTTCTTTGTTTCCTTCTTGTTTATTTCGAACGCGTTCATTCATTCTTTCTCTATATAGATATATATATATATATTTCTCCAGGCTAACAAATCGACGATTCTAAACAGATAGACTAGATGAAATACTTGTGCACAGCTGTGCGTTGTGTCAGTCTGGAGAATGGAAAGAAAAAAAAATGAATGCAAATTGTTGTTAGAGACACCATTGTATCGAGCATAGTCTCTCCTATCAATTTCCTATTTTCTAGATTTGATTTAATCAAAGACATACACAATGACTGATAATCAACCAACAACAGAAGTCAATATCTACAAACCCGACGAAGAAGGTGAGGACATTGCAAAAAAAGTAGTTGATCAGTCGACATACATACCGTTTTTATTTAGGTAATGCTGTTGTCATCGAGGGTGAAAAGAACTGGACTAATAATGATGATCCAGCTGTCACAGAAGCTCACCATCAGAAAGAACAAATAATCATCGAGAATCCCGATGATCCGGCTTCGACTGTTACCCATCGTCTGGAAGACGTTCATATTACAGTTCAAAATGAAACCAGTACATCAGGTATAGAAGAAATAACTCATCTTTATCTTTTCAAGTTTGTTTGACCTCCTATAGAACCAACTCCTATGGATACAAAAACAGAAGAAATCAAAGGTATTCGAATACTTTAGGACCGATTTGAAATGCTGTTTTTGTATTATATTATAGCTGAAGCTCACGAAGTCGCTGATAAAGCCGAACAGAAACTAGAAGACGCAACACATGCCGCTAGTGAAAAAGCTAGCGAATTGAAACACGATGCTGAATCTGCTATTCATAAAGTGGAAGGTTGGTTGATTAGATTATCTTTGTCCTTCACCCGATGAACTATTATTTTGATTTTGAAGAGAAGGCTGAAGAGCTGAAAGAAGATGCAACAGACAAAGCGAAAGAAACTGCCCATGATGTTGAAAGTGAGTTCATATACTTTTTTTCGCCCTCAACAAAGGATATAATCTCTGAACTCTTCATTCCGTTTAGAGAAAGTCGAAGAATTGAAGCACGATGCTGAAGAAAAAGCATCGGAAGTATCACATGCAGTCGGAGGTAAATAATCGTGTTATTTTTTTATGCTGCTTTGCTTTGCATCAACAAATTCATTCAGAAAAAGCTGCCGAATTGAAACAAACTGCTAAGAAAAAATCGAAAAAGGCAGCAAAAGATGTGCAAGGTAACAGCCTTGATAACCAATTCGTTTTGCTAACTTCGTCAAATCTAATGCGATTTTGTTAACAGAAAAAGTTGACGAAATCGTTGCTGAGACAAAAGAAGCTATTTTAACTGGCGAGAAGATTGCTGAAGAAAAGCTAACAGCTGCTAAAGAAATTGTGAAAGGTTGGAATTTTGTCTTGGTGCATTTGCTTCATTGGATTCTATGATGACTTTAGAAACAACACAAGAAGCAGTTGAAAGCGTCAAACATGCAGCACATGACGTCAGTGTGAAGGTCCAAGAATTAGAAAAATCAGCGGAAGAAAGCTTGATTAAAGCTGAAAAGATTGGTAAGAACTCAGTGGAAACAAACGTCGGAATTCCACTCATTTGTCTTAATTTTCATTTAGGCGAACAAAAACTCGAAGAAACAGCAGCATGGCTTGGTGAAAAAGGATCTGAAGCTATGGCGAAAGGTAGTGAGGTACTCGATGCAACTAAGCAAGCACTTGCTACTGGCGCTGCAGTGGTCAGCGAAAAGGTCAAAGAAGGAGGTGAAGCCGTAGCCGATGCCGCTTCTAGCGCCAAAGCAACTGCCGAACAATTAGCAACTGATGCGAAAGCGAAAGCCACTGCTGCTGCTGATGTTGTGGCCACAAAAACAGTTGAAGCTGCTGAAGCTACAAAGTCAGCTGCACAAACCGCTGCTGGAGCAGTTCAAGGTACAAATAAATTACCTTCTTTTAATCTTAATCAATGCTATCCTTCTAGAAAAAGCCAGTGCAGCCGTCGATAGTGCAAAAACAACCCTATCATCAACAGCAGCTGCACCACGCGTCGAAGAAGTCACTGTTGATAAAACTGTAACAACAACAACAAGTGCTGTCGCAAATAACGTCTCTCAAGAGGCCTATGTTACCAAAACATCAGCTGAAACTGCTCACGGCCCACATCCAGTAACGAGTGAACAAGTCGCGCCAGCCAAAACACCAAGTGGTCCAATAACTTCGATTCGAAACTTCTTCAAAAATCTTTTTTCACCGAAATCAGCACCAAGTGCGGCAACGACCACAACTGTCGCTCAGACAACCACAGTAACAACAACAACAGCAGCAGCAGGAGCGACGGCAGCATCTGCTACGCCAAATAATCCTCCATCAACGTTATCATAAAAAGCATTTATATCGAACTGTTTCTTTTTTTTTCGTGTTTCATTTATATGGTCTACGTACTTTAGTCGTTTTCTTTCTCGTCTTGTTAGAAAATCTATACAGTACCAAACTGAAAAAAAACACACACGTTTGACGAAAACACCGAACGGTTGCTTCCTTTTTTTCTGTTCCATTCATGTTTAGTCAGGAGTTTGACATTATATTGAAACCAAGTTATCGCTTGAATCTGTCTCTGTGTGCTTTTGTTTCGTTTTTTCTTTCTCTCACCACTATTATCATTCTGCAGCTTTGCGTTCGTTTTCTTTCTCTCTTTATTTTACCATTCATAAGATAAAAGAAAATATTGCCATCGATATGATCTGTTGCCACTATTATGCCATGAAATCTTCACTCTACGTATAAACTTTGAATGAGCAGTCAAGAATCGGTAAACAGCCATGTACTTCAATGCTATTAAATAAGATCCTTTGTACTCTTGTACAACGATCGAGCTTTGTTTCGCTATTCATTTGTCATAAACGTTTTCATAGTTCTACCTTGTTATTAGTCCTAAACCATTCAACAATTCGCGTCATAAATCATTGCTCCTTTCTTTGCCCTTAAAAATATTATTAATAGACAAATTAAGTCAAACATTTCCCTTGTGAAAGTCGCTGTCAGGAACGATTTCTAAAACCAATCAATGGCATTATATTCTCTTAGCATGGCGATCATGCGTCAGTGCATATCGTCACTAGTCATACTCATATTTACTTACAATTCTTTTATTTTCATCATAATTGATATGAATACATCGAAATATCTATCCCGAAAGCGTTTTTACTTTGCTATGTTTGCATATTTTCTCATCATTATCACTTCATACCTGTTATGGCAAGAGAAACTCACTCGATACACTTATTAGTTTCTCATCAACGTTATCATGCATTATCCATCAAAAGATTAGGTCGGATGTCTATTGTTTTTCACTCAAAGAAGATGATCGCGTTGTGGTATGTTGCTTGCTCTTCCGGGCACATATCATCGGTGATGCGCGAATGAACGCGCTAATAGAGTCGCCTTTTAACGTGTGGAAGAAGTAAACATTCCATATGTTAATCATATCGAGCATGAACAATCGTTCAGTTTCGATTACTATTAATTCTCCATGATCAATAGTTAATTATATTAAATAGTTGACAAGTTTGATTTTCATTCACGATGAAATTATTTTACAATCGACAACAGAGAGTTCAATCCCAAGAGTAGATTTCTCTTCACACACGCAAGTTATTGCGTGTATTGCAAACAAATTATAGGAGTAAATTAATATTGTTTCTTGCTCTTTTAATGTTATATATCAATATGTGTGTCTGTGTATGTATCGATCACGCCTTATGCTTTCTAATTGCTCGAAACATTCCAACACACACATATAATGATCGCGAGAAAGTTAAGTTAAAATGAGAAGAAGTCACGTACAAACAATGATGGGTGATTGAAATAAATACACATACACTGATTTCAATCTAGTCTATAAAACAATTCAATGATTGATCGTTCGTAGTTTGTTGATCAGCTGCAAAGATCTTAACGATTAAGAGCAACAAAACTACTAGACATTACTTTTCCACAAGCAATTTCCTTCGAAACTCATCAATGGATCGTTGCAATCGCGATTTTGATCTTAATTAAACAGATTAATGCTTCATTAATTTAGTTGTTAAACATTTGTATCATTTCATTTCCGCTTGTCTTTTGACTATAACAAGATGTATGTGAAAGAAAGACCGTCACACTTTATTTGGTCACTAATTTATCCAAGGTGAAGAAAGTAATATTGTTTAATTATTAGTTCTCCTATGCACACAACTGTTCTCTCGTTCTCTCTCTCTTTGACTTGAACTACTTCATCAGACTATCGAAAAAGAAAATGAAATTTCAATGATTTTTCGAATCATTATTTCTTATCATTGATGATAATGATGATACATAACCTCAAAATCTGTATGTTAGTCAATAATATACTTCGACCTCCTCTCTTTAGCCGCTTATAACGATTGTAATCGCAAACGCTTCTCCTCTCTCTCTCTTCTTTTCTACATATTGATATTGATTGATGATCAGACTATCATCATCATGTTTACACGATGATGATGACGACGACGAGATATTATTTTAATCGAGTTAGTCGCCAAACGTTCTTTCGTTTCGTTTCGTTTCTTTTTGTGCATACATGTTCACAGAGGCGTAGTTTCACTTGTCATCAATAGGATACAAACGAGTTGTGCGCCCTGTCATTTAAGTCGGCATGATGTGTAAAAGAGGAACGGAAAAATAAGCGAAAGAAAGAGAGACGCTCGAAAATGATAAGCAATGAAATGGATCAATAGCAAACATGAAATTAGCTTTGATTATCCTGTCACAAGCAACAACAACATCAACATCGTTTTATGATCTTCCGAACTGATAGAATAACTTCTGCGTTTAACATATGTGATAATCAAAAGCTAACCTTTTTCTCTTTTGACTTGCTTGATTTCCAAATGATTCTCTCGCCTCATTTGCTTTCGTAATCGGTTTTCCAGAAAAGAAAGTTGTCTGTATATTCATTAAGAAACACAGCAGAAGAAGAAGAACAAGAGAGTATATTAACAAATCGAGAAACAGAACTTATTTCTTATTTTTCTTTTGATGTATCATTACGACTTGATAATAGCAATCGATACTTTCTGCTCGTCATCTTCATCATCATCATTCATATTAGCTATTTTCTCCTCTCTCTCTTCTCTTCGTTTTCTTATTTGTAGACATATCACAAGTATCTTTTTACATGATTGGCCCGAGAAAATGATACGTAGGTCTTCCATTACACAGAGTAAAGGAAAAAAAAATTGGAGAAACGCCTATCGTCATCGTCCAATCGTATTAGAGAGAAAGAAGCGAGTTAGGAAGAAAGAAAGAAAAAAAAAAGAAAGTAATTTGTGCTATCACTTAGCTATTCAACTCGCGCTTAAGAGGCAGTCGTATACTTCATAGTTGTCAAAGGTTCAACCATGGGCGCCAACGACCATCAACTGTACTTATCCTCGCCAGATTCGACATATTCGAGATCGTCTTCGAGATCATCGAGATCGTCATCATCGCCTACATTATCAAACAAAAACTCGACATCAAATCTCAAATCATTTCTCATTTCGGACATATTGAAACCGACTTTTGGTAGTCATCACACTGAAAAATCCAACATTCCTCTATCATCTACATCGCCGACAACAACAAATGATTCATCATCGTCATCCTCGAATGCCAATGCTATACCAGGAATGTTGCCAGCATGGGTCTACTGCACCAGATATTCCGATCGACCATCAGCTGGTATGTAGGCAAAGTTGAAAGTATTCTTAAACTTTTTTCTATCATCTCTGCAATCTTTTCAGGTCCTCGTGCTCGAAAACCTAAACCGTGCGAAGCAATCGATTCTAAACGTCCCCGAACTGCATTTACAAGTAGTCAGTTAGCACGTTTGAAAGATGAATTCGATCGAAGTAAATATCTAACGGGTGAACGTCGGCAAGTCTTGGCAAATGAACTGGGCTTAAATGAATCTCAAATCAAAATCTGGTATCAAAACAAACGTGCAAAAATCAAGAAAACGTCTGGTGTACGAAATACACTAGCATTACAATTAATGGCACAAGGTTTATATAATCATGTGTCGTCGATGAACAAAGACTCTTGAGATGATGACTAGAGAGGAAAGCAAATTGATTTTCATGCAAGCCTTCTAGTCAAATTCTTCTTTTCTTTCCTTCTTTCTTGTTATTATTTGTTGTACAGCGATTTTGAACAAAATATATCAAAGTGATTTTCCTTTCGTTCTCTCAAACAGAAGTAACAACTGTTCGTTCTAATCGATCATTGATGTAACAGGTCGAAGTCGGCCGAGCTGATTGAAGTAATGATATTCACAAAGAATCTTTCTCTTGTTAATTCGATAAATACAGAGTAGAATGTATATTGATTGCACACACAAAATGTGTTTGGAAAGACTCGAGGGAAATTTTAAATTACACTTTGCTCGTTTTTTTCTTCTTCTTTATATTGTTTAGCGGTCGGCATTCAAATGATTCGCATATGAAAGTTTAATGAATGCATGTGATTAGTTGATTGGCGAGAAAAAGAGATAGTTGAAGGATGAGGATCAGGATGATTAACTCCACCCTCATTAGACTTATTTTGATGTTTCACAGAATAGAAAAAGTGAGCAGGTGGGAAAATGGGAGTGACCAATGATGACGATGATGAACTTCACAAAGATAAACATGAAAGTCAAGGAGTTTGTCATGCAAACTCCATATTGTCTTATCTGATTATTCATTGTTTTGCTCTATGTCGCAAATAGGTCCCAACAGGAAATCTTTTTTGTGTCATGATTGGAAGATATGCATGAGACGAACTGAAATCAACAGTAACTTGTAGCTGCTGCTGTACAAACAACAGCTCCCGATCGTGATAAATATGATGGATCAGATGATGGTACGGACTGGTAGCCATTACGTGAACAGTAGCATGTGTAACAAGCTTTGACTATCCAAAAAAGGATGAATAAGCCAATCACAATGATACATATGATGCCAGCCGTCGTTGGCCCATTTGATTCCTCCGTATAACACAGTCTATCTGTATATGTACCACACTTATTGTTTTCTAAATACAATTCAACAGGCTAATAGACTCATGTTTGACTGAAGAATTTTACCTGGACAGCAAAATGTTCGAGGATAATCACCACATACTTTTCCTACAGAATAATTATAATGAAAAACTTTAACCGTTCATCAATCTTACCCGTCAAACAGGAATCTGCTGATACATTGGCCGTCATCAGCATGAATAGCAATCCAATTACTACTAGTTGAGACATGTATCGAACGTCTTACACGCATCTATTTGTCGAGTTTTATAGATAAACTGATAAAATGTTATGCTGATAACGATAGTCTATGAGTCATTGGATAAATTGAGTAAGCTGGAATTCAAGATAATTAGATTTATCTATGTCGCTGGGTAAATCACCACGAGAACTCGATGCAGACTGGGGCTGGTAACTTCCATGAATTAGTCATTCAAATCCTATTTATTTGTTGTAGGTTACCTGACACCGATTCCACAGCGTCAGAAGATATATCTATTGACGGAGTTCGTTTTTTTTCGAACGAGAAATATATAGAATTGTCTTTTTCCTACATAGATTGGCGTGTTAGGCATACATTTACACCAACTTATCGTGAATAAACCATTCTATTCCGATAGGCAACAAAAGTCTATTGATGCATTTCGTATATGTATCAGTGCTTATGCACTAACTCGGTATTCTAAAACTAGGCGTGTGTATGTCAGTGAAAAACAAGAGCCTGTTGCACGATTTGATCAAACAATACAAATGTTAACTCGCGTAAAGTGAACAGAATAGTGTTGCGTACACATCATTGAATTTATTCTTATCGTTTTCCCAGATTTATGATAAACGTCGGGATAAACGACACCTCACTCATGTTATTCTGTATGGCTATTCGAATGAAGACAAACGATTTGTTTTAATAGCTGATCAAGTCATTGATAGTATCAAACTCGTCTCTGTAAGACTAAACTATGGATAATATGTATGAGAATAGAGTCATTTAGGCTCGACATATCAGTGAAGCCATCATATTTGAAAGTTCCACTGATATTTGTGTATGAATTTGAATATATTTGATTACCTGAAAATAAAAGAATTCTAGGGAAAAGGAACTCTACTAATTGAATTGATCTTTGTTTATGGCAGACATGGTTACAACTATAGTTCACAGGTAGAATATTTAACAAAGAAAAGAATGAATTAATAATATATTTATAAAATACTGATTAGCTTGTTTTTCAAAACGATGTTCATCTATCAAATACTATTAAACACCTAACATTATTCGAACGCATTCATTCAACAGACGGTCCGAGTACGTACAAATCGTTCTTTCAGATAGTCCTACGCAGAAACTTCATGATAATCAGACCGCGCAACGAATGGGTAGAAAGAAGTCTACTTATTATAGCGTATGAATGTAAAGAAGGAACATTGATAATGTAGATTGTACAATCCGCCAGAAACTGATCTACCACTCTTTTTAAAACTATCATTTGATGAATTGTACCAAGTTCATGAAAACCCAATAAAGTATCCTCAAATTATCAAAGCTTTATCAACGAGTCCTAAGTGATCATAAACGTCATTTGAACCTTCTAAAAACTCCTTTGTTTTTGTTTTTCAGACACTCATCAATAAGTGCAATTATGGAAATGCAAGCCTCAAGAAAGCAACGTTTAGAAACACTTTTCAACTTCTTAACTGAAGATCCTTGTTTACCTGAACAAAACATTCTCGATCCAACAGTATCGCGTTTACTTCCATGGAGTATAGCTTATTGGAAACGCGCCCTGTCAGGTTTACCTCTACATGCCAGCAATCTAGACTTCAACGGTTCCCAGGTGAGTTTCATCATCATTCAAGTTTTTAAGACTATTTGCAGATCTATCTAAAAATGACTACATTTCATGATTATAGACTGACATCACACATCTTACAAATACGTCACCTGTTCTTCGTCAAGTTATTGATCGCGAAGAACATTACGTCTCGCTAACTAACAGTACAACGAAGTAAACTATTTGTAAGGTAGTTTAAGTACTTTAATAATTGGGATTTCTTTTATTTTGTAGTCTGGAAATGTTAAAAACTCGCGTTCATCGCGTAATTCATCATTTTTTCGAATTACTTCGTCAGTAATAACAACTGAACCGCACAGCAATTGGCAGCAGAATTTCCAATAGGAACAAAGAAAAGTTATTTACACACTACACGCTAGAAGATGACGAAGTCCGATGATTATGTACATAAATAAAAAAAACAAATTGAAAGAAGAAAGAGAGACGTCGAACAAACAAAGAAAAAAAAAGAGTGAAAGGATGAAAGAAAGAGACGCGCAATACTTTACTTTCTCTTCTTGTCCACTCACCATCATCAGCATCATTATTCAAATTAGTTGCCAAAAACAGAATTGTTGTGTCAAAGGGATAAACAAATAAAAAAAAGGAAGAAAGATTGTTTTTATAACAATCGCTGAGTAAATGCAAAGAAAAATTCTTCGAATATAGAAATCCTCCGATGGTATTGTTATACACATGAACAGAAGATTTGCTTTTTTCAACATATACGTGTCGCAGGCACTTTGATAGCACCTGACGAAGAAGAAGGTGGTGGAGGTTTATTAATTACAGATCTTTTTTGCTGTTGTGCTTGTTGTGGATGATGGGTTCGTGCGATAGCAGTTGCTCGAAATGCGGTCGAGGCAATCGATGTTGTTGTAACTGTACGTGTCGGGCTCATTGATGATGAATTGATTAAATCTTTTGTAGAAGTTATCGTAAACGGCCTAGGCACTCGTTGTAATTTTCTCACAGTTGCTCCTAGTCGAGGTTTGACACCTATAGATGCGTTTGAACCAGTACTCGTGCCGCTAACTGCTCTTGTAGCTGGAGGAATTGCATCTGTTATCGATGTACTGATCGTATTCGACCGAGTGTTGAGCGATTGTTCGCTACCAAATAAACGTTCGATAGCGATCGGTGGTAAACGTGTAATCGGTTCAAGATTCTGTGTATTGGAATTTAATGTGGTTGCAGAACGATAGCGCCATGGTGACGGTGCTGGCCGTGTCGGAATATGAGATGTTTGTGGTGTAGATGAACTCAGTTGAATTGGAAGATTGCCAACTGCGGTACCAACTAGAGAGATCTGCTGTTGCTGTGTTTGATTTCGTTTTTCATTTGTTAGAGATGTCGGTGCTCTTTCATTAGGTGGTGGTGGTGGTGGTGGCGGCAGCGGTGGCCCTTGAGATTTTCTTGGCGAGGTTGGGGCAGTGGCGTTAGGAGTAGGATTTGTTATACGCAGTGGTGTTACACGTAACAAACTAGTTAACTTTACATTTGGCTCAGGTGTAGAACGAAACGGTAGGGAGGTGATGCTGGTCTGATATTGTTGTAAGGCATAGTTCGTCGGTGATCCGGTCGGTAATGAAAGGCGGTTCTGTGATGCTGGATGTGGTGGTAATGATGTTGGGCGTAGTTTTCGCCGCAGCATGACAGAATTTTTTGCACAAACTTGCTTCGCATATCGTTGCAATAACGACTGTTGATCAGTAAAGAATTGTTGGAGTAAAGCGGATGCTAATGTCGTAATTATACTGTCTTTCAAACATTTGATGAGAAATTGTGGATGTTTAGCACGGCCATGTGTTGATCGATCTGAGGAACAATCTCCATTTTCGTCATCGTCATCATCAGTGTCGAATGAATCATGAGCACCATTACTAAAACGATCACCTGGATAAGTATTAGTTGCGTCAGCATCGTCAAGATCATCTTCGAAATCGGAATTATTCGTTAATTCTGAACCTTCAATAGAATCAATCGATGAACGACCAGACGTTGGCTCATCGAGCGGAGTCTAGAAGTTAAAAAGATAAACCTACAAATGTTCTTTTGACAAACATGAACAAGCAATCGATTCTAATACATATAAATAATTAAACTGTTTTTCTTTGTTGCTAAGAGTACTTAATCATTCTTGTTTTTCTTCATGAGATTCGAACAGAGTGAAGCAAATTGAAGTGAATTTATTTTTCGGAATAGAAACATAAATCAATAGAAACATTCCTACTTGTTTTTCATGAGAAATATTACGATTTTAATTGGAAAAACAAACTCTTATTTCTATAGTTACGTTAATTACTCGTATTTTGCTTAACTTACGTCGATTTCATTGAAATTATAACTCGACATTTTCAGATTTCCAGATGATTGTTCGAAGAATAAGGATGGTGCAGACGTTAAAAATTCTTGTCGATTAATGGGACAAATCTGACCACGTATTCGAAAATGCGGTCGACTCGACCATTCTTCGCAGATTTTCTTGATATTCGACCGCTTCGGCGGTTCTTCGCCATAGAGAACTGCATCGATTTGATCGAATTCACGTCGTGAGCGTCCACTGGTTTCACGAGCATCATCTTCATCATAGCCAGACAATAAACTTGATCCACTTACTGAATGTGCACACATGTTTACAATTTGAGATCGAATTAATGTATAAAAATATTTGTCACGAAAAAATCTTCATACATTCGTTGTAAGAAAGAGAATCCTCAATATCCCAGACTACATTCTGGCATGGAAAATCAATCTAAAACTAAACAGATGGAACGAATTCGTAAGAAATAAATTATGTCCTTATGACAACAAAAGAATAGAACAGACATGCTACAAAACGTCTGTCTGAAGAAAAACGCGTAAATTCTAAATTAGACACACGTAGGAATACAATCAAGTGTTAACGAGAAACACGACAGTCTAAGCTTGTTTCGAATATGTTATGAAAGAAATATGGATAATCACTATTGACAAGTCTTTTCTTTTTGTCTTCGTCGCGTTTTTTTTCTTCTATTTTTGTATTCTCTCTCTTTCTCATCTTAAAATCAAATTCCTACAATCTTGCTTCTCACTACTCATTTCCCGAACGCAGAAGAGAAGTCGGAGCAAGTTTCTTTTTCTTTTTCTTCGTCCTTTGTTTTGATTCCATAATTTTTACTCTTGCCACTATCGAAATATGTGTTTACTTAACTCAGACAAGCAAGTCGTCCATTGTTATGGTTCGTTTCCAGGAGACTACTTAGGATCGGTGTTCGACAATCGAAATCCAGTTAAAAGAGTAAAATGCCGTTAATGAAAATACGAAAAATCTGACTCAAGCCTTTTTCTCAAATTTTTTCGTGAAAAACCTGACAACAGAGGTCGCATGTTGACATGAACAGAAAGCTCAAAGAATTCCGTTTATATTGTTCGAAATTGCATACGTGGGTATCACTAAGAAATTTGCGACATTAATATTAAATCCTTGCAGGAAAATTTATCTTTTATTCTTTAATATTTCTCATATGTTTCCCTTACATTTCAATAGTTCATATTGAATGTAATACAAAATATCAGATAGATATTAGGAAAAAAACACATATGTATTATTGAATTCATTCAAGAATATGAAACAGAAACTAGCTTGATTTAAGCACTTCTAACTCAATAATGCTCGTTGTATATGTAAGTCTAATATTGAATTGTCCTTAAAACGAAATAACGCTTTGCCGCGATCAAGATATGATTCGATGTAGATGACTATGGGTATCAGAGCAATAAATTCTAATCGATTTAGTTTGGTTGTTTTGATTCTTGGAAGAAGTGTTTCTAATTCTTTGCTGATTTGTTCATATTTGCCATTAGTTGTTCGATTCATAATCAATGCAACGAGATTATCGAAATTTATGGTTGATGTGACAGGTGAATAGCGTTTGTCAAATTCATCAAGTAATTCAAGTATATCTTCACGATAATAATTGAAATCAACATCATCTAATAGTGAATTCCATATATATGGACTAAATGAAAGAAAGAATGATTTATCAGAGAGAAAATGTTTTCTCTTACTCTTGTTCTGATATCATATCAACAAGTACTGCTGTTGTAAAAAACTCTTGTAGACCAAAATAGGTTGATTCACTAGTGATGTCGTATAACTAAGATAGAAAAGATTTGTACGAGAAAAGTTTGTTCGAAGAACTGCTTTGTTTTACTGACCACACGAAAGAACGTTTCTTGTGGACGAGGTAAATTTGACGGTAAACATTTTTGTACTTGAGAATAGGTTAGATGTCTGAAACGCAAGTGTTTGTTTTATGAATTATAATACTTCACAACAAGATCTATCGTACGTACCCATCCCGATCAGTATCAAACTGTTGAAATAATCGTTTCAGTTTGTTTCGATCTGCTTCACTCAATAATGAACCGACAACCATATGCTATGACAAGAATGAGAATATATTGCGAAGTCAAAGAAATGCAAAATACTTGCCTTGAGTGGATTATTAGATTTTGTTGGTGGCTGATTGGTAGAATGCACTGCAGTCGTTGATCGACTCAGCGAACTATCTGAGCGGTACAATGGTGGTGATTTACATTTTAAACTTGTTTTTTGTGCAAGATTAGCTTGAATCATACGATCTTTGATCAATGGTAAGTGTTGTTGATCTGCAATTAATGAAACAGAACGACGAGATGTGAAAATTGGGAGGATTGGTGTTGGTTGGAGAACCGGTCGATTGCTATTCGTTGCTGACACTGTTTGAAATCGCCTACGTCAAGCATAAAACTTGGTAGAAAAAGTATCGTTCCAGATACAAACAAAACGTACGATGCTTTTTGAATGTAAGCAGATGGAACTGCTTTAGTAACTAGAAGCAATGATAATTGTACGCGTTATTCTATTCAGTACAACGTTATTTACTAGATGATGGTGGCTTTTTCGTTAATGGAGGTAGCTTCAATGGAACTTTGGTAGATGGCTGTTGCACTCTTTTGAATAATCTCGGCGAGGTTTGATTACTCGACGTTGGTGTTTTGCCAAGGATTGTCATCGATGATTTCTAAGATAATAGAACACTTGAATAATAGCATAATTGTACAAAATACGCAATGAATATGTTTACAGAGGAGAAGAGGAGTATGATACACGTTCACCTACTTCAACTAGATCTTGTGCAGACGGATTTAGACGATGACTTGATGAAATAATTTGCAATTTGTCAGATGCTGTCGAATCACTTGTACCAGAGATATACGAACTTCGTGTTCTGCAAATACAAATGCTTGTCTTTCATTAACTAGTAACGAAATGTGCAAATGATTTTAAGTGCTTTTTAAGCAAATACGCTCGACACTACGTTTTAAAACTCAATATTTTTATATTGACTTTTTTATCGAATATAAACAAAAAATATTTGAGAAAACCTATCGACATGACATGTGATTCTTACTTTGAGTGAAAATTCTCGTGTGCTTTTCGACTAATGTTGTTCGTTAGTCGTTTAGGCAATTGCAAGATGGTTTGATCAACTCTGGTTAGTTTACACTTAGGAATAACAGATGAATAAACATGTTTCGACGATATTTGAGGGTTAGATCTCCTAGTACCAACGATTTCAAGCGCTGGAATTTCGATCGGAACACCGGGAGGTGCGCAAGTTTGTCTGTGCTGAAAGACTTCTTGACGATCTTTGTTAATATCCACATTTGAATTATTCTGAGCGAAGAAAAAAAGAATGAGTTCACGTATGAATACAATGTTCTTGAATGATTTTACTTGACTGGAACGTTGAAGGTCATGTAACTAAAGAGACATATTTGATTGAGAGAAAAAAAATGAGAAAACTACTTACCAACGATACGCCAACGATAGATTCATGTTGAAATGGGTGACGCGAATCAATCACGTTCATCGTGTAACTCAAGTACTCGAGAATATTTTGATAGAAACTGGTTTCTTTCAACTTTTGATTATATTATCCTTTAATTTTTCTTCTTTTTCAACTCGTATTCGTTTCTTTAATGTTATTCTATCGATTACTCGAATCAAAAAAGAAAAAAAGAAACACAAGTGTGGCAGAAAAATAGTTGAGAAAGAAAGAGAAGAAAAGAAAACAGTCTAAACATTGAAATTGACACTGATACAACATACAAGCGCGAATACAAACATTATTAATGAAAAAAAACTCTATAATAATAGCAATTGTTCGTGTAGTGCTTTTGCTTTTCTTTTTCTTCGTTTTTAATTTAGAGGTTCTGCAGCATTTCGGCAATGTCTTCTTTTTTCGTACTTTCTTCTTCATTCACTGATGGTTTCCCATTTTTTAATGAATCTGCGTGAAGTTCTTTTCCTTTTCGGTACTTCATCACACGACTTCGAATAACATAGATCAACCACAATGGCTTTGTCGTTAGGAAAGCAACCACGAGTGGTACGACAACTGCTTGCGTTGCATAAGGCTGCGGAAACGAATAGAAAATAATCATAAAAGCAATACCAACATTCTGTATTCCAGCTTCAATACCAATCGTTTTTACATGCGCCCATTCCAGACCACATATATAAGCCAATAGAGCACCACATATAAAGCCCAAGTAAGGTAACAACGGTGCTGTCAAGGCGGTATATATATCAATCATGCTTAGCAGATACCAATTTACGATTGAGCCGAAAATGAGAAAGAAAATTAAAAGAAATAACATCATCGGCTTGACAAGTTTTTCGATAATTGATCGCGTTCGCGGTGAATAGTGACTTATAACAATGCCGATACTATACGGAACAACAACAAGTGCTAATGTACGAACAAGACCTAGGAATGGTACGCGTATAGCTAATTTATCCGTATAGATTCGTCCTAATGTATAAAAATAGAGTGGCATCATGACGAAAGACGAAGCAGTTGAGACAAATGACATCACAGCTGATAGATTAACATCGCCATCGAATAAAAGCGTCCATTGATTGGACGCACCGCTGCCTAAAATCACACGCATCTTCTCACGTCTTTTTAACAAATTTTCTTCTACCTGGACAGCAACCGATAACAAAAAGTGCAAGACTGTATAAAGGCGTATAGTTAAATAATTTTGCTATGCCTACTGCTAAGAATGGCATAAGACCAAACTGACTGATGAATCCAATCAAAACTGCTTTTGGTCTTCGCACTAAATCAATTAAAACTTTTGTGTCGAGTAAAATACCCATTTGTATGGAAATCAAAATAACTAAAAATGGCATAATGAAAATGAATATCTTGTCGATAAGGCGTTTTGGTTGCGAAACAAGAACTTTCAAGTGCCATTGCTGTGTATACGTGGAATCATCGTTGTGAAAAACATCCAAAGTAATTGTTAAAGTTATTTGATCCATTCGAGTGGTTTCGATTGACCATAGTAAGTTAAGCTGCGATGGATTTTTCAGATCGATTAGCGTTGGAGATGGATAAGCATTAAAAATATGACCACGTGCATTTTTTCCAGGCACTAGAAATACAAGGGAGAAATGTTACGGCATGTCATCATAAACTCATTTCAATTGAGCTTTGCAATCTTATCTTCTCGGAGAAAAACAGTTTTTTTTACGAAGGTAAAAGATAAGAATAAGAACGAAAAACGTCACAGGATCATAACGTTACATAAGATATTATCAAAATCATAGTAAACATCTCAACTTGACCTATTATTTCCTCAAATCATGGGTAGAATATGTCTAATTGGATCGGAATGCGTTCAGAAGAACGAACATATTTCGATTTCTAAAGTCTCGCGATGATTTACTTACGAATGAATAGATCTTCAAGTAGAATATTATTGGAATTGTTTGCATCAATTGTTTTCGCCGGTACTATGATTTCCTTTTGAATATTAACAACTCGTGGGTCAGTTGATTGAACTTGAAACTTAAATCCCACCACTTCCAGTTTCGTCTTTCTATCATTTTGATAAAGTTCATCAGGATTAATTTTTATTGAAACATAACGTGTTTGAAATAAAGGTATTTGATAAGTTTTATTCTGATAAGACTTGGCATTTTCGACAACTTCATTTGTGTCATCCTTTGCTTTCATCAGGTATATCTCCACGCAATGAACACATGGAAGGAGAAGTATAAATAGGTAGAAGCTTTTAGTCGTGTGCAGCATATGCATCTTGTTCGATAAATATATTTTTGCGCTTCTTAACCGTTGAGTATTCTTCGTTACTGCTTTGTTCTTCAACGTACTTTTTTATTACGAGACAACCGAAAAGAAAATATACGCAACGACAGAACGATAAGATAATAAAACATAGATAGGATTACTTTCATCGATATATATATATATATGTAAATTTCACTATGTTCGATATTGACAACTTACGTATGTTGATACATCGATTTCAAACGTTGACATGTTAAATGATGACTATTAATCAACTTTGTTTAAACGGATGTCATCAGTAAATAGTTGTAAGCACGAGATCACTCTCATGTATGTCTATTATGCACTGATGACTTAGTCTTCACCTCACGACTTTTCTTTTAAATTTTCTCTTCAATGCCATTCCTTCACATTTCTTGAACACTTACGCCAGATGATCTTTAGCTTTTGCAGGAAGAAGGACAAAGACATGTCAGGAACATTTTGTCATAAAAAAAGAACTTGAGCATCCCAGCGGTATATAAATCTTTTCTTAAAGATAGCTTAAACATTTTATGAAAGTCATGTGAACAAGTGAATCATATGGCAAAGTACTATCGTAAGAATTTGCTATTCTTATCAGCCGGTATATGTAAATACGCTGCTGTGTTCTTTCCTTTTTCAGTCGAAAATACCCAGTATTTCGTTAGAAGAATGGCTGTTATCAAAATCTTACTGGTTGGTGATATTGGTACCGGAAAGGACAGCTATGTCAGGATTCTAATCGGTAAAAGTTATGTCATTCTTCGAGATGAGAAAAGATCTAAGCGAACGTCCAAGACGGTAAATAAAATTTGTGAACTCTAGAGTTTATATTCGTTAATTGTGTCTTTTGCTAGAGAAAAGCTAATACTATCTCCATTTCTATAACAATTGATCGAAACACGTCACTTGATGTTGATATTCTCGTAATAAAGTCATTTTCAAACGTTAATCTCTAGCAAGTGAGGTATTTATAGAAAATTCCTGGTTGTATGCGTGGAAATAGCGTCATAAAACAAAATATAGAGAACGCAGACGGTTGTATGGTAATGTTCGACATTACCCGACCAACTACATACGATAGTGTAATAGGTTGGACCTCAGACATACGAAACATGAATGATTCTCGTGATATGCCATTTTTTCTACTAGGAAACAAGGTCAGTCTAAATAAAATTGGAACATCGCCTCTTTTGATTCATTCATTCTTGCAGTTTGACTTGGAAAAGCACGAAGATATAAATCTTAATCCAAACTTTATGGCTGAATATTGTGATGCCAACCAGTTTTCCCACTGGTTTCGCACATCTTCCACAGATGACTTAAACATCTATGAATCAATATGGTATCTCTGTAACAAAGTAAATACACAGTATCGTCGTGTTATTTCTATTGAAATATTGTAGATTATTAAAATCAGACAGTCTTTAGCGATAATCCACCTATCTTCTCCAATACTCAACGAGCAGAAAAGGAAACGTCTTATGAAGTTTGTCGTGATTGGTGCATGTGGCACTGGAAAGACATCGATCATACGGCGCTTTGTGGACAATTCTTTCAAAGAATCCTATCGAGCAACTGTATGTTTTCCTTCCTCATTTAAAGTACACACAGTCGTCATTTGTAAATTCTAGTCAGGAATAGATTGCCTTGCGAAAACTATACGTGAGAAAGATATACCAATCGACCTTCACATTTGGGTCTGTAGGATACTTTGTGCACAATCATTTGTCAGATGATGTGATCTGAATAGGACGTGTCCGGTAGAGAGCTGTTTTATAATTTCACGCATTTGTTCTACAAAGATGCTGATGCATTTTTGATAGTGTTTGATGTGAATAAACCGTCAACTTTGGAAAATGATGCGCTGAAATGGAAGTTGGATTTGGATAGAAAAGTCAAGTCTGTCGAGGATAAACGAATACCCTGCTTTCTGATTGGCAATAAGGTAAACATATTTGTCCAAATTCAAGTGCTCCGATAATGCTGTTGTAGTACGACCCTTCGAAAAGAGAAATTCTTACAGATGGCGATTCAATGAAAAAGTTCTGCCGTTCTCATGAGTTTAGTCAATATTTGAATGTCTCAGCAAGAGCCAACTCGAATATTGACAACGCTTTCTCACGTATTTTGACAGTCGTAGGTCAATACATCTGTAGCTGTTAGAAATATTCTCGTTTTATGTACATTTAGGCAATCGCATGCCACAACGTTGAACAAGAAGTGGGTCGTGAGCAGTCACAACAACACGAATGAAGTTTTATTTTTGAAAAAAATCTTCATGTCGCACCTTGTATAGTCAAATGTACATACGGCAGGATCATATTTGCTCGAAATAAAAAAGAACGTGACAGATTAGATTAATATCTGTAAGACTAAGTTTATAATAGCAGCGGACCAATGTATCATCAGTAATACGTTTAAAAACGCTTTTGATCCGGCCGTTGACGTCTATTTTAGGTTTGTTAGTTGTTCTTTTTATCTCTACATGCTGCACATATGTCCGACAATAAACTATTGATTTTCGTAGCATGTTTACGTTGATTCGAAGAGCAGTTAAACACCGCTTGAAATGCTTCGTTTCCTCTCAACACTCGATTGAGATGTAATCCGACAGCATTTTGCTGTTTAATCATTACCGTCATAATTTCACGATTGATATGTGCACATTCCGATTGACCGTATAGAATAAAAAACGTTTTTATATCGTCAAATGATATATTAATTAGATTCATTTGCTGCTCTTGATATCGAAGAATCAAATTCAGTGCAATTAGATCAGCGATATGCTCCCGATTTGTTAGATTTCCTCCACATGGACACAATGCATGGCCAAGCTCGTGCGCAATCAATAGGAGTGCAGCCACACGCGTTGATTCATTCGCATAGAGTTCTGCGACAGTTGGTTGAAGAAAGATTCCGCGTTTCATTGCATGATGGCCATTGATTTCAAAGAATTCATGAGTTGGCTGGAGTAATTCTTCACGAGAACTTTCAATAATATTCCATGCTGTGGATAAATAATTGTCTTCAATAGGATAATATTCGTATGGAATACCTGTCGTTGTTGGGGATAATTCTTCGAATAGCTTTAAGCGTTCAGGTTTAATGTGAAACTGAAGCGACGATAAGAATTCATTGCTGGAATGAGATAAACGAAGTAGATCACGAAGTTCATAAGCTATTGCATAGAGATCTTCGGTTTTATTGAACATATAATCTTCATAAAATGAAGACAAAGTAAATGGATAATAATATTCAAGTAAAGCGAGACAATCGCTTGGAATGTTATTGAATGACAGAGAAAAGGATTGCAGATCTTCATTAGAAAATAAGTGAGAGATTCGATCCTGATTTTCAAGTGCTGTCTTACTTGTTTGCTCTAGTGAATTATCTTGTAAGATTTGTTTCCGAAGGCTTTTTAGGCTAATCTGTATACCTTCGTGGAATACACTGACAAATGGTAACAACTTTGGTCCGTATTTGTAAACCATTAGATTGCAGTAGTGTGCAAATTGATCAGCAAAAAGAAATCGAAAGATTGAATCCAGTTGAAAGAAATCTATCAAGCGGATTTCAGCAGATATTATCGGCGATGACACATCCTTGATTTGATTTTTGTTATAATCAAGAAAAATTTTCCAGTACGGAATCAGCTCCAACTGATTCTGTCGAACTATTGTTGTAAACAAACAGACATACGATGCATCACCTGGCCACGAATGCAGAATCAAATATAAAATCGACGATGATATATAATCTAACCAAGTTTCATAGTTCGTCTCATTGAATGATCGAAAATGGACGTAATAGCTAAGAAACAACTGGCACTGATGTGTAATTGTACTACGAAACAGCGGGATATTCATCAGATACTGTTCTAAATCTGTCGTAAAGTTGCGTAGGAGACTATAGATCTCTGTATGATTAGATTCGTCAATGATTTGCTTGTCTAAGATAAATTGAATTAGATCGCGTAGGTCACTCGACCGTTTTACAGATGAATGAATGATAGGAAGAGAATCTTGATCCGAGATTAAGCGATGCAAGTCATCGCTCATTGTGGAATTCGTAAATGGAAATGAAAATGTTAATAATTGTTGATATTCCTTCAACGTGTTCGCTAGTGGTCCAACGCGTGGTGATTGATAACAAAGGTTAATCTGATTCTTTTCCACGTAATGTTCGAACAAACTAGCTTGTTCAATTTGAAGTGTAGAAAAAAGCGTTTGTTGATCTTGAATTTGTCGTTGAATATGGAGAATAATTTGTGTATGGAAATTGATCGTGTTGACATTCCAAATATGTAACAGTGGGTGTTCAATCATCTGTTCAAAGAGAAAGTAAAGGTGATTAGTAGTAAAAATAATTTCATAATTGTTTGTAAACCAAAATCGATCGTGTGCTAATTGATGTAGTTGTTGCAAGAGAACGGACTCCGATGTATGAATACATTGATGGTAGTACAATAACATGTTCGATATTGATTGGTTTAAGTCATTCGGAGGAGAAGATGATTGACGCTTGACTAGTTTATGGTGAGTATCATCGAATCCATCATGAAACGAATAAAATTGTTCCAATCTAAAATATTGAGAATAGCACTTTCTAATTGATTGGATTCGTTGGTCTTCACTTACTCGTTTTTGCCCGATGTTAGTCCGTCGAAATCAACGATTTCTTTTTCTCTTCTGACCATTTCTGTTTGATTTTCTCGCAATTCCATTTGATAATTGTATGCATAATTTTCACTGTAATTCGTCAACATCCGAGCGAAATTTGATCGAATACTTCGTGAACTCTCTGTTAGCCAACTTCGTTTGAATTCCAAAGATGATAATGGATGTTGTGTTAACCATTTACGACATACAAATCCATAAAAATCTCGACATACATCAGTATTCAAATCTAATTGATCGATGAGAAATGAATCCAGGTATTGAAATAAACGATGATTATGTTTCGTTACACTATGTTCCCACACTGTCGTATGGAATCGATGAGATGGTAACGAATGTGTTGGAACAGAGATCACCTGACTGACAAGCAAAAGACTGAGAATAAAACCGATAATCAAAGCAATGAAAAGACCGAGAAAAAGTATCGTAATTTTGAAACGTACACCTGCTTTTCCAGCAATCAATGGTAATGTTAATGAAGTTGTAGATGACGAAGTTGTCAATAGACTAGTTGATGTGGTGAATTGCATGGAAGTTGAGATTGTCTCATTAAAATGAACCACCTTTCGCGATGATGGATTGCTACTAACTGACACGTTCTGAACATCCTTTTGTTCATTCATCCTATCTAAAGAGAAGAAGAAAAAAAGATGATGACGTAAGTGTTATAAGAATAGATTCCTCATGACTAGATACAAATGAATATAGTGTAAATTGACTTAATTTTCAATTTACATACATAAGAATAGAACGCTTTTACGCTGAAGGTTACATTTAATAAGATATAAATGATCGAGAATACGACCGGTTCTAATAGTCACATCGAATACAATCTCACATTGTCTATGTATAATTGTAAGTATATTATAATCACGTCCTTCGAAGAATGACCTTGAAATGCCAAGATGACACTACGAATATATATGTAGAAGACCTTGGATGATTGTGATCATCCCTACATGGGTTCATTTGGCGACTTTTCTCTGCTCGTTCTACCCTATTTTCTTTCTATCTAGCTATCCGTTACAATTCAATTACGATGCATTCGTTTTTCTATGTGACTAGACATTAGATTCTAATAAACAAGGATGAATGTAATTGTATTTTTCTCTGGAGAATGGACAGTTCCGTATTTCTGTCTGTTCGGTACTGCAATTTTACTTACGAAACTTTTCGAATGAGAGATCTATGTTCTTGTTGATAGAGTTCTCATTTAGAGCAATACAACTTATTTTTACTTGTTGCCATATGTAAATTGATCTTCGTTCTCTTCTCCCGTTCATTACCACTTCTAATTGTCTATCGGAGTGAACCTCAACCAATGTTACAACACACGTCATTATTCATTTTTTGTTCTCGCCAGGCACAACAAAAAAATCTATCATTATTTTTCGTTAGTAATCTATTCCTCAAGGTTGGCAATGTCTCATACTTTGCTTTTTTCTCTTCTCATTCAAACAATCCTTCTGGGATGCACAAGAACAGGAAACATACACATGATTAAAAGATTGTGTTGTGAAACAAAAAAAAACAAATGACAGGAGAAAATCGATGTTACACATGAATTAAGGCTCATGTTTGATATTATGTAAGCTTATTATTGAATATCTTCAATCATTAGATTGTATGTGTCGTTAATAATTGCTTTGATATCAAACGATTAAGAATTTCTATGAGAATGTCAAATGTGTAATCAAAGAAGACAGATCAACAAAAATGTAAAGAAAGAGATTAAAGTTTCAACTGAACGTTTCCTATTGTATTTTTGTGTGCAAAAAATTGTCAGTGTAGAATTACTGAGTTTTCTACCTCATTATAAATTAAATGAGTAGTGATTCACCCCGCTCGATAATGTGGAAAAATTACAGAAATCACTTGGATGAGACTAGTTGATGGTCTTCGCACTCACTGTACGTAATTCCAAAGAGTAGACATTCTACTCCGGAATTCCGTAGCGGCATCTGATTGTGTTCGAAAAGGATCAGCTGTGGGAATATGCGAGGTGAGTGTGCATTAGTGTCAGAGAATTTCGGAATAGGATGAAAGAAATTTTAAAGAGAATTCCGGATTTCAGATAACTGATTCTAGGACGGAGCTAATTCCTACTGTGTGCAACATTAAGTAAGTGAATGTTTACTAGCGCGAAAACAGACTGTGAGCATGGAGAATATGTTCTCGTTCACGCTAACACTCTCAGACACTCATACGTGAGAGCTGTGTAAAATGTTATGCTTACGCCACCTTCACGATAGAATGATTTTATAGACGCAATTTTTCAACGAAATGTGATTCGCATCCGTTAGTACTCATTGTATGTAGATTTTTCTTTTTAGTGGTGCAATTTCTGACAAATTCTGTAAGCCAAGTTGAAACTGACCAGTTCGAGCAATTGCGATGCCTTCTAGAGAAACAAAGAGATTATTCACATGGGAACACTCTCTTGAAGTGTGAACCCTTCAATTTATTTCAAAATCTGAAAAAAAACGTCATCAATAAAATGAAGTCTTAATTTGAGATAGGTGGTAGAATAACATCGAAACCTTGATCGGTCAATGCAAAGATGTAATCACTGATTTTATTCAACATCATATCTTCCATTTGTTTGTTTACGTCATGGTGAAATCGAAGAGTCTTTTTCCCCAATGAACTCGAGTAAAACTCAATAAGTTTCAAAATATCATCTAGGGTATAATATTTGATATAGATTTCAGTGAGATCAGACAGATATGCATCGTGAGAGAAGTACTCGTTGTACAGAGCTTTCATTTTTTCATCTTCAGGAGGATGGAGTTTCATGTAAGTCAAGAAGAGCTTGTATTCATTCTCCACTTCCATAATGTTTAGCAGATATTTGGTGTAATCCTTGATGTTTGCTGACGCTTGAGTCGTTGTCCTTCCTTGAATAAGACCATTCGTGTAGAATAATGCAATGAGAACGATCATTAAACGAATGCAATGCATAGCGAAGCTAAAATATAAACAGATAAATGTATACTTTTATCACAAGCGTAAAAATTTCAAGAGTTCATAGCGTATTTTAGAAGGCGGAGTGTCTCAAGCAGGAGAAAATCTTGGTTATTCAATGTAATCTAGAGATAAGCTGATATTTATAAAGCTTCGAAATCTACCCTTCTACGTATTTCTCTCTTTCCTCCCTCTATCTCTGTCTCTCTTTTTTCTAAGTTAACAGCATTATTCATGAATCTCTTCAGCATCGAACTCTGTTTTTTCTCTAACACAAACTTTTATATGAATTCGAAGAGCGCCATTATCATCAAAGCGTATATTCGATTGTAAATAGAACGAGGAGCACGTCAAAATAGCATGAATTGAATAAAAAACAACTCGACACAATGACTTTTTGACATATTCTGTTTTCAGCTAATCTTCCTCGGATAGAGAACAGGAAGTTCAATATAAAGACATGGAAACTATATTTACAAATCTTCAATCCACTCGTAATTACATACCTGACTACGATCTTCGTCAAATTTGGTATCGATCTGTCAAATTCAACTGGTAATTTATGCTACACTCATGTGAACACAAATCAAGGAAACGGATGTGTCCTCACGCGTCGTATCTGTAGATGATTACTCGAATCATATTTAATCAAAAATTCTCTTAAAAAAACAGAACTTATCATTTTTCGTATCACACTAACCAGAAATCTATGTTTGCTTTTGATATTTTCCAGTTTTGAACACAATCTAATTACTTCTTTTCATATCTGCCTATGACTATTCATAATCGATTTTTCCCGTCGAACATTGAATATCCTCGATTCGACAAGCACACATTTTGACTTCATGAAACGCAATTCATCCTTGGACTTGTCCGTACTCTCTAAACAGCGAGGCATTCTTCAACTTTTCATTTCAAATACATAAGACTTGAGTCAGAGAATAAAAGAACTTCAGCATGTTTCAACTACATGAGGATGCAAGTGACTCGATACAGTCATATGTCACAAGTCGTGATAAATAAATTAATCATGCCATAACTTAAAATGTTCCTGTCAATTATTAAAAAAACATGTAGGTAGAGCGTATGTAATGCATCAAGCATGACAAAAGTGTTAGTTCTACTTGTAACTAGATGAGTATCATCTGTGAAATATTTATTATCACACATCTCCTTTTCCTATATTAGTACTACTTGAGTATTCTATGAATTTAGATGATCTTTGCACGTGATGTTATACTTTGATGATACACATATGCAATTGCACTTCTCTTAACCTCAACAGGATTGTTTAAGGTCGTTGGATAGAATGAAAAAATGTGAACTTGTCGCACGTATTCGGCAGTGTTCATTCATTGTGAACAAAATTAAATGCAATATATACCCCGATCTTTCTCGATATGATGCTTTTCCCCCCGTATTTCAGATAGGTTTTGCACTGAAAATACGAAGACGAGATGTTTCTATTGTGATATGGTGAGACGAAACTTATACCGTCAGAATATTCGATGACTGACAGTAGTATTCTGATTCTGATCCTGCTGCTGAAATTGCATATCTGGCGTCTTCATTAAATAACATCTTATTAATGAATGTACGCTTCATATTCATACGAGATAATTCATTGAAACTTTTTAATTACTCGCATCCTTTTCGACCAATCAGGAAGCAAGCTCGAAATCGTATGTCCATCGGTAATCCATTACTTAGAACGCCCAAGAGCATTCAAGCAGAGAATAAACCTTCAGTAGAAATTTAGTCAAATCAAGACGCAGCTGAAAACCGCAGGAAGAACTATTATTTTCCTACCTACGTACGGGTGAAACATACCACTTTTTTACTCGTGGGTGCAAAAATCTAATAAAAGATCACTGAGTACAAAATAATTGATTTAACCGAAAAATATAACACTTTCGAATAATAATATTCTATGGCCTCTTGGGTTATTCAGATAAATTTCTTATACCAAACGTAAAAAATATCAGACCTGACGTGATCGATTAATTATTTATATCGTACTAGAATCCGTGAGACATTCTTTAGTTGACGTCAGTAGTATATAGATGGTTACGTAAACTACTAAGTACTTTAAACTAACAGAGCAAGCAGTGACTGCTGTTTACCCATGCATGATATGATCGATTCCGAACATAACGTTTCTTACAATTATTGAGATTTGCGTTTTTTTTGCATTGGCTTTCATCAATATACGATTATTTACAGTTCGCAATAGACTTACCACTAGAAGTTCTTGCATGAGTCTAGTAGTTAGGTACATTTGTATTGCAAAAGTCATGCAATACTAAGTGATGATAGGATCGTTTTCGTATAAATGTCGTGAGAGGATCTAATTTATAATCATATGCTAAAAATACGATTCATTCGTTTGTTTTCATGGAATTTTATTTTGAAAATCGATAAAAATACTAATCATAATAACGTATGAACAGAGCTAATTTACTTCATTTCGATCTTCAATGGTAATTTCAATGTTTGTCCTTTGGTGAATTCGAGGTTCTATATAATTCATAAAAACATCTATTAATTTAATTTCTAAAATAACTTTCATGTTTACCTCGCCTGCATATGATATCAGGGGAGAAATTTCCACCACATTGCAGTTGGAATTATTTTCATTATCATGGAATTTATCCGCTCTAGAAGCAAAAGTCGAACGTGAACTAATAAAGTTTCATTTGCAAATTAAATTTCATACAAAATAATTTGTTTTGCGGTATTTGGTGGCAACACAGCACCTGCTGCTTGAAGCCAGCGGACGTGTTGAAGCATTAAGTCACGACGGCAAGTAACTGCTGTATCTTTTGTGCCTGATCCATTCTTCAATGGAGAAAATTCATCATCACGACGAACTTCCCATACGAAAAATCTCCTAGAATACAAAAGGCAATGTTTATTTCTCTTTCGAATCCGTTTTCTGCTTACTTGGCACATGAAAAGACATCGAAGACGAACTTTTCTAGTTTAATTCCATTGATTTCGATTGGTTTATCAACACGATGGCCATCTTTATCAATCGAAGGAATCTTCTTTTTAGCGATATGATAAATAAGTCGACTCTCATGGTTTCTAAATTGTTCAGTAGTTTCGAACAAAACGAATCAAATTTTCCGATCGAACATACTCGCAAACATCTCGAAGAAAATCGAATGTAAAGAAGTGATTACAGATATTTCCAGTATTGAATAGCAAATCACCGCTATGATCAGGTTTTGTTCGTTGAGATGTTTTTTCTGTAATTTCGGAATATTCGACAACTTGAAAATGATCTCGCACTTTACAAATAACACCAACAGATTCATTCGGGAAGGTTTTCTTCACAACCTGAAATAAACGATTCACATTCCATTCGATGTATCTTCCACAAGAGTATAATCATACTTTCGCCGCACAATCAGCTTTTTTCTCCAAACAGTATCCGATAAAGACTGGATCTGCAACCCGAACTAGAATGTTGTCAACACAGTAGACATGAACATATTTTATTTGACGATGTTCCATTTCCGAGAGAGCACCTCGTGTTTTCAATGCGCGATACAGACCACCATTACCATCTGCAGCTTTCGTTAACTTATATTTTTCGTCCATTAAGATTTTGCCTTGAAAATCCAATGCTGGTAGTGTGTGTTGTTCGAAAAGAATGACATTCTGCGATTTCAAACCGAAATAGTTGTGTTTGATGAAATATTCTTCGGTCGAAATTCGAGTATGTTCACTTGTCATGATAAACCTTAAAGAGAATATTTACAATGCTTGACCTGTTGATTTGCCTTTCAACAAACCATGGAATCGTGGCCTTTTTCGTGCCAAATTCTTCGTTGGCTAAGTGTTCAAGTCGTCGAATTCGTTCGGCTTGAATTTGATAGAGAGATTTCTTCGAAGGTAAACCTACGTCATACATTCCCTTGGGATAATCAACACCTATCAAAATAAACGAAGATTATCGATCACGTACGAATCAAGCTAATTCACCAAGACGAGTTCCTTGTCCTCCCGCAAGCAATAAAACACAGACAGAACCTTCGGCAATTGCTTTCAAACCTAGAATAGAACGAAAAATATTAGTACATCTGATTACGTACGACAAAATCGATTAACCTTCTCGACGGTAATGCTCCAATTGATCTTTTGTTGTTTGATCAACTGAACCAGTCAAGTGCTCTGGAATAGGTTCCATCAATTCATCAATTGTTTTGCTCTTGTCATCTCCGTTCAAATCATCATGAGTAGGCTTGTCATCTAATTGATCTTTGATATCATGAAATGCTTGTGTCACATGATCGAGGTCAATATTGGTTATATCTCGAATGAGGATGGCTCGTTGTTCATGATCAAGTTCATTCCAATAAGTTAATAAATGCTCTTGGTGTGCAGCATTCAAACGAAGTACGATATCTGGATCGATATTCATCTAGAAATAGGTTTGGAAAATCACTTATGACACGATAGTGACTAATATTCAAACAGATTTATTACATTCAACTGTTCAGACCAACAAGTTTCGAAACAAATGACCAAATGCCTGGAATTTCGTCCGTCCGTCAATGTCAATGGGATATTCTCATTTTCTCTGTGTCATTGTTTGTTTTCGAAGGTACATTAAACAGATACTTTAGCTTAGTCGATTAAAATACACTGCATTTTCTACATAAGAGTCCTTTGATATTTGAAGTTGTATTTTAAGTGTTTATAGATGGCGTTAGTTTTTCGAAGCAGTTATTTCTGTTTTCCGAATGTATAATCATTTCTAAAATCGCTCATCATTTCTTTATTCGTTACTAAAATCCGACATACCTCAGTTGAAGAGTTTTCAACTCCTCCAACTTCAGTTCGATATGCAAAAAGTTTAGCGAGTACAGAAATGATCCAAAATCGTAAATAATCAATTAGAATGTCATGCTTTTCCCTCGTTTCTTATCATCATAATATTCGATTATTTGATCAGATAGACAATGATCGTTGCAATCATCTACTGACTTCGTTCCCTGATGAATCTCTTCAATCACAGAATTTACATCCATCGAAACTATCGATTAATGAAGATCATCATATACTCGCAAACTCTCCGTACATACATATTGATGAACAAATTTGATGAAAGGGAATGATTTTTATGAACTAGTCGAGAACAAAAGATTGAGTATGAATAGAACAACATATATTCATCTCTCGGTACACAATTGATGAGAAAGCTTTCTATTGTAGTACTTATTATGAAAGACATCTTCAAAATATCTGTCTTTTGTCAACATAAACAAGCAATTGAACAACTGAATACAACCGTCATCCATAATTCATCGATGTCTTTTTCGTCTTGGGAGCACGACATCAGTATTCCATCTGCATAGATCACCAATGTCATATAGACAATCTACTAAGAGTTTTTCTTCTCTCGTCTTTGAAAAATCTATTCCTATGTCTTATCTTATTTGCATATAAAAGACGATTCTATATTCATCATCATTATTAGCTTTTGTGTTGTCTACAAAAATCAATTAGGAATCGCATGTATATCATGCAAATATGATTCCATTCAAATTCGATTCTTTAATGACGAACTACCTTGTCCTTCGTAGGTGTTCTCATCAATAATTGATCGATACCACGAGTTATTTTCAACTCGTGGCAAATACGATCAACAAGATCGAAATAATTTCCTAGTTGACATGTCTGACTGTGTATATGTGTGTGCTGCGTCAAAGACATGGAACTTACGAAGAATGAGAAAAAGAAATATGGAAAACTGCAAGCGCATTGAATAAGGCGGACGGAACAGTTGTCATTTTTTTGTTGATCTTCTCGTCTATTTCTTTTTCCTTCCCTCCCTCCCTCTCTCTCTCTTCATTTTTTCTTTTCCGTTCGCACTATATCCGTCAGTTTTTTTTCCGCGAGCAATAGAGGTTATGCCATAGATAAGACCCGGTACTCTATCATGCACATACACGTTCTTTTGCATGTCACTCTTTGAATGAATAAAAATGTCAAGCTAATTAAACGAAATGATCAGTTCCAATGTGTGTGACCCGCATTGCCGTTTTGTTCAGCTATATTATTCGGCAAAAACCGAGCACATCAGTTAGCGATTAAAGAATATACATCTGGATAATCATATGTTATCCAGATTTTTCTCGTTTTTTTTTATGATGTGCAATTGCGTATAGACTATGGAAGATGATACTAATGGAATGCGTAGGAGACGATGGTAAAAAAGAATTAGTTCAGCGAGATGTTTTGATTAACATTCTTATCCATTTACAAACCATTATCTGAGATTCAAGCTAGAGAAAATTTCCTTTTCTTTCTCTTTTAGTTATAATTAACAACTATGATAATTGAACTATTATTTATATTTCTGTTAATTTTCAATTAAAGTAAGCACGCGCGCTCAAACTTCGTTCGAATTTCAATAGATTCGTGATGAATATCGACACCGGCGTGAACGAACAATCATCAACGACCATGGAAGATCATTTCGACGGGGAAACAAAAGAACCAAAGACTTCTACATGCGAATTAATCAAAGATCAGCTCTTCGAAGTTGGACCACGCTACACAGATCTAAAGTACATCGGCGAAGGTGCTTACGGCATGGTCGTATCAGGTCACGACAACCGAACCAATCAACGTGTTGCCATAAAAAAACTATCTCCATTCGAACATCAATGTTTTTGTCAGCGAACATTACGTGAGATCAAAATTCTAGCTCGATTCAAACATGAGAATATCATCAATATACAAGATATTATACGTTCGAATAGCATTGAACAGATGAAAGATATTTATCTAGTGCAACAATTAATGGAATGTGATATGTATAAATTAATTAAACACCAGAAATTAAGTAAGAAGATTGAATGAATTCGACCATGAAGAAAGGAAGTTTTTGTTTTTAAGGCTCAGAACATATTTGTTACTTTCTTTATCAAATTTTACGCGGTTTGAAATATATTCATTCCGCAAATGTTCTTCATCGAGATTTAAAACCATCGAATCTTTTGCTAAACACAAATTGTGATTTGAAGATATGCGACTTTGGTTTAGCACGTATCGCTGATCCATCATTCGATCATAATGGCGTGTTAACTGAATATGTAAATAAGAAAATCTATGAAAATCTCTTTGTATTTCATGTAAACGTTGATGATAGGTCGCGACCCGATGGTATCGAGCACCTGAAATCATGCTGAATGCGCGTGGATATAATAAGCCGATTGATCTCTGGTCTGTTGGATGTATTCTCGGTGAAATGCTCAATGGAAAACCATTATTCCCTGGTTGGTTAAATCAAATTTACATAATTGAATTTGTTCATTGTTTATTTAGGAAAACATTATATTGACCAATTGAATTTAATTCTCAACGTTGTCGGTTCGCCCGATGAACAAGACTTAGCTTCAATTGTCAACGAAAAAGCACGAAATTATATCTCGACTTTGAAAGTTCGTGTTAAACAACCGTTCTCACGTTTATATCCCGAAGCTGATGGCAGCGCGCTCGATCTTCTTGATCGTTTATTAACATTCGATCCAAACAAACGTATCGACGTATCGGAAGCATTAGCCCATCCTTATTTAAAACAGTATTACGAGCCGAATGATGAGCCAATAGCTGCACATCCATTCACCGTCGAAATGGAAATGGATGACTTTCCAATAGCGAAATTGAAGCAATTAATCTGGAACGAAACTAAACTGATCAAAGAACATATTCTCTTACAACAAATGCCAATTAAAATGTGAGAAATGTATGCATGTTGAGATATTTTTCTGCTCCTCTTTTCGACATTTGGTGACCAAGGACTGATTCCTTGTAAAAAGATTTTCTTCATTGTTGTTATCGATGTTGTTTCTGTTGTTGTTGTTGTTGTTGTTGTTCTGCTTCTTAAGAAAATAGACTGATGATGTGCTTAACAATAAATACAATTGAATTGTTTCAGAATTTTAGAAGGAAAAAACAAGCTATCGGCTAGATAATCGTTTTAGTACATATTGACACAGACGTCTTCCCTTTCACACGAACGACAGTTTGGAAAGTCACTGCATTATATATCAAATATTAAAATCAATCCTGAATATCTATTTTCTCACGCAGATGGTAACCGGAGGTATGTTATGACAAAGACTAACTTGAAGTTGTCTGCACGTGCCTTTCATGTTTAGCAAACGACATTCTGTTTGCTTGCAATCTTACGTGTAGACATTGTTGAAGAGGAAGTGGAGTACTAGTGAAGGTAAATATGAGGAGAAAAACAGGTGGTAAAGTGTTTTGAAAAGTACATTCACGGATCTTACTAAAACCCTTTCATTTTATTTCGTAAACTATCGAGAAAAAAAGTAAAAAAAAAAAGAGTAACTGTTATGTTTGTTCGGTATTTGATGTCACTTGGTGATTACGCTGATAAACTGCGTAGAATAATCGTTGTGGATTGGTTGTTTTGTTCAAATCATAATCAAATGTGGCTAGGTGAGTAAATCCAACATTTTCCAAGTGCTTTTGCCATTCTTCTCGTGTTTTGTACTGAATCGATTTTGTGTAGTTAATGATTTTCTTTTTCTGCTCTATCCACGTTAATTTTTCATTTTTATCAATTAAATATTCAGTACTGAATTCACCGATATGTGCGATGATCATAATTCCATGTATGAAATGCAGATATTTCGTCAATAATGACCGTTCCAATTTACAATCATGTTCGCGAATAATTAAATAACCATTTGGTTGGACAATACGAGCGAGTTCACGAAGAATCTCATCAATGTGCGGTATATGATGAAGTGTAACAAGACAAGTGATCAAATTCACACTTTGGTCGGCTGGAAAACGCAGAAGAAACGAGATTCGAATTTTCATATAATAAAGATAAGGACTTACAAAGGTCGATGATAGATTGATCTTGATCTATGGAGACAAATGTTATATCAGGATTGTGACTGTTGAACACGTCACCACCAAAAATAGTCTCGGATGATAGATTGAAGTAATTTCCTATCCGAGCGGTGATCAAACCGTTTCCGCAGCCTAAATCAAAGTAACTTGTGATGGAATCTTTTCTAATCAAGTCTTCTGTGTTGATTTTAGACGAAATCTTGAACCTTGAATTGAAATTTCGATCGAAAATTGCTCGAATTTCATTTAAACGACTCTCAATTCTTGAAGTTTCCTGTCGTTTATGTAACGATGTTTTCGCACCTAATCAAAAGTACAAACAGTTCACAAAGGTTTCCGAAATCAAATCTTTACCGGGTACTTTGGATATTCTCTCAATTAAGATATTCAGCAGATCAAGTTCATCATTGGAATTGTATAAACTATCATTCCACAATCGATCGAAATAATGATAGATATTTGCTTGTTGACCAAAAATCTTGCCAATATAACCAAGTAGTGCATCTGAATATGCGTGGTTTGACCAGAGAGATAGCCGACGCTCCCATGATCCCATCCATCGTGTAAAAACGTAATCATGAGTGACTTTGACTGTTGGCAAATCTTTGTCTTTTTTAGGAGATTTGTTTATTATTGATGATGATTGTTGTTTTAACATGATCGGCATTAAATAAGCTTAGCCGATGGAGAAATTCCTCACTCATTTGTTTAGATTTGACGAAAGAGAAAATAGAAACGAAAGAATATACGACTTAATCGAGGGTCAGTTTAGACAGTTCGAGATGACGTCGTTTCTCTTAGTGAAATTCGATTGTACAGAAGGAAGAGAACAAGAACAAAACCATTGGTCACAAACATTACACTTCGATCTGATGACCAGCAAAGATTATCACATGTTAATCATTGACTGCAACACATTTGTCAACTAGTAACAGATCCCTTTTGATAATTGTGTTTTCTCGATCTGTTTGTGTTATATATTATTAACGGATGTTTGATCAAGCAGTCGAGAAAGTTTACTTTTAATGAAATACATTAATACATGCTATTCTGTCTTTGTCAACAAAAATTTCAAAATGGAGGAGAATGGAAAACACAAGTTTCGAGTTACTCGGATGATATTGCCAAAAAAATAGATGACTCGCTGGTTAAAAGATCACACCGAAGAAGAAGAAAATAAACGAAAAGAAAACCTTAAATATTCCATATGAATTAATAGTAAAATAAATGAGAATAAAAATAGAAAATAAAAGAGTCAAGCTGAATTCGTTTTAGGAAAATATTGTGATCACTTCACGTCCACTGCCGCGCATTAACAGTAAACGGTCTAAGCCTTCGGTTAACACATCAACATATTCCATGTAGGAATATGCGGCCAAACTCGATTGTTTCGATGGGGGTGATGGAAGATTGATAAGAACTAGTTTAGCATCTCGGGAACGTTCAGCAATCTCTCGATTAAGTCGAACTGCTGAATGCATTTTACGCATGGAAGATGTAGTTCTAAAAAAAAGAAACGACAAAATGAAAGTTTGCTCGATAAATTATTTCTTACACATCCTTTTTCAAATTGTCTAATTGTTTGGGAGAGAACGTGTAATGATATTGAGTGTTTTTCTCTTCAAGACTAGCCTTTCGCTGCTGCTGCTGTTGCGGATTACCTACCATTGTTTCCATTAGAATTTGAGGCTAAATAAACGCAAATTCATCATTGAAAACATCCAAAGAAATAAGCATAGTGCATATGAAATCTAATAAGTATATTAATTCTAAACTACGAAATCACCTTGCTCGTTCGACGTTCAAATCCTATTGCCTATGCATCAATGATAATAAGTATAATAACTCAAATCGGTTATGACTTACTTGAAGTTGGAGTTCTTTATTAGCTAATTTTAAATCTTTCAATAGTTTAACACGTTCCGCTAGTTTCAAAGTTCTTTCATGAGCGTACGCGGATATTTCTTGGTCAGCCTACAAATAATCGAATAATAAGCGCAATAGGAACACAGATGGAACTGACCATTTCAACGACATCAACTTCTGCTTCGATACGTAATTGATACATATATTGTTCCAGTTCTTTTTTCATTTCGACAGAATTGTCTTCAAGTTGAGCGACAGTAAATAAACGTAAACGACAACGAGACCAGACTTTATTGCGTTTCAAAAGAAAAGCAATAAGAAAAAGCAAACCACCATCATGAATAATCCACCAGATATCAATGGTACCATCTTGAATGTTCTTGTTATCGGGAAAACTATCGATGTTTTTTGGAACAATGACAGCACATTGACGAGCCTCTGCAATGGCAATTGTACCTAATAGAGAATGCACAATAGGATTGATTCAAAATAAATCAAAAAATTTTCTTACGAATGAATGCATCGGCTGTGTAACTGTCATAATCTTTTTTCCAATGTACCGGCCAACAGAGAACGACGGTATTTGGTCGTAAACCACCTAAACCTTCGGTTTGAATCCTATACAAAACTTACACTCGTAATTTAAGCACTCCACCACGAATACTCTTACAATGCACTGATACCATCTTCACTGTCCTTCGCAGCTAAGACTTCAGCAAAGCCTGGTACCTTTGCTTGTGCCATACTAGCTTTCAGTAACTAAGATAAGAGATATCATACTTTGATTGTATCGTTGATCGACTTCGTTAGTTTACGTACCTCACGAACGGGTCCTACATGCTGATAATTTTCGAGATAATCTCCTTCTAAGATGCTTGCTGCAACAACAAAACCTCGACCTAACGAACAACAAGCAATTTTTCATAACCTTGAATCAAATTCTCCACGTTGATTTCCCCTTTACCAGCTTTTAATTGATAAAGAAAATTCAATACTCTCGTGTGATGTAACGTATACGTTTCATTATCTTCGTTCTTTTGTACATTAATGAAAGCAAGTAATTGTGGACGCCAGTTCTTCGTATGTGGTGGAGCTTCATCAACACGAAACAATGCATAGCGTGCTGCTGACATTGACAAACCACGTATTCCATCTCCCCATTCCTTTTCCGCGCTGAAAATAAACTTCTTGACATCAAAGCTATTTCAATGAGTGTTCATTACCCTTTATACTCAATAAATTTGTATATGACGATAGCAATAAACATGGCAACGAGAGCAAAATACCATGAAGCAATAAACATAATCGAAATGGAAAGTAAGACGCCTATGACAGAAAGAATCCTAAAGGAAAATAGTTGCTAATTAAAGGAACAAATCTGCATTGATTGATACCAATGATAAAAACGAAAACGCGGTCGCCAACTAGGTGCTTTCAAAATCGTTTGCAGCGCACATGCTAGATTAACAAATCCATAGCACAATAAGAAGAACCTACAATATCAAGAATTCTCAATCGTAAGTCAGAAACGACGCTTTCAATATTTACATAGAGAGTAGTGCTGTAAGTTTATCGACATCAGCAATTAAGATTCCACATTCACAGACAAATAAGGTAAGAAAAAGTGCCGGTACTGGTTCACCTCGATATGATTTTGCTAATGGCCTGAGTATTGGTATTAAATCATCTTTAGCTACGGCTTGCAATAGTCTCGGTGCTCCTGTTAGAGTCTGCAAACCAGCTCCAACAGTCGAGCAGAATGCTCCAACCATGATTACCCATTTACTTGGCCAAGCCAGAACTGCGACCACCAGCTGTTTGTTGATGCTATCACCGAATTTATCTCTCAGTAGTGAACCATGGACACAAGCAGCAAGAAAAATGACATTCGATAAATCTAGAACAAACAAATAGACATTCTACAAGAAAGTGTATCTGATCATACAAATAACTGAGGTTGTCAAGATAGCAGCAATAGTTCCGCGTGGAATACTTCGACTTGGATCGCGCAGGTCACCACTACGGTTCGAACCGGCCATAATTCCTTCAAAACAAGACAGAAAGCGTTCTTTTTATTCCTATAAATCATATTGAATTATTACCTGTAACTGACGGAAAGTAAATTCCGACAAGAATTAGAAATGTTGTGAGTTCTTGTGCCACGACTTCGAATGTGGAGTCACCTTTGATATCATGTTCGATTTCACCTTCGGCACGATAATGTGAAAAGAGATTTTCTAGAATAGAATGTATTGAAGAAAGATTTCTCACGAAATTCAACACGATGTACCTGACAGCTGCCATTGTTTCAATCCAGGTACACCTGATTCTATGCGGACATCACGTACATTGTCTCCATCATGTACACATAATGTATTCGTCGTTTTACTACACAGAGATGCATATAGTGGACATAAGACATCCTGATTTCCTTCACGACACCACTTCTTTCCATGACAATAGCCAGAAATATTATTGTACAAAATATTCGACTTGATCAGATGAGGTGGATCGTAGCCAACAAGACAGATACTAAAAAGAGAAATAATTTTCCAAGAATAGAATACCGACAATTGGCTTTCATTGCAACATACGGAAGATCAGGAGGACTAAACGAACTTTTGATAACGCCTGCATAGATAGCCACAATTGAAATCAAGACAGCACATAATGACAGGGGCGCAATTTTCGTTACAAATCGAATGCCAATGAGTACACATGCGCCGATCATCAGAAGAAGTAAAGTACCATATATACGATAATGATTAAACGCGATTTCTGGCTTTTCAACATCATCTCCAAAGAGACGACATTTTTCTGGACACATATATTTCTGTTGTTAAATACGCTCGAAATATGACGAAATAAATGATATTCAGAGTACTTACGACAACTATTTCCACCGCACCAACAATATACATTGATGCCGCAAATGTATTTCCGAGATAAAATAAGATTCCAACGGCACCACCAAATTCAGGTCCAAGTGACCGAGATATCATGAAATACGCGCCACCCGCTGGTACAATGCCATTTGTAGCGATAGCTGCCATTGAAATAGCTGTCAGGAGAGTCTTCAAAAGCAGAATCATAGCAACAAACGTAGATCTTGAAATGATACATACACATGAACTACAGATGAACACGATTAGCAATGTTTGGAGTGCACCGGCGATACCAATCAACCAAAATAAACGAATAAAGACAATCACACCTGAAATGAATATGTGTAATTCCATCCGAACTGAAAAGATATGAAATTACCGAAGATATTTTGAACACAGGGAAGATAAACACCAAATATAGTGCCAAGATTCGCCGATTTCTATTATCGAATTGCAATCATCCCAATCGAAACGATATTCTCATGTTGAATACAATTTACCTGTTGACTGACAGTTGTTTTCTCTGCTTCCACAGCATTCGGTACGATTCCACCTTTGTAATTATACAACTGATCAAGTACAGTACGCGGTCGATGCTCACGTTCCTTACAAAACCAAATAAATCAAAGTCGACTTTCATTCCAGTCACATACTTCATAGAGACTTTCATTCAATTTCAATGTAACATCAGACTCTAGTCCAGTCTGTAAGGGCGTTCGATCGTTGGTGCCATTATTTCCATCTTGCATAAATCATGAATAGTATTATATATAATTATGCTGTCAGCATTATTAACTTACCGTTATCATTAATGTCGGGTACTTCGGCTGATTTCACCACGACAAATCGGCCACTTTTTTCAATCGACGATAGTGAGTCTGGCAAATGAAGAAAAGCAATCAAATTCAAATAGAATTAATTTAATTGATATTCGAATTGTCTCACTCATTGAGTATAGTCTTCCGTTGCTTTTTATTTCTTTCGTGTTAAAGATACCAAATGGAACTAATTTTTTCTATTAACTCATATATCACGGTTGTAAAAGAAGAAGAAGAAGAAAAGAAAAGACAATTTCAACAGGAAAGCATTAAGGTTAATGTAATTGAAACTGACATTTATATCCCTACTATTGGTTACGGATGTATACACATGCAAAAAAGGAATCTTTTACTCGGAATGAATTCAATTTCTTCCTTTTATTAAATATCTATATGAGTAAGATTTTATGCATATCTACGAACCTTTTCTCGATGTCGATGGTGAATCTTCTTGAATGCTGCTAGCTTTTCTTGATAAAGTCGAAATATCATCATGAAATTTGACATGATTTGATAATCGATCAAATGAAATTAATGTATGATGCTGTTCTTCGTCAGGATCAGTCGTCGACGCCATCATTCAATCTAGTACAAGAACTATTAATTTACGTATGATAAACAAACAAATAAATAAATAAATAAACAGAAAGAAATGTTATCCTTTGCTGTTCTTCTCCTCGTCTTCCTATTTTTTTCTCTCTCCCTCTTCTACCTGATTATAGAATGGCACGATATACTGGTCGTAATAACAGTCGTAATCGTAGCTATATATGAATAGTGATGGTAGTTGTAGAGTTCTTCTGGTGCTTCCTTATAATCTTGTTGGACTTGTTGCGTTCTTCTTCTTTCCTATTTGTTTGCAGTTTGTCGTTCTGAAGCAACTCCTTGTTGTTCGGGATGGTACGTTAGTAATGTGGAGATTCTTAATAGCATTCGAATCGTTAGTGAACATGGAAGTATATAATGAAAAAAGAACACGACAACGAGCAGATTGTTCTCCGTCTACAATTAAATAGAGAACAAGAAATCAACAAATAGATAGAGAGAAAAAGAAAAATAACTATCATTATTTCATTTTCTCATGTTAGATTTCAATTTCTTTTCCTCCGTTTACTTAAACTAAAGAATTTCTGTCGTTTTCTCAATCATCACATATAGAAAAAAAAGTTATCGGCAGAGATGATGTAGCGGATCTTTTACTGCCCCCGGTCATGTGTAAACGTCTCATGTCGCTAAGGAAAAAAGAAAAATATATTAATTGTGTAGAATATGACGTTGAAGAATTTTGGCCATAATCATAATCCTCAAAAACTTTGTGTCATTTTCTTCACATCCGCATCGCTCGTCGACTTTTCCTTTTCTTCTCTCTCTCTCTCTCTCTGTCTCTTTTTTGCTCTCTATGAGTCTTGTTATGTTGCTCGTACTATTAACTATGCTGATTTTTCGAGCAGAACTCGTACGCTGTCATGAACAGCCGCTTACAAACCTCTAAGTACTATTCCATATGATTGATTAAAAAGGTTCTTTGTTTTCAAAAGATGATGATCTCAATAGTATCAGCCGACGACATGATTGTTTCGCTTCTCGTTTTCTTCTCTTCTCCTCTCTTTCGACTATTTCAATTTACTGCTTATTCGGTTGCTTGTATTGTTTAAGAAAATTGAATTTATCTCCGAAAAAAAAAACTTATCCTGAAAAGTCTCATCCGACTGGAATTCATCTTCAGAATGATTGGATCAAATAATTGATTTTCTTGTCAAATCCTTTTTCTCTCTGACTGTCATATCCAGTTTTATGCTTTCTTCATCATGAGAAAAAACTTCTCCCTGATTCAATCTGCTCAATCATACGGTCAAGTGATATTCTATAGAAGAAGAAAAAAATTAGTATCGAATAAAGAAACGGAAAAAGGTTAATCTTCTATGCTAATTCGCACATTGTGGATACGCTGCCATTTATATACAAAAGATTAATTCTTGTAGGAAAAAAAATTTACTAGAAACGCGTGGTCTTATCATTATCGTGAGTTCTCCGCAAGCAAGCAAGTTAACCTGTTTTCTACTTATTAATTTTTTTCACTACATTTATAAATAAAATAACCAGCGGAGCAGAAAATGATTCGAAAATGTCTTTCAATGCATTTCAACAAAGATCTCTGCTCAAGTCACGATTGACATATGCAATTGGTTATAATCAACATTTTCTCTCGCAATTTATACTATTTCGATCAGCACAGTAATAGTAATAATAACAAGCACAACAAAGACATCAATAATAATAATAATAATAAATACCAGGACGCTCTCGTATTCTATATATATATATATAAAGCCGATCAAAAGAAAAAGTCAAACACTCAGTGTCGTGCGCAAACATTAGTTTTGTAAACGTCTGCAGACTTGCATAGAGATCACAGCTGCAAACAATCGCTAGAAATTGACTTTCCTTTATCTCGTCAACAGGAAACTGCTCATTGGGTGCTGTCAAATCGACACTCACTTGCAATGAAATACAGCAGATAAGTCTAATGAAAAGAAATAACGAGTAACTCGCATGTTTTCATCGTCTTCAATCGTATATAAACTTTAATTATATTCCGACAAAGAACAATTCTATCTTTGTGTCTAGTAACAAAATATTATTGGAGCTATTGTTGTTTTTTGGCCTTTCTCTTCTCTTCTCTGACTACATTCTTCTACATTTCGCACGCGTGTGTGCGTGTGCGTTACTCCGACTAGTCTATATAATGATACTTAAACGAGATAATCATCCATAAATACGATGATCACAGGCACTCATACTCCTATCGATAGCCTTGTATGATGTCAATAGTAATGGTTAAGTCACACTTATCGTTCAATGATGTGAATGTAAAGAGATGGATGGGAACTTCTATTTCTTCTGAAATGCCATTCAGACAAGAAAATACAAAAGATTTGAATGCAATGAGTAACTAGTCGTTCAATGGAAATCTTTGTTGCTTTGAATAAAGAATGATTTCCTGTTTTTCTTACCAACCCATAGAAATCACAATGAACGAGTGTTATTATTATTTTCTCTAAATTCAATTTTGCTTTTCAATTGATTGATCAACCGGTTAAATTCATGGAGGCTTCTATGTCTATATCTTTCTTTTTTTCAAACTAATTATCGACAAGAACAATTATAGAGTTCGGATTACAGCCTAATTCGATTATTCACAACGAACAAAATATGCTTTTCGGCTTCGGCTTCCGTTCCGGTACAGTAACGTATGGGAGAAAGAGGTCGCTTATGTTCGTAAAATACGAAGTCCATTGCTTGACAACGATGTTTACAAGTGTTTTTCGCATGCATACAACAAAAAAAGCCACTTCACTTCATAACAGTATCAGTTCTTCTAGTGATCAAACATGGCGTTACCGTTTTTACCTGGCAACACATTCGATCGCAAGGTAAGTATCATCTCGAGTTTCTTGCGTAGATAGTTTCAACTAATCAAACATCTTTGTGTTCAGATTGGCAAAGATAAATTTCATTTATCACATCAATTCGATAAATATAATGGAGTGGCTATGTCAACAGGTACTCAACTGGGTGTTGGAGGTGTACCATTACCAGGAGAAGATCTTCGACCGAAAAATTCAGTTTATCCTCGAGGTAACTATACTGAATCCAATATGTGTAGGATGATTGCGAGTTGATGAATAGGCGAAGGACCTGATCGACCAGCTTGGCTTGCGTTTGATAAACAAGTGCTTTGTTTCGATGCTTATTTCCAAGAATCTATAACTGAACGTCCCGAAGAACAATATCGCATTCGGATATGCCGTGTTTATTTCTATCCAGAAGATGATACAGTTCAAGGTAAGAAATAACATTGATGCACCGAATAATTTTTATTATAATGTTTTCGCTTTCATTTAGTTGTGGAACAACGCCAGAATAATGTCGGTTTTCCTCAAGGTACAATCTTGAAACGCCATCGTGTACCATTACCAGCACCTAATGATGATCGGTTTTATACTTACGATCAGTTCAACGTGGGATCGGAAGTATCGTTCTACGGACGCGTTTACAAATTGATCGATTGTGATCCATTTACACGAAACTTTTTAACCAAATTGGGTGTACGCGTACCGCCAGGTATGAATAGGAGACTACTAGCGATGACTTTCGTCTATCGAGATTTGATGTTTGTGTTTTAGGATTCTCGGCTCCGGAAGATCCATTCCTCAAACATCGTCAACTTGTAAGTAGAAAATTCAAGAATTACATCGTGTGTCAATATTGACACATGAGTGTCCACTGGAATGTACAAACGCATTTTTTACTACTAGGCCGAAGGTACCCAAAACCCGCTTCGACCATACGAAAGAATAGATACATTGAAACAATTCATCAATCACGACACACATGTCCTTCGTTTCTGGGGTGTTTGGGATGATTCAGAAAGTTTATATGGCGATGTACGAAATTTTGTTATACATTATTTTCTTTCGGGTAAATGATAGTCACGGATGAGAGAAGACTTCACAGTATTCATTGCATCCATAGATGATACCATGGAAGTTCGAGAGGTTCTTCCACCGAATTCTGGTCGTGATGCGCCGCCAACTTTTCTTTCACGAAAGAAATTGCCAAAAGATTTCGAAGGTCTACGTCTACCGGGTGAAACTGCTCCACGTACTGTTCTCAATGTCTTTGGCCAACTGAATAAACAACGCTACATTCTTGATAACCTTAAGGTAATCTCACGATGAACTATAATCAAACTTTCTTCGTGTGTTGTATTTTTTAGACAGGTGCTCTTAATCAAAAATACTATACTGATCAAGATTTAGCGATTGGTCAATTGATAAACGTCTTTGGACGAAAGGTTCTATTGACAGACTGTGATGAATTTACTAAAAACTATTATCGTACGAAATATGGCGTACAAGATTTTACACCAATTAGCTACAAGAAGGGAAATGATTACAAACCGTTAAAACAAACATATCCCTGTAAGTTTGCTTGTCAGAACAAACAAATTCAGTGTGAAGCTGCTTCATTTATCATGTAGATACGGGTTTTGGATCGGAAGAGGATTCATTGAATTCAACTAAAAAGCTTCTTGCTGATCCGGTCAAGAAAGATTTCAATAAATTTATGGGCTTCGATCGGTAAGTCTGAAAACTTGTCAGAATTGAACAAAAGTCCCTTTCACTTCATCTTATCCTCATATTATCAATTAATTTTATTAACGTCATTTCTAGCCAAGCTCTTGAAAGTTACATCCTTCGTTTCATGGCCAAGATTATGACAAAAGATCCTATCCAATCTCAACGCCGTTTCGTCATATCGTACTTTCTTGCCGATGACACGATCAGCATCCATGAACCAGTAACAAGAAACTCTGGTAAGCATGTTCAACGAGTACAAATGAGATTCATCTGTTCATCTTTTGCGAAACAGGTATCGATGGTGGGAAATTTCTTGAACGTCAACGAGTAAAAAAACCCGACCAAACCCGATATCCTCTTGAAGTATCGGAATACTTCGGTGCATCCGATTTCTATGTCGGCGCTCGTGTTGTCATCAACGGATTTGATTTTTATCTATATGATGCAGATGAATATGCATTTAAAGTGATGGAAATGGAAGCGTATCTTTTCCCTGTCGCTGATCAAAAATTAATCATGGACAAATTACGATCGGTCCTATCGAACAGTCCGGATGCGGTTACTCAATTTGGACAACACGATCCTGAACACAAGGGTTACTTCGGATTTGAAACGTTCTTTTACTTGATGAAGAATCTTGTTGGAAATCGTCTGGTCGATCATGAAATCATCACATTGGCGCGATTCTATGCACCCAAAACCATGAAAGAACATGATATCTACTCGCTTGTTGCTACTGCTCAAGAACATTTGAGAAAGAATAATTATGAACACTTATTACCATTGAAGGAAAACTTGATCTCACGAGATCGAAGGTACGGTTTTTGTTCTTTTCGTTAATGTTTAATTCGATTTTCTATTGTCTGTCTCTAGTGGAAACGCTCGATTACCTGCACAAGAAGTTCGCACTGCCATTCGTTCGGTACACGTTCCCATACCTGATTATTTGTTAAATTTACTAATCGCTCGGTAAGTGAAATCAATTTTCAAATCAAGTTCTACTTACTTACCTCGTTCCTTAGAATGACTCAAACTGATGGTACAATTGACTATAATGACATACTCGATGCTCTTAATTGGCGTCAATTGCCTGTTGCCAAGCCTGTGCCTACGAGTGAACATGAATCCTCTGATTTCGCTTCCACACGCCATACAGATGACGCAAGAATATTAGATCAAACGACACATGAACGTAAAAAATTCAATGTTCAATATTCTGTGATGCTCAGTGATCTTGGTTTAAGCAATTCATACACAAAATCATCACTAGGATCATGTGAAAATTGTGACGAATGTAGAAAATAAAGTGTTACTGATAAAAAAACAAATCAACTTGAACACATACGCCATAAACATTCACAACCTGAGACTCATAATATCATTCATTTTTCTTTTCTTTTCTTTTTCTATTTTCAAACAATAAATAAAAAGAAGATTACTTCCAACAATAATAAATCGAAAGATTTCCATTCTTATCGCCTATATAAACGATATATTACTAGTTAAAAACTCGTCATTTAGTGAGTGCGCAAGGACTTGATAAGTGATATGAACAACTATCGACATCTATTATCGAAATTTATCCAAAGTGGAAATAGACAAGCTCATTTCAGACGTTCACTCATTGTCGGATGGAATTATTTTCTCCCGAACCAATTTTTCTCCACGAAACTACGTGAATGGAGAGGCTACTACCACAGAATCAAAATTCACATATGAGGAAATCAAAGTTCTCAAATTTGCTACTTGTTTTTTGTCTAAAATTAAATGATGCCTGAATTGTATCGTTCATAGATTTTATGGCAAGTTCTCATCACTTAACACAGTGTATAAACATTCCACCGTTTAACAGGCATTTACTCGTCAATCTCAGATCAATCGCACTGGGACTAACACTACCAACACTTGGTATGGGAATCGATATGCCTAACACGACGTATAAGCAGATCGCGTTCTACGTCAACGCGATTTGGTGCACGGTCGTATTCAGGCCGAAATGCAAGAATTCGAATGAATCAAACTTGATATATTGAGCGATGGAAAAATGCGACAACGAATTGGGTAAGAAAATCGAACGTCTTTCTGTTTCATTTCACTGAGATTGGATCTTTTAGGAAAACAAGTATTGAAGTACGCGACTTAGAATCGAAACTGAGTGCGAAATATGCACAGAAAGAACGCACTGGACAAATGGCAGAACAACAAGCATTGAAATTTGATTCATATTTGGAAGATGCAGAAATCGCTCGACGTATGCGCAGTGAAACAGACAAAGCTGAAGAAGATCATCATAAACGTGAGATTATTCGCCAAGAAGAAATGAAACGCTACAAACAAGATCTTCAGCATCAACTCAAAGAACAGGAATTGAGTAAACAATGGAAGATAATGGAGCGTCAACGTATGGAAGAAGAACATTGTCGTATTGAAGAGTACGCACGCACTCTAGAACACCGGCAACAAATGGCTAAAGCCAAAGAGCGTGCGCGTGAGGATGCAATTGATCGAGTTCAACGCCGATTAGTTGAACAGATAAAACGCGATCGTGACGAGCGGGAAGAGCAAGAGCAAGCTTTACGAAGGCGGGAAAGAGATGAGCTAGAAGCACGTATAAGACAGCGTCTTGCATTACAACATGAACGTGATGAACAAATACAATTCAAGCATGCACGAGATGAAGAAGTCAAACGAGAAGAAGAGAAATATCCACAACAAGTATGCTAGATGAACAAGTCACATGTTTTTCTTTTTGCACAATCATGTGTCGTTTTATAGTTGATGTCTAAATTTTCTGAAGATGATCGTATCGAGCAAATGCATGTCTAAAAACGTCGTATGAAACAAATGGAGCATAAGAAAGCTGTTGATGTTCTACTAGAAGAACGTCGGCGGCAATTGACATTCGACAAAGTTCGTAGTCATATGATATTCAACCGTTCGCACATAGATGTGTTTTATATTTAGCAATGTGAGGTCGATGAATGTGCTCAGGCCGAACATCTACACTTAATGCGGAAACAAATCATCGAAGAAGAACATATCAAATTACTTCGCGGACATGCTCATCGTTTACTAGGATATCTACTCGAAGTAAGAGCAACATTTGACATAGTTGTCTGAAAGAGAGAACTTATTTTAATATAGGGTGTTATTCGAGATGAAGAAGATCTTGATTATCTCGGTAATGATTTTAAAAATGAATTCTAACGACGACAAGCAAATATGCGACTTCCCGGTGATTGGGATAACTAGAAATCCGAGATATCTTTTTTTAGCTTTTTTCTCAATGCAATCATGTCAAATATATATATAGAAATTTACTTTGTTACAATCGGTCAAAAACGACCAACATATCTTTCATTAAAATTGGCACATTTTCGCCTATTGGACATGTTTTATTGACACTAATCAATGTTCGTAATAAATTCATATTCACATCGAAATGTTTTTTTTCTGACATTGAAAAGCACATGACTGAATACTAAATATACGAAAGACTACGCATAAACATATTTGTTAATTTTATTATTGCATAAAAAGATGCAAAACAAAGAACTGTGAGCGACAAGAACGCTTCAATATTATATGTGGGTCATAGAAACATTGGTTTCGATGTCAGTAGATTCCGTTTACTTCTCACATTATAGATGTCAATCCAATTCATAGCAACTGTCGGAATAAATTTCTACGATATCAATTATTATTATCCTACATATTCAATTAAACTATGCATGTTCCATGGGTTGACCTACGCTGTCGTCGAATGCATGCTAAGTTAAATTAATATTTGATTAACCCTTAACGACCGATAGGGTTTTTTGAGTGCCAGGAAAAAGCAATCATAATAACGGAGATTATGGGCCATCCATGTGCTCATACGATGGTCAGAGCTGCCGGATGAGATCAAAAATTTATTCTACCCGGATGAAGTTGATGAAGTATGATTTTTACAGTTTTTCGCTTAGATGACTTGGAAATGTTCCGCAAGCTCAGTATAAATTCATTCTGATGATATTTTGAAGCGTCTTCAATTATTTATCAAAGGAAAGAATCAAAATAGCCGTTGTTACTATGTCAAAAAAACGTTGAAAGATAACGTTATGTCAGAATATTTTTTTAGATGAGCTTGAAATATACAAAACTGTTTCACACTGTAGCTTAAGGCTATTTCTAATGATCTCATTCAAAATTTCTATTGAATGCACAGAAAACAGTGACATATTGGGAACGTATTGTGCTTAAAAAGTTAGACATTTTGTGAGAAACATTCACATGTTTGATAACGGCCGTAGTAGATTCTTCTCTTCATCTTACTTTCACCTAGACTGTCTTTATTTGAAAAAAAAACAGCAGCTTTCGCGATTTAGTAATTAATGTGATGTTCTCTACAAGGGTCAGTCGGTCGTAAAGCGTAAATGGAATCTACGGAGTACAAATATGTATTCACCGGCGACGTACTAAAACATGAAGTCCGGGAAATGACGTTGCTTTTGCCGAAAGAATCATCAAAGACATCACCTGAAGTAAACAGCACGAATGACTTGATCATCAACTGAAAATCCTTTATTAATCGATCGTGTTCCTGGCGTGACAGTGTGGAGATATTGTGTGGGTGAACATATCATATTTCTTAATTGTCGTATTGTTTGAATGGGAACGTGTAAGTCCCGGATTGACTGGCATTAGTAAATATTTAATATAACTTTTTCAGTTCACAACAAATGTCATACTTGTCAACTTTGATTTCAATAATATTCGTATCCAATTGGAATATCTGTACCTAAGTAAATATTTCTATTAGAAAATAGCTACATAAAAATCATGCTACTTTTTAAAAATAGTGCTTCTGTGAATCACATCATTGTAGATAATTTTGAAGTCTGAAAAGTTGACATAAGATTCTGAGATTACAGGTCTGAACCTATTCATATGCGCTCGGGCGTTCTTTTTTTCTTCTTATTCTTGCATACAGGATGATTCAATTGTTTCAAAAAACACATTCTAATTTACGCCAAATTAGTTCACTTCCCCTTTTCATTATTTAATCATAGCTGACATCTGAAATAAACTCATTTGCAATTAGTTATTTTTACACAAAGATTATGCTTCTTTACTTTTTGTACCTAAGATACGCTCGAACTCTTGAAAGAAAAACTCTGTTCGATTTTCTCCAAGAATTTCTTTCCCTTCATTATTTTTCTCACCGGTCCAACTTCTTTCTCTCTATATATACGGTATAGCACGTCAGAGCCTAATCATATATCAAATATCAGATACTCTTCGAATAACAACTTCCTTCCCGTTGAGCTTGCTTGGATCTGTGAAAGAAGATCTATTCTTCTCTCAAATGTCCTAAACAAATTAATAGGTGATCCTGTATATCTTCTCTTGAATACACATCCATACTACTCAACAACAACTTTGAGTCGTGTTGACTTCGAGGTTATTTTTTGTGCATAGATAGCGAAGCCAAGACTTATTATTTATTGCATCTTGTATCAAGGGGGTTGTGTGCAACGGCTCATCTGCAAACAACATCAAACTCAAATGTGTACTTTTTCTAGAAGAGTGCTGTGATCTTTATTGACATTCTTTTTCGAAAACTTTCAGCTTAACGTCTGATGAAGATAAATTTCCACTTCACCACGCTAGTATTCTCACTTTTTTCCGTGAGTCGACTTGTACTTTGACGGAGAGTATTCCTTTCAATGATCTACTTTAGATTTCATGAGATAGGATTAGGTCAGGTAGCATTCAGTGAAATCTCGACTGGAATGCATGAGATGTCTTTTGTTTTTTCTTACAAGCGCAGATGTGCTCTTTTGTATTTAGTCTCTTCTCTTACGCTTCCTTGTCAGTCGAACTCTGATGCTTTGAGAGTAAGTACATGGTTTTGCGTGATAGGTTCAAATCTTGTGAGGGTAAAAAGACCTCCTTTCATAAACATTCAAAGTTCGTGTGACAGATCCATGACGAACGGAATTCTCTATGTGAGAAATCTCAATCGACACCTAGTTTTTGATCTGCCAAGGTCAGAATAATGGAACTTGAAAAGAAAATGCTTTATAGCTATAGTTGCGTGATAGATAGATGAGAAATTCTCTTTAATTCTTTGATCATCGTTTGACATGTTTTCTATCATCGCAATGAATGACAAACAGCATACTTCCTTTGCGTAGAATATTCGACAAACTAACTAGTTCAATTATATAGGGATAGAAGAGAAGAGGCATAAAAGAGTAGTTGAGAGAAAAAGAAATCATTTCGAGAGGAGATGATGATGAATGAGTGAGTGCGAGAAGCTCGACTTATAGTTTTTTTTACCGTTAACATCTGACTTCCCTTTTTCTTACGGGCATCAAAGCAGTTGCTATCCGAAGAAAAAAAACAATTGTTCATTCCAGCGCATGCTTATAGACGAGTAGTTAATTCAATCTAATCTACTTAACCTAACTGTTTTTCAGACACATCTTCCTTCATTTGTTGTTATTCCATTAACTTAGAAAAACAAAACAATGAACACAAGTGAAAACGGTAATTCGACAATGACAACAGTTTTTGACCACCAATTAAGATTTGTTGAACAAGTTGTCCTTGGCAGCATCTTCGTCTTAGCGTTGATCGGTAATATTTCGGTTTTAGTTGTTATGTTAGCAACCAGAAATCGACGAACAACACGAATGGCGTTCTTTATACTTCATCTAACAATTGCTGACCTTCTAGTCGCATTTTTCAGCGTTTTACCAATGTTCATTTGGAAAATACGACCTACATTTCTCGATGGAGAAATTATGTGTCGAGTATTCTCCTACTTTATGTTAACAACAACATATATATCAGTTTACACGTAAGTTCAGAAGTTAACAAACTTACTAAATTTTAATCATATTACCGTCTAGACCAAGCATAAAAAAGCTTTTCGAGGATCTGCCTTTGTTTTCATTGAAAATCCTGAAATCAACTTTGATGTATTATTTATGTTCATTAATAGCGTTTTTTTCAATTCAAACTAAATAACCCTAAGACAACTTCAGTCAACCTGATCTTTGCACTATTGAATTATGTATAAAAACTTATTTTGTTCATATTTCAGTCTTGTTGTCATGGCTATCGATCGTTACCAAGCCATTGTACACCCATTATCGATCTACACATGGACACAAACTGCCGGCCTCTATCATATGGCCGCTGTTTGGTTTTTAAGTCTTGTACTGGCATCGCCCCAATTGTTTATCTTTCGTTTGGAATACGATCCGAAGCATGAAACTAAATCTTGTCGAGCTAAATTCTTAGGATCCGATCGAACATGGGAATTGGTTTATATATCGTGGAATATTCTTGCTCAGTTTGGTTTACCAGTATGTGTTCTAATCTATTGTTACGGTTCAGTTTACTTTATTGTCAATCGAAGTTTTGCAATGTATCGGCTAACAGACAATGCGCGAACGATGAGTATAACTAATCTACCCACGCTCTCATTACCAAAGAATCTCAATCATTTGTCAGCATCAACATTAACGGTCGAGCGCACTTCAAAAGCCTCACGTCTAAATCATATTCGTATTCATTATCCTTCCGCAGATGGTTCAACTGTATCAAATGCGACATATTACAACAAATCTCCGTCGTTAATGTACCCGGTAGTGTTTCGTTTAAGACGTTCATCGATAGAATCATCAGCACAGCAAAGCTCGATGAGTTTAGATGGAAACAAATGTCAACAACGATACGGCGCAAGTCACTTTCTCTCTCGCGCGCGCCTGAAAACAATCAAACTAACATTTATTGTTGTTCTAGCTTATATTCTTTGCTCAGCTCCGTTCTACGTCGGACTGATCATGATGGTTTTGAATAATAATTTATTCTCTCAGAAAACAATGAATTGGCTAATAACAATCTTCACTCTTCTATTTAATTTAAATAGCTGTTCAAATCCGATTATATGCCTAACGTTAAGCAGCACTTTATTCCAGTAAGTACATTACTCTCGTGACTCTATTGGCATTTATTTCCTATATTTAGACGTAAACGCGACCCAAAACAACCACCTGCGCCATCGCGAAGAAGTCAAAGTAGTCATGAAAATACAGATCATTCTTACAAGAGGAAGCTGTTCAAAAAACGTTTTGTTTTTCTGTGATGATTTTGTTCGTTTGTTTGTACCGAAATAACACAACTCAGCACTCTCACGTTAAAGCGCACTTGTCTGTTAATGATTGCTAGCAAAGTATACCTTTCGTCTAAGATCACATCGCTCGCGTTCTACAATTTCACTTCCACAATAATTACTCGTCCAATGTGCTTTTAGAAATCTGAACTTTACAGAAGTGACTGAGAATATGTCATTCATAATAATATCAGAGTACCTGACATATATGACTTGAAAGTATCGGTTCAATTGAACCATTTCCGTTTCGCACGACCTTAGTACTCAGTACAAAAAGAAAAGTTCATTTTTTAATGTCGACGGATGCTAGTACGTGATCGAGAGCACATTTTGACACAATGACCGTTCTTTAGTTCAATCTTCAGTAATGAAAAGAAGTGCAACGTTCAACCCCTTTCGGGCTTACCTACGTGGGCTGGTGAACTGTTGTAAATAAAATATTGTCTTTCCGTTCATGACAACAGAAATGATACTAAATTTATATATATCTAATTAACGAAAATTAGATTTACTTTTTAGGCAATATATGTAAACAAATCTAAAACACGATTCACTTCCTGTCGTGGGTAGATTTATCGTGGAATATCTATTAGTCTTTATCTACTTTAAGAAAGCCGTTCTTTTAATTAATAAATGCAAAGCTATTACCAGCGGATCATTTATTGAAGTGGGCCATGTCTGACTTACATACTTTCCAATGGCATCTGCACGATTTTACTGTTTCTGAAAAGAATGTTGTATTTACGTAAGAGCTTTTGCGCATTTACTTATACCTAACAATCCTTTCCAACTCATTACTTTTGACAGGTAAATAATTGATGTTCACGACTTTTCTCGAAGAAAAAAATTTGTTTGTACTGAATGATTATCCAGTTTTATTATCAAAACAAAGCAAAGAACGTTACCTTCTTTGTTAAGATATTGTATTTTTAGCAACAATGAAAAAAACAGTGCGCAAAATGTATCACGAATATTACTCAAAAGACGTCATCGTGACGATCGATCACACAATTATCTTTATCCGTCGAGGACAAACGAATTACTATATAAGCGGTGTACAAAAAAGTAGTTGAATATAATACATATTACACTTACATTCTCATAACATTATAAACAAATATTCATCATGAGCAGTAAGTCAATCTTAAAGCTTAATTTTCTCAGTGATCGCATTGTATTCTCGGAATAGACTTTATCAACAATCGTATTGAACGTAGTCTTGGAATCGACTTAAATGGCGATGGTTATATTGGCGGACAAGGTAACAATAGAATAAGCATTTGTAACGTCTAAAAAGTCCTAATTTTCATAGGTTTGATGAGCCGATTAGAACGTGCTACGCACATCGACTTCAACGGAGATAACATGATTGGCCGTCGTCCTGACTTGTATTATGGTTACCAATATCCAAGCTACGGTTATAATTCATATGGTTTTGGCTACTCACCATACAGATACTATTAATTTTTGTAGACAGAGAAGACGCAATTTTATGTTTTTGTCTTACTGTGTGTACAAATCGAAGCATTTTCATAAATAAAACCTTTTGACCTACTTGATATTTAAACCAGTTCTAATTTCACATAGTTTAAAATCAAACAGAAGAAAGTATATCCGCTCATCTCTATTCTGACTTTATTTAGCTAAGTATTGATGTATATCTATGGTCAACATCAAGTAGTAATACGAACGTCGATCGATACCTTGACCGACTAAGAATAGTTACTATTTTCGAAACGTATCGGGATGAAAAAATTTGCTCTTAGAGTTTCTTTTATCATGTTTTTTTGCTTTTCACCCTTATTCAAAGCGATCATTTTCTCATCAGTCATGCTTGAAAACATACAATTTTCGTCAGAAACTAGGAAAACGAAAGAAACTCGAGTCGGTAATCAATTGCTAATTGCTTCTTACGCACGAAAAGAAAACTAACAACACGTACGAATTGGAGTCATCGGAATGTCTATGTATAGCGTCGAAAACAAAACCTGAATGACCCCAATATACGTCATCTTAATTACACGGAAAGCATGATCTGTGGAAGACGAGTGACTAATTGGTATGAGATAAATTTGTCATTATTCAAAATGCAAAAAATAATTGAAGAAAATCAATCAAGCATAGATTGACGTCAATTTTACATAAGTATCGGCCACTATAAAAACGATATGAAAAGTAAGACGAATATATCAAAATATCATATTAGTCTGCTTTTAACTTAACAAAGAAACAGTGACAATGAGTGGTTCGTCTTTATTACTCAATGTATTTCTTCTCCTATTGTTTTGTTTTGCATTGAATAGGTTTTATTGTGAATCGTTTCGAACGTGGTCTTGGTATGGATTTGAATGGCGATGGATACATTGGTGGACAAGGTAACATCAAAATAAATACTTTCTGACATTCTTAGTGTTTCAAATCATCATAGGTTTCTTGAGCCGAATGGAGCGAGCTACTCATATTGACTTCAATCGTGATAATGTTATTGGCCGTCAACCTGACGTATATTACGGCTACACACCGGCCTACTCGGGATATGGTGGATATACTGGCTACCCAACTCAAGGTTATTCAACTGGTCCATACCGTTATTAATGCTTATACATTTGACAAATCGATCTTTTCCTCTTGACTGTAGTGATCAATATATATATTGATGAATAAAAACATTTTAAATAATCCGAAATCAAATATCAAAACGAGTGATTTAAAGACTAGATTAATGAAATTGACTAAAAACACATTGATAAGTTTCTTTTGCTTTCCAACAAGTCATTCTACCTAAATGATTTGTCACGGTATAAAATTTCAAAATCAGAATTAAGTTCATCATAACAACCATATATTATTATTAACATTTCTTTAAATTAAAAAAGAAGCAAAAGAAAAAAATAATAAATAAATAAATAAATACTCATCCATTTGAGAGTGAAGAGCGAGAGAGAAAGAAAAGAAAAGAAAACATTCAGCCTGGTAAATGTCCGATAATCGTAAGTGGCGATTTGATGTAAATATATACGTATATAACAGGAACAAGTAATGCAATAAGAATAATAGCACCAATAATATGACAAAACTTACAACCACAATCAGCACCATCGCAAGTGAAGTCAGTTTTAGGCTTCCTTGTTGATTTCATGACCACTGGATTGATTGGTTGATTAGGAATCAATGTCACGGAAGGAGTGTCAATTAAATGTTCAACTTTTGCACGCATTGATGCTAAATCCTGATCCATGGCATTGAGAAAAGCATGATGATTGTGTTGAGACAAGTGTGTTAGAAGTGTTGAAGATGTACTCGTTGTTGATTGTTCATTTAGGTCAACGATCGTGGATGGTGTGTCGGATATTTCATGCAATAAACCAAAACGACGCACAGGCACTCGACAATATTTTAAAGCGTAGAAATCTTGATCATTTTGTAAATTATTCAAACGTTTTAATTGAGAAACCTGGAAAGAATATTCTGTGGAAGAGTGACAGTTTCAAAAAACGAAAACATACGGGCACTCGATATCGGATAGCAAATGCTTGAAGAGTTTCATTGGCTCGAATGGGCTTTTCAATGATAACGATTGACCCACCGCCATGTGCTACTGGTATTGATGATTGTTTACCACTATGCCGTGAACGAACAAGATGTCGAGTGGGCGCCTGAGCTTTGTCATCATTATTATCATCGTTATCAGAATCAATTGATCCTAATTCAATACTATGATCGCCATTTTCCAAGGGAGATAGAAGAGCCTCGGATGAAAGATCGTTATCTTGATTAAGTCTGCTGTTTCTCGAATGGTTTTGTCGAAGTTTCCGAGATTTTGTTGATGAAGAGTTGCTTTTCGACGAGGAAAGTAGTGATTCTTTCAAAATATTCATTGAATCAATGGATAATAATGAGAAAAAGTCTTTGACTTAGTAACTCAGGAATAAATCAGGCAGAAGAGATTGGTAAAGCGAAATGTTTGAACAGGATATGGAATGATGCATGGAGTAGAACCAATCTACGGGATTAATAATCATTGTGTAACATTCGTGAAGCAGTAGTGGGGTTAAGATCAAATCTGGCAATGGCAATGTGTGTCTTCATTCTTTTTTTTTAAATAGCAAACAAGATGAAACGCATCAAGATTGGTCCGATACAGTGACTATTGCGTACGTACACGGTAGAGTAAAATAAGACAAGAGAGGCAGAAAGAGGGCGTTAGATGATTTTTGCATCACGCAAAGAAGACGGCTCGGATACATAGAATTCGATAGTGTGATACATCCACTCGTAGCGAATTCTCATATTTCGACTGTATTGATTGACGCGATACAATCTAGTTTTGATAGATTCAATAAATATATGCGTCTAAATTCTGTACTAAGATAGATCCTAGTATATAGATTACTATAGTTCTATTCTTAAGAATGAACACAATAAAGCTTAGCATAACCAACTGAGATTTTGTCGTTTGGAATGCATTGAAGTCGATTGTATGGATTTCTGTTAAGTTGAAATCTGTCTCCATTGATCAGTGACATCTATTTGTATTAGTCTAAGAGGCAAACAAAAGCAAGCTTTTCTCCTCCTTGCGAACATATTTCATTCGGTAATCAATGGAACGACGAATCTATTTGCTTGTTTATTTCTCTGAATTGGAATAACATCATAATGGTCAGAAATTCTTTCCAGTGTCGGTATCTGTTGCAATGTCTCATCGACAAAAAATCTATGTTGGTTTGGCCATCTCAGCGGGTGTTTGTACCGGTATAGCTGTATTTCTTTACCTCCGTCAACGTCGACAAATCGCTTGTAAATAAAAAATCTCTTGTAATTTTTCGTCAATGTAGTTTATTCGGTTGGATTTTAGTATCGAAAGCTCCAGATGATAAAAGTCGATCTCTCACACCTGCGTCTATCATCGCCTCGTTGAAATCGCCTCGTGGTCGTGACTACAATGAGATTACATCAGTAGACTCTAATCAGAGTTCGGTAGAGTCGGTGCGGTTTCAAAGCGGTGGTAAGTGGAATTTAGAGCGTTGAGTTGATTAAAATGAGATCTTTCAAGGTGCTAATTTCGAAGTGAATATTCCTGGCGGTGGTGCAGCATTAACACCAGAGCAAGCCATTGTATTAGTACGATTTCTCGATGAAATTAATGGTGATATTGAACGATTAAATCGTATTTTAACTAATATTGCAAACGCGGCCACATTTACAGAAAGTAAGATACCTTTAGCTTTCTATATTCACAAGTTTAAATCTAGTTTCATCGGCGCAATAAAGTGTGAGATTCATTCTTAATGATTATTTTTAGGTCAAGTCAATTTAACCAATGCCGGTTGTATTGAACGTCTTCGAGAGCTACTTTCCTCAGTAGAAAACGAAACGACTACATACAAAATTCTCTTAGCTTTGAATAATCTTGCTTTGAATGATTATACTATCAGTCATTTCTCGGTAAGACCATCTTTATATCAATACAAGACAATTGATGTCGGGGTTGCATATATTCTAGGGTCTAGTTTTAAATGTTATCAATCTTTGTCGTACAACTCCGTCGAAATCACTCGTACGCCTCTACGGATTGAATTTATTGGTGAACATGTCTGTGCTCGAACATCTCCACAGTGAATATATGAAAAATATTACCGATCTTGGTCAATTGATTGAATCAACATTTGATAATAACGAAGAAGCTTTGTCCGCTGGAAAGATTCTTGTTAATTTATCAACGAACAAATCAAATCTTGAAACTTTATTAAAATTGACTGTAAGATTGTATTTCTATTAGAAAACAGTCAATAATCAATTGTCTTTCTCCATAGGGTATCGATATGAAAACAATTGTGAATATTTGCACACCAAAGAAGAAATCAGTCGATACCGATGAATCAACAAAATTAGAAGATATTCTCCTTCGTTATTTAACTTTCTATTGCAATTTAGCTGAAATTACCGTAAACGATTTGAAATTGGGAACTACAAATGAAAGTAATATGCTTTTGTACGATCCAATTCCATACGGAGAAAATGCAGTTTATTTCGAATTATTCGACCATGTAGGTTTTGTATATTTCGTATAACACGTACGTATCGTCCTATGACTTCAGGGCAAGCAAATGTCAACGAAGTCTATTCTTCGTCCTCAATATTCTTCACCAAGTGTCAATAATCAAATCAAGCGTCTTCGCCAGTCGTTGGATACCATTCGTCAGATTCAATTTGAATCCTCGGTTTCATCCGTTCAAGACGAGTTCAACGAAAGTGATCACGTACAATCGCCTTCGATTACCGATTCGTCAACACCGAAAAAAGTCACACCTGTGTCTGACAATGAAAGTCCAACACAGAATACTTTCGAGAATTTCGAAAAAGACATTAATGATGAGTTCGCAGATGATGATACAATTCTTCCTGGCGAAACGACACCATCAGATCAATCATTAGCTAGTTTTCGTTCGGCCTATTCAACCAATGAAAATAACACGTTTACTAGTCCTGAGAAATCACATTCAACATGAAATCTCATTCGATTATGACGATTTTCTTCTTCCCATACTCACATTCATAGACGGTCCTCTTCAACATGGAATCTTTCATTTTTGATAATAGTTTTGGAGAATTATTTTTGTTTGCCTTGTAGATAACATTTTCGTAACACTCAACATATTCGATCAATAACATGGGTGTCGATCTTGACCATCGTTTCGATCGTAAAGCCGTACGACGAGCACCACGTTCCAAAAATTTATATTTGCTCTTACTTGTTAAACTCTACCGCTTTTTGGCACGTCGTACCAGCTCAAAATTCAACAAAATTATCTTGAAACGTTTATTCATGTCGAATACAAACCGACCGCCTCTTTCATTATCACGCCTTGTTCGTCATATGAAAAAGAAAGGTCGGACATGTCTCCACATACTATTTCAATATTCATTTATGTTGTTTTTACAGGTCGTGAAAACAAGACAGCTGTTGTTGTTGGTTCAATTACCGATGATACACGACTCTACGAAGTCCCTAAACTCACTGTTTGTGCATTACATTTGACTGAACGTGTTCGCGCAAGAATTCTTGCTGCCGGTGGAGAAATCCTCACATTCGATCAATTAGCACTTCGTTCACCAAAGGGTAAAAGTACTGTCTTATTACAAGGTCCACGAAAAGCTCGCAAAGCTAATCGATTCTTCGGTAAGTTACTTGTTCTGTTTGGAAAATAACATTCGGTTGTTACTTAGGACGACCACCCGGTGCTCGTCACAGCACAACAAAACCAAAAGTTCGAGCTAAGGGTCGTAAATTTGAAAAGGCCCGAGGTCGACGAGCTAGCCGCGCATACAAGAATTAAACAGCTGACAATTGGTATCATCATCAAATTTACCATTTATCTTACCCGTCAATACTTTTGTTTTTTTCTTGTATACAGCAACAGCAACATAAGAGCAAGATAAGAAAGAATAATAAAAGAAAAACTAAACGTGTGTTACACAGTTGAATTATTTTCATTTGAAAGATATCCGATCACCCATTCTGAGCGTGAACACTGCAGATGAAAGAAGTAGTTGACAATTCAAAATTGCACTTGTTTATCTTGCTTTATTAATAAAATACATACACGCATATATATATAAAAGCAGAGAAACTATAATACATAGGAAAAAAAATTAAAACGGTTAAATGCTACTGGGTTTATTCGTCGTCGTCATCTTGTCCAAATGCTCCTTCGGGTCGCTGTAAACGGTAGAATGACGTCAACATACGAAACATGAAGGCAGCGGGTACTGTTATTGTGCTCGATGTTTCCTCCAGCATTGCATGATTACGTTTTATTGTACGATGAATAAGTGCACTATCATCGATTGGTGCTTGTGCCAGTGGTGAAAACACTTTGATGTTACTATAAATACGCAAAACGAAATGTATGAATGTGAGACAAACGTGAACATACTAATCAATTCCACTTGATGCTAATATAGGATAATCTAATGGATGTGGTTGAACACAATTAACGACGTGTTCATCAGCTTGAATAATTCGTACAATGTTGCCGGTGAATTTATTCCAAATAAATATGTGTCTAAAGAGATATTGATCATTTTACAAGTATTTCTCTGTCGCAAGTCATTACCCGCAATCAGAACCCGACATAACAAATGAATCCGACCAGAAGTTTGCTTCCTTGATCATTGTACGTGCGTTGCGATGGCCGTCATACGAGTTAATTAAACTGAGACTTGGGACATTTTGCAGAAGATTTTCTTCTTGACATCGTTCAGCTTCACGACGTTTCATGATGCGATCCCATTTGGCAGTCATTAGTGGATGTCGATTTCGTCGAGATGATGCAGAATTCTCTGCAGTTGTCGTAGGTGGTGTTGAATGAGGATCTCCACCATTTCTCTAAGGGCAATATCAATATGGCATGATTCAAATTATCGAATGTTTTCTGAATATTTACGTCTTCATCATCATCCGCACTGTCATCATCATCATCATCATCCTCATCGTCGTCCTCAGCAACATTTCGCGTTCGATTTCTTCCGAATAATATGTCAAATACTCCAGTTCGCTACAAATAGAAATTACTTATAGTCTGATCCAATATTTGAATAGAAAGAGACAAACATCTTGACTGTTATCAGATTCCGTGTCGTTTTCGGTTTGATTAGTCGTCGTTCGTGCTTCTTGTTCGGTCGGTGGAGGTGATGGAGGTAGTTCCACAATCGGACTAGTGCTGACTGATGTTGCAGATTGAGGTTGTGCTACTTCTGCTTCTGCTGTTGCCGTTGTTTCAGTAGTCGATGGTTCATTCGTTTCACTGTTTGTTTCTGTATTAGCAACAAGTTGTGTTAATATATCACTCATGCGTTGCATAAAGAAGTTTTGTAGATTACGACCTCGATTCGCTGTTGTTTGCGGTACATTTGTATTCGAATTATCACTTGTTGGTTGTGACTGTTCCGTATCATTGTTATTATCAGAAGTAGTCGTTGTTGTCGATGGTTGAGCTTTTTCGTGTTCATTCATTGGCCGCGAATCAGGTCCTGAAAATAGCAGGCGAACATCAGGAAGGGATTCTACTGAATAAATCTAATTTACCAGTGTCACTCCAATCTCCTCGAAGACGTAACCGTTTAAATTGAGACGGTTTCTTTTCAGGAGCTGTTGATGATTCGTTTGGCGTCGCTTTACTTTCGTTCAAATTCGCTCGTGCTTGTTTCTCATTTCGATGCTGAGTCAAGCGTTCCTGAGCTTGTTCTTGGGATACTGTTTGTTTGGGATTAAGCAAATAGAGAGATTCAGATGAATATGACGTCAAAATTTCCGTGCCATGTTGATTAAATACAACCGATGTGATGCGTGGCGGTCGTTTTACTTTCCGATCAATCAGAACGAAACGAGATATGAGTCCATTGATAGAACCTTCACATCGACGAAATGTCGCTGGGTCAGACTGAGAAAGTGTAGATAATTTCCGATGATCATACAGGCGAACAGACTAGAAATTATTTCGAGATACATTGAATAGAATCAAGAGAAACACTTACTGAATCAGAACAACCACAAACGATTTCATATGGGTTCATCGGATTAACGTCAATTGATGTAATACCCCATTTACTTTTGATCAATATATCATCATTGCAATGTGCTTTTAAACAATTACTTTTTGTTCGTAAGTCATACAATCGCACGGTACAATCATCTAAATTTTAGAAATCATATAGAAAATCCGTCTCATGACGTTTTCCTCTGAAAAATTTACCAGAGCAAGAGAAGAATAAATCTGGTGTTCTTGGTATAACTCTCACTTCGTAAGTTGTCGCTGCTCCATGACATGTAAAGCATCCATCATTGCTCTGCGAATTCGCTGGTCGATCAAAGTTTGTATGAAAAATGACACCATCGCCCGAACATGACACAACACGACGATCGTTTGTCTCAGGTAAGAATTTCACTGAAAAAATATTTTCTCGGTGACCACTATGTACACTTGTCAGAACTTTTGTTGTGTATGGATCTGTGACGATCAAATGCTGATCGTCGGAACCTGATAATATTGCCGTGCCACGTTCATTCCAACATATTGTATTTACACAGCCACGATGCACATTTAATGTTCGGTCTAATTTCAATCGTCGTGTGATTGAAGATGAATTTTTTAATTTAGCTAGTAATCGTCGATGAGACAGAAGACCATATTGTCGTTCTGGAAGATAAGGCATCTGAAAAAACAAATTCGCAAGTCGAGTGATTTTTCTTGTTCTATATTTATTGAATAAACGAAAAACAGAATTCACCTAACAAAACAGAAAACGAAATATTTTAACCAAAAATACGCCAGCGTGTTTTAGGCGATAATTGTCGTTGAATTGTATCGGATATTTGTGCATATGAACGCATTTGATTGAGACCTTTGCCAAGACCGACTAATGCAAGTGGTGTACTGAATATGCGTCGAGCAACTTGATGAACATCCTCAGCTTGAATGCGATGAATTCGATTGAAATAATAATCAGCTTGTTGACGTTTGCCTACAAAGAGTACTTGTCTGGCAACATCTTCGAAGACAACTGGCCGCTGCTCTAAATTCATGAACAACATGGATTGTAATTGTCTTTTGGCTCGTTCAAGTTCAACGGATTCAGGTGGATATGAAACGAGATAACCTATTTCACGAATTGCAACATCGATCATGCTGTTCAGATAGGATGGATAACCACCAAAATGGAAATATAAACAACCAGAATCAGTGTAAGCTTGATTGTACGATATAGCTGTTTTGATTTCTTCATTTCTAGAGAAAGAAGCACATGTTTCTTTTTCGATCTTTTATCTATATCTTATAAAATAAACGTACCTGTTGAGAACATTCATGTAAAAACGAGAATAAAGTCCTTTACCAGGACCACCGGCACTAAACGAACCACCGCCGCCTAATAGTTGACTCAATACACAAGCAGCGACAAAATCCTGTTCTTCTTTATGAGATGGGGCTATTATACGCAAAACAATTTAATATCTATTAACATTCTGTACCTTCGATTTACCTTCGAAACCTAAGCCAATATGAGCTATTTCTGGTAAAGGATCAGCACCGAATGATAAATGGCTAAGATCACGTTCGTCCTATGAAATAAGAGAATTCTTCATAACAATATAAGATTATCGATGAAATTATCTTACTGTGAGAACACCACCAGTCCATACAGCTTTCGTTTCAGTGGAGGTTTGTCCGTCGCCAGGTTTCTTCTCATTCTTCGGCACAGAAAAATATCTCTTTCCTAGATCAACCAGCTGTTGATGATCAATTCCAACACCAGCAAGAACCATTCGTTCTGGCTGATAAAATTCTTTCATATATGACTTTATCATCGATGCATCTATGCGTCCAATATTCTCTTCCGGCGTGTATTTTGGTAAACCTAATGTCTTCTTTCCATAGCCAGCCTACAGAGATGCGAAACCGTGCAAAAGTTATGAAAGAACAAGTTCAAGTAAGCAATTTACAGCGTGGATCATGTCAGTCAGAAGAGGTGTTGGATCATAGCGTCGATTTTTCAGATCATCAATTTCATTGAACACCGCTGCTTGTGCACCTTCGATCTGAAAGGCGAGACTCGCTAGTGTTCAAACACGAGTGAATCGAATTGTTTACCTCTTCGGGAAGTAATCGTGGACGGAATATAGTTTCAGAGAGTAGTTCAACTACACGTTCAATCCCACTTGTCCGACACGACAATGCATATATGATGATGTCTCTATGAACAAAATGAAATAATATTAGAAATCACAGAACGTGTCCGCATCTTACCGTGAAGTTTGACAATCACATATAGCATTTACTTGATGTAATGAATCAATGACTTGTTCACGGTTTTCATATTTTTTCGTTGACTAAAATATAGTTGCGTTCAAATTTTCAGCAAAACGTCTTTCTCTTACCATAAACGCTAATTTCTCGAGAAAATGTGAAACTCCGCTGGTATACTTCTCTTCGTATCGAGGTCCCGCGGAGATAATAACTAAAATCAGAATAGTCATTTCATTGAAGCAAATCCGATTCTTACCTCCAACCGTGCAAAAATCACCGAATAACTTTTCTGAAGCAATCTATCAAAGGTAAAAAAAATCAAAATTCAGCTAGAAAGGAACATTCTAAAAAAAAACTAACTCGAAGACCGTTATCAAGCCTCGTCACATTTGTTTCATATCGGTTTGCATCCGGTACAGCATATTTCACAGATGGTAACCATTCCGGTGATTTTGATAGAGCAGGAAAATTATAAACTGATGATACTGTCGAGTCACGTCCAAGAACGGGAGAACGAATCGGTTCATCTTTCGATAAATTTTCGACATGTCGCAATCTAACGATATAGAAATGGTGTTTACTGAGAAGCCGATTGTGGAAAAACAATAAGTCTACCTGCAAAATATGTTGGGTGATGCTTGTCGGCAAAACAGACGAACTCCTTTCAGCATTTTGATCGGTAGGAAAATAGAAGTAGTTGCCTAGAAAAAATACTTTTACGTCGAACCCAGAAGTAACCTTTTCCTCATTGGTGTAAGTAATCAACGAATACTCGATGAAATGTACAACACATCCAACGACTCTTAGCGACGCCTGCCTGAAGATTTTCACAATCATACTGAGTTATTAATTGTTTCACATCTTTATCACAATTTATTTTATAACAAACAGAAGAACAAACAAACGTATTCAGTGGACTGTAATATTCTCATGAATCATCGATCGAACTGTCATTAACAGATCGATAATATCTATTAAACGATCACCGAGCTGAACAGCCAAGTCACGTGTCAGTGTCCCATTGAAATCAATAACAATTGTTGACACGACATGTTCGTGGGAATGAAATGACCGTTCACTAAACGAAAGAACACATGGATGACTACTATTCTGCATATCAATGAATGTATTGTTAACAGCAATATAGGTGTCAGATGAATTTGAATAAAGAGAAACAAAGATAGAATCATTATTCCGACTGAAATTCGACTGGAAGACATATGGTTTGTGATCGGACACAGTGGTTGTCTCTTCATTTCGGACAGTTGTCGATGACTGCGTACTCGTAGTCACTGTAGTGAACTCTGATACGGTAATTGAATCAGTCGCATAGATTGATGTTTGAAAGCTTTTCGTGGAGAAAGTTGTATTGATTGGTACGATCGATTTACAATTGCAAATCAGCATATATGAAAAACAGATCACAAATTGAAACATCATGTTCGCTAGCAAGAAAGTACAATCGCTTTTTAAACATTATATATATATTGATCTCAAAACAATGACCGACGATTATGAACAGACTATTGAAGAGAGGAAATGATTGAACATGATAATATGTCTCTTTGTATTGGATGATACAAAAAAGCGTTGCTTTTCGATTATTCTCTCTTGTGAAAAGCAAACTTCGATGAATATGTTGACACTCGTACTTTTCTCTACCACTAATTTCATTTTCTTCGTTTTATTAATAAAATGTAGGTGGAATATTAAAAGGAAACCTTGTATATACTTTGTAAAACATGACGAAGAAAAAATCGAACTAGCAAAAGTAAACAAAACGAATGATGTTACGTATAAAATAGAATACTTTTTGTCCAACAAAGTCTTTTCGTAAAAATAAGTGTGAAAAAGAATTATGTTAACTCCTATACCAGTTGCACAATCTGTAGTTCCTGTTGAAATCCAGCCTCCTATTTCAACGCCATTGGTTCCTGTTGAACCCGCGACGAATTTATTATGGAAAAAGAAATTTCCGGCAATTTTTTCTGGTATACTTGCTTTTCTGCAATATGGAATGACAGTTGTCATCATCGGATGCGAAATTGGTAGTGTGCTTATCGATGTATTCACTGCTACAATATATGTGGGCTTTTGGGCAAGTATATTTTTTGTTAGTGCGTGGATTTCACAAGCAAGTTCAAGTAAGTTCGATCGTTATTGGTTAAAATTTCATCTTCCTCAAGATAATTTTCAGCTTGTTGCTGCCGTGGTCGACCTTGTGCAACATACACACTGATTAATCAATGCATAGCATTAGTTTTTGCCGCTTGTATCATTGGATTCGATGCATATTTTATCAGTTATCCAACAACATGCTTTTTTTCTACAGACATATGCACCAGCTCATCCTATACTCGTGGCATATTTTATTCAGTAAGGAATTTCTACGATGTTAAAATACCATTGATCAAAGGACAACTCGCTGCTGCTTCAGTTATGTTTGTTCTATGTCTGATTAGCATTGCACTGTATATATTCACAGCAATGCGCGTGTACCAAGCTAACAAATTATCAACGATTTCATCACCATCAAATCAATACACATTACCATCGACAACGACAGTACCTCCGACATATTCACCGTCAACATTACCAGTTGGCCCTGATGGCTTAGTTACTGCTCCTCCAGCTGTGAACGTTCGTCAAGCTAAACCGGGCTCTCCTTTATATCATCGGCCAATGATTCATCTTGATCATGCTGAACATCATACAAATGATCTGATATGTCCAACTTGCAGTTCGACGATAGCTTTAACTTTAGAAAAGAAAGCAGTCTGATAATCGATTATGTATATAAACGATTGACTTTTCAAATAAACCTTTTGTTCAAAACATTCTATTTATGATAAATGTATCAGACCTCTAATCGCATTTGAGCGTGTTGACATAAATGCGAAAATGATAGTGATTCTCAAATAAGATCAGATTATGTTTCACATCTTTGTGAACTAGTATCACATTCCATAGTTTTATTTCTTGATGTGATTGTGTGTATTCGAGAAATCAACAATACGAATCAAAAAGAAAAGTGAAGAGAAAAGAAAACCTAGTAATTGACTGATCACATAAACAAAAGAAAAAGTAATAAGAGAATACGATTGATGGAATGGAACGAAAAATTAAAGCATTCTAATCATGACTTTGGGTGCTGATGAAATTCAGTTAGAAAAACAATGGCAAACGATGTTTCCATCAATTATTTCGGGTCTATTCGCTTTTTATGAAATTCTCTGTTCAATTGGCGTCGTTGGTTGTGAGTTGGGTAGTGTCCTCATCGATAAATATAATTGCACTATTTACGTGGGATTTTGGTCTGGTTTGTTTTTGATTTCTGCATGGATTTCACAAGTACTTGCAGGTATTTTCTTTTCCGTCAGAGAGGGGAGATTTTTTTCACAGATATTTTAGTATCCCGTTGTCTGACGCGTCGATGTGCAACAGAGACATTGATATTAAAATGTATTTCATTGGTTTTTGCTGTATGTATAATTAGTTTTGATACGTATTTTGTAATTACTCCAACGGCATGTTTTTACTCGTCATCGTTATGCAATAGTAACGGAACAAGTCGTGGTGTGTTTTATTCGAAAACAAACTTTAATCAAGTTAAAATACCATTAATCAAAGCACAATTAGCCATTGCAGCAGCAATGTTTGCTTTCGATGTCGCTTATATTGTAATGTACGCAGTAACATGGAAACGATTGAAAAAATATGAACGATCCGAAGCGAAAGTTTCAAACAAATCGAAACCAATGTTTATCGATGATCATCGGTATGTGGTTGAATCCTTGCCAACTACGGATGGAAATGTGATTAACGAAAACGAGTCGACAAAAGTGACTGATCTTGATGTGGTAGATGTTCATGAAAATGTGACGGAATCATTTCCACCTTCAACTACGAATCATACGACTAAAAATATTCTCGTAAAAGAAGCAACGTTCGTTGTAACAAATGCTGAAGAAATGACAAAGTTAGCTATGCCCTCGACAATCCATTCCGTCAATAGAACGGTTATCATCACAAGACAGACACATATTGGAACAGCGAATAAAGATTCAAATAAATCTTCGCTATCAGCAAGTAGTATTACAGCAAATACTGTTTCAACGAATGCAGTTCATCATTTCATCAGAGAAAAAAGTACCACAAATGTTGTATTGCCATCAACGACAAGCATTAATGCTCTGACTGATAATCGTATTGATGAACATACAATTTCGACTATTTCAGCAAAAACACATGCTTGGGATATAGATGAAAACACGGGCAAATCTCTATTGCCAACGAAAACTACATACTACGATACCGTAAATCCTAATGAGAGTGTCATAAAATCTTCACGAAATTCAATTTCAGTTACGCATAGTTTATCTTTGAGTGACAATACTGAAAGTGTACCTCCAAGAAAAAACACACCAATACATGTTTGGGATGCTGATACAAGTGTCGTAAAATCTTTATCAGAAACAAATACAGGTATAAACACATCACTCTGGATGGATAAAACAACCACAAATCCGACCACATCACAACCGATCGACAGAGACATGTGGACAACTGATGAAAAGATTGCTGAGTCTTTGCCGTCATTTTCAGGTACAAATATTGCAGCAGTACAAACTTCTTTCATCGAGTTTCCTCATCGTTCCCGGTGGTCGGTCACTTCCGCAGATTTTCTTTAAATTAGAATATGCAAAACATCACTCAGTACTATTTTGGACGTATTCAAAATTGTAATCAATAAACAGATTTTTATTATTATAATCTATCACGACATAATTAGTCGAATCGTTGGCGCAGAACAGTTGGGGGCATAATCCTTTTCTTCTCCTTCTTTTTCAGATCAAAATTTCGTTTACGAATACCTCACATCACTTAGTATTTCTTTGCAAACTATACGCATAGTCTCGGTGACCAAGCTTATTGCAGTACACACGACAATGTAAGTACGCGTATTGATTAGCCGCCAGTGACATCTACTCGATTTATTTATATATCTGGACCGAGAGCCAATGATAGAACTCTTGTGATTCATTCATTATTGTATTAATATGATATTATTCAACCATACACCGACGACTAAGTAAGCAGATAAACACACTGCGAATCAAGCGACAAAAACGAAGATAGAAAGAATGAGAATAAGAAAGAAGTTTTGTATATTCATTCTTGCGATGTATTTGAGCAGGTCAGCTTAACTAAACAACCAGACGACGGCTTACTGTTTTTCTTTTCTCTTTTTTTACTAGTTCTTTCTCTAGAGAATGTCAAAGTTTTGTCATCAGTCTATTGATCAAAGCGAACGTAAAACAACAGAACTTCTCAATTGTTTGTTTCATCTACATTTGAAATCTGATCTTATCAATTCTTTTCTAATTGTCTTCCTTCATCTTTCCTTTTTTTTTTGACCCTGACATTCGTCATTTTTTTTTCTATGAGAGTAGAAGAACATCATAAGAGATAGTGTGCGGTATGTATGCATTGAGAATACAAGGGATGATACGGATGTGTACGTCGTCTATTACCATTACGTACCATCATTTTTGCTACCTACGCTCGAGCGTGTATACATATCTCGCACGCCATAAAGTAAGCAAAAGAAACGAGACAAAGACAGATGTTCTGTTCTATTCTGTTCTTTGTTTAATATGTTTATACTCTCGTAGAAAAGAGAAGAAAAAGAGAGGAGAACACTAGTCACTGAACAACAGTCGTCGATGTGACTAGAAGAATAGAAGATAAACATGAATGACCTGATTTTATGTGATTTATTTAGAATATGTTGTTAGTAGGCAGTTTCAAAACTTTCTCTCGTATGTGATGGCATTCGATAATAATAATACCATTGATATTCCAAATACGATCGACACCATGTCGACTCACAAAGAAGATGATAGTCCACAGCAGCAAATTAACGAACAGTCAATAGCCGCACAAGAGCTTGAAAAGAATCGGGAATGTACGTTTCAAAAGCAAATATGTGTTTTTCCAGAAAATATTCTAATTTTTTGAATAGCTTTGAAACGGAAATTACAAACACGGCGATCGCTGAAACAACTTGTCGATGTGGGGATCATGCCGCCACCAAAAGCGCCATTGCCTTATTTCGAACAACGTAAACAGTTACAAATGCGAAAAGTAAGCCAAGATAAAGATAATCTTTCAAAACATATCTATCATCTCGTACTTCTAGACGCAAGATATTTTGAAAAACAAGATCATCTCTCGTCCTGATCGCCAATTGTTGATTGAACATAATATTCTGTCAGATACAACAGCTGCACCTGCTATACAAAAAACCCAACGCCAATTAAAACGGGCACGTTTAGCTGATAATTTAAATGATAAATTAGCAGCACGTCCAGGTGTTCTCGAATTAGTCGCTAACAATATTTTAGAAATCGATTCCAATCTTAAAGAAGCTATTCAAGGTGGACTAATCAAATTTCCAAGTACAAAATCAACATCCACTCCGATCGTAACTACAACGACTACTCCTCCAAGCACATCTGTGTTCTGTTCAACAGATTCTCAACAACAACGACCACTTCGTCCAAAAACATCATCATTTTCCAACACAATCAATGGGCAACTAATAGCTACTCCAGCTACGACTAGCACTGTCACGACCAGCGCTACGAAACGCTTGTTAACATCGACGTCAAAAGCGAAATCGAGTTTAACGTTTCATGAATACAAAGGGCCATCTCGAAAAGCTGAAGTTACCAAAGTACCTTTACAACCCACGCCATCCCTAATCGTACAACCGGTTCAAGCGACGCTTGTACCATTCGTACCGTTAGAGCATAACAATACACTGAATGAGAACCATTATCGCATACAATTACGACAGCAGCAATTGTTTCTCGAGCTTCTTCATGATACTAAATCAGGAGAAAACGACGATGAAAATAGTCAACATGAAATACGTCACGAGGACAATCTTATTGGAAATCTTCTTCAACAACCGATCGATGAGAGTGTGAATATTTTATCAGCAATAACTGATGATATTCAAATGTTTGAGAAAATGAAAGTAACCGATTTGAGGAATGAATGTAGACGGTTAAATTTGAGTACCACGGGCACAAAAATGAAGCTAATTGAAAAATTAAGAAATGCAAAAGTTAAAATGTCAGGTAAGACGTTCGAGTTCTACATTCAATTGACAATTTGTTGAGATATTTAGATACAGCAATTGTTCCATCGCAAGCGATGAACACCGAATCACCCTTTACCCAAATAACAAATGCATCGCCTTCACCTCTTCGACTTATAAGTAAGATTCGTCAAAACTAAGGGATTCAGTAATACGACAGCGAGAGATTGCCGACATTGACTTCTATTTTTCATAATGAACTGAATTACTACTGACATTTGTATACAACAATAACAACCAACAGTTCTACAATGAAATCGAGTGTAATGCAGAACATGTGCTGATAATTTCCCTCGTGTGATTGTGTTAATCGTTACAATCGATTGTCATGATCATTATTCTCGTGCATTATATAATATTAATAATAACAACTAATGAGAATTACTCAATAGTCTTGTTGCTTTCAAACTCTTGTTCGTGAAAACCCAAAAAGACGATTTGTTAACCGCATTTTCTTACTAATTCGAAATATGTGGTAAACATTCCAGAGGATTTATTTGGAAAAAAAAAGAAGCATTTAGAAAGATGAAATTGTATTGCACAATTGATATGAATCATATTTTTCTGTTTCGTTCTATAGTTTCCACTTCATCGTTGAGTGATCAAGAGCTCTACCAACAGCAACAACAGAAAATTGTAGAACTAGAAAATCAGTTACAAAAAATGAAGCAACTCGATTCATCTTCACTTCAAGCATCACATGTTCTCCAACATACAGACAACACAACAGCAACGAATGTAAATACATCTTCTTGTTTTGATCAAACATGCGACATGTTTATTCCTATAGATCCCACCGAAATGCAATCCAATTCTATGCGTTCAAATTCAAAAACGTAAGACGAAATTCATCTGACTGTATTTACATAGTTAATGGCCTTTGTTCCGTAGGAATTCTCATGGAACAACAAGCAAAGCTAAAGCAGAAGATTCATGATGAGCAGAGTCAACAACAACAACAGCATTCCATTGTTCCGTTAACTCCTGAATGTGTTGCAAGATTTTTGGAAAATCAAACTCAGTCACAAACCTCAACTAATCACCCATGGTCGATACACCATTCGATATCTGCTCCAACATTGCCAACCTACATGGATAGTAATTATCACGACACATATCTATCGGTAAAGAAAATCTTCCATTGTCACAAGACAAATGTATCATTTTCTGTTATCTTTCAGGGACATACAGAAAGTAAAATTGATGACGATGTGATACTCAGTATACTGGGTGATTATACAGGTACCATCGAACTAATAGCTGAGCTAACGTATGACTTTCTTCTTTATAGCTTCTAGCTCAACACTACCACTATCTACAGATGATTCTCTATCCAATCCAACGAACTCCTGTATATCTTCATCTCCTTCCACGCACATGGATTGGATGCCAATGACATCTCCGACAATAATGAGCGAGTTTTACGATGATAACAATCCTGATTTTACACAATTCCTTAATCAATTCGGTAACGATCATCATCTGCTTTTCGATTCAACCTTATCAACGTGTCAGCAACAGAATACTCTGTCGTTCGATTTGCTTTCGCCGTCAAGTCCAATGATTTGATTCATGCTTTGCTTGTCTTATTTCTACATGTTTTCTCCTTCTTTTGTTACTTGTGTGAGTGTGTTTTTGATACATATATATATATATTTTGTTCGCCGTCACCCGTTATTCCTTTCGACATTCAGACATAGAAGAAAAAACCGAAATAAATAAATCTATACATATATAATATTCTTCGACATTGTTTTACCTTCGATAACGGGTGACGCCTAATTAATCCTTTTGCGATATTTAATAAAAAAGTCAAAAGTGCAACACTGTCATTCTTGTCTATGATTTAAATACATCCTCCTATGATGGTATACATGTATTTGTTTTTCTATTTCTTGTTATCTTCTGATAAGAATTTTATCTAGAGATCTGTGAATAGCTACAGACACGATTCTCGTTACACAATAAACGTGTGAGCTTGCCTAGTCTTACCCTACGTTGAAATTCTCAGGCTAAAAAAGTATGTCTTTACATTCATCATTAACTAAGCAATCATCCGAGATTTTCTTCGATTCAGATGGCAAATTTATCTGTTGATGAGCTATCTCCACTAATGTTTCACGCATCTCGTGCCCCATTGAAATCAGACATGCGAAGTACATGGCAAAAAAGACTTTCTTTGCTCTTTGTTTTATTAGCTGTTGGCTTTGAACGATTAACGTTTTATTCTTTATCGGGAAATTTGATACTCTTTCTAACATCAGATCATATTCGTTGGACATCTCGTCATAGTCTCAATGCATCATTTATCTTTTTTGGTAATGAATCTATTGATGAATATCATCATAATATATTTCTGTTCTCTGTCTATTTAACAAAAGGAACAAGTTATGCATCTACACTGTTTTTCTCGTGGATAAGTGATGCCAAAGTCGGTCGCGTGAAAACGATTGTTATTGGTAAACAAAAGATTTCACTGTCTTTGTGAACGGCTACTTACATAAGTGATCTTTAGGCTTTCTCATCTACATTGCTGGTTATGTCTTTTTTCCATTGTTTTCTCGTGGCGAAGTATACAAAGTCATATGTGACGGGCCACCCGTTCATATACATGAATCAGCACCGTATTTTCACGAAAAGTGCAGTATTCAAATAACAGCTACTCTTGTTATCACGTAAGTTGATTTCTCGTTATCCGAAAATAGTCGTCTGATTGTTCGTTTAGAGCAATTGGTATAGGAGCAGTTGAAGCCAATATGGCTGTATTAGGTGCCGAACAAATTCGTGGTCAAAAAGCCACCACGCAGTACTTTGCTCAATACTACACTGCTGTTAACATTGGCTCATTTCTCGCATATGGCATTATTGCATATGTGCAACAGAATAGATCGTATCATGTAGGTTACCTTATCTCCACTGGATTACTTGCATTTACATTGGTACTATTTGTCGCCGGCTATAAATGTTACATTCCAGTTCAACCACATGATTCCGTAGTGACGAACTTCTTTCCTGTGATGATAAATGCGTTTCGAAGTTGGCGAACCCGTCCTCAACGTACACGTAATATACATCGTAATCATCGATTTTCTCGTAAGGCACTCAGAGCTAGTGACCAACTTGATATTAGCGATAATTTGACTTTCGATGGTAATGAACAATCAAGATCATTTTTGGACTATGCAAAAGTGGAGTATAACGGGCAGTTTCCCGGTCGTGTCGTTGATGATATCAAAGCACTTCGCCGTATTATAGTCATGTTTGTACTTTTAATACCCTATTGGTTATTATATGTTCAGGTAAATCCCTCCTTACAACTTTTGAATTTTGATTGATATACCTATTTTAGAGTGATACGACCTTTATTGTGCAAGGTGTACATATGAGAGTACCGAAGTTTCAATCGGAGACACGCAGAATGCCAGTTGTTTGGCTTTCTTTGAGCGATCAAATAGTGATTATTCGTATGTATTTGATATACTTTCTTTCTTTGTTTCTTTTGAAAAAAGGATTGTTGGATTCAATAAAACTCACAACTTCTATGCATTCTAGTCATTCTGTTCATTTTTAATGCATGTATATGTAGTCATCTTCATGTGAAAAATCGTCTATTTTCAATTAAACTACGTTTTATTCTTGGTATGCTTGCTGCTACACTATCCATGTGTTTAACTGGTATAGTTGAGATCTTTCGTCAACAAGGTTGTAGTTCATCTTTTCCACAAACGATTGGTATATAATAATTGTGTTTCTACATACAAAACACATGTTGTCTGCTTCACCCATTTATAGGTGACACTGTCTACAATACATCTGCTATGTCAGTATTTTATCAGTTACCACAGTATGTTAGTATGGGTGTATCCGAAGTGTTTGCTTCGGTTGCTAGCTTGGAGTTTGCTTATTTAACTGCACCACAGTCTGCTCAATCATTTGTGATGAGCCTTCGATTCTGTTCCGTTGGTCTTTCATCGTTCTTGGCTTCGGGCTACATGAATATCTACGATGGATTAAATGCCAACTTTTCCATCACCAATTCTGAAGTAAGCTACTCGAAAATTGAAACTTTTCTTGATTACTATGATGAGTACATTTCTAGTGTAAAGACGCCGAAAAACCGCAACTGTTTTATGTTTATTTTTTTGTTTTGGCTGGCATTCAACTTATTTTCCTATTCGTTTTTCTCGCATGCGATCGACGATTCCGTATAATCAAAGCGTCGGAACATCGATTCAATACACGATTATTTATCGGACCAAATGTTGGCACGTCCGATACGTAAATGTTACTGTTTAGATCATTCTAATTTGTTCTATTTTGTATATGAGTTTCTGAAATAAACGAGCGACGTAAAAAAGTCCGATGCGTTTGTTTACTTCAGAGCGTGTTTTGAAGTACTCTATTCAAAATCACTTTGATGATTGTCCGCCATACATTTAGACATATTTGTTTTTCTTTTCACGTTCGGAATCAGTGTCTTAAATCAATATTAACTAAGAGCGAGCGAGAGAAAAAAACAAAGATACTTTCATTTAAATGGATCACTTTCTTTTCTCACATGCAGATATTAAAGTTGTTAGCTTTTGAAAAAAAAAGAAACAATCAATGACAACACTGACAAGTAAATTTCAAGATATAACCAAACAATTGCAGCAGTTAAGTATTTGGAGACCCAATGAACGTAATCCACTGCTCGAACTCGAACGATGGCGTGAAGATGCTCATCAAACCATCGAACAATTGTACAATAAGAAACGATATGAAATTGGACAAGTAACCGAGAAACACGAACGAGAATTCCTACGACAATTAGCAAGACAACGTTTGCAAATGAATAACATTCAACAAAAAATTCCGACAAAGCCAGTAGCTAATCCTTCGCTTCGTACATTTCACGAAAACTCCATCTTTAATGAATTGCAAACGATTGAAAATGATATCAACACACGATTAGGTCGAGCGGAGATAACTCTTGAAACATTACCTTTAAATTGTAATGGTTTGGTCACCGTTGGTCTGAAAACGTACCTCTCGGGAAAGCCAGTTCCACATTGCAAAGAAATCTCGTTCAAAGATCTACCGAAACGATCAGCACGTCGATCGGCAGACGAAGTTCGAACCGCACATCAAAAGTGGCTTCAGACAAAGAAGGAGGAAGAAAATCTCCGAAGAGAATATTTCGATACTCGCCAACAAGAATTGGCAAACGAACGTCAAGTATTTTTTCGAAACACAGCAAATCAGGCAGCTTTTGAAAGGTGGAAGCAACAAAAACGAGAAAGCGGCGCATTCAAGAAAAGAAAAGTCGATGAACGTCGTATTAACGATAGTATTGAACAAGATATTGATGAATCTTAGAAACGGCCTTGTAGGCGGTTTAGTTTTTGACATGGTGTTACATTTTGAAATAAATCATTTCATCATTCATTGAACGTACGTCAACTTTCACATCTTTTTTTTTTCTTTGCCGAAGAAAATATTCAATCAGTTCTCGGTTTTATTTCTTTTACTCTAAGTTGATCCACAGGCTGAAAAACAATTCACAAAACGACTTTTTATTACGATGCTTTGTACAAAAAAAAACGTTTCCTACGTAACTTCTTCAACAACAACACTATTCTATTGTTCATATTCAACATGGTGTGTTCATTCAACATCGTTTTCCTACATATCATGAAAAAAACAGCACGATAATTATGTACAATTAGTAATTGCCTAAGAGCGAACATGCAGAATAATCGCATGTTTCAGCACGAATTGTAGTTACAATTGAATCTATGATTTTTCATCCAACAGACTTACGAAGTTCGACTCGGTGAGCAAATAATAATATAAATAGATGACGCATATTAAAAGCATGAGAATTATTATGATGAAAACGAAAATACGCAACCATAATAAATTCGATTGAGTAAATGTGAACCAACGAGTCTTGAACGGTTGATCATCAGGATTCAATATACATTCGTCTTTTCCATCCAGATAAGGATAATTCATCATGGAAAGATCTAATCAAATACATTGAAGAACATCTTTTGTACATGGAAATTTAAAGAATGATAGTAACTACATACCAATTAATGTATCTTCATCTGTATACCTTGTGTAGAAATATGCAGAACAACAACCGATATCGTCGTTCATTCTGAGTTGAATAATACTGGAAACAATCGGTGACTATTTGATTGATCAATCGTAAACGATGTTGTATTCGATTATGTTAAATCTAATTTTCACAGACTGAAATAATTTCTCGACCTACGAAGCTAATCAATCAATACACGTATATTTATAATAATAAACGACTTCGTCGCTGATCATTTTTATATAGGCATGTGACGAACAGAGAAAAAAAAGAAGCAGTGTTTGTTACGAACGCACTTTACGCACAGTTTAAGTAGAGAACAGGTATGCACACTTAAATGCTTTGCGTTAGATACAATAATATTTTTATCGTACTTTGAGTTTGTGTACTCATACTAAGACGTGAAGCGTGAAGTATGGCTCTATAGATACACACAAAGATTTATTACGCCCATTTCTTCGAAAAAATTCAAAAAAAAAATTTCAATGTGATCATATAGCTACAGAACGTATTCTTGCGGTCGAGTCGTACATAGTTCTGTTATCGTTGTACGTAATATTGTGAAGTAAAGCTTCTATCAACACTGTTCTCTTCTCTAGTAGGCATGATTACACAATATCAAAGAAAAGATCAAATGATGGAAAGAAAAGCAGCATATTAAATGTTATTGTAAGACGTAACATGAGGTTATTGACGTTAGTCTATTATTATCATGAAAACCAGATTTGTACGAACGTTATATTCGTGGCGTACTTATGGTGCATAAAAAGATATTGCGCTTCTGTCGCGAGTTCGAAGAAAAAAACCAGCGTAGGTTGTGATGAACGCCATATGAGTAGGGCTTCCTAGAATCTTTATGTAACAGGATGCCACTTTTCAGGACGCAGCTAATTATTTTATATCGAAATGCAACTCTTTTTCATTCAAAAATTTATCATGATCTTGTAATCATAACGACGGAGCACGCATGTAGACATGTCAAAAAAACAGTTGTTATCACATACAGATAAGAAAGTCTGAACAAACATCAATATTTGATCAATACGCTGACCAGAGACGTCTAAAAATGCACGCAACTGTAGTCTACCTTCAAAAAATCTAGAGCGACACAATAGTCATCGCTAAATGGATTGACACTGTTTTATCGATCACTCATTTCGTAGTTGGTAAGCGTGGTGAATGTTACGTCTGATCTAACACCGAATTCAAATAATTTATTATTCCAAAAAAACATCCTATATGCTTATCGGAGTTAAGCTATGTATTGACTCTGTCATGCGCATATTTGACAGTTTAGATATCTGCAGACTTCATGGTCGTTCTATATTTCAGCAAAATGAGGATTTTGTGCAAAAACTAATGAATTCTAATTCTACTTTTTGGCTTTCGGAAGAAAATGGTTCAAGTAGTTTGAGGCAAAAACTCTACGAAGAAGTAAAATTCCATGCTTTCAAACCCACAATCTCGTTCTATTTGAGAATCATGCCTCGAAACAAAATCTTATAATTATACTACGTTCAAAATTTTCTAAGATCTTTACCTCGATCAATAAAAACGGGAAAAAGTAATGCCGATTCTCTTCAACAAATTCAAGAATTGAACACAAATCATTACCCATGTTTTCGATCGTGTTTTTTATTTCTTACAGACTGCGGCATAATAACACACAACTACAATACAGTCGTTCAACAATAGTCAACATGACTATATTTCACACAGCGAAGAGTAGATATTAACATATGAATCACAGTTTATCGAACAGATAATCGCCTACTCAGGCTCAGATCTAATTGAGTCTTGAGGGTGTGAGGGTAGGTGTGAATGTTGATCGAAAAACTGCACATTTGTGTTCGAATAGCGTAACGTTAACTTGTACCATGTTTCCTGATGTTCCATAACTGTTAAGATTACTACCGTCTAATTTTACCAGCATTTCTTACTTCTAAGAAAATGTGATGCGTTTTTTATCTACTTCCTGTAAAACAATGTATTCACCACTGCAGTTCATACCAACTACTATGTGTAGATAATTTTGGTAATCGCTAAATTACGAATATTCTTGCACGTAATTCTACTACTACAGTTAGAAAGAAGCGATCGAGAATCTATAACGAACGAAACATATTGTGCTATGCTACTTGTTTCGACAACAATTAGTATCTTTACTTTCATGTGCGAAAGAAATACAGATTAGATTCTATGCTCGGACTCTCTTGTCGAATTATCGACACATCGAAACTAACTAAGAGGGAAATGCTGATGATGATCTACTCTATTTTTCTTTAAATATCAGTCAAAGTTACTGGATTGCATAGCTATACTCTAGAATATCGGTCTGAACATTCGAACTATCACGGCATCTATCTTTACATATTGTACGTGTCTCTGTACTTCTAAAATATAAAGAGACGAAGAAAAGAGAGAGAAAATGACAAGTCACCTTACGATTCGCCTTACTATTTATCAAATGAAAATCGAAAACGGCTTTGCTAAAAAAAAAAGGAACTACAAGGCCTGTTGATTGTTTTTTACTTATGCATCTCCGCTGGTCGAACTATCAACATACGCATGATGATCATTATTTTCGGGCAAATTTTGCGTATTGGTAAAACTAATTCTCGTTTTAAGACTCTTGAATACATATTTCTGTGTGTGTAGGTATCTAATACAAGTAATATTTACGATGAATATGTCAAGTTAAAATCAAGGTAAGCATTTGATTTCGACGTGGTAATCAGTGTTCGTGATTTATTCAGAAACAAGAAAATTTGTAACATATAAGAATTTAATAAAGTCGCCTGTTTCCTATTATATGTGAACGAAACCATCCGGTGTATCGTACAGATCAGATAAGTCTTTTGGATATGAAGCAGTTCCTTGCGAATATAGAGAATTGTACTGATTATTTTGTGAATCAAATGTAGAAAATGATCCTGGATACTCTTGAGATCGATACTTCTTATTATCAATAACGACAGAATTAAGTACGGCATAAGGCACTTCTGCAACAATAATACGTCCCGTCGATGAAAATTCTGTTTTCTCTATGGTAATTATCGAATCAGAACCTAAATCCAAGCATCGAAGCGCCTTTTGAATGTCGTGTAATTCTGACGGTGACACCAGCGTGGAAGAAATACTTATTTGTTGGTGCTGGATTGGTTGTGGTGGCGGTATAGAACTCGACAAGTTCGTGTATTGTGCTAATGGCATATCATTTCTTGTAGGAGATGCTGCTCGATGAATGTCATGCGCCGGTGGCTGAGGGATATTTGACGAGAATGGCGGCGGTGATGGTGATAGCGTACGTGTTGATTGAAATGGTGGAGAGGTGGTGAACTGAGATGTTTGTTTGACAGGCACTGGTGAATATGCTGTTTGAGGACAATAGTAGTCGACTTTTCGATCCGTTTGAGGAGGATAGTAGTCGACCTTTCGATCCGTTTGTATTTCACTATGAACAGGAGTAGATCGTAGTTGTGATAAATAATCAGGAGTTTGCACTCTAGCCTCTTCTGATGCTGTCGACTTTGGTTGCAGCGATGACGGTGCTGTTTCGGGAGGATAGATGCGCTTATAAAACGATGGAATTGGTGGGACGGCATGATCAGGAGGTGAATCATTGTCGATTATCCATGTGTCATTAAGAATAGTAACTGGATGGCGTTTATTCTCTGCATATTTACTCGCAGTATTAGAATTTTCCTGTAACGTATTTTCTTTCAGAGGTGCTTTTTGTGTTGTCGTGCTGGAGTCAGCCCAGTGCGGATTCTTCGACGGTTCAGTTGCCTTGGCTGATACGACTGAGTTATCTGGCATTTTAACGTTCGAATATGAATTCTCCCGCGGTGGACTTGGCTGTTGGGAAGGTGTCGTTGTTGTTTGAGGCACAGTGTTTTTCCAATAAGGATTCTGCCATGGTTCATCTGGTTGTTTAGAAGACTCCTTAGGCTGAACATTATTATCTTTCCAATAGGGATTAACCCATGGAATATTTTCTTGCTTCGCTGGCTTTGATTGATTGTCACTATGAATAACCTTGTATTTGTCATCTTTCCAATAAGGGCTTTTCCACGGTGCCTGTTCTGCTTGATCCGGCTTCGCTGCTTCAGATATTCTCGCTGTATTATCCTGCTCAGCAGGCAATGCAGGTTGAATAGGCTTATCCTTCCAATATGGATTCTCCCACGGTTTCCGCACTTCTGCGCTAGACTTAGCATTAGCTGTTGGCTGATCTTTCCAATAAGGATTCTGCCATGGCGTTGGTTCCTTTTCAGTAGACTTTACCGCTTCAGATACAATGGGTTTGAAATCTAAATTTTCTGCTGACTTATCATCCTGCTTAAACGAAGTTGTTTCCTGAACACTTTGATTCTTCCAATATGGATTCTCCCACGGCGTCTGTGCTTCTTTCGCTGGTTTAACACTAGTGACTGGTTGATCCTTCCAATACGGGTTTTGCCACGGCTCTACTTGTAGTTTTGGACATGTCGATTGATCAGGCGCAGTACTTTTCGAAGTGACCGTCTCTGGTTGCTCGAGAGAAACTGAAGTCTGTGTTGTGACAGTTTTACGATCAGCCGTTCTCCACATTATGTCATCTGTTGTCGTATTAGTTGATTTATCTTCTTTCTTAACTGCTGCTGGAGTTGCAGATGTTTGACTCTTCCAATATGGATTCTCCCACGACGTCTGTTGTTTTTGCTTAGTAGCGGTCGACTTTCCAATTGCATCATCGTTCCAATACGGATTTTTCCATGGCTCAGCTTCTTCCTTGATGCTTGTCACCTTTTCCGCAGCCGCCTTGTGGTCTTTCCAGTATGGATTCACCCACGGCTTCTCTTCCTTTTTACTATCCGCAGCATCGCTCAACTTTGTAGAACCTATCGATACATCTGGTTGACTCAGAGAACGTGAAACTACTGCAGATTTGTTCCTCCAATAAGGATTTTCCCATGGCGTTTCTTCTTTCTTGTCATTAGTTGCTACTGGAATTGCGGTTTTGTCTTCTTTCCAGTATGGATTCACCCACGGTTTTTCTTCTTTGTTTGTCTGTGTTAAGAGTGAAGACTTAAGATTTTCTGATTGTGGGTTTTTCAAAGATGTGCTTATCTGTTTCTCCGTCCAATATGGATTCTTCCATGGTTCAACTTCTCTCTTCACACTGGCCGCTGCTGGTGCTGTGGCTTTATGTTCCTTCCAGTAGGGATTCTCCCACGGTTCGTCTTCTTTCTTGCTGTCCGTCAAATCTTTCGATTGTGAAGTGCTGATCGATGCATCTGGTTGACTCTGAGATCTTGCAAGTGCTACGGATCTATTCTTCCAGTAAGGATTTTCCCATGGCTTCGCTTCCTGCTTTGCCTCTGTAGGTATGGAAGGCTCAAGGTCTTGTGGTTTCAATTTTTCGAGAGGACTGCTGGTCTCTTTATCTGTCCAATAGGGATTCTTCCACGGTTCAGCATCCTTCTTCATAGTAGCCGCTACTGAGGTTGTCACTTTTTGTTCTTTCCAGTAAGGATTTTCCCATGGCTTCGCTTCCTGCTTTGCCTCTGTAGGTATGGAAGGCTCAAGGTCTTGTGGTTTCAATTTTTCGAGAGGACTGCTGGTCTCTTTATCTGTCCAATAGGGATTCTTCCACGGTTCAGCATCCTTCTTCATAGTAGCCGCTACTGAGGTTGTCACTTTTTGTTCTTTCCAATATGGATTTTCCCATGGTTTGTCTTCTTTTTTACTGTCTGTCGAATCTAGTTGGCTTAAGGATCTTGGAAGTGCTGCGGTCTTATTTTTCCAGTAAGGATTCTCCCATGGCTCTGCTTCTTTCTTTTCGTCAGATAGTTTCGAACTCGAATGCTTTTCTTTCCAGTATGGATTTTCCCACGGTGTGTCTACTTTTTTGCTGTCTATTGAATCTTTCAATGTCGAAGCACTGACTAGCGTATCTGGTTGACTCAGAGACCTTGGAAATGCTGCAGATTTATTCTTCCAATAAGGATTCTCCCACGGCTTTTCTTCTTGTTTCGTTGAAGTCATTAATACGGGTTTACTATCTCCTGAAATAACATTGCTTTTCGATTCGCTTTCTTTCCCAGTAGACGTTTCGGTGGTGGATTTACTCTCTTGCCAATAAGGATTTTTCCACACAGAATCATCTTTGTTCGTAGACATTGAGGTGTCAAGCTTGTTGTCTTTGATTTTTAATTCACCGGCAGACTGATTTGATTCGTTAAGCGTGGTAACATTCGGAGATGCTTTCGTTTTCCAGTAAGGATTTTCCCACGGAGTTTCCTCTTTTACTACAGATTGAGGTATTTCTTTTTTATCTTGTTTGGAATTCGAATTATTTACAAGTTTGTTTCCGTGTGTGGCCAGTGTTGATATGGTAGACGATTTATCTTTCCAATAGGGATTCTCCCATGGTTTGTCATCTTTTACATCTGGTTTTTCTACTAATTCAAGGTGCGGCTTTGAAATGATAAAGACTGATGATGCTTTATCTTTCCAGTAAGGATTTTCCCAAGGTATCTCTTCTTTTCTGCTGGTCTCTGAGGTATCCTTTTTATCATCATTTGAAGTCGAGGGTAAACTTGACAATTTGCTTTCTTTCCAATAAGGGTTCTCCCATGGTTTCTTATCTTCTATGCGAGATTCCTCATTTTCCGTCAACTTCAGATTATCGGTTGATTCATTCGGTCCTTTAGAACTTGTTTCGGTCGTGACTCTTTCAGTTTTCCAGTACGGGTTTACCCATGGCAGATCTTTTTCTATGTTGATGGATGGCTTTTCAAAGGGTCGAGCGTCTAGAGAAGAGTCAGTGGAAGGATTAGAGTCGATAGGCGCTAAAAGAGAAGAGAAATTGTCACTTCTTATTGAAGAATCCTTCTGTGTATCATAAGAAGGATTGGAAGAAGTAGTACTTATTCTCTTCTCTACAATGACTTTGCCATCTCCTTGATTTGCTGTTGACCAATATGGATTGACCCATGGCTTCGTGTCGATACTAACTTCGTCCGACGCAACGTTTGGTTTGTTTATTAAAGATGCGATTCTGATGTCATCTTCATCGGATGAATCGGTTTCCTTCAAACGTTGATAACCCGAGGAACTGTACAGTAGTTTCGATCTTGCGTCATCACTTTTCAACGTGAGCGAATCGTCTTGATCCATTCCGTCATCTGTTGGACATTTTTCAGTTGTATGGAATGAGTCGTCAGATCTATGTGAAAAGTCGCCAGAGTCCTGCTTCTTCCGTTGCGCACTTATTGTAAGTTTGTTTTGATCGGCAGGTGCATTTGCGCCCGGTACGAAACTACGAAAACAAATTTTACTCGGTTAGAACTTCAATTAATTCATATGTAGCTAAAATGTCATTACCATGGAGCATTAGAACTATCAATTTGCTCATTAACTGTCGTTCGTGTTGTTGTAATCACTGTTTTCGAGATAGGGCCCCAATATGGGTTGACCCATTCTTGTTTTTCTGTTTGTTGTTTTGATTTATTTTCAATAGGAAGAGTGTTCTCAGTAGTTAACTTGTTTTCAACCTCTGTCTGTGTGTCACTATTTATGTAAATGTCGTTGACTGCTTTAATTAGAGCTTCGTCATGATCAGTATCGTTATTGCCAACGTCCCGGTCCGTAGCATCATCGTCATCATCAATTAGTGGCTTGATCACTTTCCTGACACTTTGATTTTTCTCTGCATTCCCCCGGGAGTGTTGTTCTATGTCACTTTTTGCTTCATGCCAACTATCACTAGTTGTTGTTTTCGATGTCGCATCCGACGTATTAGACGATGATGTTGTGTCTTCATCAGAAACTTCCTCTTCTGTCGAACTTTGATTTCTTCGACTGAACATTTGATTGGATACAACTGTGTAACAAACAATAAACTTTATCTATCTAAATGAATCAAAATAACAAGCTTCCCTACGTAAAGCTAAGACGAAATGAAGGTTATGTATAATAATACCAATAGATAAATAAATATCTATGTAAATGTATAAGTATCTATCAATGACGACAAGAAGTATTTCGTTCTCCTTTTCACTATACGTCCATGAAAGAAAGAAAAACAGAAAATAGCAATTCAAGCATAACCGGCAAGTGAAAAATGCTACTAGTAGAATGTTTATTTATGAGATCAATGAGTCATAATTACACAAAGTCATGTTTCTGTTTTTCGTTTTTGTTTTGTGTCTGTCTTTATTGTGGTATCAAAAAGTGCATAACAAGAGAAAGAACAAATGCTTTGTAATTTATCTGGCCAAGGATAATTGTCTTCGAAAGACAGGTGAAATTATGTTGATGACTGTGTTTGCGTATACGTTTCCTCATATATTTTACGCCAATGATGTTAATATAGTTTTTCGTTCGTTCTTCCTTTTATACAAATTCATAAAAATAGTGAAGCGCTTGCCAATGGATTAAAAGACTTGCTCGTTCAACTAACCTACCCTCGACGGAGGATAGCTGTTATGAAATAACTTTATTTCGTTGCGAGTTGTCATATGAGAGCTTTCGAAGTATGTATGATGTAACAGACACAGAAGAGAGAAGGAGAAAAAAAAAGACTTTTTTCATACATATCACGTAATCTTAAGTCTCAGTCAATTGACAATTTTTCGTTTTTTCTTGTCGTTCTTTTTGGGATGTGTGTCTATGTCTGTATATGCAAATTATAACTATCGTTAACGTTAAATCATGTTTCTAGTGAAAAAAATTGTTCGAGTAAGTTCAAATCTATCAATTAATGACAATAATACTATTCATTGTTGTACATGTCAACAGTTGAATGTTGTTTCTTCTCTTTCAACCTCCTTGATTGTGTACAGTACGAGAGAAAGAGAGCAAAAGAAGAAAAAAAATTGAGACTGAAGTAAAGAGGACAGGTCAACTTCATTATTATTCTTTCATTGTACATCAGAAATATACGACAAAACAGATGCCTTTCAATCGTCTACGACGTTGGGTAAGAATATCTATATCCATAGTTTTATTGAATTGAAACAGTGTGTGTTTTTCCTTCCGAAATAAACAAACGAAGATACGATCTATCTATTTTGTTTTTGTCATTAATTTTAGCGAGCGCTTTTGCTCTGTCGTTTTTCGGTAAGAATGAAAACATGACATATCGAAAGCATGTCTTGATCGCATGAGCATCTTGAAATGAAAATCTATAAATAACTTTCCTTTATAACATGCATCTCATCGACGAACTGTCTTTTAGAACCATCCTGATGAACATGTCTATTCAACGTATGATGAAACATTTGCAAGTGAATCAATTTCATCGAAAGATACGCATAGTCATTCAAGTAGTCCTAACAACAAAGCATCTATAACATCGTTTGTTTACGTTCATTGATAGGTTCATCCGATGGTGGTATCTCATCCGGACGTGAGAGTTGGATGAGTAGTCAAACAAATGTTTATGACCAAATTTGTTATGATGCTATTCAAACAACTACGGAGAATAATTTAACAGCAAAATATGAAGATAGATCACCACCTTATACACCCAGTCATTTATCCGATGATGCAGCAACTGAACACTATTATTATCGTTTGCCAACACCATCGTCGATCAATGAAATCATCTCGAGTAAATCTTCTCGTTCGCAACAAACGAATTCGAAGAAAGAATTACATAAAGAATTGGCGCATCGACAAAAAATGTAATCTTGAAGCTATCTATCGATTAATGAAATCCTTTGTGCTTTCTAGGGGACAATTATTGCCGAAAAAACCTGAGTTACTCAATGTTTTCAAACATCGACGTGAAGAGGAAAAGAAGCGCGAAGAAGAACGGTCCCATGAACAAACGAAATTAGAGCAGATTCTTGCTCGCCAACGGCAAAAGCTCGAAGAGGTACATTCGCTTGTCTTTTTCACTATAAAGCCATTGTTTTCTATGCGATTTTCTTTAGACGAATAATATTTGTTCGATTTCTAGTAACGCAAGTGCATATTCGAATGAATTTGAATTTGTTTATCATCGAATTCGTCAACAGCAGAAGAATAGAAAAGAATAAAATGACATTTGATTTGTTTTTATGTTCATTTAAAGAAAAATAATACTTTTCTTCATTTGCTTTTCGGTTTTCTCTTTTAGATAAAAGGAAAAACTAATAAAAAGAAAAAGATTCGTGCTCAAATATTTTCTAAATTAAACTACGCTCTTTCAATGCAAGTCAACATATCGATCTCGATCTTGAATGTTCTTCTCCTTCTATTTTCCTCGTCATGTTCGGGCATGATGATGCGTAATCCCATGTACGAAGCTCATCCATGTGATACCTGTAGAGAAATCGGTGAGAAGTTCATCGAAGTATGATTTCGTTTTCCGGAAGCATCTTGAACTTCATCCGATGAATTTTAGGGCTACAGAAAAACTGCTGGAAGTAATTTCGGAGGGTAACATTTTCCTATGATGCGCTATAAATTCTATTTATCTTTATTTTTAAGGGGCAATACCGATTGGGAAGAAAAGAAATTGAAAGGATATGCGAAAAGGTAAAGATTGCACAACAATGATACGTTGTGTCGAGATGAGATGAGGAAAAAATCAATTAGAAGGTTAATCAAGTTCATTTTCTTCGTCTAGAATGTTTGTTCGCATTAAGCTCTTCAAACAAATGATCCTTTTAAGCTCTTAATTACTTCAAGGACTTTTTGAAGATTTTACTATTTAGTTAAGACAGTTGACTGTTCTTAATCTAACATTTCTTTCAACTTATGTTTGTACCCAATGAACGGAGGATTAAACATCAACGATTTCTTTATTTAGTGAAACTCGTTTTATTGAAATCATGGAAATTGCATGCTCAAAGTCAGAATCTCAAGTAAAACGACACATTTTCTCTATCGAACATTGCACACGAGGCTCTGTACGCATTTAGTGTAGTACCTTTCTTGAAAAATACGAAGATCTTATTGAAGAATGGTATCGAACATCGTTATTAGAAACAATTGATACTTTTACAAAATGGTTATGCATTGATACAGCGAAAGTATGTTGTCCGCAAGGAACATTTGGCAAGAATTGTCGAAGATGTCATCATGGCGATAATGGACTACTCTGTTCGGGCAATGGACTCTGTGACGTAAGAAGACGACGTCGTTTATTTATGAAAATAGATCACTTTTATATAACAACAGGGCGATGGTAAAAGATCAGGCAATGGTCGATGTCTTTGCAATACGAAATATAGTGGAACCAATTGTTCTAACTGTCAAAGTGGATATACGAAATCAGTTGATGCAAATAATCAAATAGTTTGTACAGGTAAGAGATGAGAATGGAAGGATCAAAGTACTGTTCAGTTTTTCGTAGATATTGATGAGTGTCGGACAAACTTCTTTTTCCCGCCCTGTGGATTTTATAAATGCAATAATACGGATGGCCGTTTTGAATGTTACGGTGAGTGAGTTATTTTCAATGACGAACTTTTCTCTTTGAAATAGTCGTTTAGGTGAACCATTCTATCTTCAATCATCAAAAATGAGTCTTATAATTGTTCTTTTCATTACAACAAGCATCCTCATGTACAAAGATATGCAAAATCTTGCGTTGCTAACTTGCATCCTAACAGCTGTACTAGTATTCGCTTTCTCTCGAAATATTCTGTGATAAAATCCGGTATCCGATCAGAAAAGAGGACTTTCACTTAAAAAACCAATCAATTAGATTAAATATGTTTTGTTTTTTACTGTCATTTGACTTTGTATTCAGTACGATGACTGATTATGTCTCAGACGATTTCATAGACAAGAAAGATCGATATTAAAAGCTATATTTAACTCAGCACGTGTTCAAGAGAGTACAAATAACAATAAACCTTCATTTTTACTGTTTTCAACAGTAATAAAATCAAAAGAAGATTCCGTCGATGTGCTACTTATATTGAATTAACCATGATATACAATTGATGATGTCCTTCCGAGTGCATCTGGCTCGTATAGATGTGTATTATCGATGTCTACTGATAAATAGTTTTCCTTCACGGCAACTGAGACAGAAAATATACTATAAATCATTCAATAGACAAATATTTCTGGACTTTTCGATAACGTATTGATCTAACGGTCGGAGACAAAAATGTTCTATGTGAGATATTCAAGGACGTACTGATGATGCTTCGTACAAGCGTAGTTCGATCTTGATTAGCGTAGACAAAAACTTAAATATGTAATAAATTTATATATGTAATGGTAAGATTACTGACACAGTCAACAAAGTAGACAACGATAACGACAGTATACACGTCAAACACACACAAATACACGACAATCATACAAAAAAAGATTTGTTTTTTCTTTCTCCGTGAGGTTTCTTTCTATGGAATGATCTCTACAATATTTCAGCTAGGGTTAACACTTTTGTTTTGATTCAAAATTTCTGAAACGTGCCATACGTTGCTCCATTCGTGGTCTCCATTCAATAGCTACCGATGTACGATCAAGACTAAGAGATGTTTGCATCTGATCATAGAAACCCATCAGGAGATACTGTCGATCGAGCTTCAAACGTGGACATGAACATTGAACATCTTTGCGTGATACCCACACCCATTGTTCGCTATCTTGTATACGATTGAGACGATCTTTGTAAACACGAATGATTGTCAAGAGATAGGATACCCATTGGCCAGCATCATGTCGATTGGTCACACGAGCATGAATAGCTAAAGAAACAATTGCTACCAACGCCTTTCGAATAAATTTTTTCTACATACTATAGTCTCGTTTACAGAATTTCTTTACATGCAATCGGCGACTGTAGTAACGGCAAGCACCGCAATATTGACCCATGTCTATCGACGGATTGTATTCCATGAAACTTGGACGAAGGGTTGACGTAGTCGTAACAGCTATTGGCGTCGTCGTTGCCGTGGTTTGTGGTGCTGGTGCATTATCATAACTATTATCATCAGCATCTTGTTCGTGATATTCATCTGTTTCTGGATATCGACGATAAGTACCATACAATGGGTATGGATGATGCTCGACTGGTTCTAATCGAGAACAGTTTTAATATTATTATTAAGAAAAGTTCATTGCAAATAGTCCTGCATACTTATACATGGAGCAAGTGGTGACTTGGACTGTTGGTAACCTTTCATACATCGATCGCATCTTAAACCAATTACACCATCTTTGCAGGGACATTGTCCCGTTGTTTGATTACACACTTTGCTACGTGATCCTACTGGATGGCAATTGCAGTCTGCAACAAAAAATGTTATGGATTGTTCATCTGCTGTTCAACATGGCATTAATTATAGAATAGTTCATTTCAAAGTTTGTATTCATGGATGATGTAGACAATCCATTATTAGCAATTTGTCTCCGTGCGACATAAACATATAGTTGATCTATTTTCTTGGTGACTGCAGATTTAATTAAGGAAACTGACTATCAGTTTGTCCAACGATTATCTTTCTCTTTATTCCTCACACATTATCATTAGTAGAGGTCACTGAAAAGGAAGAAAGAAAAACGACGTTTCCAGTTAACCTTGACAGACTGATCGGCGTTTCCTTTTTGCTATCATTGTGAAAAGGCCAGTATTAGTTTCCTTTCTATTTCCGCTCTTCAATACATACATAGACAATATGTACACATTTCCTCCCTCTTAATTGAAATCCAAACAATAGACGAAAAAAAAAATGAGAAGAATCTATCATTCTGTACTTATCATCAGTAAGTAGCATATATTAAGATCAAATGTAAACATAACTGTTGCTATATGCATATGTTTGCAAGGCTAATCAAATCAAAATGTGAAACAAAAACAATCGATTAGATAGAACCTTGCTAACGAAGAGTCTGAACCTAGTTCTAGTCTTACCTTTACATATTTCGGGATGTGTAATCGGTAAATTTGGATCACGATAAAATGTTTCTTTGCAGTAACTACAATGTCGGCCAACTGTATTATGTTTGCATTGAATGCAAATGCCACCCGATTTGCGTCCCGATAGGAGATAGAGTTCTTTATTGAAACGACATTGTCTCGAATGATTATTACAATTACATTCTATAAATATACAGAATCAATTAGAATAAGATACATTTCGAAAAGTTCACCGACATCAGATTAATTCCCATTATCATGTTTATTATCTTTTCAATCTGTCTTACTTACACTCTACCTTGACTAGCAATTCGATGTCTGCTGTCTAATGTTAAATTACGTCGAGAGCTACCCTGACAATGAATATGGCATGATCGATCAACTGTACTATATCGACAGTTAACAGAAATGTTGTCAAAATCGTATCTACCTACATCGTCGATAATACCATATGAAAATGACAATCTAATGAATAATTATCACAGTTACATAAGGGAATTAACCTTTAATCTTCTAGACAAACTTTCTCTTCCAAATCAAGAGAATGTGAGAAAGAACACGATATCTTACCAATACATTCGTTTGCATCTCGAGGTGTAGCACGAGCCCATGGTCGATCGTAGTAAAAATCTTTGCAACGTTCGCATTCATCACCTGCTGTGTTATGTTTACAATCACATACTAAACGATTATCACTGAAACGAACAAAAGAAAATTCATAATTAAAGATGATCGATGTTGTCATCGATATATATATAATCAATGCCTCGAAGCATTGGCATTTTTGAAATATATTTCTAAACGTCAAAAAAAATGGAATTAAAACGAATATGAAAACAAGTTTCAAGTGGCATATGTGAACGAGAAATATGATCAGTGTGAACATGCCAGTGATTTTTCAAGTGCACTGCCATCTGATGGCTGATCATTAGAAAGAACAAAAAAAAACGTATCATCATTCAACTTTTCATTTCAATATTAGTTTGTCAACTTCCGTTGTATTGTTTTTTCCCTAGCGTACGATAGAATCATTAACAAAAGAAACAATTCATCTTGATTGATCATTTATGAACAAAGAAAAATGAGGAAACAATGTGTAAATGACTATCATCTTGATTAATCATCCATCTGACAAACACACCTTTTCTTCTATTCTACTTCTCATTGAATATTCAATTGACACTTGTCCAATGTTACATCATCATTCAAAGAACATTAAGATTCTCTCTATCTGTTCCTATACATGCACATATATACATATATATATGTATCTTCGATTGACAGCTGCCATTACAAGGTCAGCAGAGCAATATCACTAGTATATCGTTTGTGTTAGATATGGTTGTTTGCTTTAATAACCTAAACAAATAAGACCAAAGCCTAGCTTTGGTCTTTTCACACACACGGATAAAGGTGACATTTGTCTGTGTATACTTATGCTGATGAGCAAATCACATTGATTTAAGTAAACGCTATAGAATAGAGATGAACAACTTGATACAATCACATATAATTCTTCGTCACTTTCCTATCTATCGCCACATCATAAAACCGTTATACTCAGATATCTCAGACATATCTTCACTGAACAGATGTAATTCTAATGTGTCAATGATTCGAGTATTTTCATATGTGTAGTCTTCAAAGTGAAGTTCGCTCGTTGAAAATCAATCGATTGAATGATATTGAAAGACGAGGAAGAAACTTGATCTATCCTAACGAAGGAATTTTCGTTACTTTCTTTTCTTATCAAGCAAAAGACTTATTCTACAAGGTGAAATTTTTCATACCTATTTGTGATACATTTCGATGCATGTCCATTGCATTTACATCGTCCTCCAACAGCGAGATCGGCAGCGGAGAAGAAATTCCGGTTGATATTCGTTGAAAATAAGACAATTTTAATATCGGTGGCTGTAACCCAATCTTGCAAAACGGGACTTGTATCGAATTCATAAGCCGATGGACGACCTTCAAGTGTGCTAAATGCAATACGTGATTCACCGCCTGTTGACGCTGATGATAGTTGTGATTTCGTATCAATACACAATGCTTCTTGTTCATTTGCACGCGTAATTATTCCATAAGAGCTTTTATTAAATATTCCTTCACAATTATTCGAATAATATTGTAATGGTATCCATGAGACTCCCTAACAAAGAAAGCCAAGCAGTCACGCGCAAAAAAAAGCACTTGCTTCGTTCTTACCATATCCATACTCTTAAAAATAGCCATCGAATCTGGTTTATTATTCGAGCAGAATTGTAAACTAATATAAGTAATTTCAAATTTTTTATTCAACGATAAGATCAGTGAAATATTTTCTCCTGTTTGAACACGATCCGACTGCCAGCATGTTAAATTGTTCGGGTTATTGATATCGGTTAAATGATCTGTTGGATAACTTGTTCTTGCTTGTGATGCATCACATAGATGACATTGATTGTTGTTTGAACAAAATTCTTTCGCAGGATTGCCACATGTCGATGATGCATAGATTGATTTATGAAAAGCTGCATTGACAAAATCGGGTATACATCGCTGATATCGATGATGACGATCTGTGCATGGATCATCATGATTTGAGTAGAACATTCGATACCAACGACTTGCTGTACATAATGACGAAAAACAGATGAGTAAATAGAAAGATTTAATCAAGACTATGTTCATTTTTGAAGAAGGGATTTTTTTCACATTCTAAAACGACAAACGCGGAAATGAATACATGTGTTACGTTGTTCTTTTCTGACATCAATTTAGAGTGTTAGATGAAATTTGAACAAATGTGCGCCTGCTTCGCTATGTACGCGAGTCGATGGATGAGTACTATTCTTTATACAATGAAAGAAATTGAAAAAAAACGATGAGGAAGGAAAAGTAAAACAAAAAAAGTGACTTGTGATATATTGACATTCAACTTACTTCATATTTGAGTGAAAAAAAAAGGCTCTTGCTATTATTCTATGAACGACAACTCCAGTGATTTAATTTACTTTGATTTTTGACAGAAGAAGCGATACACATATAACAACAGAGAAAGAATGATTTCTCTTCTCTGCTATAATCCCTTCTTGACTTTTCTCTCCTCTCTTCTCTTCGCATATTGAGATGTGTTCATTTGCACAGAAAGATCTCTCTCAATATATACATATATGTATGGCATGTTCTCTCGTTCCGGAGAAAGAGAATAAGGGAGAAGATGGAACGATGACGAGAGAAAGAGAGCTGCCAAAGAAGACATATATACAACGATTATTATGGAATAAGAATAGAAGAACGGTGGCAAAGTTTTTTAATTAGTCATACATACAATAAGCTTTTTATTGATGTCTGACGATGAAAACGAAGTAATTCTCATCGAGAATATATGAGCAAAAACAAATAAGTCTCTTTCTTTGACTCAAATAACTCTATCGACCTGATCATATTCCCAATTCAACAATTCTTTCGTGAATAGAGAAGATATTAAAATAGTAACCGAGAAACAATGCGAGAGTTCAAGCAGCACAATGGATGAATTTTCTTCAGTTAGTTCTCCTCAGAAGATTATATAAGAAATCAATTTTGTTTGTCATCGAAGTTATTTACAAATATGTATCTATGTCTGAAGATTGTCTAATAAAAGTTCGCCTAATTCTGCACTATTTTCGATTGTACTCGATGATGTTGAACAATTGAGAGCAAAATGGTTCGACATACTTAGTAAAGTGAATAAGTATCATTTTAGTAAGCTCTCATTTCATTCTTGTCATTGAAGCATACTTCGACATGTATCTCTTTCCAGATAATTCATTGTCACCATTATCATCGACAATCGCATTTTCTTTTACTGTTGAATTATTACGTATTCTTATCGTGTTTTTCTGCTATTTGGGTTTTAGAATCTATCCGTCTGATCACAACTAGTTCAACATCGATACCATCATCGCGCATTACATTGTCGGTCATAATACCGATCGTAAATACAACAAAGATGATGATCAATGATAGAGAAGTTGGACGAGAAGAGAAAAAATAGATCATGTTCGAAATTCTATCAAGTTATAGCTGAACTTGAATGCCTATTCAACAATTGTTGATTGTTGAATCTTTGTATCATAATAAATTAAAAGTAAATTTTAACTGTGAAATCAAATGGTACATACTCTGAGTGCTATACCAAGTAGACATTTGAAATGAAAAATCCTCGTGATAGAAACTTACACATTATGAAGCCAATCCATCAATTGAGATTTGAATTGTGAGTTTTCTTTTTTTTTCGTTGTTGACGATGATGATATCTTACTATTCAATTGACCTCTGGTGAAAAAATCAATTCAAATGCGACATTGACAATTTGAGACTTTTTCTTCTTCGTTCAAGGTAGTCTTCTTTGTTATTATTAGATCGTTGTTCATTCGAAGACATGCTTTAGGACAAATTGACACTCCATTTGTGACATAGCCAAGCACGATTATGGCGTACGATTCATTTCAAATAATAAACATAGAGACTCCTATTCCGTCACCACAAATAATACTTTAGACAATCATGTATGCTACAGATGATGACGAGAAGACTAAGCATATATAGTAAGGAATGATCTCTAGCCTCGTTATTATCAAGGTGTATGAAGTTTTGCAAGTGCAATCACCTGTTGTTGCTGTTTTACATATTTTTCGAAATGAGGAGAAGATCTTTTTTAAATTGGACCAATCAATGTTGTTTTCGTCTTTATTTTATAGGAAAAACAAGACATAACATCACACGGAGTGACAGAGAGAAAGAGAAGAGAAAAATGATGCGTGGGGATTTACTGTATGGTCTACTATAGGGAAGAAGATTTCAAGTAAAAAAACTAAATCTATTTAAGTCCATGTGATTTTTTGTATTCTTCAACACGTTTTTCATCAACCGGATAGCGCATTTCTTCAATCCAATGACCAAATTTATGATCCAATTGATGGTGGACAATAGAATATGGTGTATAAGATAAATCCACACCTCGTAACGGTAAATAAATCGAGGCTCCGAAAGCGACAAGCATAATACGTGAGAACCATCGAAATACTTGAGAATTCGAATACCAAAAGCGCCATGGTGTACGATAGACCATACTAGAGACAAAGAAAGGACAAACATTTTTATTTTCGCGTATTTCGCGGACAAAAAATCATGTATATTTACCCAAGGTAATGATATGGTAGGATGTTTTGTCGACCTTGCGATCCATAGATGATCTTCATGGTTTGAATAGCAGCGAGAGCTTTTTTACTGCTCATTTTGAATCTATCTGAAAAACGAAATCCGGAGTTTTTGCAATCGACAAGATACTAGTGTTAATAAGACGTTTAGGATATACTAAACAGTAAGGTTGTTTTCATTAAGGAATATGGGACCATAGCAGAAGAAAAAGTGGACAGGAAAAGAAAAGATATTAGAGTCTATTGTCTTTAATCGTGGATGCCTGGGAAAACTCCGCGCTCCATTTGTTCGTCCCATTTGCTGACCCATTCAGGTGGACATAAATCGTTGTAGAGATGTTTGAAATATCCACAAACTTTATCGTCGTTTTTCATTTCCATGCAACGATGATAATCGACATAGTTGACCCAGCATCGTCTAAATATATGAGAAGAATAGGGGAAAATCAGAATGGGCAAGCAGATGATTTACTTCGTTTGATTGGTATTTGGAAAACGTGGATCAAGTGGTGCTGTGCTCATACGTTCTTTCCAATATTCTTTCAAACATTGACTGATGCCAGCAGGAAAAATTGAGGCCCATTTGTTGTAGACAGACATATTTTTTTTGGCCTAAAACAAAATGCATGAATACATATGAACAGTGTTAGCGATTGGATTACCATTTCAAAGCGTTCATCGTAGCTCAAACCTTGTTCCCGAGCTTCTTTATCGAGCTTAATATGAATGTCTCTGCAAACGTGAGGATCATAATGTTCCAATTTTGGATTATGAGTCAAGTCAGACAAAGCTGTGATAATAGCTGATGCCGAACTCATAGTGACAAGATTGACAATCTGAAAACGACAAAAAATAGTATCGAAGAACGTAGGACAATTAAATAAGCAACATCTGATCATAGTTTATTTTCTTCCAAACCGACAAGTACCATTCACGGATCATCAAAACCTCGGACATGTTTTCTGTGTATTGTACTCCATGCAGATGTCGCTATTTTATTACAATAAAGGTGGCGTTATATACGGAAAAGTCGGTCTTATCACACATGACAAACAGTTTCTCATTTTTATTTTACAATCGTTTTGCTAAAAGACTACAACGATCATGTTCACCCATGTCATTTAATCGTCCGTTTCCATGTATCGCGTATAAAATCTCGTTGATAACAGCATAGTGTCGACGTTCGAATGCTTTTCGTGAGTATAAACTACTGCAAATCACAAATGCAGCTTTAAGATCTAACTGCCGAGCTTTCTCTTCCGATGTTTCGATTAATCGTCCACTTATATTCTGGCGACGTTGATGTTCATCTACATTAATTATATCGAAATGAAATAACCGATCAGTTTTATATAATTCGAATAGATCAGAACCATTGGATACTTTGTCGAAGAGTGACAAAATAAAATTCAGCTTTTCCGATTCAACGATGATATCCTTTTCTTTGCGCGTTCGATCGGATATTCCATTTAATATAACTCCAATCACAGACGGATAGGAACTTGTGGTATCAATAGCTACAAATGAACATTCAGTACGTAATGATTCATCGACAAGATAGTCAATCCATGTTAATGGTTCATGTGGAATATCGAACTGAAGTTGTGCATTCAAAGGTTCTTGTATAAAAAAAGAACTCATCAATAAGTTAACAACTGCTTGCCGATATTCAGATACTAGCGGAACTATTTTGATGTTCGACGAGGTTGCTAATGAAGCCATGTAAAATAAAACGAAAACAAAGCTTCTATTATTGTTGACCATTGTCATATGGAAAGTACTTAACAGAAATCGGAACTGAATCTTTTGTTTGATCGGAGATACAATTGTCTTTGTGGCAATCTGTAGTACACTCTTCGAATAATTACAAATCGACAAAGACCGAACAAAAGGAGAAAGCAAATGCTTTTCCATTCTATACTTCGTGTCCTTTGTCTTTGCTGCCGCTTCTGCATATATTCATTATCATTGGCAGACAATAGTTTATCGGTAATTAAAAACAAATTACTTTTGTCATACAAGATTTCTTCTGACATCATTGATATGATAAATAATCATAGCGTGATTTGAAATGTTTTCGAAGAATTCGTCCGCAAAATAGTAGACATGGACAGAGGAAGAGAATGGAAAGAAATAGAAGAAGAATTGTATAAGTACATTGATCGATTTGAATGGAGTACTCTTGATTAGATAGAGATCGATTCATTATTTATAACTCAAAATAGAAAAAGCGCACGTATAGAATATTCAGCAGTTTATAGACAAAATTTGCCAGTATTTGTTATTCTATTTTAGATTGTTAGATCTATAGTGGAATGAGAGAAGCATGAAATGTTCCTGACTTTATTTACGGCCATGCCTGTGTCATTCATTGCATACAATTGAAATAGCAATAATAATGAATATATATATATGTGTCATACTATACAATTTCTTTGATAATTTTCTGAATATCATAATGTTCGTGATAATTTGAAATTTTACACATGATGAATCCGACGGGACAAGCATTGAATTTGTCGAATCATAAGGCATAATCATGCGTTTTCTCCCTGATTTTGAGAAAATCATCGTGAAAATAGGCGCATAAATGACACACACATTACTAATATTCACAGATGTCAAATATATTCGCTCCTGTCGATCTTTGTCGGCTTTTGGCGGATGATTGTACGAATGTAAATTTATCCTCGACTACAATGTTCAAATAAGGAGAAAGAATAAATCAACAACGAGGGTTTCATGCAAAGGTCATTGTAATATAGAATTACATACAGGTTTTCTCGTAACACTTCTCCCATTACTTACAGATAGATGTTAAACACAAAAAGTACATCAACTTGTATTCTTTAACGAAACTCCTCAAAATATATTTCAGATTAATTTTCTTTTTCTATTAGGAAATTGTTAATCTGCGCCGTACAATGTGAGTTCAGCGTATAGACATCAAATAGATCATGTTATTTTGAAAGAACGAAAAAGAAGGGGGGAAAAGCGTCGTCTTTCAGTGTGTAAAAAAGAAAAAGGAAAAGATATGGCAGTCAATGCGTTATTGACGAACATTTGGTAAGTAGAAACAAGAAAAAGAGCACAAAAAGACGGAGAAAAAAAAGAAGAAGAAATACTACACGTCGAGTAGAGCAAACGAGTATATACAATTGACGCATACTCCTCTCCACAGACGTGTTATTTTCTTATTTAGATAAAAATGGTGACATTAACTATTTTGATTTTCGCCTTGTTTTCACCATTGGTCATTGGCGCTTCTGACGATGATATCAATTTGTTAGTTCGGTCATCGGCGAATTCTACAGTTCGTCGTTATTGTGTGGAGCTGGCAAAACTACCTAACGGTCGTACTGTCAATGTTACCGATTTTGGTTGGCACATCCCTTTCATTGCATCACCAGCAGTCAATGCTTGTAACATAACCGATCTAGATCAGTCTTTACCGGCTGATTTGTCACCAAATACTATTCTTATTGTATATGAACATAAATGTAAAATGACGGAACATGCTTGGCATGTTGAAACGAAATATAACCACAAAATACCACTAATGATACTAACGAATCGTTCAAATACTCATTACGAGCTGTCCTATAATACTACAGAAATGCCTGTCTCAATACCTGTACTCATATTTCAACAAAGTGATTTGAACAAAATTAACAAAACCTATGGAAGTCTTGAAAACATCGAATTGTCCATAAATTATCCACCAGAGATGCGAAATAAATTTCGTCCAGCTGTCCTTTTAATGTTTCTGTTGGTTTTTCTCATATTAGTCTCTGGAAATCTCTGGGCAGCGGACGAATTCAAACGAAAAGTTGCAAGTCGACATTCGACTTCTCAAAGTGAATCGACAAGTGTGAATATTCCACAAAATTCGACCGATTATCAAAACTTTCTTTCGAACGCCAATCCTGAAGAACTTGCGACACGAGCTTTGAAGAAATCCACGTCTTCAGAAAACAAAACACCGTCGAATAACGAGCCTGCAATCATTTACATGCCTTACTGTATCATTGCAATGATTTTATGTTTTGCAATCGGCTGGCTTTTACTCATCTATTACTTCCCCAAAGTTATGATATATGTTCTCCAAGGTAATTTAAGTTAGCTTAAATGAGGAGGCCTTCCTCTAGCTGGAGTGATATGTCACATCTGTAATAATATGATAGGAGTTGAGGGCGAAGATTCGTGAAAACTATCACTAACCAGTTTGTCAATCAAGCTACTCACTCATGGCAACTTTTTTTCTGCTTTAGTAATGTTCTGTATTGGTGCCTTTTCTTCATTAACGTCATGTCTCGATCGTCTAAGTTATCTTGTACCAGTTCTTCGACGTTATCGCATCCCATCGCATACCTGTCATAAACCATGTACCTGTCAATTAGGCCCATTAAATCTCTTCACATTGTTGGCGATGATATCCACATTGGCTATTATCGTTATTTGGTATATCTATCGTCATGCTGATTGGGCATGGATCCTGCAGGATATTCTTGGTGCAGCTATTTGTATAACAGTTACATCTGTCTATCGACTTGGCAATATGCGCGTGATTACATTGATATTACTTGGCTTTTTTTTCTACGATATCTTTTTTGTATTTATTACACCATACATTCCGTTTTTTCAACCTTCACATCCAATGAGCACATCGACAATAGCTCCAACAACGACAACCGGTACGCCAAGTAACGTTTCGTCAACTATACAATTTGTCGGAGGAAATCGGAAAGTATCACGCAATCCGTCGGTTATGGAACAAGTAGCATTAGGGATCGGTACAGATGGAGAAGTTGTTCCTCTTCTATTTGCATTACCAATGTTTATACCTGAAGCTGAACTTGATCCATGCTTAGTCGTGAGAAAATCAATGCTCGGCTTCGGTGATGTGATATTACCGGTAAGATCAGTTTTAAACTATACCTTGCCACAAAGAACTTCATTGCTATTCTTTCTAGGGTATACTATTGACGTTTTGTAAAATCTTCGATATTGCCAATGGCAATAGTTGGCCAGTGTATTATATTCAATCCATTGTCTCATATTTTATTGGTTTATCATTGACTCATGTCGCACTCTATTTAATGAACATGGCTCAACCGGCACTTCTCTACCTCGTACCCTGTATATTACTGTCAACAATTCTGACCGGTTTAATTCGCGGCGAATTACGAGAGCTCTATACCGGCCGACGAATTCAATCCTTACTCGATAGTAAACCGAATAATACGGAAACATCTCTTTTAGCAGCTTCAGAAAACTCGATCGCTGAACAAGCGAATCAATCAACTGATGTTGTTGTTGGCATCAGTGATGCAATTGGAGCAGCTAGTGGAGTAGAAAATCGCTAATTCGCATTTTATATAAAACAGAATCAAATAAATACAAATGATTTTCTTTTCAAATAATATTTCAAACACTGCCAAAAAATAAAAGTTTTCTTGTGGATTGTTAAAATTTTACCCTAAAATGTATATATTTGTTTGAGATTCTTTTTCATGTTCGATAATGGCCTGACAAATGAAAATCGATGCAAATATCAAAGAGATTAGTTTAATATCGTAACAAAATCATCGTAGAAATAGATTTGCCGATAAAAGAAATAAATCGATCCTAGCAAGAAAAATATCATTCGCGTAGATTACATAGAGTTTCTTTGTTGTGAATAAGAAAGAGTATGGCACGAGACCATTCGGTATTATCTTATCATAAAGACGATACAAGAAAAATTATCTTTATTACTGTGATTCATGTAGAAAGTCGGTCTTGATAGAAGTCAACTACAAGGATAGAGGACATCATTTGCCATGAATTCATTTGTAAAACTCGTGTCAGTATGTTTTATTCTATTCAAACATGAGGATAAAATCTACTTTAATACTCTTCAATCATTATTAACAGTCTTGTCGACCTTATTTCAAGTGTCTTTTGCTCTGTTTTATTCTTACTTCTTTTTCGTTATTCTCTTCTTTTTTTTGCAAGAAGAAATCGGAATTAAATCAACACTGGCTAGAAATAAAACGAAACAGGCGTAGGCGAATGATGATAAAACGAGAGAAAAACACCGGTCGGTGCATGGTTATTTTTTTTCTTTGCCACTATTATCGAAGGAATAACGAGAAATGGCTTCTAGGCATACATTTTTTGCTTATTTGTGCCTTCGTACAATGGCTATTTTCGCTAGACAATAATATAGGAGACACAAGGAATATCTCGTTCTATGCATATATGATCTAGTGGCCAATTTTCTGTCTGTATATACATGAACCTATTGTTTTGTTTGCACTCGTATTTGTTGTTGCTGAAAGAAGAGTAGCACTCTGTCTCTTTCGTGCTCTCTCCCTCTTTCGCTTTCTAAATATATGCGAACACGAACGATTGTTGTAAGGCTTTGACAACGATGACAAAATTCATCTGGGTGAACTATTTCGTATGACTACCTGTCTAAGCAAACATTTGACCATCAACGAATGAAGAGTAAAGACAGAGAAGAGAGAGAGAAGGAACGAAAAGAAAAAAATATGAATGGTAAATAAAGAAGAGAGACATAATTTGACAACGAAATCGAACGCTCATGGCATGCTTCGTTTTTTTCTTTTTCTCCTTCTCTTTTTTCTCGTCGTCTTCGTTTTCTTTTCTTTTCATCTGATGGTTATGGTAAGTAGTCTACATCCATGATGCGTGTATGTATGTATGCTTGCTCTTCGTGTCGACAACGAAAAAATGCAAGAAGAAGCAGTGAGAGACAAGAGACTTGTATTTTTTGCTTTTGCTTTTCCTTTTTTCTTTGAAAAAAAATACTTCGACAGGATCGGTAGCGAATACGAAAGGGATTCGTCGACATTGTGCTTTTTTGATCAGTAAGTAGACAAATCTCGGCGTTTTATTTTGAGTATATTGACAAATCGAATGAGGTGTTGCTCATAACAATTCACTCTCGAAAAGATCGTCTGTATGTATGTATGTATTGGTCAGATACAGACAGTCAGTCGTCTCTTTTCGTTCTCACCGGGGCCCCTGAGGCGACTTTTTTCGTACAATAGAAAAAGCTACACATCGACGAAAAGGTGAAATGTCGCAGAGAGAGAGAAAGAAAGAAAAGGAGCAATATGAATTAATACAATTATATGCACACGTACATGGAGAAAAAAAAAAGAAAAGAGGCATGTATCGACGATGAAGCATACAGTAGACGATGAATTTTCTTCTCTTGATTAATTAGTTCATGACTTAGCGCATTTTCAAGTTAATTAACTGTTTTCATGTAGGAGAAATCAACATTATTGGTTACGGTCGAATACAATTAGATGTTGAATAGGTATGTGCCTGCATTTTCGAAAGCAAATACGAATGTATGTATATATCACCGGTACAATCACTGAGCGCGAATGTTCGCAGTCAATTTGTAAAACTCAATTATTGACTAGAGCACTTCGTGCTTTGGGAAATCCGGCTTTCACATCGTGAAATTTTGGTTATTAACGAATATTTGTCAAAAATACATTCATTGTTTTCATGAAAATAACTCTATTGATTACTATCGAATGTTCGTTGAATACAATAGATCAGAAGCCAACGTATAATTATCAAAATTGCTTTTCCGTTCAATGAACAAAGTTTAATTTGAAAGTTCGTACATATAATTACTTATTATCGAGAAATAAATTTTTACAAGACTTTGTTCGAATGAAAATACCTTCTTCGTCTCATGGACAGAAGACAAAGCGTTACTTGAGCAAGAAAAAGGATAATTTAATAGTTTAAACAAGGACGTTATTGTTCATTGTATTTTTATTTGTTTGAGATATTAAATGTAAGATTTATTTCAGCGGTGAGTCTCTCTTCATACTTGTCGGTCGACAGATTAACTCATTGGTTTTCGAGTGTTTTGGCTTGAAAACGTGCCATGTTCTTGAATGATAATCGACTTGAGTAATGAAGTTTGCGTTGTTCTACTAAACAGTATATGATAAAATAAAATAGTTCGTAAAAATATCAATGTAATACAGTGTTTAAAGTGATTCATATCTTACCGTTTTGATGGTCTCTTACTCAGTGATGAAGTTTTTATTTAGTAAAAGTAATACTAACGATTCATTCATATGTCATACAATTACTTTCTAATTGATAACCAAGATATTGTTCGTGTGTACTGCTAAATCTTTAGATAAAAGTGTGACTATTCACTTGAATCAATAAATGACTAGACAATATGTGTGACTTTTTTCTGTTTGCCGTTAATCACTTCGTACATGTCTAGAGGTAAGATTTATCACAAAAGCAATGACTAGCAAAGTACTGTTGATACGAAAAGAGGATCCAAGAAAAATGTAATTGTATATATATCCTTTCATAGCTATCTGGTCTAATTTCATTGCAATAATATCATCAATACAACTTACGTTAGTTAATACAATAAATTTTTATTTGAATCAAATTGAGTTGCGCAGGTCACAGCGTAAGCATCCTGTTGTGTACAATATTTCTATTCATAAAAATGTCTGATGATGATGTGCGACCTGAGTAGATCGATGTCTGAAATTTCACTCAGTTATTGATTACAACACCCGTTCCGCTCTGTGGCGCTGCAAAGAGTCAGAAATATTGACCGAGTTTTACATAGATACACTCAGAAAGCCAGTCCATGTCAGCTTATCTACCAAAGATACACATTTTGCAGTGCGGCATTCTGTAATAAGATGAGGGCGAAATCACACTACCCATGCTAAGGTATTTCTATTTCTATTGAAGTTCTGAGAAAGAGCAAAACTATTTCCGAATTCTTATTTAGAGAATGTAAAAAAGACTGCTTTGCTTCACAGATAGTAAATTCGATGAAACTGATGTTTTGACCTAAAATGGATAGAGTGGGAAATGTTAGTCTAAATTCATATTGTCCAGCTCTCGTCCAAAACAGTAACTCCTGGACATTTCATTCGTTTTTTTTAAATAAAAATAAACAACTTCATGCCATATGGAGCGTGAGAAACATCGCGTTCCATTCTATTCAGAGTCTTGTTTTACTGCATATGTTTATATCACTTCTAGCTTTAGTCTTAAAGTGAACTTGAAATATCATTATCTCTTCCGGTGTAGTGATCGTGCAAAGAAGCCAGCTACTGATGGCTTTCAAAGCGATCGAATTGCAGCTCAGTTATATAAAAAGTTGAGGGTGTGAGTGTGGGTGTGAGTGAGGGTGTGCGAGTAACTGAACAAATAGTTGAATAACTGAATTCAACTTTCGAGTTTGACACTACGGATCTTCTTCTGCCATGGTGAAACAAAACAATGCATAGCAGGGGCCGACTTATTGAACAACTATACTGCTCAAGCATCTGGTATTGAGTGGAAACTCAATGGTAAGAAAGATAAAGGCCGACCGAGAATCAAATATCTTGAGAACATGAACCTTTGGATTGAGAAACAGGGTTACACGAAAATAGATTTTCTTCACGTACGCAGTTCAAGATCGGAAAAATTGCCGTATCACGTTAGCCGACGTCTGTAACAGATAAGGCATCTATCTGATCTAGTACTGCTCAAGAATTTTCTCTGGATAGTTGTTCCGTCGGCCATGGGTCTAACAATATATGGATGGGTGACTGCATCCATGGACTTGCGAAAATCACTTATCGATTTTTATAAGGAAATGAAATCAACATGCCATTCTTTGTTGTGCTGAAGTTTGGACCACAGCGCACAATGCAATTGAAACAGTCTGGGAATGATTGTCTGTAATAGAAACGTTGCAATTTACTTTTCTTCTCTTGTTTATGATGGCAGCTCCCAATGTCATAGGCTATTTTAAAAAAGGACTTCTTCGTTTGCCAAAACTCTCTTGAACTCGTTTTATTTTTTTCGTACACTATGTGTAGCTGTTATACCATGAGCCAATATGGAAAGCGTTGCTCGTCTTTTATCAACAGATTATATCTTATATTGATTCTGCTATTTTAAAGCTGTCTGAAACATTCGGTGCTTTTATTCGTCTTTAGGTTGGAAAGAATCGAGAACATCTTTCGTATGAAATGCATTTACTAGAAGATGCCGCATTGAAATATTTCAAACTCTATGGAAAAGTCCTGCTGAAGTATAGCAGTAAATATTTTATATAGCTTTCGATAAACATTCGGATTATACCTTCTTACAAAACCAACAAAAGAGTCTATGCAAACAGATCTGAGCACAATGTGAAATGCTCGAAATCATGATATAATCATCTGCGTTACATAGATCATCGGAAATTTTTATCTAGCAATTGAATTGTTCGTATTCTCCGTTGAGAAATTATGTGTGAAAGTATTTCTCTATATCAACGAAAAGTATGCAATGTATTTTAATTACTTCGAAAAAGTTTATCTAGATTTTTTCTTTCTGTACACAAGCATTTAGGAAGATTTATGTAAAATTTTTCTAATAGTTTTCCGTCAATGAAAAATATCACAATTCGATGCAGAATCAAATTAAGGACCTATGACATCGTATCGATATTCTTATTTTGAGCATTATTGCTTCCAGTCCTTCTCCATTTTGAATCATGCAATCGAAATAAAATCTTGTTTCTTATCAATCATAGTTTTCTATCATAAAAAGATGCCACTCAAACCAGTCAATACTGAATTAATGACACGACTAAATAAATAGCAATGTGAAATGAAAAGATTATCATTTGCACAATTTGACTCAGAATCGACAAAATCTGCTAAAATCAAGCAGAACTACAGCTGTGTAAAAAAATGTATTAGCTAATGCAAATAAAGAACATCTACTTCTGGGCAATATTTTTTTATAATTTTCAAACAAATAGATATTGTGAGAAAATATGCATTTCTGAATCAGCTATTTTGACATAAGAAAGTCGGACTTCAATAGAATTTTTAAAACCGGCAAAACTGAAAATACTCTCATTAGGTTAAAACTAGCGTTCAAAACCGATTTTTCATTCGCAGTTATTGTTACTCAGAGAATAATTATACTCCGCCAATGTACGTCATTTAGAAATCTGTGTACTCCCTCCGACCCTGAACAGATGGCAGCTCTGGTGTCACGCTTTCAAACACAGTTTTCGTCATAATAATACAATTGATACTACGTAATTTCTTTCACCCTCTGCTTCTCTCTCTACTTACACAATGATCACATTGACAGAGAAATCGGATCACAGATGTGATACATTCTCACACTCTCATCAGGATCGTGTATCATCATAAACACAAAAAAGAAAGAAAACCGAACAAACACAATACATCTACCTACATACAATCAATTACAATATTCTAATCCTCTCATTCTTCTTTGATCACACTTCTTCTGAACATCGTGTTAGCCATGTATCAACAGTATCCAGCCGCACGACTTGATCATACAGGATACAAGCGATTTGAACAAAGGTTCCCATTGCCCGTCGTGGCAACACTGGCCACAATTCAGATGTTGACTACCTTTGCCATCTTCTCCTTGGAAGTTGCTCACAATGCGCTTCACATAAAGCTGACCAATTTGTTCGTTGGATTTTGGACAACAATACCATTCACTATTCTCTGGATATCCATGTATGCAGCTGGTGAGTAGCAACCGATGAGACCGGATTGTGACGAGGAACAAATGTGTTTCTTTGATAGTTTGCTGTTGTCGGCGACAAAGCTGTGCCACACATGCAGTTGTGCAGAACATTCTTGGATTCATTTTTGCATGCATTCTCATTGGCATCAACATTGCTTTTATTCGGCAGCCCGACAAGTGTTTTTTCACAGAAGGAATGTGTCGAACGCTGAACTGGGCAAGCTACATACATGGCCCTCTCGAATGCTTAGTCGATGGTGTGACAAGCCAGTGTGGAAACACTCGCATCTCCCTCATCATTGCTCAGCTCATTTGTGGCGTTGTTATGGCACTAGTGTGTCTCATCTATTTTGCCATCTATTGCGCAATATTGATGCAGACAACGAGAGTGAGTCAGTCTGAAGTGACAACAGTGAATGATGCCGTGACGGCACCTGTATATCCAACAAATGCCAAGCAGTTGCCATTGTCCATTAGTCATCATCATCAGACGTACACCATATCTTCTCATCCTTATCAGGGAGGAGTACCAGTGATGATGAGCGTTTACCCACCACAAGCAGCTGTTTCGTCTATGGAGAATAGCTATGTGAACTGCAATCCCTCGACTCAATATGCTACAATCTATCCAACGATTGGTAACGATCGATTTTAATGTTGAGTGTAGAAAAAAAAACGATGGAGAAAACATGATGTAATTTTGTTCTATGCTTTTCCTTTCAGTTGAATAAATTTATCGATTAAGTTGATCGAAGATCGTTTGAATTCTATCCTCATCGATAAGTCCAGTGAAGCGATTGATCTCTTTACCATTTTTAATAGCCACTACTGAAATCGAGACAGATCAGAAAATATGGCTGATTCAGTTGGTTTTTACCTGTTGGCACCGCTGTAACGTTGTATTGAATACTCAATTCATTCATCTTATCAACGTCGACTTTTGCCAATGTAATATGTTGATCACCAGAAGATGTTTTTACATCTTTGTTATATTCAGCAATTAGCTTTTCTAGTCGTGGTTCTAAACAATATGAAAATTGTCGTCGTTCTGTTCACATATGATTTCTCTTCATACCTAGAATTCTACATGGTCCACACCTTGGAAAAACGAAAGGTTTATTAGAATGAGTGTAATCAGAGTCTTACCAACTAGCGTGAAAATTGACGATGAACGGCTCTTTACTCTCAAGAACTTGTCTCTGAAAATCACTTGCGTCTTGTACATGAAAAATATCTTTCGATAATCGTACTATCGAAGTATGGAACTGTCGCAAGATAATGTTCGTGACACCTAACTTTCGTAAGTTCTGAAGTAACATTTCGTTCAAGAACGCAGTGTATATATATATCTATAAAATGATTTCATTCATACTAGAGTTTATTTTTATTCTTCAAAAGAGAGTAACAAAAAACCTCCGCTCAAAATTGCAGAGAATTTCATAACAAATTCATACAAAAAAAAATCTTCAAAAAATGCTTTGCTTTTCAAAATATAAGGAAAGACACAAATAATCTCAATTTTATGTACATATCACAGGTGAATTTTCATATATTGGAAGGATCATAAACACAAAATCACTCCTCACGTTGGACTGATGAGTCTATTAGAAAATGGAAGGCGTTTATTTTCTACAGTAGACGGTTGAGTGTCTGACACTGGGGAAAGATTTAATCTGAATAAAACAAATATTCAAAAGGACATATATATATATATACAAATTTATGAGTGTTACTTGATTTGATTATTAGACGACAATAATAACTAGAAGAAGGCGAATGAAATTTTATTAGAAAGTCAAGAGTGAATCAAAAGAAAAATGATGTTACTTCATTATCCATTCGAAACCAAAGCGACAGGTCAGACGCATATAGCTGTATAAATTTGGCTTTTTCTAACATAAGAAAAACGTTTTTAGCCGGGAAATGGTAATGCTCGAGAATAGATTGAACGAATCCAGTCGAATACAGTACAATGTTATTTAATGATCGATTATTGATCTGAATGAAGATGTTCGAATGATGATCACGTTCTATTCGCACTGGATGATATTTAATAGTTAAAGCCTAAAGAAACAAAAAAGGCTCCATTGTTTCGAGTGAAAACCGAAGCACTTACATAACGTTCAATAGTATCTGTATCAATATTTGAATGAATTAGTTTAAGTAAAGAACAAATATTGAAATCAGGGAGGTGAATACATTTTTCATAATGTATAAAAACGAGCGGTATCTTTTGTTGCAAAGAATTTATTACGGCGTGAATATGAATTAGTTTAACACAAGTTTCGTTTGTAATCCATGTACCGCTGAGATTAGATGTCCGCGATTTCACAAGAGAACGTTTCAAAGTTCTGCAAAAAACAAACCGTCACATAATTTGAGCATTTTTTTGTGTAAGTATGATATCTACTACTTACTCGCCGAGTCGATTGTATAAAGCAATAACTGGATGTACAGGTGATTTATCATCAGTCATATTAAGTATATTTTGTTTGTACGTATCTGCGGTCTGTAGAGTCGCTTTCGCTCTTTTTATGTGTATCATGTAATCATTTACACAAACATACTGTCCTGAGTTGGTGACAAATAGATTTGTTTGAAAACACCCATCATTTTCTAGTGTTAGGAGTTCGATTTCTGGCAAAACTTGATCAATAACAGCTAAAAACTGATTCGTCGCATCAGTGGACCACGCTAGATGATCGTCATTCTCCTGATTGATCGGCGAAATATGAGCCAAACGGCACGTTAGCGAAAAAACTAAATGACGATGGAAACTGTCAATCAAATGTCGAAGACGATGTATTGGTACATATTCATCCCATGTACCTAAGTCGACATAGAATAGATTGACAGTGTTGTCCACCGGATCGAAATCGAGGATTTGGGAACGATTCCAGATTCGATCATTCTCTGATGATTTCGGATCCGCGCATATCACACAGAGATTGACGTGAATTTGTTCAGGTGTGACAAGGTATTCTTTTGCGTCGACTTCATTATAGAATTCATTGATTTCGCGTTGGAATTTATCGAATTCGATGGCATCTTGCTTTAATTGAATCGTAAAACAATGTGGATTCAATGCTGCGATAATTATACATGTGTGAGTTTTTTGAAGAAGATGATCAGGCACGTAAAATTCATACGAATAACGATTGGAAACGATCCTTTGGTTTTTGTATTCCAATGCTTTGGACAGCTTATCGTTGGTTGTATTTTGACAGAATAGAATCTGTTCAGTGGCACATGTACTTGACTTTAGACAAGATTTCGTTTGAGAGATGCTTGATTGCGCTTTTGTTCGAACTGCAAGGGAGAAAGTAAATGTATAACATTGAAGAATAGTTGTTATCTACATACTATTCTGATCTTTCGATACGGAAATGTTCGTATTGAAAGAAACACGAGGCGAATAAGCAGACAAACGATGAGAAAATGATTGATCTAAAAATAAATCATATTTCGCAAAATTAAATTCTTCTTTCTTGTTGTGTTTACCACTATGAACCTGTAATTGATTAAGGTCCTTTTCATCTCTATCGTCGCAATCGATCAACATCTTGCAAATTAATGTATATCCATTACATAGTTGAAGTAAATAATCATTGACATAAATGATCGTTCCTGTTTCCGATCGTTGAACAAATGCTCGAGCATTTTGAGATTTTTCGAAGATCACATGAGCTTTTCCACTGAATGACTTTCCTGTTCGAGTTGACATCAACATTCGAATCCGATGGACACGATAGAAACGATTGAAAAACTCCATTAGATCTTCCTGTTTAGCATCACGTGGTAAACCACTGACAACGACCGTTTGATGCAAATATGGGTTTCGTTCCATTGATGATTCAATCAATGGTCGACGTCGACGACGAAGACATACAGGTTCACAAAGATCTACTTCAATGACATTCGATCGTTTCGAACGTAGTGCATTGAGAATTGTATCATATTTGTACGTTGAGAGTTTATTGAATTGACTCAACCGTTCAAGCGGTATCCAACCCTGATTTTCACGCTCGTACTTGGCTAAGTTATAATCGAATTTGAGATTCTCTTCAGCTAGATAAGCTTCGACTAGATGAAAGATTGTTGGATTGGTTTTCAGGAGAAGTAGACTCACTCTGCTGGATAATTCTGGATTGTAAAACATCCATTTCGGCCATGATTGTACATAGCCTCGATGAAACAATCTTTCACTTTCTTTTTGTTCGGTAACACAGGCAGATAACGATTTTATTTCTTTCGAGAAAAAAAACTGATCTAAAATAGAAATTTGCGAGCAACAAAAGGAATTCAAGTTTGACACAATGAAGAAAGAAAAACCGCGCATGCTCGGAGTCAGATTCTTCTTTTTCTCGAATAAATAGCGAATTAAAGTTCTTTTTTATGTTCATGTTGTTCTTGTTCAAGTCGTTGATGTTGTTCGGATGAAGCTTTCGGTTGTGCGCCCATGCCAAGATCTTTATTAACAACCTCTTTTCGTTTTCCTTTAGGTCGCATCTGAATAGCCACTAGGCCAATTACATATAGGACTAATGTTACAATGTGACCAATGAAATATACGCTCTTCCAATATTTCCATGTGTAATGAAAGTACTTGAGAATAAAACCAATGGACATGTAGTCGAACATACGTGTACGAAACAACCATGAGCAAAAGTCATACACTCGATGGAGCATACTATTTGCTGGAATACGACGACGTACACCGGCCTCCATAACGTTTTCAGCGAGGATACATGGCGTTGTTGTTACCATTCCCATATAATAACCTAGATGGATACCGTGCCAATAGGCGGATATAAACATTGTGGCTGGATGACTAAGTAAATAGAGTGAAATAACAGTTGATGGTAAAATGAATTTTTCTTACGCAATTTGACGCCATCTGATTCGTTTGTAAACACATGTTGCCATCCAGTATTGAACGCTCATATTCCAGTATCGGAGAACTTCTTTAACCGTTAATGCTGTTTCACATTTCCATTCATCTATATTATGAACTGTTTCGAAATCATAACCAATCGTATTCGGTGCTTGTTCATAGCTAAAAATGAGAACTAAGTAGTCAAGTACCAACTCAAGTAAAACATACGCTTGTTTTAATGCAACGAGATCGGTTGGACCTTGTCCTAAACAAAGAAGTATTTCTCAGTGATATTTTACTCATATGTCCACCAATGTCAAACCTGGTTTCGGTTTACTGGCCAGTGGATAAGCACCAAAACCAGCGGCCATACACATACATTCGGCTAGTAACCAAGCAGAATAGAATCGAAAACGAAACAATGTGAATATTAGTGGCATGTAGAGTAAGCGATACCACAGTGGATTGTCATAGAATTTATCATCGAGTGCATCCTAGAGCAAAATAGATACATCAAAAAGAGTTTTCTTATTCGTAGTAACTAAATTTACATTAAATGAAACAATTGTTGATAGAAGTAAATAAGTTAATATATAAATTGAACCGAAGATGACACGCTTTCTCATAAACACTAAGCCATTGATATGCACTCCATGCTTCATTTCGAGCCAATCATGATATGTTCGATATCGATAATATGGACCTAAAATATTATACACAAAATCCTAAGATAATCTTAATTGAAATACAAGCTACCAGTTAAAAGACCAATATAACAATAGGCATATTGAAAAACTCTCAGTGTCGTTGGTTTCACTGAGAGATACATATCTTGTAAATGTAACTTTTCACTCTCTTCTGCATTCGTTTGTTTACGAATAGTTTTCAAACGCGTATAAGAATCGTGCCACTCAAAAGCAACACTAACAAGCTACAAGAAAAACCGATAATCAAGTATTTATAATTCATCGTTCTCGTTCGTGTCCATTGACGCACTTTCAATGTTAACATTAATTGAATGGCATTACTATGCGAAACAGGTAGTCGAATTGAAAAAAAATTCGTTGTGCGGAAAAATAATAGATACGAAAAACACCAGATAAATGTAGCAATATGAACGTATCTACATAGAAATAGATGAAATTTTGTCGCGCCCAAGAAAAAGTCAATACCGTGCTGTGACACTCGCTAAAATGAGACAGGTGCCAGCAGTTGTGATTAAAGAGTGTAAAATATCCCAACGACAAACGATTAAAGCAAACAGAAAACCAATCAATGTCGATGAGTACGCTTTCACATTCGTCTGACGCGAATCTTTGAAGGCAAAACCGATGGGAATCGAAATAAGAAGTAAACAGACGTAGATAACTTCATCTGATAGATACATTGAATTTTGTTGTCAATAGATTCGATGAGCAAAATCTAAGGGTTGATGAATGAGATATAGATATAGATTTGAGAATAATCAAACATTACCAATACGCCTCCTTCACACAGTACAACCAATTGCATCCATTGAAAGACTTTCTTATGACAGAGGGAGACACCGTATTAAAACAGGGAACTACGGGTCTGTTAGCTGTTGAATAAAATTATATATTTGACGTTACAAAAGCAACAGACGTTCATTATTTACGTAATACCACATTGTATTAGATTGTTATTATTTGGCTTCGAGTTAACAAAAATTGCGCTTTGATCTTTCTCCTAAGTCCAATCTGACGATGCATAGAATCATAGACCACAGTTTGTCATTCAAGAGGATACATACATTCGGCGTAGACTTGTTGTATTCCTCAAGAAAATATCGAAATACAAAGCGGCTAATTAATAATTCAATATTCCATGATCAAATAAAAATTTCATAGCGCTCTCGATTGATTGCATTCCATCATAAAGATATTTAGTTAGTAATATATGTTCGCTAAAAATAAAACCTAAATTACCGTCTGTCTTCTTTGAAAATAAGTGTACCACACAAAAAAAGTGTCAAAAATAACACACGCGACAGAAACATTATAATAATGTAATAAAGCACATGAATGTCAACGAGCTTTCATGAAAAGAGCGTTTTATGCATACAGTAATTGGAATTAGTTCATTACTTAATAAAGTTTAGAAATGAGAAAAGCATGGAAAGCTTTTCAGCGCTAGCAACGACTTTGAATATAGAGCTATGAAATGTGCTATCGTTCTCATTTGTCTTTATTGCACAACGCAATAGCTATACTTTATGAGAGATGAAAAACAATAGATACGTCGTTCGTGAGTTTGTCTTATCTTTCATTTACTTCACAAGTTCTTAAACTCGAATTATGTATTTGTATATTCATACGATGGCTAAGCAGATGAATCCGGCAAATGCGATCCTTTTTATTTTGTTGTCATTATTCCTTCTTAATATCAATATGTTCGTGATCATTTTGGAGAAATAGAGGTGTCGAAACTTTCTTCGTTGAGTAGATGAGTTCTAACAGTCTGAAGGTGCCATTCAGTTCAAGCCGTTCCATTTATATAAACAGAGAGAGAGTGAGAGAGAACAGATTTAGCTTAAATGCAATCGAAAGGAAAATGAGAGGCTAGACTTCTTTTAACACATTGGAATAAATTAATTCTGATTGTTTTACACTAGATTTCTTCCTAAAAGAGATACGTTTGATCAGGTGTCTATCACTAGCTGTAAATTCACACTTTTACTTGCTTTTCAACCATAGATTACTGTTATTTCCGCTTCATTGTCATAGCTACGTCTTCTTAATCGTTCAACATTCTTTCTTCTTCCGTTGTACTACACCACAAATTTGTATCGCTAATTTTTGCATTCATTTATATATTAGTTTTTTTTTGTTCTTGGCTTCCTCATTCGTATGAGTTCGTTTTAATCTTCGAAGACACAATAGATCAGTTTCTGGACACATAATCACGAAACAGGTATTAAGTACGCATCTAAAAACGGCAGCAGATCATTTTACTGTCTGTTTGATAAACAATATGCGCAAAAACAAGGTCAGACATTCAGTAGGCTTTTGTTCACAGCAGATTTTGAACGAATTCAACCGTCGAAGACATTCTCATCTAACTTGAGAGAAATTTTCTGGATGCACTAATCGCGCACGAATGCAAAACAGGTTCAGTCGGCACGTACTAATCCTGTTTTTAGACAATAGTTCTCGTTTGTGTCTGATCGAGTATCCAATAGCTCATTGTCGAATAAGACTTTCCGAAGAGAAATTCTCCACATGAATATTAGTGTCATAGAAATCTAATAAGCGGAAATACAAAAATATATATCAATACGGCGATGCATCTTTCTTTTCTTCTCTCGAAGAAAGAAAAAAACGAGAAAAAAAAGCTTGAACGCAAAATTTAACTGAGTAATGATGGTTTACTAAGATGTGAATGGTTACCTCAGATGTATCGATGCGAAACACACGTCATTCTCTTACTTTCATATATTTCTAACAGGTTGTCTACTTCCAAGTGCGCTCATATATCGTGAAGAGAAAGAGCAAAGGAAAAGGAGGAAAAAAAGTGGAATAGCTTTGAAAGGAAGCTCAGATATTTACACAAGACAGTTCTTTTTAAATCTTTGTTTTCTTAACTGAGATATACCAGCTATTTGTAGATTATTATCAACTGTTTATGTCATCATTTCTTACCAGTTTATTTCTTTATTGTTTGATTAATTCTGTCCAGTCCTCATCAAAAAATCAGACAGAAACAATTAATACACTTAATATTGATATTAATTATGAAGAAAACGATACAATTGTATTACTCTATAATTTAACAACAAAGTATTCGCATTATATCACATTTCGTGCCTTCGGAGATGTGCAATTTCAATTCGGCTTGTTTTCATCAACGAACAAATCCGAGAAAAATTCGCTGGAAATAGCACATCATTACTCATCGAGTGAACCATATTATTTATTTATAGTCTGTTTTCATTTTCTTCAATTTAATGATCTCGATATTCAATGCAGAGACATACGTTTGCTAAACGTCAGACAGCTTGAATCGAACGCATCAAAAGAGTTTCTTCCGTCGTACAATCCGTTATTTGTGCCAATGATGTATGCACTGAGTGTTGTAATGCTTTTACCTGTCATTGTTCAACATCATCGTCATAAAAAAGCATTGTTACTTCAAAGACGGCAGACATTGAGACGTTTATCCATGCAAATAGCTGACGATGATCAAATTCCGCAGCAGAATCTACTGAAAAATATTCTGTTACAAATCAAAGATGACGGAAATACGAATTATGAAAATCTTTGCTTGGAAATGGACACGATCTCCGATTCAGTGCCTAAAGTTAACCGAAATGATCTCAGCGACAATAATGTGACATTTACATTAGAAAATCTCCAACCACTTATTCATCGGCGTGATGGTAATGATATCGATGAGCAAGTGGATGTGAATGCTGATGATTGTGTTGCACATCTTTTGAACAATACACCTTGGAATTCGTCTCAAACGGAACAGCCATTATCCACTAATTTATCAAGGCATGCCTTTATACATGATTGGACTACAGCTACGAAAGAACAGAATGTTCCACCAACCGTTATTTCATTTCATGATGATGACGACGATGATAGTGATCAAAGGCCGATATTAAAACCAAATAAGCAAGCAAGCAGAGCTTCGTATAAAAGTAATAGGGTGTTTTTTGAAACAGATGTATAATTTTGTGATATTTTCCAAATTGTTTCATTGTTCTGTGCTGCTGTGAACGTCTACTGACAGCTAGGTATGCAAAAAATAGATTTAGTCACACTCGTTGAATTTGTTACTGAAAATATCTCCACTAGATGTCGTCAAATTAGCAAGCTATGAAGCTTCCCGTCATCGGAGCCCAACTTTTTTAGATGTAAAGGTAGCGCGTATGTGTGAAAATCATTGCCAAGTATTGACAGATTATCTCACTGTCATTTTATTCACGGTTATTATTAAGTGAATACATCGGATGAATTCTGAGGAGCATTGATACATACAAAAATACATTTACATCTGATAGAAATTGGCTCTTATCTTCTCAATCCATTGTAGCTGTTGTTTTTCTTGGATTACAACAGATTAGTAAACGACGAAATGAAAAACGTGAACGTTTATTCGCCGGTTGATAGAATAAAGGTTCGGATGGAAATGCCGATCGTTTGATAGTATTTTCGCGAACTTCGCTTGTTGGTATAGGCGAAGATCGGTAATTGAATGCAAAGTTTTCCTTGATCGGTCTGTGTGATTCGAGCTACAATTCAAATTTGGATTAGAATTCGATACAAACGGATATAACGTACGATTTTGGCATTGTGTTGTCGAACAAGATCAGAAGCTACTTGTTCGAGTAGATCATCAATATTTTCACCTGTTTTACAACTTGTTTCAAAATAAGCCATACTATTCCGTAGAGCAAACTAAGCATCAATGAGAAACAATAGATTACTGTGAAGAAGTATTGAAATCATACTCGTCGTCCTTCTTCTTCATCGACGACTCGATTGTGCATTAAATCGATTTTATTGGCAACTAAATATCTTCGTTCTGTATCTAAATCAGCCTGAGAAAATATTTCATCAACGAATGAGAATATCTTTAGTTTTCTTGTATGACGTACTTGTTCGATTAAATCACAGAATTCTTTAATTAAATGGAATGTTTCTTCATTTGTAACATCATAAACCAGTATAAATGCCTTCGTTGAAGAATAATAACTTCTACCCAATGTTCGAAAATTTCGTTGACCAGCTGTATCCCTTTTCCATTGAATCAATTTAAAATATATCTAAAAACTGTCATATTTCTTACCATATTTGTAGGTTAATTCTCGCCTTTTCAACTGGAACAATCTTATTGACAAAGTCCACACCTGAATATCAAATAGTTGATTTCGAAATTCATTTAGTATCAGAATGTTTACATACCGATCGTAGAACCAATAGTTGGTCGAAAGTCTTTTCCAGCTGCAAAACGCTGCAATGAAGTTTTACCGACGGTTGCATCACCAAGAAGCAAAACTTTGTATTTCACATCAAATAAATTCTCATTGCCAGAATTCGACATTGGCTGGCGTCGAACAAGTTTATTACTGTTATTATTGATCGGCTGTTCACAACTTTGAAGAGAGAGAGAAAGCAAAGAGTGAATTTTCTTTGTGCGTCAGAAAGAGAACAAGATCTTCTTGCATTATCTATATACTCATGTCTTGTCTTATCGTAACCAATGTCCTTCTATTCATATGAAAAACGTCGGTTGAGTTCGTTTTCTTACTTCAAAGTATATCGTCATTTGAAAAATAGCTCATTTTTCAAGTCATTTTACACATCTCGTCAGATGACGGCGCAATTTTATACACATCTAATCTTCTCACGCAAAGCTATTTCTATTGGAATATTTTTCGTGGTATCATCTGTATTATATCTCTCTGACCTGATGATTCAAACGTCTGAGTCAATCATAGTGAGATAAAGACAATCATTTTGTTACAACACCTGATCTTTCGAATTGAACACGATGATGATGGAACATTGTAATTGATAACAAATCCAGGATTATCGTACCCTAGTTCATGAATAGGCATTATTCATACAGTCACTATGTTCCCCGAAAGTAATCACTACTGGTATCACCGAACACAATGCTAACACTGAAGAGACTAGTATGAGAAAATAATGGCATCGTAAGAAAGTCAGAGAATAACAGACATATTTCGTAAAGCGCTTCGATGAATTACGAAAAGCAAAGAAAGATATGTTCTTATCTCTTTGCTATGAATATACTTTTTGGTATTTTATACAGATGCATATACACAATTCAATTCCTAGGTTAGGCGATCATCAATAAAAATATCAAAGTCTAGACTGTAATTCGATCAGATCATTAAATGTATACGTACAGATTTCGTTTCATTTCGCAGTACCACTAAGAATATATGACTACGAATACTAAAAGGCAGTATTGTTAACAGAACAGATCAGGTTACTTACGGAACGACAGGTTGTTGGTACAAAAGAAAAATACACGATTATTTGGATATTGTCGTTCTTCTTTCAGTCAGAATAAACTCATATAAAAGAACATTTCTTTTAAGGCATATTGTACATACCTCTGCCTAGACCTATGATCTTTTCTTTCATTTCTCACCTTATCGTTCTTCGATTCTATACGTATACGTGTATCTGCGTAGGCAGAGAAAAGATAGGAGAGCGCACATACAGGTATTATTGGCCATTGATAATATATTTTACAAAAAATGCTTTCAATAGACAATACATTCCATGCAATTTAAAGATGCATCGAATAGACTCAGGTTCGTCCCTTTATTCGAAACTATTTCGAAAACGAAACAGATGAAAAAAAAAACAGAAATATGATTAATTATAAAAAACCCTATCCCATATACAAGATATATTTTTATCAAACTTTGGTTCGTGCGTTCGAAGTGAATGTTGAAATAGTTGAAAATATTCTTTGCTTACTTTTAACATCGATGCATTTGCCTTTGAAATGAAATATTCTACAGAACGATGATGAATACTTGACTTTCATTTGTTTTGTTTCCTTTTCTTATCTTGTCTACTAACACATCAATTAGTCATTTTTGTGAATGCTACACAACACATCAGCTTATTGTAAAGAATATCTTGCCCGCGAAAGATTCGGAACATTTTTGTACTTAAATTTTATGACATGTCAAAAACAGATAACTTATTTAATTATTCCGCTGCACGTTGCTGGTTTAAAATATTCTATACAATGTCAAAGAACATCTTTAATATTCCAATGACCTGTATGAATTATTAACCAAATTGTATTGGCATGTTCACCTTTTCCAGGCTGAAAAGAACACTCGAGGGTTCTGGTTCGGATGAGCATTTCATACATAGATCAATCACTCATCAGACAAGCGACATGTTAAGTCATTGATGGTAATCAGCAACTAGTGGAATTCATTTTTCGTTCACTGATTATTCATGTAATTCATTGTTCAGATGCGCCATGGAAATCATTCTCGAGTTATTTGACATCAATAAATCAACTGTTATTTTTCTTTCTTGATGACAAATTTCCGGAAATCTTTTCTTTCTCCAGCATTGTTAAATACATTGAGTTGTGATGATATTAACCTAACATTTACATTGAATATCAAATGATCTTTTGTTTTCCAGTGCGAGTTCTTAATGTCGAAGATTTGATTTTAAAAGAAGAACAAACAGAATGCTAGACGTAAACATTGTTCGTTCGCCGGCTTTTTCCAGCAGACGTATTTGGTTGTGTCAAGCATTGATTTGTTGTCAATGAACATTACCATCATCGAATGAATTGTAAATCAATGGTTGAAACGAGAAGAAAACTCGACGAAGACATCTGTCAAGTAAAAAAAGAACTATCGGCATCGGTTCCTTTCTCTTGCTTCTCTCCAGTTTGTTATATGTAAAAATTCTTCCATAATTAAATTAGTCTCTCATCTATAGATGATGAACGTTCCGTTGGCGGCAGCATCAAATCAATTTGCTGGTGCTTCTCGACAAGCGATTTGCCGATGGAGTTTTTTTTTCTGATTTCGAGATGTTAGAGGAAAGAAAAGGAAAAGAGAAGTGTATATGTTCTTGATTGATTAAAAAAACATCACCAGTTTAACTAATCGAAGAAGAAGAAGAAAGGAGAATGGGTCTACTAATCTGTATTTACGCTTTTTTCCCTCAATGAATCCATTGTTTGATTTTCTTTTGCATCAGATCGATTCGTACAACTTATTTGCTTAACATTAAAAAATAAAGAAAAGTAAGAAGAAAATCAACTAACCAACACAGATAGTTGATTTATGTTTTGTATGCATTCCAATGATGTGAGAGATAAAACTGATCAAATCTCATTTCCTAGTTGGAAAACCGTTTCGGACGTCGAAAGAGAAGACTCTTTTCCATTTCTGATCAGTCATTACTATTCGATAGTCAAATGAGACGGACTAGAATTTCTCTTCAAAATAGACATCATTATTCACACGCATTGAGAGAAATGATTATCGCATCGATCTTCTCCTATATTTGAGCTTGGAAAAACGAAGGAGAGGGGGAGAGAGAGAGAGCGGTGACGACAGCGACTAATGTCAATATCTTGATGTCGTGAGCTACAAACATTTTTCTTCTCTTTTTTTCTTTTGGTTTTACATATAAATTAATTCTTTTTTTGTAGTCGTTCATTCTCTACAGTAGCAGTCGCAATGCAATGATGATTTCCCCTCTCTCTCCCTCTCGTTTTTACACACACTGTAGAGTTTTTTTTGCCTTTTCTGCCTATCTTATTAAAAAAATGCTAGTATAGATATCGACGAGGGACATTGGAAGAAAAGAGAAACAGGAGATTTTTCTTCTAGCCTATTTTTCTAGTCTCTTTTTCTTCGGTTACTATATTTTTGGAACGCATTATAGCAAGTGTGTCGAGTATGTCAATACTATAACAATCGTCATTATGCCCATACCCTTTTCACTTGGCGATCTGTTTTTTTCTCTTCTATCAACATTTTTTTCTCTTCGTCGCGTTTTTTTTTCATACGTAAGTGTGCTTATTCATTGTTGCAGATCACTATTACTAATGCAATACAGTCTTCAACAGCAATTATCGTCATCATCATCACCGTCATCACATTCTTATTTTGCTCCCATTCCAACACCTTCATCAATGCAATATGCAACCATCTATCCAACGACGACTCCGACTTCGATCTCTCTTTCATCAACACCAAATAAAAAACTATTATCACAACAACAATCAACACAATTTCAGCCATCGCTTCAATTAGCACCTATTCTGGCAACAAATTCCTCCTACATGTCGCCAAATGCCTCACCCACAGCTTACATGTCTCGAGACTCAGCTTCGCCATCGTCCGATCTCAGAGATACAGATACAGTGAAATTATTCATTGGACAAATACCACGACATTTAGAAGAAAACGATCTCCGACCAATCTTTGAAGAGTTCGGACAAATTTATGAATTAACTGTATTAAAAGATAGATTTACTGGCATGCATCGTGGTAAGAAATGATTAAATAACAACTATGTTTCTCTTCGATTGTAGCCCGCGGCGAATCCCTATTTCATGCAGATTTAATAAAGTGAAATACATAGAGATTTCCGGCTTTTTATCTTGCAAATGACATGTTCATTTGTTTTCCTTTCTGAACTTGAATGACCTGTAGAAGTAAATGATCGATTGATTGTATTTAAGACATCGGTCGCGTGTTCGCAGCCATCTGTTCAAGGAAAAGATGAAATAGAATGGAAAAGAAAATATAGACTCGATGATTTGTCAAATAAAATTTGTTCGCGACGACAGTGAATGTCAAACACATCGTCGCTGTTTCGTTCATACTGGTTAAAAAGGAAAACGAACGGAAACGAATAAGGAGAATGATTGAGAAGGGGGAAAAATCATATCTGTTCTTTCTCCTATGACACTTTTTTCTTTCGTATTTTTGTGGCACTACTTCTCTCCTCGCAGTGACGGGCGACGGCCAGAGGCGCTGAACGATATTAATAATCATTCTGTTCTTTTTCCTTGACAGATGGTCAACTTCTAGAATAAAACGAAAGTAGCAAAGCATTGTATACTCATTCAGTTACTTTTTACAATATCACCATGTTAGTCGATACACTCAATGGTAAGAAGCACTTTCAACAGATGTCATCGATTTGAGCGAAAATTCTATTGAAATATTTTTTGTTTCAAACAATAGCAACTTGACTAAATCGGATTCTTCTTTTGTAGGATGTGCCTTTCTCACCTATTGTCATCGGGATTCAGCACTCAAGGCTCAGCAATCATTGCATGAACAACGAACATTGCCAGGCGTATGTATTCCCATGCAGATGTCACTATTGAAATCAAAATGCGCGTATGAGAACTTTTCTCAGATGTTTTCCATTCGAAAATGATGTGACAATTTTAAGAGACAGGACAAATCGAACAATGCATTCTAAGCAGATTAAGTTCAACACAGTAATAATCAATGCGTATACTGTTCAAAACAATGCTTGCGAGAAGAGAAGAAAAATGAATTTGGCCACGGGAAATTCTGAAATTAATATTTTAAATAAGAGACAAGTAATCAGTTAATAGTAGCTGCCAGATAAATTCAATCGTCTGCTAATGACATTGTTGTCCGTATTCGATCCGTTGGGGATTTCATTGTTGTGAGAAGAAAAATGTGTGCGAGTCAATCGATTGATTTTGATTTTTTTGTGCGAGTCCATCTGAGAATATAGACAATTATCACTCTTTGACTCTGTTCACACTTATTCTTCCGTTTATTTGGACTCATATGTGTGCATATATGTCATTTCATCGTTCCCTTTTATATAATAGACACATCCTACTGTTTCCGACCCATACAATGAGCATGCTTTTCCTTCTTTTTTTACAAAATCGTATGTTACAGACGAGATTTTTTGTTTCTTTCCCTTCATCGTTCGTTGCTTTCTTTTTTTGTTCGGAGAAAACTATTCGTGTAGATCTATATAAAGAGAGTAGAGTAACTGTCGAATCGATCTAGTTTTTTATTTGCAAGTATTTGTGTGCGTGTTTGAGAATGCATTTAAATTCTGACTAGTCTACGCCAGTTGGAGAGCGCTTCAGCGCGCGATGAAAAGAAAATATCGTGACAACAGCATTGATACGTCTCCTTCTACTTCTTCGGAATCTTCAACGGCAATCGTAAGTTTAGCATTAGAATGTGTACTTATCTGCCGTTTCTTCTAGCATTTTATTTGACATACGTTTTTCTTCTTCCTTCGTTGTTACTTGTCTTCCATTCTCATTTATTATCTTCGCTTGATTTCAATAATTGTTTCGATCAACTTTAGTGAAAGAAGACAAAAAAAGAATGAAGTTGGAAAGCCATTATGGCACGTGCATCGATTTTCCTCTTCAGTACTGCTTTGAACTTCACCGTCGTTGAGAATATACAATTACTATTGTTCAAGTGAGAGAAAGATATACAGATGGCCGTGTAGAGATGTCGGCAAGCTTGTCGTATCTCATGTCTATCGTGACAAACGTCAACCAAACTTAGAACAAAAAAAGGAAATCGCCTCTGGCGAGTTATAATGAGCGCGCGCGTGTGTGTGTGTGTGCTTTCTGGCAAAGAATGATGGATAGAGAAGGAAGATGCATTGATGCATATACATATCATGGTATTGCATGCTTAGCAATTAATTTTCAAGCAGACAAGATCGTTCAGAATACTCCTCCCCTTGTGTTGGAACGGAAGTGCCATGCCACCCACTGGATGGTCTCCTCATCCCGATTACTAATTATGTAGCTTAGGATAGACTGACAGAGTGGATTAGAGAATGCAAGAAAAGAATAAGAATGAAAATACATTGAAGCAGAAGAAATGGAAGGACAGGAAAAAAAAGAAGACGAAGACGACGACGACGACGCAGGAGAAGAAGAAAAGAATTGAAGTAGTTATGAAAAGACAAAAAACACGTACACACGCTTTTTTTCCTGAATGTAAAAGATCTTCACAATGAAATTAATTATTTTTATTCTTTTAGATGAGTCGTCCCATCCAAGTCAAGCCAGCTGATAGCGAATCACGAACAGGTAATTAATGCCTCTGAAACATTCCATTGGTAGAAAACGAGTTCTCTTCTCTCTGTTTCTATCATTTATTTATCGAATGAAGTGTTTATTCATTGGCCGATATCATACGTTTCATGTCAGTAAAGATGTATTATTAGCAAGTCTTGAAAATGAATATAAGAAAACTTTGTATTCATCAGATTTTCTTTCCTTTTTATAAATCATAGTGTACGGTTGACACGACACACACACATAGACAGGCAATTTTTCGAGAAGATAGCACTTTGAGAAAAAGGAAATTAACAATATATTGTCGATGACAGAAAAAGGAAGTGATGTTGCAACTTCGAAGTAGAATGAAATATTAAAGTTTGAAACAAAAAATACACCAAAAAGAAAATAAAGTGGCGACTCGATCTTCATCATGTTTTTTTCACTCGCTTCTTCTTCTCCTCTCAATTGTTCTAATCTTTTCTTATTAGTACTACTACCGGCATGTCTGACGTTAACATCAGCATCAGCCAAACTCGATGTGAGTTAGTTACAGTATATATTTATATATATTTATTTATTGAATGNGAATGTACCATTTTACGTGGACCTAGTGGTGATAGTAAAGGTTGTGCATTTGTGAAATTTTCTACTCATAATGAAGCTCAACAAGCCATACAAAATGTTCATGGAAGTCAAACCTTTCCAGGTGCATCGTCGTCAATTGTTGTTAAATTCGCTGATACAGAAAAAGAACGACAATTGAGACGTATGCAGCAATTAGCTGGCCCACTCGGACTGTTATCCAATCCATTAGTACTACAGCAGATTGCTGCTAACTTAAACTACCAAGGTTATACACAAATTCAGCAACAAGCTTTGTTAGCATCATCAAGCGGTGCACATCCAACAGCTTATACAACTATTCCCGTTTTGGCAACATCTGGTCAACCGATGAGTAATGGAACGATGACACCATCTACAGGTAAATAAAACAAAAAGAAAACATTTGAAACAATTGTTATCCTTTCATTGGGAAAATCTTTCCTATATGAATTGATAAATATCAGTATGAACAAAACTGAGTAATATAATCTCGTAGGTGAATGTGACAACATGGACTTTCCTCATTGTACTTTAGTCAATGCATCTCCTGTTAACAATGGACCAGCAGCAATATATCAAACAACTGTATCTGCTCCGAACGGTCAACCAGCAGAATTGTTCTCACCAGGCATGCAGTACTCGAGTAAGAAATAAGCAAACGCACTCGTCAAAGTTTGAAACATGTTCGCTTTTAGCGGTGGTTGGTCCAACAATTGATACTGCAACTGGCCTGCAAATCCAACAAGCTACAGCTTATACTACTTTACCTGCTCAATATCCAATTTATGCTCCCACAGCTATTTATTCTCATTTACCGACAACAACACTGATTCCAAGTGCATTAGCCTCACCTGGAAAAGAAGGTATGTTGACAAGCAAGGGACTTCCTCATTCGATGAGCACCGCGCATTGTTGTTAATGAAGTCTTCGTTTTACTCATTTTCTTTTCTTTAATTTGAATTTCAATCGGATTTTTTTAATTTCATAGCTCTACCACAGTTCTTTGGCCCTGACGGTTGCAATCTTTTCATCTATCATCTACCACAAGAGTTTGGTGACTCCGAACTTGCTTCAATGTTTATGCCATTTGGCAATGTTATTTCGGCCAAAGTCTATGTAGACCGTGCCACGAATCAATCTAAGTGTTTTGGTATGTATCTCTATGTCGTGAGAGAGCAGAAGAAAGAGAGATGTGAACGTTGTACTGGATCTGCTTCATCTGTCTGATTCTTGAGGGTGACCGTCCAATGCTATTCTTTTTACATGTCTTTCTCAATTTTCTTTGTACGTGTACTCGGTTTTACTTCGTGTTTAAAGCCTATTTAACTCCAACATGATTTTATTCTCTTCTAGGTTTTGTTTCTTATGATAATCCTCAATGTGCTCAACAAGGTAATTATTTTCACGGCAAAAAAAAGAAATTTTCTCTAACGGAACGCTTTTTCTTCTTCTTAGCCATACAATCGATGAATGGATTCCAGATTGGTATGAAACGTTTGAAAGTTCAATTAAAACGTCCAAAAGACTTAGCTAAACCATATTAAAATTCCTTCTCCACACACAGTGTATATCTAGTCATGAATGATAACAACGAAAATCAAAATCAATGTGTTTACGTGTGTGTGTATATTTATTCCATTCCTAGTCAAACATTCGCGTTTCTTTTTCCAATAGACAAGATATCTTCATCTATTTATTCGAATTTAGACAGTCAGTCATTCCTTTTGTATCATGGAAAACTTTGTTGTGTTTCAAAAAGGTTTTTTTTTGTTTATTTTCCTTCTTTTTTTTGACAATACAAATCAATTCCACAAGAATTTTTTCTAAAAACATTTATTATGATTACTATTATTATTGAAAATATTTACTCGCTCTTTTTTTTTTGCTGCTTTGTTGATTTCTTTCTCTGATGTTGATTTTTTTCTTCTTATTAGGCTACATAAGCCTTCTATCTTCCTAGTTTGCTCTTTTAAGAATAAAATTTTCTTTTACTAGCAGATTGATTAGTAAGTTATATATACTTATGTAAAAATTAATAAAAACTTAAACATTCTTAAAAGTTTGACTTCCGTATGCGATCGACGGACGAGATTCGAACGATGATGAATGATGACGTGATGTTACTTCGCCATTGGAATGTGTCACTTGATGTTCTTCATGAGTCAATGCATTGACAGTTGATTCGGAGCGAACTAATGGTAAAATTGTTTCTTTTTGTTGAGCCCGGCGTTGATCGTATTTTGCCTGAAAGAACATGTTTAATTATTTAGAAGGTACTTCACATTTTTATGAAGAATATTCTATGAATCATTAAGTTTTTCCACTAGTTTTCATAAGAATTAATTATACAAGAAGAGAAAGGTTTGAATAGGCCTTTTCAATGTGAAAAAGTCTCAGCGAGAACGATTATTACACACTTAGAAAATGAGAAACTGTGCATTACTATGCGTGTTTTGTCTACTCTCAAGAGTGTTGGGAAACAATGTGGAGATTATTGTTCGGAGTCAAATGAGTTATTGACGAGAGAGACGAGTCTTTTCAGAAGAGCAAAGTATCAAATCTCATTTGCTCTCAGTCATTTTCTCATTCATCGAACAAGTGACAAGTGCGGCGACACTGTCACAGTAATGAAAAAAGTCTTACTTTATTATATAATATCACACCAAATGCTGCCAAACTCATTCCAACGACATTGCTAGTTGTTACTGGATTTCGCAATATGAACAAAGATGTAGCAATGATCACGATACGCTTCGCACTATTGCCAATACTGTACGATAATGGAGATAAAAGTGACAAGATTGTGAATGCAACAACATTATGTATAAAATGAAGAATGCCATCGATGAAGAGGTATGCACAGATTCTTAAGAAAGTTTTTGTTCGATGCTAAACAATGACATGAAAGATTTCGAGTATTGGGTTGATATTTCGCTGCACATACTCACGTATTTGGTATCATAATAAATATTCAATCCATCGTATAAAAACCAAAAGGGAACAAACAAACAGCAACCAATTTTTGCCAATAAACATAACAGAAAAAAGTGATGAATTGCAATATCTTTTAATGACTAATGAAAAGACGATCACGATCACGATAAAATGCATTTAGAGATTTTACTTTTTTTGAATAAATATTTTGTAATGAAAAACCAAATGTTGAGATAAGAGCACTAATAAAACCAGTCATATCAAACGAAAGCTCGGTGACTGTAGCGATGATAACACCGACAATGACCGGTATTAGTGAAAGATATACAGGTATTGTTTGTTTCTCACGAAGAATGATTCGAGATAGAATTCTATAGAAAAGAAAACGTGGAAAATAATCGAAAATAGAAACCGTGTCTTACACAGTAAATAACGGCATTGTAGCTTTGATTGTATGAGCAAAGGAGACAGGTACTTTCCAAAGACTAACATGAGAAGATAGTTGTGAGAGAAATTTTCCTATAGCCAATGGGATGATGATTTTGAAGTAGTAAGAACGATTTTGATATAAGTATTCAGGTGGAGGAACTTGTCGTATTCTAGAAAGCAAACGAATAGAGAAGATTATCATCGTTATTCGTCATATTCTTACCGAATAAGTGGAATACAAAGAATCCAGATACTCAAAAGTTGCACAAGTGTAACAGTCAGCGGAAAGGGAAATTCATCGAGTAGTTCTTTTACAATCACATTGCCTGCCGCTGATGAACCTAATGATTGCGAGCGAAACGAAAAAAGTGTTCGATAGATTCGATCAAGAATCTTTACTTACTGTACCAAATGAGACATAAACAACATATTTGTATGCTCTCATACAGCAGTGAATTTTGTTGTGAATTCATTTGTGTGATAATTTGTTCGTGTAAACTCGAATCATAATTTAAATTGGCCTATAAGAGCAAATAGATAAGCTATCAATAAATTCTTTATGCTTTGTGAAAACGTTTAGATGAGATGGATATATGAGCAAAAGAAATGTAAAGGTTAAGCAAATGCAGAACGAAATTGCTTATATGTATTTAGCAATGCTTGCTTTCTTTATTTTTTCTTACATTTCATTCACCATCAATCAAACATACATACAACGTTCTTGATATTCTTTGGTTAATATTTCATATAGTAACTACGATAGATGTCGTAATTGACCAAGTTGGTTCTCAAATATATTGAAAATTTAAAGACAAAAGCACTTTGAAGACACTCATGGTCATCCCAACAGGAAAACTACAACATAGAAGGTATTGTTGAAACTCCTCTATTGTTCATAACTACAATTCATATGCTGCTTTTATTATCTGTACTGCTTTACTCTTGAATCTTAATGAAATGTCGGAGTTTTTGAAAACATGAAAGAATTCACGAAAAAAACGTAAAGTTTCTCAATCTGCAAGAGAAAGAGAGGGGGCTCCCTTCAATATTCTGCAATGACTAACGACGCCATCTTTCGTATAACAATTTGTTTGATTGATACGGTATCAAATTAAGTACGTTCTTCAATCTAATGTACGTACGTACGTATATGTTACATAGTTCTGTCTGTCACCCTATTTACTATCTTTTCACGCATTTAATCAACCTAAAAATATTTATATATTCGGAAGAAAAACATTTGAGTTTCGTTATACAAAACACAAAATGAATAACAACGGAAACTTCAATAATAATCAACCTGCGGCACTAATGTCATATCCATTCCCAATGCAAAATCCTCCCCGGCATACAACATACGTTGAACCACCATTTATTAATCAATCGCCTCAACATTACCCAACACATATGCCTCATTATTATCATCCCCGAGTACCAGTAAGTTTTATTCTTCGTCCATTTTTCTCTCAAATGATGGGACGCTTGATATTCAGATGCAAACACCTCCTAAACCGGAAAAACGCAAACAAGAAATTCTTACATGTGATACATGTGGGATTGAGGTGAACTCTCAACAAATGATGGAAGCACATATCCGTGGTCAGAAGCATATCAAGAAAATGAAACTAAAAGTAACACAAAAGTCAACTTTCCCTTTTGAAAGTTCTTCACTCTATTATGTTTATCTAGGCAGTATCGGGCACAAATACACCCACCAACGAAACAGTTGCTAATAATAATGTTGAGCAACAAAATCCTATGTCAGCTTCACCAACGGTTGCTAAACCAGCAGATGCAACGTCACAAAACGAACCGAATCTACCTGTTACTACTCCTGTCGTTAAACCGACACCGTCGGGCGACAAGAGTGCCTTACAATTGATGAACGAACTAGCAAAACATAACAAGGTGATTCATCGCAAAGAGAAAAACTGAAAATGATATACGTCTGTTTGTAGGTGGATATCAAATATGATTTAGTTAAAGAAACTGGTCCGGCGCATTGTAAACAATTCGAAGTACAATTAACAGTTGGTAGTGAGATCTATCATGGCCAGGGAACTAGTATCAAACGAGCACAACATGATGGTATGCTGAATGAGCCTAATTGTCTCACTTTAATTTCTATGAAAATATATCATTTAGCTGCTGAACAAGCATTAGTCGTAACGGCCTTACGAAAACCCGATTCAAATCAACGTGGTTCATATGCGAGTCGACTGACTCGTGGAGGAAATGCTCCTCAAGGGAGTAAGTAATAAACTTTCTGTTGACTTTTTTTTTGCAAAAAAGCGCACTATATCTATATATACATTGACACATCTGAATAAGTTGAATATTAATTCATTTTATAGTTGCAGGCTGATGTAATCGATGAACGGATACCAATGTACACGAACGAAGCTCGTTCGCTTTCTTTTTTCTTTGAATAATTGATAGAGAGAATCATGAATAATTTCCGATACTTCTCCAAGATATTCGCTGAGTAGATACAAGTTTTCATAAACATAAAGAAAAGCAGAATATTAACTCACTTTCAATTAATTCAAAAAAAAGAAATAGAAAAAGCACCAGCATTGTTTTATGTACGGTAAGTACATATAAACTAGATCAAATGAGAAAACTTGATTATAGATTAATCAATCTCTATACATGTATATATCATAAAAATATTTCTAAAATCAAGTTTTTTCTTAGTACCTATTTGTAATCGGATTTCATTCTGATTTATCTTTTAGTGTATTCAAATGTTCGTCATCAATATCCATCTCAACCACAAATACCACAACAACAAACCATACGGCAGAAAACGTACATGCCAACCGAACAGCAGACACATGACAATAACCAGCGATCGTTATTAAACTTTATTGAAAGTAAATGCGCAGAAATCAGTGAAAACGAACACACAATATCAACACTACAACGCTTAGTTGAAGATGTTGAACGCGCATTAAAAACTGTATCAGATAAAATAACTGAGCAGAGTAAGAGAAATAATACACCTGTTATACCAAAACTTCCAGATAATGTTAAACTGAACAACGTGGAACAAAATTATGAGGATTCAGCAGAATCATTTCGGTAGATTTATACAGAATTTGCCTACTAAAAACAGCTGTGACATAATCATTTTATTTTTCATAGGATGTTGAAAGGTGCAATGAAAGTGTCTATATTAGCTATGCGTTTGTTTCTTCAAACTGACTACGAATATGCCTTAGTGCTTATATGTGCTAATAAACCAACGAAATCCTTACTTAATGAAATATGTGAAGAATTAACAATCGGTTTGAACGCGCAAGCTATCGCAGCACTCCAATTAGACTCCAATGATGAACAATCCAAACCAGTTACCTACAAAATCGAAGCACATGTTGATGACGCATGCTTGACAGTTCAATGTAGTCTTTTGCCTAAACATACCATCCGAGTCTTATTAACGTCGCCCGTCTTTCGTAGTGAAAATTTTCTTAATCTCGATGAGAATACACGTCAACAAATATCCGCATTAAATCCAGACCCAACCGACATGTTAGATAAGGATAAATGTTTACAAGCAGCTGCAGAAATACGTAAGTATTATATTATCACGAACACGAATAAACGAAAAAAGATCTGCTTTCCTAGGCCATTCCAATTGGTTTACACATTGTATGCTCGAAAATAATTTCAATTCGACTGTTCTTCGTATTCTACGTAGCTTACAACAAAATCAAACACCACTATCACATTTGAGTCTCTGGAGTCTTGCTTTACTTGTTCATAAATGTCAAAATCAACCAGCAACTTCAGCTGCAAGTCTCTTTCGCTCAGTTTTTACTTGTATAAGTAGCGGCGTACTCCTACCAAATCAAGCTGGTCTAGGTATTATCGATCCTTGTGAAAAAGAGCCAACTGATGCTGCCGCTTCCCTAACGATGGATCAACGTTTAAACATTACAAGCTATGCTCAGCATGTTTTACGTCTAATTGCTTTTGAAAAATATGAAAAGATCTTTCAATCTGAAGCGTCATATCAGACTGAGTTATCAACATCACAAAATGACAAAATAGATTAATGAAAAACCAAGTTATTACTTGTTGAAAAAAAAACAATGTTTTTTGCGCTTTGTCGTATATGTATAAGAAAAGTACATATGATTCATTGAAACCAATAAAAAAGATTCGTCTTTCGTAATCGAACATATTCAAGTTTTTAGTCTACATACCTCACAGTTATCCATTATCCGTGCATTAGTAGTTTCATATTTAATGCGTGTAATTATTTGACAGTGTCGAATGATAGTCACTTTGCGCATACAGAGGATCAAGGTTAAATATGATAGCGCACGTAGTATTATTCGGTCTTATGATATTCGTCATTTGAATGATTGTTATTCTGCTTTATTTTGATGTGTTTATCAACAAGAAATAGCAAATCAGATTTCTTAGTGAGCCTGTTTGGTTTTATTCGACATCATAATATTGAACATAACGATGAAAATAAAACGTGACAGACGAAAAAAAAGTTCAGTAATAACTAACCTTACATAAGTGCAACATGAGAATAGAACAAGAGGAATTAAATAAATAAATTTAGTAAAAAGAATAAAGAAGAGAGAAACTCGATCTATTAGCTGCTATGGAATGGATAATTTCTATGTTTAGTAGCTACTGCTTTCAGCACTGTACGATGATGATTGGAATGATGATGAACCGCCAGCACCACCGGCACCTAGAATTGAAACATTAGCCATTGTTCAGTAGTCCGGAAGAGAAAAGCATTGTTTCTCTTAGAAAGGACACTCACCAACGAAGTTATTGAATTCACCACGATCAAGAACACCATCTTGGTTGGTATCAGCAGCGTTGAAGGCAGCATCAGCGCTGAAGCTACCACCTGATGAGAAGCCTGATGATTCAAAGGATGATGATGATGCACCACCATAACCAGCAGCTAAACCACCAGCAACGAAGCCAGCTTCTAAGCCAGCACCGCCACCAGATGAATAGCTTGACTGTTCGAATGATGATGAGCTGAGTTCACTACCTCCACCAACAGCAGCAGCGGCACCTTCAAATCCTGCTGACGCTCCGTAAGCACTGGCACTGAAACCAACGGCAGCTGCACCAGCTGGTGGAGACTATTAAAAAAATGAATAAGATGAGTGACGATGGAGAAGAAGAACGCCAGTCAAATTTATCAACATACGATATCTTCAACGACACCAGCAGCGCGAGCTTGTTGAAGGAGTGTGGCAGCATCAAGAAGTTGTGCACCATATTGTTGAACATAGGCTTGTGGATTAGCTAGAGTGACACCAAGACGTTGGAACTGACGAATAATACGAACTTGAGCTGCTTCATATTGAATAATGACATTGCGTGGACGTGCATATTGTTGTGCAGCAGCAGCACGTTGAACAATTGTTTTTCGTTTGGCTTGAGCTCCGTATGGCACCCAGCGTTCAATGATGATATCACCTAAAAGTGGCCATAAATTTTATGAGAATAAATACTCTGGTAAGTGTAAATACGATAACGTACGTGGTCGTGGTGGCAGAGGCGGAAGACGTTCAATAATGACTGATCGTGGTGGTACGGGTAAGGCAGCTAAACGGCGAACAACGGTTTGGGCAGCAACCGAAGCTGGAGGCTGTGGTGGTCTTTCACGAAGAATGAGTGGGGGTGGTTGAGGAAGAGCTGGAGCTTGTTGACGAATGCGGAGAGGTGGTGGCGGGGGTGGTTGAGGTGGTCGCACTTCTTTGATGATGAGTGGCTATGCGAAGGAAGTGAAGAATCAAGGCGGTAAGTTCAATCAATCCTCGAAAATACTTACGCCTGGTGGTGGAATAGGTGGTGGTTGAAGGAAGCGAACTCTGATATGTTGTGTATATGTTTGTACGCCACCTGCAGCTGGGCGACGAATAATTTGAGGATTGGGATCTTGGAAGAGTCCTTGAGCATCAGTAGCATATTGTTGAACTTGAGTGCTTGATGATGACGATTCGAAGGATTGTGAACTAGCACCAAGCGCTGCACCAGCAGCAAGACCGCTTTCAGCACCGTAGCCACTGCTTGAGAACGACGATGATTCATAACTACTTGAACCAGCAGCTAAGCCACCAGCGCCGAGTGATGCATCATAGCCAACAGCGAGAGCACCACCTCCTAGGCCACCACTTGAGGATGATTCAAATGATGAGGATTCAAAGCTAGAACCACTAGCACCATAGCCAGCAGCACTACCAGCAAGATTTTGTCCTGCATATCAAAGATTGATGATCATCGATTTGAGTATTTACAGATCTGAAGTGAAAGTTCAACTTACCGATAAAGTTACGGAATTCCCCCAAATCGAGGCTACCATCTTGGTTAGTGTCAGCTTGTTGAAAAGCATCAGCTGCACCAGCACCACCGCCTGACGAGTACGATGACGATTGATAAGAGTAATTAGCCATTGAAGACTGCTGCTGTTGGCGAGAGGATGAGGTTTGGTTGTAACAAATCTGAAGTTAAGAATATTCGTGGATAGAGCACAGTTTATATAGTACTAGTAGTTCATGCATGGGTGGAAACCAAACAAACAAAAGAGAAAGAACGTGCGTGTCTAGCAGAGAAATTGGATGATAAGCAAGCACCTGATTAGCTAGTTTATCATGGTCATTTATTCCAATAAGGTAACACCTATTTACACAAAAGAAAGAGCGACGAGAGGATACAGACAGAGAGAGTAATTTTGAGAACAATAGAAAACCTTCAGAGAGACCAACTACTAGAAAAACACTGATCGTTATTGACGAGGACTATAATAAATTTATATCACTGGTTAGTGAATAATAAAAAATATCAGACGTTTCAAGGATATAAACCTCCTTATAACAATAATCGATGATTATAAAGTTAAATAGTTTTGTAGCTAATTCTTTTACATCTGTTTCAATTACAACCGTTGATGCATCACATGTGCTTGTTCTGCTCTCCCTTCGCTTAGTATGAATAATACAACTATGATTTATGGATTTTTATCTTCTATTTTCTCGAACAGATAATGAAAATATATATCATATCTTCATCTATCATTGCTATATCTACCTTGATGATCAAGGCTCTGATCAATTATGAACAAATTAGCATAATAGACTTATTCTTTACAAAAACTTCTTATCAATAAAAGGGTAACCATGAAAAACAAAAGGACCAGACAAAGACAAAGACAAAGACAAAGACAGACAAAACGCACGAACATCATTAAGAAGAAAAGAGATCTACTAGTCGTTAATTAAAACGTAAATCATTATAATAGTTCAGTAGACCAACAATACTAGTTTGGTCGCTAGTGGTGGTCCGTACTACACGTTGTCGATCAGCACGTTCAAAATTCGACCGAACAAGTTCGTAATATTCTCCATCTGCTAAAACTAATGATTGTAGTCTGACACACCGAATTCTAGAAAAAAAAATCGAATATGCCATGCTACAAAACATGACTGCTAATCATTAACTTACCGTATATGATCAATAAACTTCGAACTATTCTCGTTCCATCTTAATGTTTCTTCATCCCATTGAATTTCTAATCTTTCTAACTTTTGGCATTCATGTGCACATGCGTCGAGCACTTGGTCAATGTGAATACGTGTGTTTATCTTCTTAAACCATCCATGTGGAGTACCCATAACGAAAATTCTTTCAAAAAACACATGTATTCAACGGTTATCATAGTCAGAGGGAAAAAATTGGCATACTTGATATTTTTCAAGTGCTTTATTGTATTTATCCAAAACTGTTCAGTTACTTTCGAATTTCCTGCGTAGGATAACCCGCGTAATTGTCGTCCATGCTGTTTCAATAATGTAAACACAACTTCATGATTGAGATTCACAGTGTTACTCAAATCAATCGCACGAATATTTGTTAATTTGTCAAGGTCGACGAGAAGAGCAAGAACCTGAAACATCAATCAATACAAGGTTTATCGTGAGTAATAGATTACTTTATCAGTAAAACCATCACAATTGGGCACAGCTAAATATGTCAGATTTGGCATTCGTTCAAAGATATTCACTAGGCAATTCTCTGATAATTCTGTTGATGAGATATCAAGTTCATTTACAACCGATGATCCCCAATCTGCTGCTAACATCCCATGATCTTCAATTCCTATAAACAATAAAGATTTAACACAATGAAATAACTGTTGCTGAGAGTACACCGACCGGTATTCTGAAGAAGTAAACATTGAAGTTTTCTACAGCGTTGTAACAAAGTTTTGAAACTGGCACCTTTGACACGTGTGCAGAAATTTAATGCGAGACATTCAAGATGAATGCAGCCGGATGCAATGATTTCAATGTGATTGTCGTCAATAAAAAATATACCGTAGAAATTAATAACCTGTTAAAAAAAAATTTTCTTTCATCACAATCATAAATCTAAACTAATCATACTGTTCATCAAAAATATCTTGATATGCGATAGATTGCTGTTTTCTATTAAACTAGTGCGTCAGATCTAGACAATATGAAGTCGCGTCATACTTTCTCACTACGCTACTGAAATGAAGTAAATCCTCATGCTCTAGTATTTACAATACGTTGTGACTAATTGAAAGGTTATGATCGATTTCGTAGGCAGTGTTCACTGCGTTTCTCCTCGAAACTATTCCTCACATCAACAAGCGCTACACAAAAACATATCCTTCGGCGCAAGCTATTTCATCGGCATATCCAGATAGGTGATAATCAACTTGACTTATCCTCCAAAATCTTGGATATATATATATATATGCATACGGATGTGTAGGAGGAGATTTGTTAGAAATATCTGATAATTGATGACTGCTCTTTTTTCATCAACAATAGTATATGACATCTTTTCCGCATTTGAACATTCGGGTACGTGTTTCTCATTATTAGTGTAAATAAAATGCTGATTATTCATTAGGTGCACATTTATGACAGAGGCGACATTCAAATCGATAATTAGTCATATAAACTTACACGAAGATTGGGTGTTTGTGCTTTTATTTTACTGATATTAATCGTTTCGTAGACTTCTTCCTCGGCTTCATTGGATTTCTCGATTGTTCCTAAAGAGAAATAGTCAACATGTACGTCAAGCATACAGTTCTTTCGTACCAATAATTTGTAAAATCTCCAGTGATGATAAATATGTATAAATTCGTCTCATAAAACCTTCGAGAAAAATGACTTCCGACAAGCAAATACAAAGCATTTTTAAATTGCACGGAAAAATGTTTAAATCATAGAAATCATGTAATTGCATGGCAGTTGAAAAGTCCAATGTTAAATATTTCAAATTCGGACATTTATTTGCTAACTCATGCAAAACATCCGCTGTAATCAACTCCATCGGTAATTCGATAAACTGCAATGATGCCGAAAAACGATGACCGATTAATTGAAGAAACAAATCGAGATTTTTCACATGTAAACCATGATACTCTGGACGAAGGAAAACTGTTTTCCATAATCGAGAATTTTGACTCAAAGCATGCCATAGTCGACAAACACGTGCACATCGTAACAATTCGATATGCGGTAAATAAGAAAAGATGGTCAATAAGATCTTTTCGGGCAGAGTATTGAAATCACGCTGAAAGACAAAGAAATACAATATGTTATTAAAAGCCAAAGAAGATTTCTTCAAAGATTTTCTCAAGGTAGCTCAATCACTTTCGGCATTCGTCGTTTGATTGAAGGTTGCGTTTCCATGTTACGAGACCGGCAAGAGTAAGTCAGTAGTATCTCATACGCTTATTAGAATAGAAGACGAGAGAAGAAAACAGAAGGAAACGAGTGTTAAATGAGGTTATTAGTACACATAAGTCATATCATCATTGTCAGTGGTCGCATATTGTCATCGTTTATTTTCCTCCGCATAATTTACATACTCAAGTATGTAAGATTGATATGACTATACTTATGAAAATAGAAGGTTTTCATAATAACAAATTACCTGCATATCTTGAGATGGTAAGCAGCTGTTTCTCCTCATCGTTAGTTGAATATTACTGCTATACATTTCGTAATCAGTCATGAGTATTTAATGAATTGACTCGTTATTTTCTTCATCGTCGCTTCAGACCTTTGTTTCTTTTTTCCGAATCAATGCAACTGACATTTCGAGTATCTCTAGTTTTCTAAACGTTCGTCTGACGTGTCTATTTTTCAGTGCCAAAGAAAGCCTATTAGCAATTGACTGTTTTCTATCGAATTAATCTGATCTCAATTGCGAGTCGAAGGCCGTCTTTGTTTGGTTCTTGTTAATAAAATAAATATCAGCGTTCGACTGATTCTTTGTTCTAAATGGGCAATGAAAATTTTCATTGATGTTAAAGGAAACGTTAGCACTTATCAGCGTCTATTCCGCGACGACAGCCATCTGTCACATGCAAGTCAGTACATCAAGGAAAATCGAAAACTCGCCATAAAATCAAATGAAATATTTGTTCTAGATGAATAGTTGATTAACATCACGTCTTTCTGGATGTGAGAAATGTTAATTCACTCTCATCTGATATCAATCGTGTTCTTCAGCACACCGAGAAAAGAAGAAGAAGAAGAAGAAAAAGATCAGATTGAGAGTAGTCTTTTTTCCATCGTAATACTTGAAAGAAAAAAGCTATTAGAATGTTATGGAACATTTATTACATGATGAGATCAGCATGAGGAACGATAAGAAGTAATGCTCACTTACTTTGATTCGCCGTTTTGATCGTTGACTAGCATTATGTTCGTCATCATGGTCTAATTCATCTTCGAGCTCGCTATCTATTTTATGGCCCCATGCTTCCTGTGCTACATTGGAAAACATAGCAGTGGAATTTGTCATTGTGAATCGACGTACATCCATCACAACTTTTTTTTCCTATTTTTTTTTACACCAAATCAATAATAATTCATCATTTGTTTATATTTCGATGACGCTAATTCATGCTTGTAGAGTAAAACATCATTATGGGTGGTGCAAAGAAACAAGGGAAATAGTATTAGTAGAGAGAGAAAATAAGCTGTGTGCAAGGCTGTCCTCCCATTTTATCCGTTAGTTCTCTCATCGTTCATGATGGATCACAGACGACTTGCAGAGTATATCGTATACAGATGTTGACATAAATGCTCTGATATCTTATCACGTATAAATATCCTCTTAATGAATCGAGCAGAAATACTGTGATACGGACAATAATATGCTGTTTATCCCGTACTAGAGAAAAAAAAACATGAGATCCCAACTCCGATAAAATATTATCCGCATCATCAAAACAAAGACGACAAGCATCGATCGAGTGTACATAAAATAACAAGTTTCTCTTTCAAATAAAACTCAAAATAAGTCTCCTATGTCGCCGGTTGTGTATGACTTTTGGTGCCATGTTTGAGAACGTAGTGCGATGTTGGTAAAATACGTGCGAGAAAATCGAGTTGATGCGTTTGAAACTAAAATAAGAGAAGACGAATATTTGATTTTTAATAAGAACAAAACTCATACAGCTGGTCGATCAGGCATGGTGCGTCGTTGATGATCACTGCCGAATACAACTGTGTTTTCTGGTAAGACTTCATCTGTTGTTAATGAACATTTGGCACCAATGACGCAACCGCTTGTTAGTGTAACACTACGACCAACTTGCGCTACAATATTTTAGGTAGAAATGAAGTTTAAGGAAAAATTGTCTCTTCTACCTTTACATTCGAGAATATTGTTATCGCCCACTTTAAGAGCTTCGCATTCTATATGGAACAAAATCGATGAACCACATGTAGAATGCATAGTCAAGCGACATACGTGAGCCAACTTCAAAGACATTATTATTTCCTATGATCATTACTACTTGGTTCATTTGATCTTTATCAACGCCAGGTGGAAATCTACGGAAAAGCTTTCTCTTTCAAAAAAATCATTCATGAAAAGTCTAGTTCAACTACCGATTAGCTATAACACATTGCTCTTCGATTAAGTTTCCATCACCAATAAAAATTGGGCCAGCTTCCGCAATAATACTGACGCCTGGATGAATAATGGTTTTACTTCCTAAATGCAATACAATTTCACATAAATAAACGAATCATTTTAGCAGAAATGATTGTATACCAATGGAAATTTCGCCCACTAATTGAAGACGTTCTTCACAGACATATGCACCAGGTGCGATCGTTACTTGATAACTAGAATTGAAATTCGTATAAAAAGATACTTATTTGCATACGTATTGTCACTCTCTTTACCTGGAATTGATAGCTGGACACATTCTTATTTGATTCTCTGAGAAAGAGAAATACTTTACTTGCTCTACTCCTCAGACTAATAAGTTAGTCGTCAGTTCACTCTCTACCAATACGAAGAACCTGCGACATAGATGTCCTCGGCATTCGTACTATTCAATATGGATATAATTTCTAAATAGCTATTTTGAGATTCAAGACAGACGTGAATGGTTTTTTCTAGAGAAATCGGATCCTTGAACTCAAAAAGAAATCCCCTAGCTATAATTAGAAGAACTTCAGCAGCCGCGCACGTATGAAGTCACGTTCATTTTTATTCTGTTGCGCTAATATTCATCGTACTATGGAACAAATCTCGATGAGCATTAATATTCATTTTACCAAACCGTTCCTGTGCGATATCTTATTCATCTTTAGCGGAGATACAATATGAATGTTCAACTACTCTTAACATGCATGATAGTTGTTAACCGATTTTCGCCTAAATCACCCTAGTATTTAATATAATAAGAATTGTTCATCGCATTCAGCGACTAAATACGCTAAATTTAATAACAAAGTTACATATTCAATCAAGTGTTTTTCTTTCGCATGTCACTGAACTTCAGGATAAATTTACACTATATTATCTTTGAGTTAATCAATTGGTATCGATTACATTAACTCGTTTTCTACTGACATCTGCTGTCTATCTTAGATACTTCCTTATTGCTGTACGTTTATTACGAATCGATATCTTCCATTCATTCACTTCGACAAACACCATTAAAACAAAACAAATAACTAACGCACCATGTGCAGATATATTTGTTCCACATAGACTGATATCGAATCAGGTGTTAGAGGCACATTTTCTTTTATAAAAGCCAAGAGATCGCATTGATAGTCCAGACGAATCAGTCTTAGATATCTTCTGCATGCAGAAAGTACTTGAGGGGAAAAATCAATTACTCTTGAATGCTATTTGGAATGAATATACATAATTTTTATAAGATTAGCGTAGAATAATCAATCGTACAAAATTTTTCTCTGATAAATCGATTTAATCTATTCAATAGTATTTATCTTAAAGTAAATACTGCACCAGAAGACAATAGAGAGCATTGCGAATCATTTAGTATATTTACTTATTTTCTTTCTAGTTAGCCGAATCTCACAAATCAATTTACTTCGTATCTTTTCGATATGACTATTTGATTTCATACTCAGGTTGTCAATCAAATTTGCAATCTTTATTCGATAATTTTCCCTTCAACTTCGAATGGGCTGGTGTGTTATACTTGAACAACATGTTTCGTTTTCTTCGCTCGCGTTGTGCCATCGCTCGTTATATTATCATTTGGCTATTCATCATCACAATGTTCAAAATCACCACAGTATTCTATTATGATCTTCAGCAACAGTCAGTCGATAGTAGTTCATTAGCTTTACCCTTCGATGACACCAATTTAAACCGAGAGAGATCGATAAATGCAACAAAGCCTCCAAGTTCAGATACGTCACTGGCATTGAATCGAACCGCAATTGAGTACTATCGGAAGTATGTCGAGAGGAAAAATCGAGCGCAGTTTATGTACAATGCGCATTTATTTTCCCGAACAACTCGGTATGTTCTACTGGTACAAGTCCATACACGTGTGGTTTATCTCAAGAAATTTATTGAAATGTTACGTTCGGTTGAGACAATTAATCAAACATTGCTAGTATTTAGCCATGATTTCATCGATCCGGCGATCAATATTCTCATTACCAATATAACATTTGTTCCGGTAATATGTTTTGACGAGATTGAAATTCTATCCTGGTAGTTTAACAGCAACTGATGTTTATTATTTTAAGTATCTTCACCCTGACGATAGTTTCGAATATCCTATTACTATCTACAGAGAGATTAAACGAAATTCACTTGTGCATTTGATTGTTTTAGGTGATTCAAATATTTTATCCATATTCTCAACAGCTTTATCCAGATGAGTTCCCCGGCTTAGATCCAAACGATTGCCCACGAGATATGGCTAAACATAAGTAAGTCGAAAATTGATTTCTAGTCGACATTTATCATTGATATAACCATTACTGCAGTCATTCGAAAGAAACTATACGTAGGTCATTTGTTTCTATTGAAATAATAAATCGAAATTTTCCTTCTCGTGTTGGTTTGTGTGTGTGTGTGTGTATCTTTTGTTTTAGCACAGCCATGATGAGTAAAATATCTTTAATTAACTAATTCATCTTCTATATGATTGAAATTCGATGATTGCTGAATGAGTTTTCTTACGATTTCCTACTTTTCTTTTTCAGAGCTTTGGCAAATCGATGTAAAAATGCTCCGTATCCCGATAAATATGGTCATTATCGAGAAGTGTCTATTGTACAGATAAAACATCACTGGTGGTGGAAAGTAAGTTCGAAGTGTCTTGAGAGATTATCCAGTACTTTATTCAACTTTTCGAAATCAATTCAGAGAAAATATAAATATTTCATACTGGTCAAGAAGTAATTATCATTCGTCTATACAGGTTTTGGTTCTAACAAAATGAATAAAACGTTCTAGCTTTTTAACCTAAAAGTATTTTTTCGTACTGAATGTTGATTCAGGATTTGTACATCAATGTTTAACAAATTAGATCGAATAACAATATTTGATGAGAGTTTAATTAACATTTGCTCGCGTTTTACAGATACTAATCTGAGCTAGAATTTTGCTCACTATAACCGATTCGATGGATTTTACTTTTAAACATAATGAACAAATTGGATTTTCTAGCTCAATTTTGTTTTCAACTCAATTGAAATACTGCAAAATCGCTCAGACTTACTGCTGCTTCTACTTGAAGAAGACTTTTATCTCTCGCCCGACGCTCTGATCTTTTTAAAGAAAATGGAAGAAGACAAGCCACGGTAAGCTAAACATAAATGCATATTCTAATTCCCGATAACCGTTTCATTTTCTATCTCATAGGCTTTGTCCAGAATGTTTGTTCTACACATTGGGCAATTTAGAAAAATCAGGTAGACAATTCGATAAACTCAGTTCAAAAGTATGATCACGAAAAACATTTCTTCCAACTATCCTCAAACAAATGATTTTTCCAGGTCTCAATTGCATATTGGCATGCAAGATATAATCTTGGCATGACCATTTCTTACTCCCTGTGGGTTTTACTTGTTAAATACGCGGAAGAATTTTGCAATGTCGACGATTATAATTGGGATTGGTCACTTGTTCATCTAGCACAACAACGACTGAATTATCCACGTGTGATGTGGTCAAGTGCCACTCGACTGATCCATCTTGGATCATGGTAGATTGATTTTTTTATTCTTTGCTTTTTCGTTATTGGTAATTTTAGTGGTACTCATCATAAAAAAACATGTTCGAGCGAATCGGACATTGCTCGCTGGAAAGAAACCGATAAATTCTATGATGTCAATAAGCAATATTTATTCTCAACGAAATCTCTTTCCATACATCTAAGATACGAAGCCAAACGTCCAGTTAAACAAACGAATGGTGGATGGTCCGACTTACGCGATCGACAACTATGCTTGTCATTCGCATTGAAAAATACTAAAGATCTTTCTCGTATAATAATGAGAACTTGATATGTTGTAATTCTTTTTCTTTTCGGCTTTGTACAATATTTTAACTTGATGTTTCTATCGAGATACTGTGGAACTCATTGTTTTTTATTGTTTTTCTTTGTATACTTCTTCAGATTTGAAAGAAAACAGCACGTATGTTTTCAGCCGTTCGTCGAAGTTATTCCGCATGGACAATTAATAGGAATGTAATTTATATCGTCATTTACCTTGCGTCTGTCGATTGATGTAATCTATTTTAAATATAGGCGCCCTTTGAGCTTTATCAAAAGGCATGTTTGCCGTCGGTTCGTTCTGTTCTTTCTCCTCATTCTCCGACAATCACATTGCGAACGAACGCGCACATGACACCTTCACATACAATGCATCAAAATGGCTTGCTTCGGTTAGATAACAGAATTGTACCATTTAACAAATCATTTTTCTTCCGATCGTTTTGTTTTAAGATTACCAGTACCAACCTTAGCTGAAACAGCGCAAAAATACTTGAAAACAGTTGCACCCTTGTTGAACAACGATGAATTTAATGACACAAAAAAAGTTTGTTAATCGAACAATGAGAACTATTCTATTGAAAAAGTACCTTTGCGTTCAGGTTGTTGAGCAGTTTCAACATGAAAGTGAACCTTTACAAGAATTGTTATTAAAACGAGCACAAACAGAAGACAATTGGGTAGGACAGCATGTTTGATTTCAAATCTAACTACATTTTATACTTGATGTTAGTTATCACAATGGTGGCTTGATAAAACTTATCTTGAATGGCGTTTGAATCTACCGATCTTTTACAATCCAGCTCTGGTATTTCCTCGACAGCCATACAAAGATTTCGATGGACAGATTCAATTTGCAGCTAATTTTATACACGGTGTTCTTCGTTATCGAACATTGATTGACAAGTAATTAGTTATCTCGAGAAAAAAGTTTCATTGGTGGACGAGTCGCATTTCAATTCACTTTAGTGATCAGTTGCCGATTGATCGTTTTGGTAAAGATCCACTCTGCATGGATCAATACAAAAAATTAATTGGCACAAACCGAATTCCAGCCGACCGTATCGATCGACTCCATGTGTATAACAAATCTGGTCATCATCATGTCGCTGTGTTCTATCACAATAATGTACGTTAGGTAGATGTTTGTTTATCTGTATTCTAGTGGGTTTTGTTTAGGTCTATCGGCTTCCTGTGTACGATCAAGAGAGAAATCCGCTATCAGCTGCAGCAATTTATAGTCATTTGAAAAAATTGGCTGATTCCAAAGAAACGAATGATCAGGCAACATTAATTGGACATTTAACGGCAGATGAACGACAACTGTGGGCGCCGATTTATCAGCAATTATCATCAAGTAAATGTCGTTTGTACGTTTATAAAATCGACATTCTTAGTTTTTCAGTTCCAGAAAATAAAGAATTGTTTGATACAATCAATGATAGTGTGCTCGTTTTATGTCTTGACGATACTTATGAAACATCTCCTACGGGAGCAACGAAGAAAGATATTCAATCCATTGCAGGATACAATCTTTTACACGGTAACGGAACCAAATCGAACACTGCTAATCGATGGTTCGACAAAACACTTCAAGTAAATGATTTTGGGAAATTCTATGATGATAAACTTTGTTTTTGTCAGGTTATCGTCAGCCCTGATGGCTATTGTGGTCTGAATTATGAACATTCAGTAGCCGAAGGTGGAATGATTACAGCTCTAGTGGATAATGTTCTTGATTATTGGTTTGTTGCTTGTATTGCAAGGTAACTTACCGTCACTTATATTTGTGTTTGATTTTAGTAAAGCAGCACAGCCACTCGTCCAAACAGGTCAATCATCATTGTTAAGCAAATGCCGCGTGATTGTACCGAAAGAGGTGGAGCAATCGATTGTCGAAAGTGAAAAACGTGTTAATAAGTAAAATTGTGATGCATACAGCTGGCATTTTTCATTACTTTTTTCTTCTTCCTAACTAGATTTATTCAAAATTGTGATATCATCGTTTACAAATACACGGGTTTTGGTAAACAATTTGCCAAAGAGAATAAATTCAGCATCGGTATGTGAGCTCGGTATCATTGATTCCTATAAATCTTTATTGATTGCAGATGCCATTATACAAGTTGGCTTACAAGTGGCTTATTTTCGGTAATAGAATATCTTGAGCATAATCGCCTTTCTTATCTAGCTGAATTTCTCTTCAGAATGCATGGAAAATGTGGTGCTACATATGAGAGTGGTTCTCTTCGTCGTTATCATCTTGGTCGAACAGAAACTATTCGATCATGTACCTTAGATGCACTGAAATTCGCTCGTACTATGGCTGAACAGCATAATGAAACATCAAGCAGTGCTAAGTATGATCTATTTCAAAAGGCAATTCAAGCACATCGACAAAATACGAATGATGTAAGACTGAATATTCGAAATATTTTATTGAATTTTACTTATCTTACTCTAGGCAATCAATGCAAAAGGTATCGATCGACATCTATTAGGATTGCGATTGATTGCTGCGGAAAATAATCTACCAAAACCAAAATTATACGACCATGTGAGCTATAAACGTGCAATGCATTTTACATTGTCAACCAGTCAAGTAAGGCAGTGATGTTAATAAATTGTTGATTATTGTTTACGGTAAAATTTTAGGTAGCTGCCAAACATGATTGTGTCATGATTTTCGGTCCAGCTGTTGACGACGGATGTAAGAAATGTTGATGTTAATGACGAATCATTCTAGTTGAGTTGTTTTTCCTAGATGGCTGTTGTTATAATCCACGCAATGATTCGATAAATTATATGATGACAGCATTCAAAGTCAACAATGGAGGGACCAATGTGGAACAGCTTTCCAATCATTTTAATCGCAGTTTAACCGATATTCGACAACTAATCGAACAGAATTCTAATAATCCAATCAAATCTAAACTATAGGCAGTCGTTTTTCCCAATTTTATTTCTACAAGCTATGTGATTAGAATATATAAAACAATCAGTCTCCTTTTTATTTTCTAGATTTGATAAATAAAAGAAATCATCATGGTATGAAGTCGCCTTTCACTTGAAACTTTCGATTCCTCGATTTTATAGGTTCAATGTTGGTATATGGATGATCGAAAAGAAGATCCACAGGAAGACCACCTGTTGGAAGAAGTGGACACCGTAACATTGTGTAACAAAACAGGTGTCGAAGTTTGGTATTTTCATCCTGATCAAATTCGTGCTGATAGTGAATGTCCATCGTTAATTAAATTAAAAAAAGATCGAGGGTAATTCATTGCACTAAGGCGAATGTTCGATTGGAGAGTTTTTCGGTTATGCATAGATATACTTATGAGGATGAAATTAAAGTCGATCCAACCATGGAGAATTATGAGAACAAATTGAAAACATTCTTTGCCGAACATCTTCATTCGGATGAAGAAATTCGACTTGTACTTGAAGGATCTGGTTTCTTCGATGTTCGCGATTGCGATGACAAATGGATGAGAATTCATGTTTTTCCTGGTGATTTGATTATTTTACCTGCTGGTAATCTATTCAAAGCATTTTCATTTTTGCATTAAATCGTTCTCCTTCGTAGGAATTTATCATCGATTCATACCTGATAAACAAAATTTTATTCGTGCACGACGTCTCTTTGTCGGAGAACCCATCTGGACTCCAATAAATCGACCTGATGGTGACAAGCATCCATCACGCAAAGTTTATGTCGATCATCTTTATCGTAATGGTGAGCAAACCGCTGGTAACAACATCATTGAAGCAATGTCATAAGACAAAAAAGGCACTTTCTTTTTATTTTATTTCTTTTCAACAGTCTCCTTTTCTGGCCTGTGTTTTACATATATAAGAATAAAAGCAAACAACAGAGAAGCCAGAATAGCAACTGCAAGTGAAATAAGAATAAAACCTATGGGTCCGAGTATTTTCGGATTGATACTGTAACCAATCAACAATGGAATAATCGCATCACCGGCTGAACCACCCACTGCTATAAATGACATTCGTTTACCTGTTATCGAAACATATCGTTCCGTAAAAGCAATCGTAGACGGATAAATAGAAGCGACTGATAGGCCGTATAGAATAGAACCAATCCATAATAGTAAGGGTGATTTGTTTAAAACATACAATAATGTCAAGGAACAAATACAGCCAATCAAATCGATAAAAATCATTTGCAATGCGGATAGTTTGATTGAGAGTGGAATACCACATAAACGGCCGAATGCAAACGATGCCCAAAATAAAGAATTTATATAGGCACTAATGTCTTTTGGAAAGTTTAAATGTAAAGTTGCATACGTATGTATATAGGCACCAAACGCTGATTCGCCACCGACATAGAGCAAAAGAAATATTGTGATTAAAATGAGAAAGAAGCGATTCTTTGATGTTGAGGATGGTTCTGCTGGATTTGTTTGTTCATCTGATGCAACAATCGATTCGATTTGGTTGTTCAAATCATCGATTTGTTTATTTTCTAAAGTAATCTGTTCAATTTTTTTCGAGAAAACTTCATCACGTAGAGCATAGGCTAAGATCCAGATAATATTCGGTATATGTAAACAACCAATCAACCAATAGGCATAATGCCACTGATCAACTGGACTTGTGTTTTTCAAAAACGGTGCAATGATCAATGGTGAAAGAAACGCGCCAACACCAAAAGCGCCGTGAAGTGCTTGTAGATATGGATTAACATTGAACTTGTCGTAATGACGTATGGTTAAAATTTGGGCTAGGTTATCAACAATACCAGCGGTAAAACTCCACATGAGGTGAGCGACGATCATAGGTACAAGTTGATAGACTAAGGGAATGATTAATGTTGATGCACACATAGTAAAAACACAGATCGTTAGGAATGTTCGCCCTAGTAGTGGGAAACGATCGATTAGAGTTCCACCGATTAAAGTTCCAATCAAGAAGCCAAACGAACGAGTAAAGAGAACGTAGACAACTTCTTCGAATGGAGATTTGACTTGTTCACCAAATTTGAGTAGGGTTGGTCCGATAAGACCGGAGCCGAATCCCATGGATAGAAATGAATAAAATAGAGCAAAGAAATAAATAATCGATGGTTTTTTCGTCGAAATTTTCCCCGATTTGGCCTCGTCAGTCGGTGATCCATGTAAAGTATGAAGAGAAACAACCGATGTTGATAATGACTGCATACTATTTGTTGATGTTTTTTCTTTGTTTATGCCTTACTCTTTCTCTTTTCTGTTCTGTTCTGTTCTTATCATCTATCGAAAAAAAATTTTTAATAATATTAAACAGGAATGAAATGATCAAAAACCATGTTATATGGATTCTTTTAGTAACGACGAAGGTTTACGTTTGTCGGATTGTAACATGCGTCATTTATTGCCTTCAAATCTAAACACTGAATTTGATTTATGTTAATCATTCTAACAAGATTCACCTTGATATTTATTATGAAATAGTTTGATTAATTCTCACAGCAAAAAACAAGCAAATGTCATACAGAAAAATTTGTAAGAAATTATCTGACATGGTTAAGATGAGCATGAGATAATCAATTTTTTTGCCCACGAAGGAGATCGTTTTGCGTAGTCATTCATTTCTTCTTGTTCATCGAATGGTCGTCGAAATAAATTAAGTAATCGATCGATTTCACTGAAGTCATCCTTTTGCGCTTTTTCAATCGCTACTTGTGCCATATAGTTTCGCAGAATGTATTTCGGATTGATACGATTCATTCGTTCACGACGCGTTTGCTTTGCATAACTGCCTTCTGATGCTAGTCGTTGTTGATAAACAGAAAACCAATGTTCCCTCTTCAGAACGTCCGGAATAACTCCATCGGCGAGTTGTCTCCAGAATTGAGTGTAATCAATATGATATACATCCAATAAACGAAGAATTTCTTCATAAATCCATTGATCTGAGTGAAGGTACAGCGTTAAGCCCAATTTACGCCGCATTAACGTATCATATGTTCGATTGAACGACGACCAAAATTCGTATTGTTCATCGATATGTTTATTCGTGTCAATCAGCGAATCCAATGCTAAGCGTAACTTTCCCAGATTCCAAGCAGCGATCGTCGGTTGTTGATCGAATGCGTAACGACCTTCGTCATCGGAGTGGTTGGGCACATAACGTTGAAGTTTATCTTCAACAAATCCGAATGGTCCATAGTCAACAGTTGATCCTAAAACGTTCATGTTGTCTGTATTTAACACTCCATGAGTGAACCCAAATGCTTGCCAGTAACCAATGAGTGTTCCTGTTCGATGAGCAATATCGATGAGCAATGAGTTATAGCGATATTTAGTCAAGTCTTGTTTTGGATACATATTGTCAATAACAAAATCGGCTAGTTGTCGAATTTGTTCGAATTGATGACGCGTAGAAAAGATTTCAAATGTACCTATTCGTATAAATGCAACGATCGGTGCAACGCGCACAACAACAGCACCCGTTTCGATTGTTTCGCGATAGACTGGTAATAGAGTTGAACCAACCAGACTCAACGCACGTGTAGTATCTATTCCTAAGTGAAACATGGCTTCAGAGGCGAGATATTCTCGTATTGATGAGCGTAATACTGCACGACCGTCGCCACCACGAGCATACTGCGTGGGCCCAGTGCCTTTAGCATGAAATGCCCATTGATCAAGTTGACCGAGTAGACTGGCTCTTCCATCGCCTAGCTGGGAAGTAAAATATCCAAATTGATGTCCAGCATAATTCATTGCCACTGGTCGTGAACCAGAGAAAAGTTTATTTCCACTCAAGAACTCCGCCATTTCTTGTCGGTCGATCATCGCTATTGACAACGTAGTCAGTAATTCTTCGTTGATACTGATTAAATTCGGTTCAGGTATCGATTTTGGCTGTGTAAACGAATAGAAATATTTTGATGGTAATTGTTCGACATACGTATTATTGTTAAAGTGTAAAAACGTTTCGACATGGGGTTTAAATAGAAATAAACAAATAAATATTCTTAAAATCATCAATAATCTAGAATGTTAATAAATCGAAAACTCTTTTATTATTGTAATCAGATGGATTGACAGTTAAGTCTAATTTAAAAAATTATGTCGAAATCTAGGAAAATTATTTCAGTAAACTGAAGTTAAGCATGCAAAGCTCTTTTAACTATAGTGGCCTCCAGTGTCGTCAAGAAATAATTGCTATAAATCAAGACTCTAAAGCGTCGGGACGAAGTATGTCAATAGTATTATTTCACAAAGTTTGCTTCGTATGAAAGAAGAAGTAACTAACTACCGTGATTGATAATTGTTGTTATTTGATAACATTTTCAACGGCTTTCTCAAAATCGGTAGTAGCCGATTTAGGATGTCGAGATCGATGCTTAAGAACAACTTCAAAGATTTCATTATAAACTGCTTCTAGCTGTCAGTAAAAACTACAGTGGACTAGTAGCATTCCTCTCCCCAATAAACGCCTATGAATAGTATACGACTGAATAAAATTGTCTCCGTGATTTTGATAAGTGATAAATTAGGCTCGAATGTCAGGAGCTCAACTGTCGATGCATCTCGTCTACTGAACCCTTGAGTACATGTGTACCAACAAGATTTAGCAAATAATCAGTTCTCACAAGAATTTCTTCATGAAAAAAGCAACCAATTGTATATCAACTAACACTGTTCACATTAATGATAAATAATAGCCAGGCTTATGAGTACAGCGTATTCGAAAAACATCAAATTGCACGAGATGCATAGCCATCAAAATTTTGAACACGATGCTTATCACTTTTTCTTTCCTTGCGATTGATACACGAGTCATCTGTGTACCTGTTCTCGACAGTTGTACAGGAGAAAATAGTAAGGTATATATTCAATGTGATCAGTGCACGCATACTTGGGTTAAATGTCGTAGAGAGAAGAAAAAATTTTTCTTCGCGAAAATTTCGACAGATCGTGATATTACGGCTTATTCGGTTTCTTGCGCGCGTAGTTTCTAAACGCAGACCTTCTTTGTTTTCTGCCGAATTTAACAATGAACAAAGAGATACGACCAACTTGCGTCAATGATAGTCATTAGCGCTGCCGAGACCAAAAAAGAAAGCAATTAGCTGCAGAAGCGTATAGCAAAAAGTGTGGACGAGCGGACGACCCTTCACCGAAACGTCAATATTCATTGCTTGTCTCCATTTTCTTTCTCTCCTTATAGCAAACATATATACACGTGTATATATCGTATTCGTACGCCCATCGTTGTATTCTACCGTGCATGATATATGTGACAATTGGGAATGGCACAATTGACAAATGGTAACACAACAACTAAAATCAATCGAATACAAGATGACGAAAAAGAATTATTGTTTCAATTACGGAAACTGTATGGTAAGTTTGAACTCTAGTCAATCTTTTCTCTTGAACCGAGCTGTTTGTCTTTTAGCTAGCGATTATAAAAAGTACAGTGAACATATTCGTCGCGAACCAGATATTCCACTGTCTATAAGAAAAATCTATAAACTATTGGATGAACGCAAAGCGTACCGAAGAATCTCGGATTATTTCCATCGAACACGGTAGGATATCCATATCACTATTAATAAAGTATTCGATATCTTAAACCTATAGGCGAACAAAAAAGTCACAAACGTCACGAGCGAATGATCATGATAAAGTGTATCGCACATCGATTCGTCAATCTTCTTCAGAACCGGAATCTATGTGTACTATGCAAATCGTCAATGATATGGACGATGACGACGATGGTGATAATCAACATCTTCATCAACTCTCGGATAATTCTCCGATGTTGCATGATAATGAAGAAACATGTGAAGCAAATCCAACGCACGAGAGCGATTCACATCATATACAACCATCTTCATCAATCAGTCCAAACCACCATCGATCCTCCACCAGTACACAACCGAATTTACTATTAGTTCGTTTGAATCTTCAAAAAGGTAAATATTTCTTTCAATCGAATAAATCAAACTCTTGTGTTCTATTTTAGCTATACAGGAACTAGATCGTGCGATTGTCGCGAAGTCCGACAACACAATAGACGATTATAGTTATCGGCAAGAGCAACAATATTCTTCAATCAGCAAAATCGAATTATTAGCTAACGGTCAGTCGAATTTAGACGCCATAGTTCGATCTTTGTCGCACGTTGTTACTCAGCAACAAGAAAATGCTCATTCAATTCTTCAAGAATCGTCGACACTAGTACTCAACGAAACGAACCACGTCGAAAAACAATCTCTTCAACATGTCATCGATCGCTTGAACGCTCTCGTTGATCGAGGTCATTCCATCTACGGTCGAATCGAAAGTATTTTGTCAGAATTTTGATAGTTCTCTCTTTGGTCTGATCTAATCAAATTTCATTGTATGTACATATTTTCTAAAATAAACACAAAAGACATATTTCATTCAAACTTTTATGTTACGCAACAAAGGAAAGAATTCAATTATACATTATGCATCGTTGAGTTGACTAGAAGATGACTTCAATTATGTTTAAACATCAAACAATGTATAATGCACTCTTGCCTTTGTTTCATAACCATCGAGTTCTATTTATTGTCAACAAAAATCGTCACAATCAAAGACTTGAACTCTTCCTTAACCGACTCTCAGATGTAAAGCTTAATTAATTCATCACTGACTGCAGACGGTGTTAACGTCCCAATATCTGTAAATAGTAACGTTATATAAGCTGGCGGTGTATAATCGACAAGTGGATGTTCCATTTCCAGATTCTGTTCGCTTAAACGTGCAATCGTCGAAGCCTTATATTTGAAATGATCGGGTAAATCACGATTATTCAGTGGATAGTATCGAACGAATTTAAATGATTCCGATGCGACATAAAATGGTTTGTTCATTTCACGTGCAGCTATGGCAATATTGAACGTTCCAATTTTATTTATAATTCCACCACTTTCAACAACCGCTTCAGCACCCATGAGAACAAACGTCACTTTCTCCATAACATAAGCAACACTTGCATCCAGGATGCATATTGATGGTATGCCAATTGCTTCCAATTCATCGCGCATTTTTGCACCACTTTTGTCCGGTTCGGATTCGGTAACGAATACTCGGAAGCGTGCGAATTTCGATGCATACGCTAATAAAGTGAGAACAACGCGTGAGTAAGAATGTGTTAAGATGATACTTCCATCCACAATGAACTCTTGACTATACTCAGCAATACGTTGTCGGGATGATAATGTTCGTTCGAGAAAAACTTGACCACGTTCGATTAATTTCTGACGACATTCGTCAATTGCAAAGGTATCAAATTTTGCTAAGGTTATAAAACGTAAAAATAGTTCACAACCGGATTTAACACTTGGCATTGACGAATCCGTTTGCGTTGTTAATAATTGCACTGCAGATTTCAATTCATGTGATAGCTCACTCATTGTACCTGCCGATGAACGATTGATCACATCAATCAATGTACGAATAGCTGTTATAGCTACAGATGTACTAAAGGCAGAGACATACGATTAGTTTACTTCATAATGGATTTCATTTGACAAATATTCAAACACCTGTGTTTACTCTACAAATATTGGTTATGTATTTTCTGGATAGGTTTCAGTTACAACATGTATGACCTATATATTACGATAAAACACACATCACACAAATAGATAAGTCATGCAAGTACTCTAGTAACGTTTATCATTGAAATAAACTGACGAGATTGGTTATCATGTGTATTAGAAAGAATTTCTTTGTGCTCTTACTCGGGTTCCTGCTGTCGAATAGCGGTGAAATATTGCAAAGTTGGATCATTGGTGAGATTGTCTCCTGCATTTGTTTGTGTTAATGTCCGATCGTTTGTCATCTGAAAGCACTTGTAGAAAATAGTACATGGAAAAAAAAGTGATATTTTTTGTAAAAAGAAAAGTCAATGTTATTCCAAGGTGAACTGAACAGTATTTAATAAGAAATGCGAACTGTTTTTCTTTTTCAAAAGACTTTTTTTTCTTTTCCTCCTTATTATTCTTGTTCGTCGTGCAAAATTAAAAAGTGGATACTGCACACGATGTTGGATAGGCAAAAAGGTAAGAGAGAGAGAGAGAGCAAAAAGTTCGATGAAGTATTGTTTTTTTTGTTAATGATTGCTTGCCTGTATTTTAGACGACACCGAATTGACAGTTGTTGGCAATTCAGACAACATTACTAAGACTACGAGTTGTTAACAATTCGTTTTGTTTCAGTTTTTCTTTGCTTGAAAACTTAATCATTTCAAATGACGAAAGTTACCATTATAACACAGAATTTTTCATCCCCGAATGATGTTAGCGATACCCCACTCATGCTTTTACCACAGGCACCACCACCACCAAAATCAACTACTGCGGCAGACAAAGATCAAGATGGTTTTAATCAGCTTTTATTACATGATCGACATCGACAGCGACAATCCTATATACAAAGTTACACTGCATTTGAAACATTAAAGAAACGACAAGATTTTGTACTTCGCCAAGAAAATCTTCGTTCATTACAGAAATTCATTGAACGCATGTCGACGAAGCAAGATCAGTTTATTGATCAATCATTCTATTCGTATAAGCAATGCTTCGGAAAATTTATTAATGTTAGGCCATCGACACAACGAAACCTCCAAGAACAATCACAACGACCAAAAACAGCTGGCCCAACGTATGATCGAACCTCGCATCGGCAATTGATACATGCTCCAACAGCTCCGCTCGAACCAGCACCTTCCATACCATCTCATCGCTATCAGAAGAGTAATCGGCCGTCATCATCTACAAGATATCGAACGAATGCGACCAGTTTACGTACACCAAGACAACGTCAAGATCCCTTTCGAACAACGAGTTTCATCAGTCATAGTCAACCATTCATATCGTTTTCAGAAAATTACTTGCAAAGATACGACGGGCCGACCACTAAATCTCAAGTTATCAAATACAACAATGGTATAGAAAGAGCAACACATAAATTACAAACGACAACAAATTTCAATAGTGATTCAGCAACCAATCGAAGTACAATTAATAAACCATCGAACGGTACTCGAACACCAAATAAAGCTCAAGCAGCTATGAATATTGGGGAAAACGATCCTGTCGTCTCCGATGATGATGATGATAATCTCCCAATGAAAGCTGAACCTGCAATACCAGCAAATGACGATCAGTTATTATATGAACATGTAACGGAAACCAACTTGACAGACGATCTGCCTCTACACGAATCTCCAATAACTGGTATCATAGAAGATGATCATGAGATTACGGATAATCCAGAAGAGAAAGTAACACGTAAGACCACTCGACAACCATCAACTACACAAGCAGTTTTAATAACAGATCATGTTACCAATAGTACTGATGCGAGAGAAACAAAAACAACAGATCATGTTCGACCTGTCACAACCGAATCGAAATATTCCATCAATACAACATTGAAAGTCACCGATGATTTAAAAACACAAACTCCATCAAACAATCGATCAAATACTGTATCACGCTTGACTAATACGCCAGCATCAACTCCAGAAATGACTTACACGGCTGCACTACAAGATGGGCTAGTTAAAGATAAAAGTAAACAAGACGTTTTCTTATATATCTATATATATATATATATATATATCATGCTCTCATATTTATGTATATTTTCATAGCACCTGAACCAGATACAAACAGAATTAAACCTGCAATCACCGAAGAACGTCGTTTTTCTCAACAATCGAACACTTTAACAAATGATAGTCGAAAGAAAACATCCATCTCACAGAAAAAACCTAAGTCGGCAAAAAAAAAGCATACTATTGTTGTCGCTGTACCAATTGCAAACAATGAACCCTTTACAGCCCCGATAAGCAATGACGATGCAGATTCAATTGAGAATGCGATAACTGTACAAAACTATGGCAACACTCTTCCGGAACAGACAATAACAGTAAAACCAAAGCGTCGACGAGTACCCGCAACTCCAGCGAAGAAACCGATCACAGCAGTGCGCCGCTCGTCAATACCTTCTAAAACTGAACCTGTTAAAACCAAAGACGAGACTCCTACACAAGCAAAAGCAGTAGTTGCAGACAAACAAGCACCACCTGATGTTACCGAGGAGAAGAAGGAAGAAGTTGCTCCTGTGGAAACGAATATTTTACCAAAACAAAATCAACAACCTGAACCAATTGAAGAACCATCCGTACGCACAAAGAAAGATGCATTTGAAACATCTGGACCGGCTGCTCTGATGACTAATGCAGAATTGAAAGCCTTGGGTAGTCACCGTACGGTCGTGAAAAAGACGAGATTTCATCTAGGTAAACCAGTAGCAAAACATTCAGCTGAAAAAGTAGCCACATGCGAACCGGAAACCTTAGAACTAATCGAGAAAATTCAACAAAGTGAAGTTGGAAATGAGATTGGTCGAACGTCGATATCAAAACAAGTATGTTCCAATCTCCTATTACACGAGCTTTCATTCTCTTATTTTCCTTTGCAAGGGATGTCGGTTCGAATTACCATCTGACTTGAAGAAACTCGAAGGTTTAACTCCATTGGAATACATCGGTCGCTACTGTCGTTTCTCATCTCATCGAAGATACCAATTCAAACGTATTTTCGATAAATATCGTAATAGTAAACATGTCGTGGAGCTAACTAATCTTTACTCGGCGGTTACCGATATCCACACAGATAGTTTTACTCGTTCACAATACGACGAATTATGTCAATTGATAGGTGCGGAAGATCCACACACACAATTTTCGTTCGAGACATTTTCAGGCGTCTTAGCCGTATGTGAACGTCTCGTGTACGACGCATTAAATTCTTCGAGTGATCCCGAAGATTACGAACTAGCGAAAGATCCATTAGAGAAATGTGATTTCTATTCGTTGAAACGCAAACTCGACGGTTTTAATATAAGTAAAGCGTTGAGAAAACTAATACATACGCTCTGACAGAATGATTTTTCCCGTGAAGTCTCTATTTCAATGCTTTTGAAAAAGTTGTTTGTGAACACAACAAACGGTATTCTATAAATAAATTTTGTTGGTTAATTTATTGAAACAGAACAAATTTGTATATCAGCAAATAAAATCAGTTCTCATTCACGAAGATATGATCTACAAAACGGAATAATTTCATTAGTTTATCATTGAAAAACTGTAAATATTAGACTGACATATAAAACATTCCAAGTGAAGCGATTCTCTATTTACCGAAGTCATAAATATAATCATACTGATAAGCAGAATCTAGTGAAGGATAGCATTAAAATAATGTACCAACAATTAAGTCCTTGAAAGGATTGTCCTTGGTGAAATTCTTCAATACAAGTGCTACTTCCATTTACTTGAAACGCTGTACAAAACGAAGATTTGTCCTAGTATGAAAGAAATCACGACTAAGCATGGAACATAAACTAAGTTAGCTCAGAGTTAGAACATTACGCAATACAACTACGTTGTTTATACAAAAAAAAGCACATCACGTACGTTTGAATTCAATCGATTATTTATAGCTTTGTTATTCATGCTAAAAATATTCGTGAAAACATATGTTCGCACTCGACAGTTAACAAAGCCATGCAAATCTCATCAGTTGCTTAAGGACGTGTCAACGTTAGTAAATATTAACTCGAAGTGCATTGAAAATGAAAATCAAACTGAAAACAACAAAATAAGGATTCACTGTTCTTTATTTTTGCACCATCATAAAAAACAACAAGAAATCGCGCGCACGTATATAAGTGAGTGTATGTATGTATGTATGTGTATATGTGTGACATGTGACGAAGAGTTAGAACAAAAACCAAGAAGTGTTCGAATCATACGAAAAGCAAAAAAAAACAAACAAACAAGCATTAAATGAATGTACATACAAGCATATAATAAGTAACGAATGAAAATAGGATGAATACAGAGAATAACTACTTTATAGTTTTGTTGTTCTAATCAGTTTGCATAGTAAAAAAGTACCATCGTTATTACGAAAGAAAACAGACAAGAGAAAAGATTTTCGAAGTATTGAGACAAACGGAAAACAAAACAGAATGAGTAATGATTAGATTGTGTGGAATGATTCGATGAATGTAAGGAAAGAACAAGCAAATTTGATTAATTTGACCATTCGCTACCGCTTGAATCACTATCGTCTTCTCTTTCGGGTCCAACTGCAGATGAAAAAACAAGCACAATTCATTATTTGTCGCGCGAGAATATATCTGCTGGTCTTACCTAGTTTCTCTCGTCGTTCAGCGAGAATTTTCATGATGTTCTTTGCCATGGTATCCTGTACTCCTGGACTAGAATCACCTGAAGATGGTTCGTCGTTGACTGGTACTGATGATGTTGCTTTAGCATGGGGCTGCAAAGGTGATTAACAAATGGGTATTATTCGGAAAATGAACCATGGTATTATCGTACTTTTAAGCTGGAGGTGCCGAAGTTTCGAATCGCACTCATTAAGTCGTCGCGACCGGAAGCTGCAGCCGGTATTGATGGTGGCGGATTTCTTGTTGTACTGCTTGAACCGCCAGAAGACGGTGGAGGCGGAGGAGGAGGTGGGGGTGGGGGTGGAATGCCTCCAGAACTACCCGGAGTTTGATTCATAAAATTTGCAGGCATTGGCGGCGGAGGCGGAGGGGGTGGGGGGACTGGTGGTGGTGGTGCGGGCGGAGCATGGCCACGGCTTGGATCGACAGCACTATGAGAAAGATTGAATAGAAAAAAAAGATGACAATCGATGATTCAACTTACGGTGATCCGTGAAGTGGAGGCGGTGGCGGCGGCGGGGGCGGTGGAACAGGTGGAGCAGCTGGTCCGTGTGAAACTGAATGTGAATTATCAGGCGTACGAAAAGGTGGTCGAGGTGGAATATTAGGTGCAGAAGGTGGATTGAACATCTCTTGAAATGGTTGTGGTCGACTTGGGGTAGATTGATTGTTAAGGGAAGAAGGTGTAGATATATCTTGATGTGGAACTCGACCACCATTGCTTCGTCCCATAGTTTGATAGCTACGCGGTGGAATCTCCGGTGGTGCATTCAGCATTTGTTGTGGTTGTTCATGATGATTAGTATTAGCATCACGCGACGCTGGAGTCGATTCTGAAAAAGTGATTCAAAAGATGATTGTTATTTTCTTTGCTATTCAATTCAATCAGTATAACTTACTAGCAAGCAATTTTTGTAGGCCGCCGTCTGTTTTTATGATTTCTCGGACATATAATTCATCTTCGCGTGAGATACCCATACCAGCCAAAACTGTTTCGAACAATTGTTTCTGTGAATCGTCGTTGAAGAAGCTCTATAGCATACAGTAAAGATTTTATAAGATTCTAGTGCGCAATCAAGAGAAAGACGTACATCTTTGGTGCCAATATGACCAACGTGTACCAATCTGTAAGTATTTGTTTCATCATATGATTAAAAAAATAGTCTATATATAACATACGTGGATTGGATTGGTGCGGATATATCTGGTCGAGCAAGTTTTTTCTTTCGGCCGATGGTGAAAAACCCTGGATTTTTTGTATGGGATTCTATTTAAAACGCAAATTTAATTTCAAGTGTTTTAAAACAAACAATTCAACAATTACTTTTTGAAATAGTCTCAGGAGGTGCTCCCGATGGTATTGGTGTTTGTACAACAGCTGGTGGTGGATGTCTTATTCCACCCATCATAGCAGATACACCTGGTGATGCATTGGGTGGTTGAATATTAGGTGGTAATACTTTTGCTGGTGGATGACTTCTTTTCTTCTCTATTCAATACAAAAATACATGTTTATAAAGAAAACTGAAAGATTCGTCGATTCATTACGGTGACAATAGAATTTAGTGCTTGAAAATCGGTGTAACATTACGAAAAATATATCGTTTGCTGTTGACAAACATGTTTGACATCAAATCGTAGCAAATAATCTTTCTCACAAGTATATTTATGGTCAATCCATAGAACACAATTTGTGATTTATCTAACATCTTTTTCTCATCGAGTATCAAGAAAACTATTTAGGATATCAATGCACAATACGCCTTTACCTGATGTGTCTCTTTGGAAATAAAAGAAAAGATCCTTCAGTTCTATGTCATTTTCATTGTCATTTTGTTTTTTTTTCAGCATCAGTTTAATCTCAATGGATTATCTAGTTCTTTAATCTTCGACGAGCTTAAATAATATCATTCTGTCGATGTTAGATGAGGTTAAATCACAATTGCGTTGAAAACTGATATCATCTCAAATTTCGCCGATTCATTCAGGTAAAACGAACAAAAGCAAATAAAACTTCTTCTCATACGAACCTTTTTTATTTTGTCGATCCTCTTGCTTCGAATGAAAATGATGCCAGAATGTTTGTGCTTCATCACGATCAACGAAATTGATTCCAATTTTACAATTCTACGAAAGTTAAAATCGAAAATAACAGGCAATCACCAGTAAGCGCTTACTGATCCATCGAATGTATAAAAGACATCTAATGCTTTTTCCAAACGAAGTGCCGCGGGCACTGTCTCTTCATAAATAGCTTGCCTAGTCTTGAATAGGAAAACATAATAGTCGCCGATTTGTTTCCTGCAAATCTATTTACTTTAAGGTCATATAGTCGAAAACAATAACTTCGATTATCATAATCTTTGACGAAACAAAACACACCGCATGCTTGTTTTCTCCAACTACCGTTGTTACCATGTAGAATCTGCGCAACAGCTGTAGCTAACGTCTAAGAAGAAAGGCAGGATAGGTAAATCGATTGTGTTTAATCTAACTTACCACACGTTCACGTCCGAGTATTTCGTACAGACATTGCAGTTCACATGCATCTAGATTTTTTGATGGATTGTGCGTTGGACGCTGTTGCCGTACTAATCCTTCGCCACTAGTCATGATTTGTGATTGAGGGTAGTGCGGCGAATTATTATGCTGCACTAAGGTGCTCATTTATCATATATACTATAATTTGAAGATTAGAAAATGAAATCTAGCGATGAACATTACGCAAAAAAACAAGGACGTTCTACTTATAATAATCTTTCGAAAAAGTCCTAATTATTGATATTATTCTTATCACGCTTGTATCAAAAAAACGAATAACAAAACAATATATAGCTGACTAATGTCAACGATGATTCACTAATTTTTTTTCATTCATTCTCTTTCTCTTTCTCTGCTCTTATCAAAATATACTCATAATTGGTCAACAAGATAATAAACAATTTAAAATTTGAAACCACCCGAAAATTTCATGAATAAATTCGATGGAAGAATTTTTCGGGGAAATATAAAAATAATTGAAATAGGAAACAGATGTCGCTAGTGGCAACCACACATACTCGGACTCAGACGCGTATAGGCACGTTCGTTTATATTGACACATGGGAAATGAAGCAAGAAAGAGAGTTAAAATACTCGTCGAATTTTTTGAGAAGAAATCTGCTAAAAGTATCTTAGGGAAGTAACGAAATAAAGAAAAACATGTGAGTTAACAACTCTGTCTGTAGTGAGGTGTGTGCAAATGAAAAGAAATTCTTAAAGTAAGCTCGACAAAACAACCTGACATAGTATTTTTTCTTCTCATTTTTAAGTGTCTCTATTTGCATAGGATACACCTGACTTTCATTATGATGTGAGTCATATATTCAACACGTGAAGCTTTCCTTTTCGAAGACATAATCATGTGAAAAAACGCTGATTTTTATTAAGAAATATCTAAATTATTTTAACAAGTACATAGAATACAAGACGATAAAGTAGATGAATCGATCAAAAGAATGGCGTCTAGAGAAGAGAAACACATTGCTTCAAATCGAATACTAACATTTCAATAGTTCGTTCTTACATCGGTTTTTGCACGCCAGGGAATGTTAGGTACAGCAGCTGACCGTGTTCGTATAGGTGCGGGTGCGGGTGCAGGTAAAAGGTTACCATCGATGATGTTTTCTTTGTTTTCAATATTCATTAAACATGGTTGTGTTTGATGATCTTTTATACCGAGTTCAATTTTGATAGCTACATCTGTTTTCGGTATGGGCAAAGGCGGGGAAGGTAAAATAGTTTCACATTCGAATTTATCCACTACGCAAGAAGAATGCAGTTTTGTGTTCGAACATTTTCAAATCCTTGAGATTTGTCCTACCTGATTGTGTACATAGTTGCCAATCGTATTCAAGGTTCTTTGTCATTACATCAATTCGTTGTATTTGTTTGATAAGATGTGACATTGAGTCATTTGTAACTATTGGTGATGATGTTTCAAACTTTGTGTTGATATCTTGTAGGAGAGAATTCATTTGATTAATGTCGTGTTCAATGTTGGTGATCAAATGACCGCATTGCTGATCGAATTCATCACGAACTTGACTGAAAACGTTTTGTAGCTTCGTTTCTAGTAATTGACGAATTTCTTGACCATGCTGGATGCACATATGATGGATACGCTAAAAGAGAAATCATCGAATCGGCTTTTCTAAATTAAAATATGAACACATACTTGAAATAGAGTTGTACTTCGTACTCCGACGTCGTCTTGATCAGATGTGTCAGACAAGTCATTGAAAGATTGAATCAATTCACTAATCTGTGAATCAAAATCAAGTTTAGATTATATTCAAATTATTCGTAAAACAACACTATATCTTTTCATTATTTGACTCTCTTAATTCAAGAAAAATAAGACGAAATAACCGATATATGTTTAAAGGATTCGCGTTTTTTTTTCGTAATCGATCTTACCATTTGTTCGAGTTCATTTTGAGTAGTAGTGACCAACTTTTCTTGTTCAACCAGCCATTTGTTTCGAATATCAGGTAGGTCGAGGAACTGTTGATCATCATCATTTGTTGACTTATCTGATATTTGAATTAAAGTCTATGTGTACTATTTCTATAGATTTCAATCTGGACAACAGACGACGAAAAACGTACTCGAAACTCATTTGTCAACTAAAACACAACGGAATAAATCATCTTTCTGATTGCGAAAGCGAAAATATTTACCATTTGGCTGATACGTTGTGTAAAAAACGAATGTAAATCGAGCCATAGTGATTGAGTAGTTGGATTGAGTGAAACGAGCTACAACATCGAAGAAATTCAAAAGTAAATATTAACAAATGCGATTTGACGCACCATGTCTTGAAAACAAGCTTTCATCTTAATTAATGTTTCTTCTTCGATATTGATAAGCTTTCTTTGGTTATGACGCTCATCTCGTTTCAACTCTACAGCCAACATGTCTATCAATGCTTTCAGTTCGCAATCTAATTCAGTCTAGAACAAAAAGGGTCGCTAAATAAGAACATTTCTTTTGCGAAACTCACCTGAAATTGACTGTAAATCTGATTTAACTCTTCGAATATCGTATGGAAATTTTGGAAGGCAAGCGACAAGACAGCTCGAACTTTTTCGTTAAGCACATACATTTGTTGACGGATATTATTCGAGATTGTCATCACTTGTCCTTCAAAGAGGTATATTTCACGTAGAAGCAAAAAAAACAATGCCTTCTTACCAATCGAACAACTATAGTTAGAAAACATTGATCGAATATCTTCAGTCATACGTTGGATATTCATTTGAAGACAATCTCCAACAGCTCGGCAATCGATGATATATTGATCAATCAATGCTGATGCCGTTGAACGAGTCGAACGAAGTTGTTGCATGGTATTTACCGCATGTTCATGAAACTATTCGAAATGGAAGATTATTTCATTGATTGTCATGAGAATTCACTCACAGTCAACGCTTTGTTTGTCATTTGAACGAGTTCATCATAACGATGTCGATTCAACGCTAATATTTCTTTTCGTTCATTTGTTTCTAATCGAAATTCCTGAGAACAAAAACACATTCTCTTACATATAAACTATTCATGATCGATAGAGCTTTTGTACTTGTTGCTGTGCTAACATCTGCCTTCGAAGTGCTTCAATTTCATTTCGATACTAAAACGACAAATCTTTTCGATGAAGCACAATCGAGCGAACAACATTTACCTGTTCAATTTGTTGTTCATTAGATTCTAATTTCGACTGATTATCATCTGACAAAGTTTGTACTAACATCATTTGATTTTTCAAAGCACTGAAAGGATAGCGTTGGACTCACGAAAAGAAAATAGTGCAATTCGTATTTTACGTGTATTGTGAATATGGAATACCATCAGCTTCTCGTTTCGCATCAAGTTCTTGACGTAGTCGACGAATTTCATCCACATATTCCTATCAAGACAAGTATACATTAAAAAAGTGGAATAATTAAGTTCGAGTAACAAACTCGAGCCACGTCTTTCGACGAGAGTTGATTGATTTCAGGACGAATTTTCAAAGAACGAGCTCGATGGCCATATTCCAACGTACTTAAGGTTTCCTATATATTATTTTTATCGAACTGAACAACATCGTTTCCAATCGGTGCGTAATAACTTACAGCTTCATTGGCAGGCGACAGAGTGATAATGATAGAAGTGATTGTTTTTCCGCAGAGAGAATCTTGTAATATTCGCGTTAGTTTTGAATCTCTAGACACATGCGGCATCGATCAGGAAAGCAACGATTATTTTTGATTACCTGTAACAAATATGTTTTTCATTGGAAATTAGCGCCGTTATAACACGTCCGAGAGTGAGTAAACTTTGATTGATAGTTCCTGCTTCACGTGCACGCTTGTCTGTAGCGCCCGATCGAGATATATTTTCTGATCCGGCCAAATCAACCTACAAGTAAAGGATTGCAATGGTGAATATTGACAACCGAATCATATAGACGTACTAGATGAAGTTTACCAAGTCTCATGTCTCCTTGAGAATCTTTCATTGTGACAGTCATGGTAAATATTGAATGAGAACGACTGTAAGAAAGGAAATGAAATGAAAATCAAATAGATTAACTAATTTACCTAGATGAAGCATTCATTAAAGTCTCCGCGGTTTGTCGACGTTGTGAACCTTTGATTAATACTTTGAATGCGTCGAACGGTGATTCACAAGCTGCTTCTATAGCACCGACTATTGTATTTGTCTACAAACATTGTGAATTGATAGTCGAGAAGATTAAAAATAGAACTTTTACTTTGTCTTTATCTTCATAGATTTTGATCTTTTCAGGCTGTTCACTCGTCGAATCAGCTAATAGATCAGTTAGTTCTTCGTTGTATAATTCCAAATAAGTTATTTTAACTGTATAATCAACATACTAAAATCGTTCACAAGATCATTTCCTTAGTTAAATTCAACACATTATGAATCGTTACCTGTCGTTGAAGTCCCTGAAATATATGATGAATTGCTCTTGGCATTATACCAGCTTCTGACTCTAGGATAGCCATATAAGCAGAAACTGCATCTTTGGACAACTTATCTATGGGAAATTTTCCTAACATTGTATGTGTTTTACTGAAAATGATTGAAAGCAAAGATCAAGATACCACTGAAACAAGAAAAAAACATACCCAGAGCCAGTTTGACCGTACCTAAAAAGTAGTCAGATAGATTGATTTTCTTCCAGTATAAGCCAGCTAGACATACGCAAAAATAGTTGAACTGTAGCCTTTTAAAACTTCATCGACAATCGGCGCAACGACTGTTTTATAAACATCTTGTTGGCGCGTTTGGAAGCCGAATACCTGAATGAAATATGCATTACATTAAAGACTCTTTCAAAAGATAACTGAAGCTTTTTACGTGATCATAATTAAAAAATCGTGTTGCACTTGTTTTACAATTGACAACTATTTCTCGTCGTGCTTCATTGACGTTCAAACAACTTGAAAGATTTTGAGATTTTTCATTATCACTCACTGGACTAGAAACAATGTTCGATTAATAAGCAACACAATCTCACTCTCAAACAAGAACAAACCGTGGTCGAGCTATAACTTGAACATGTTTTTCCGAACTATTGAATGAGGTTGATTTATCACTCATTTCTACTTCGAAACGAAACGAATGTTTTTCAAGAATTAATCATTCATCGTCTCGTCGAGCATGACGAAATAAAGAACGACTATTATAACTGGATTAATTCTGGCGCGAACGGTCGATCGATCGCCGTTTTCAATAGATGTCCCTTGCGCAAGTTCCATCTTTTTCATAGGTATGGTGAAATCCATGACGAAACGTCCTACGTGTAGCTTTTAATTAGCATTGAGAAAAATATATTTATTCTGTTACTTTAGACTAGGTACATGTATAAATATACGTATAGCGTAGGTTATGGCAGAAAATGTATAATGTTGATACAAATACTAAAAATAGCTAAATACAACGTTTAATTACGAGAAAACTTAATGACATCAAAGATATTTATTTGAAAAGAAAAGAATGAAACATCTGTTGCCAAAAACGCTTTTTCCGAAGTAATTTACAGAAGGTCACAGGTTTTGAACTCATTACATATTGTTTGTTATGAAAGCATTTATTTCATAAAGAGACACAAATAAAATCACATTGATCATTTAATCGGTTTCGGATTACATCACAGAATTCAAATAATAACAACAACGAATAGACACAACAATCACCGGTCATACATTTACCCCCCTATTTGCCTATATAAATGGCTAAGTTTCCCGTCGTTCGATACGAATCCAAATGCCATTTGTCGGTGCAATAACAAATCGTTCTTGCACGTCGAATTTGCTCAATGTATTTTCGCCAGGCAGAATTTTGTATCGATGAAGTATTTGTACCAATGCTAATTTGATTTCTAACATTGCAAAGCGCATGCCAATGCAATTGCGTGGTCCGGCACCGAATGGTAACCAAGCTAATGCATGACGTTTATTACGGAAACGTTCCGGATAGAACTTCAATGGACTAACTGGTCCAAACAGTTGATCATCATAATGTAAACTGTACATATCGACTGTAATATTTGTACCTCGCTCAATCTTGAGTGGTCCGATCTGACACTCCTTGTTACATTGTCGATTGACAATAAACGGTGCAATGGGGAAAAATCGTAAAGTTTCTTGTATAAACCAATCGAGATATTCGAGTTTAATGATTTGATCATAATCACCATAAACACGCTCGATTTCATCCAGTAAATGTGCTTGCTCGTTTTGATGTGTTGCGAGAATAAATATCAAATATGCCAATGTTGTTGCTGCTGTTTCATATCCGCCAAGCAGAAATAAATAGATATTGTGCAACAGTTCATCTTGATTCAAACGAGCTTTAGGTGATGTTGATGTTTGCTGCAAATGAAAAAGAAATTTTGAAGATAGTTTCAACAAATAGAAGTATCTACCGATGACGCATGTTGTGATGCATCAGTGGCTTCGATCATTGATTGCAATAGATCGATTCTCTCATTTCCATATAAACGACGTTGTTTAATTATTTGTTCTACGTGGTACAAAAGCCATGTATTCGGATCTGTATCAATAAATCGATTCATGTATGGAACATGATCATGTAACCATAAACGAACGATACTTGTATATTTGAAAACTGTGACCCATATGAAATCTAATTCGGGTACAATTAATGAACACATCGTTAAAATCGTTTGGAAAAAACTGAATTCAAATACTTGTAAACATCGTTGAAAAAACGGTACACTTAGTTTTTCATGTTTGGACAGGTTGATGCCGAAAGCACAATTTAACAGAATATCCATCGACATACGTTGTAACAAACTTGTTATGTCGAATTCCACCTCGGCCTTTTGTTCATCTAATTTCTCGATTAAATTCGTCACACATTGGTCAATGATTGCACGCATCTCTTTCAACTTGTTGGGGCTGAACGTTGGTTGCATGACTGACCGTTGTCGCTTCCATTCATCACCTAAGCTAATCTATCGTTAAGAACATGAACCAGTAAAGTCAGAACTTCTCTCAGTGAAAAACAAAACTTAAGCTTATTTTCTGCCACCCCTCGACATCAAATCATTAAAAGTCAAGTTAATTCTAACACTGTCACGACGAAAACACTAATCTCTTTTAGAATCTTTTAATTACCTGTTGATGCCAGTAAATGCCGAAGATCATGTTGTTGCAATGGCAGCGGTCGTCTTGAGTGGAAATGGCTAAATTTAGTTACAAAAATCTCTTGGAGCATATCCGGGTCGGATATACAAATAATAGGAGTGTGACCAATGAAATAGCCATACGTTTTACCGAAACGATGTGTCCAATCAGCTAGACAAGCTGACGGATGTTGGTGATGATTAAATAACTCCACTGCATTACCAAGAAACATACGAGGTACTGGGCCAGAGAGGCCCATCTCGTGAAATTTGTTGTAGATTTTCTTCAGTTTAAATGAATAGAATATTAAAAGTAGAAGAGCAGAAATAATCAATATTGGTTGAATAAGTAAGCTCATCATTGTTAAATATGACGACTCACTGATGACCATTGGTATTCAATCTGTGATTGATTTGATTGAAGATCTAAAAATGAATTGAAGCTGGCTTTCTTCTTTATTTTATAAGCCTCGAAAGCGTAATGCAGATGAGATAAACGACCAATGAAATTCGAGATCTGCATAGCGAGATGTGTATTCTTTTTATAGGCTTTTTTATTCGTTGTCACTCTCTCTATGTATGCCTCTCGCTTGCGCTATTTACCATCCTTCATATGGTATTTTTAAAACTAATGGTGAAGCATCACACAAGAACTAGGTTATCATCGTTGATAAAGAGCATTCTTTTCGGATCCTCTCCGGAACTTTTGAATTCAGAAATATCGTGCTAAAGATCTATTTGACTGTCTCATTCTGAACAAAAAAAGCTCACCTGAACATTTCTGCCGCGTTTATGAGTCATTTTGATCAGGTGATTTTCGACAGACATCCACCAAAAGTCAAAAACAAATAGGACATCGTTCGAGCCTCAACGCTTGTAATCAGTAACGCAATAAACTGACTCGAATTCTTTCCTTAAACACGTGAACGGCACATGCGACTTGATGATACTGTAGATATACCTTTTATTACTTTGAAATGAAGAAGATGAAGTCAAGAAAACATGCGATGTAGGCTACAATACTGTTTATGTGAATGCGAATGTGAAATCTACGCCAACAGCCTCACTTATATATACTCTGCTGCTCTTTGTTCTATGTCGTCTCTCGAGAGTACCAGAATGATCTCGATACTTTTGATGTATGTTCTTATTGACATTGATTTTATATGCGTCGAATAAAAATGTTCTTTTTCTTGTTTCCAACAAAATGTACTAAACGCGATCAGTACACGTGAGTAATGGCTCATAGTTCGCGACCTATCAGAACTCGTCATTTATTCACGTGATTTAACAGAATGAAAACATTTGTTGGCCATCATTCGAATAAGCTTTGATCTGATGGATTAGCTAGTTGAAAGTACACGTGTTACTTCAATATATTTGCACTTTTAAAGTTTACTTATTGCTTATGAAACTCGGTCAGTTTACTTTTAGGGAAAATTTCATGTGAATGAGAATTAAAAAATAAGATCAATAATATTTCAAGTACTTTACATCCAAGATAAGAAGTAATCTAAGAAAAAATTTATTATTAATACCACTGATATTAATGATAAGATAAAACTAATACCTACATTTATAACTGATTCTAATGAGAAAGAAAAACTTACAGAAATGTCTCCTGCGATAAAGTATTTAAAGGTCTTTACGATGAACGTCATCGAATCTAATTGAGTTCTATTAAAAAAAACGGTTCTATTGTTTCTAGTCGATGTGGATAATTTCTCTTTTGAAACATATATTCTGAAATGTTTCTTTTTTATTGAAGTTAATTAATGAATGACGTCAAGAGGTTTCTTGTCAAACAGAAACATTTATTGCGAATAAAGTTATTTTGCTTGTTCTTTCCATTTATGCTTCGTAAGGTAGTTCGTGCGAAATCATAGTGTGGGCAACTATTCGAACGCTGTCATACTTACTAAAAAGGAACTCGTCAGGAGCACTCACTCTGAATCAGCATCAACAGGAGTGCACTCAGTCGCTGACAGCTGTTTTCAAAGCAAACTCCGATGTTCTCAATATCTAGGATACAAAAAACTATACATTTTTATGACAGCAGATCATAAATTCGAATGTAACCTTTACAGATAACTATACAATATAGTTCTTTTTTCGAACTTTGTTCCGTACTTTCTGAGGGTGCTTACGGATTTTTTGTATAGAACATTTTTGTTGAAAACACGACAGAGATCTAGTCAACTGTAATAAAAGGTTGTCTATTCATTTAAATTTTATTTTTAAGAAATTCCTTAAGCTTTCCGGACACGTAGGTAAGTCGCGTATTTAATTTATCAGAAAACAGGATAAAAGCCATAAAGATTTTAATATGAAAATGAAGGGTTTATTTAGTAATTGAGTGAAACACCTGTACGCGGGCACATATGTTCATTTTTGACAATAATCCATCAGATATATTCGTTTAATTACTAGGCACAAACGAATAAGATTAGCAATGGGAATTCGATCAGATTCACTGCTGTTGCCTTTTTATTAACATAAGAAACGTATGACAAAGGACCTGGCGTTCTCTTTTTACTTTGTGCATTTTGAAAAAAAGACATTCAAAAACAAAAAAGAAAAAGTAGATGCAGTTATCAGTACCAGCTGTCAGTTCGTATAAAAAACCTTCATGTGTACTTTTTTCATCGCACACTTATCATAAATCGACAGATGATAATAGCATAACCTTGGTTAGCACGAACAGAACAAGAAAAAAATTGTCATTGGACAAATTGATTGTTACAGCTTAAAATAGATAAAACTAAAACTTAAAATATATTCTCATCGCTTTCATACGCCAAATTAACATTGACGTCAAAATTTATCTAAATGAACCATGTAATTCTATTCATTCAAGTATTCTCCAAAAAGTCACTTCTCTTTGAAATGCAAAATTGGCATGGCATTCAAAAACGATAACGGTGGGCGGGAAAGTACTTATTATGTGTAGAAGAGTGAATCTATATACATTAATTGGAAAAGCCATCACCTATTTCAATAAATAACTGTCTCATGCAAAGCCATAAGATACCTGTCGCTAGCCATAGCGATTTAGTACTTATCTTGTCATCTGTTGAATGCTAGGATTATGTAAGACAATGTTTCTGTTCACATCAAAGGAACGGCACGATGTCCGGTTTAAATATGGAGAGAATTCAAAATATAACTAAGTGAGCATACAAATGTATATGATGAGGAATTTCTTTGCCTTGACAGAGTATGCCTATGGATTATGTATTTATTTATGGATTTCTGTAATAATATTATTAATTAATAAAAGGACAAAGTATAAGCTTTTTTTGTCTAACGTTGCGTTTAAGCGAACAGAAAAGGAACAGGATGTTCTTACAAAGTAGTGCGTCATAAAGGTGAAATAAACGTCTCAGATAAATCAAGCAATAAGGAAACAATATATTAAATATTCGAGTTTTTTTTATCGAGACGGCATTACTTTACTTTCTGTTTGTGACCTTATTACTTGATAGTCTTGCTTGTCGCTTTAAAAATCAGTAGACTGTAAATGATTTGAGCGTCAATAAAACCGACGCGCCTCAAGATTTTCAACGTCATAATTCAAAATGACTGGTAGTCGACGAAATGAGCAAAAATCTACAATAATCGTCACATTTTAAATAATCTTAAGTACTGTCCTCTTCAAGTAAAATGGAAATATAACGAAAATGCTATTAATTATCACGCATATCGGCTGTGTAATCAAACGTGTGAGAATCGTATCAGAAAAATGTCGGTTAAATTCGATATTTTTATTTAAGATAGATGTATGCTGTTCATACAGATGTTATTTTAACCGAATTTTCTTGCTTAATGACCTTTACAGTTGAATAAGACCACGATTAAGCATTGCTCTCATACTCCAAGCATTTCTTGAACCATCATCATTGTAAAACTTCCATGTCCAATATGTCCAACCACCGGGTGACTCTGCGAATGCGGCAATTTGTGCACGAGCATAACGTCGTAAATCATCGTCATTAAAAGATGCAGACGAAGCAATGGACCATTCACCGATGAATAACCAATTACCTTTCCAATTTTTCATATCATTCTTTAAGTCATTTTCGGCATAACTAATCAATCGATCTTTATTCCAACCCTAAACAAGATTCTCATTTCAATGACCGATTACATAACTATAGAATTCTTACTTCGTATCCCCAAATTTGATAGCGATGCCACTCATGACGAATACCATGAAATTGAGGTGGTGGCATAAATTTGGCCCAGTCACTATCGTATGGTCCTTGTTGGTAAAGTAAAGGTGCGACAGTTAGTAAACAATCAGAAAATTGGCGAATGCGACCATACGCATCATAGTAGTATTGCTTTAAAACACCTTCGTTTGTTGTTCCTAGAGAATAGAATTAATGATCAGACGTGCGGAAAAAGAGAGTGTAATCAACAATTTTACTAGTCGGCTCGTTGAGCAAACCAATGCCCAAAAATGCGGGATCATTGTTATATCGTCGTGCTAACCATTCGACAGCATCTAGTGTATTGCGAACATTTTCAGGATATTGAGACCAATGAGAGTTGCCTGGATCAGCTGGTGAGCTATGATCATTACCATTTTGACTACCTTTAGCTGCATGAAGTGAAATCAATACGAGTAAATTATATTTAGGTGCCCATTCACGAATAGCTCGATCCAAATAATTTATTCCATCAGGTGCATACACTTTCCATCCCTCGGGATCACCGCCTGGTTGATTATCAAAACCCGTTATCCAATAACCAACAGGTATACGAACTGTATTCATTTTAGCTGCAGCGATTTCTCTAAAATCTTGTTCAGTAATATACGTGTCACGGTGTGCTTTGAATTGAACATCGCCTTTAGCATGCCCTGACGAAGAAGAATGAATCTCGTACTAAACTAGTTGAGAATACGACTTCGAATGTTATACCTAAATGTTTCATTGTTTGGTATTCACCTTGATTGGCAAGATTTGTTGGAACACCATTCCAAGCAGGTGAAGCCGATGTCATCCAGTATTCAGCCACTAACCAACCTCCGAGGTTAACACCACGCATCGGCACACGACCGGCTTTCACATCGTTTTTCAGATTTTGTAATGCACTGTGAAATTAAAAACAACATAAGTTTGATTTCAACAAAATTCCACTTGAATATGTTTACCTTTGCGCTGAAGCCAAGAAAATATTGACGACCAACACGATCAACGGCAGATACATGTTGATTGCTATTACTCTTACTTTTAAGTACGATTGCGCTTCGAAGCTGTCTGTAACTGTCTAAATAAATAAATATATATACATGTATATATATAGGTAAGTGGATGCTCCCGGGCAAAGTTTGATTTATACTCTCTTATCAAAGAATCGTATTACCATCGAGAGAGAAACACAGATTAAACTGTAATATTGGGAAGCCTTAATCGGACATTTATATTGCACACCCACCTGTGACAGTATTTTTACACGCAATTCTATCAATTATTTCAGTGAAAATATTTTTTAGAGGAACGGAATCGAAAAGTCGCAAGTAAGAGTACTGAGTGCAATATTAGATTGACTAAATATTGAAAGTGCAAGACACACGAGCTTAAATACCGTCTGCAGTGGAGGTGCGGTATAGTATCCTAAGGGAGAAAATTTCTCCATTTCCCATTCCCATGTCCATATTCCCTCAGTCGGAATGAGAATCGTCTTTTCCCTTCCCCACTATAATGGACGTGCGAAAATCAAGAAGAATAGCTTATTTCTATAGAAGATCGATAGAGCCCTTGCTTTTGCGTATTTACTGAAAGGGACAGCTGACAAACGTGTTTTAGAATGTAGATTTCCTCATGACTCCTTTTACTTAGTTCCACATTTAAACTTGTACTTTTATAGCTAATGAGTTTCATTAAATATTTTTTTCATATGCATAATTACAGGAAAATAACCCGTTGATATTAGCCGAAGTATTTATCAGTTGTTTCGGCACTATGCGAATATTGAAAAGGATCTCAGTATTGGTAATTTTTCTTCGGTAGTAACATATTTACGATTTAGTCAACTCTCGTAGATTCCTTGAGAGACACATTTACAGCAGAAAAAATTCAAATAAAATTTTCCCAAAGTTGGTTCCATGAATAAACGTATCACCGCTCGATGCAGAATCAAACTCTACGTCGAATTAACTCATTCAAGGACGAGACTTGTTTCTATACAAAACTTCCTGAAATTCTTTGTTACTCGCACTAGCTTCGCATTGAGCACTAAAACTGCCAATTTTCGTTCCGTAATTTTCAGAGTGCACCAGATTCAAATACCTTCAATTTTATTACGAATGAACGTTTGCATTTAGTAGCTTCCGCCAAAAATACGCACATTATATCTATCACTTCTAATTGTACGTTGTTATGCTCTCGTTCTATATTATGTACACAATTCAATTTCTTTTCATCGAATCGAATTCAATTGCCGCCGTTATTATATCTAAAGGTCATTTCAAAATCGCAGACATGATATCGATCGTCAACCGATTATCCGAGGAACTCATTCGAGTGATTCGTTTCAGCCAGATAATTCTTACATTGCTTCTACACGACGCTCGAATCTCTTCATGTATTCTTCGCATTGCTTGACGTTATTATTTGTCACCATCTTTTCCATCGACGTTACGCGATCTTTCTGCATGGCTTTCCAGTGGTTATGAGTACATGTAATTAAACGAATTTATTATATCGGAGTTCTACACTAAATAGGGGTTCAGTATACTCTGCCGATAGCTACATCTCTCAAAAACATTTCTATCCCTCAGGTACCGGAGCACGTTAATGCCATGGCATATCAAAGACGACCTCAACGAGATTCAATCGAATGATTATATAGGTCAAAATTAAAAATGATCTATAAAGCAGAAGAGAATAGCTGAACTGGTAGTTAAGTATTTTTTAGAATGAAAATGTGATAAGTACAGTTGAATTCAACAAATGAATATCAAGTACTTGAGAAGTTCGCATCGTTTCAGTTATTTGTTTGATGAATTTTCACAACGTCTGACTAAACGTTATTTCTTCTGCCTCCGATACAATACGAACATCAACAGTCAACTACAACGTACGCATGAATATTGTAAAAAACATGGTTTCATACTGAATCATTCGACAATTCACACGATACGAAAGTATTTTACAAATATGATCACATCAACATTCAATCATGGAATCGAACAGATTGATTCGAATGAGAAAATCACTGATATCAAACTTCAATTAACGCATGTCAATGCCTTGCCTAGTCGAACTGAACAAGGAATTTTCCTTATTATTGAATTAGGAAATCTTGTCGAAGATGTTCGATACAGTCTGGTATCATTATTAGGTAAACAAATACCGTCCTATGCTATATTACATAGTAAAGGCTATAATATCTCTGAACAAGTACGGCGAAGCGAGGGCACCGTATTGATTGACCACTTAGCAATGGAATTAAAACATTTTCTCGAGCAAGTAAGTTGTAAATGAATGTCAGAAGAAAACTCGAATATTTAGTAAAATCTATTATTGAATACGATAATTATTTAGATACCATTGAATACGAAACTAACATATTCATTTCAACTTGGCTTTCTAATTCATTTCCCCATAAAACAAAATAATCTATACCACGCAGAGATTCTATCTTGGTCCGATCGTTTCAATTGTCCCGATTTACTTCATCGAGATTTCATTCGCCTTTTCCAACGATCCATAGAACATAATCTTGAGAATTATCAAATCAACACCATAATTTGTGTTCAAGAAAGCGTAGCTGCCCTAATCTCGGTTGCATTTGAATACCCAAACACTTTGATTTCACTCATCTTTAAACATACGTTCCAACTCTCATTTGTTGAAAACACAGAAAGTTTACGCTCGAAGAATCATCATCAGCACGCACAAGTTCGTGGACTGTACCGAACAATCCTTTCGTTCAATATTCAAAATTTACAATCTCAGCAAGCTCGCGCCTTATTCCAAACATTGTTGACTTCTGTCGATCGATATGTTTTGCAAAACTTGAGTGTGAACTATTTCGATGTCTTAACATGCGATTCATGTTTACTCGAGATCATACGAATATTAATTCTTGAATTATGTCTACATGAACAATTCTTATCCTATGATTCATGGTCGAAATCCAGACTGAATTGCCCAGGGTCGTTGTGCTTAAACTTTCTTACTTATCTTTTACAAGGGAAGTACGCCGAATTACAACCATATTTAAGTGCACTAGGTCTGAAAGGCCTGGAGAAAGGAACTTTGATTATTATAGAATATATATGTCATGTGATTATCCGACGGTCAACGCAGATCTTGTCGTGTTTGATCGTTTGTTTATCCGAACGATACAATGAAGAAAATATCACAATTGCTATTGACAGTTATCTTTATCGTTCGTGTCCAACCTATCAGATCTATATGCACAATGAAATTGAACATCTGTGCAAACGATGGATAACCATGTTCCATTTCGTGAACTCGACGAATGTATCATATGTAATTATCAGATGAAAGTCTCTGGCCAGAATTGTATGAGATGCATTGAGATCCTACAGTGTAGATATATTGTTAATGAAAGAGTTAAATTGATTTCTTTTGTAATAGCTTGGTCCAGCAGTTATCATGGGTCTGCAAAAGACACAGAAAGCAATAATTAATCAAGACGATAGTACCAACCGGCTATATGCGCATAAAAGACGTCAACGACGTATGAAATGGAATAAATTGTCGAAATAATAATTTCGAGCCAGAAATAGCTTCAAAACTATGATTATCATCATTCTCTTACAATTAAATCAATTACAAATGTTAATTCTTGGTAAACGACGACATGATGAAATACAACATAACCGAGATAAAAATTTGTTTATAATTATAAGATTTGTTCTCATGCATCGTGAAATTATTTTCGACTCGCACGAGTGCATACGTGTGTATGAAGGAAGCTATTATAGGCACGTCTCCGATGAGACAAATACATATCGAAGGAAAGCAGTATTTTCATAACTGCTCTTGTCCCGATCATATTACACTCTAAAAGAAGAAATTGCTCATGTCACTTGTAGGTCATTCGTTATTGACTAATTGGTGGCTGGAAATTTATCTGTAACGTAGACACTATCATGAATACGAAATTATTCCAGTGAAGAACATATGTGCATGATAATAGAGATGCACTTAGATCTATAAATACTTACTGTTTGTGCTCGTATGCGCATGTCTTACAATCACTCATAAATATAGCTGGAAGTAGTTGAGCAGAATGATGAAACAGCTGATTTGAGAATGTATTAGAGTTCTTTGAAAGTAGTCTAGCGAATGTAATGAACGAGAGAAGCCTTGCTATAATTTATATTACTCTTGTCGCTTGGAATCAATAACATCAAACCAAGTGACATTTGCATAGTATTATGAGACGAGGTATAGGTTGTCAGAAGGGTGAGGGTGTTGAAAAGAACTATATCTCATAACAGCGCTCTTTCTTTCATCCACCCTCATCATAATTGATGATCTGTTGAATATTTAACCAGCTGTTGTATTCAAAAGTGACTTTGCAAATATAGAAATAAATCATTTCAAATTCATAGCACATTAGTTTCATGTCGAACAGCTAATTAGAAAGTATTTTTATCAATCTTAGCCAGAGTCCTGCATTGGTATTTTTTCGAGATTCTTCAGGATTGAACATTTTTTGAAAAAAGTTTAAGCTTACTTCTTGGGTTATTTGAAAGATATGCAATAAATAGAGAAGACGATTCTGTATCGGATCATCGTATTTTTTAATCTCATTCAAATTCTGTCGTAGAAGGAATATCATGAGGAGTTTTTCATCCCGCTGACATTTCTCACGGCATGAATACTGGATGTGACAAGAAAAACGCAATGATCCGATAGAGAACTTCTTACTCTATTCGTTGTACCTGTTTAAAATAACATAGGCTGAAGATTAACGTTTCTTTTTAAAAAAATACTAAATCCCGATGCAGGACTCTAGTCTTAACGGATATAATGTATGTCTAATACTGCGAATGCTTCAATAGAGATAGAAATGTACTCAGTATCAAAAAGTCGTAAACCACGATGACACGCATTTTGAAATTTCCCTTGTAACACTTGCATGTACGATTGCTGCTATCGAACAAGACGAACGGAAATGATAGTATTCGATCTAAGTAATTATATACCGAAGTTTACTCTGAAAATAGCTCGGACTGAAGAAATAGTACGGCGATGTTCGTCGACACGTAAATAGAATACGTAATTACGCGCAATTTCGATAATAATTGTCTATTGCATGATAACAAAAGGATTATAAATACATGAATTATTTTAGAAATATAAGTTGTAATTAAACTTATCTAAAAATACTCGAGAGTCATTGATCCGTTTGCATTTCCTGCCTACGTATACGAAATGATATAGTAGATGGGATTGAAAATAGAAACATGAGCTGAAGAAGTATCAAATGATGTCAAAATAATATGACATTTTCTCTGAACTTTGCTTACTCATTTATTATTGATTTATTTCGATTAGCACGAGAAAACTTCTATGCAATAAATATTTTACTTCGTGTGTAAATATTGACATAATTCAATAAAACATATGTAAGATTGTTTCTAATAATTTATAGTGCATCAAATAGGTCACCTTCCATTGTTTTCCCTTCATTTCCATGAAGGTATGATTGCATTCAAAAGATTGTCTGTAATATCATATTGTTCTCTCGTAATACCAGATCTCACATGTTTCTTCGTAAAGAATCAGTTTACAAATGCTGACGACATTGCATTTGTTCTAACGATTTCCGTATATTATACACAGATGCATGTGAGCTTAGAGATATCTCTTACGCACGATTGTGCTTTCCTGCCGAGTTCATTCGAACAGCACAATGAGAATATTTATGAGTTAGAAGTCATTCAACGATCAATGTGCGCCTTCTCGAGCTCTCTCCACATTAGTGTCGATCTATCTGTCTGTCTGCATATTGTATTCTTGTTTTTCAATAATAGAAATATATATTTACATGTGAAGACATTGAGAGAAATGGAGGCATGTCACGAGTTGAAATAAGAGAACCAAGAAATGAAGAAATATGGCAAGCTGATGCCTCACCAAATGTGTATCAGAAGATCGCCTATTCGATGCTCACATAGGTCGCAATTAGAACTGAAATAGCAACTGATTATGAACTGACAACGCTTGTTTTCTCAGTAAATACGATGAGAAAAAAAGCGAACTACTAATATTGTCATTAACAGAAGACGAAAATAACGTACTCTTTCTTTTCCCTTTCTTTCTTCGTCTCTCATCAACTCTTTCTCTTTTCCTTCCAAACGCCAAGAAGGTATGTCGACTCAAGAAATGATTTAGATGTTCCATACTGCCATTTTGAATCACGTCCTATGACAGCCTACTTGAAACTCATCCGAAAACGCACTTGCTACAGAGTAGGTTTTTCCGTGACGAAAGTCTTCCTTGATCTGCTTTTGTATCATATGGGAGATTCGGCGAGATTTTCTTTTTTTTGCTGTAATCTATGCAAATAGACATTACAGTCAACAATCTTCGCATTCATCCACAATTTTATCGTTATAAGTGGATTTTACCCGGAAATGAACCGAACCCAGAGACAGAAGAAGCGTCTTATTGAAAACTATTGACATCCGTCGTTACTTTTCATATGCAGAATATTTTCATAGTCGCGAATAACAACATTTATTTTCTTGCTTTACTTTCAGAATGACATCCGAATTGCTTTTCTATCGATTCGATCGATAAATGATTAAATCTCGACCTCGTCAATATTTCATGATTCTTAAAAGGGATTTAATTCTATTCCTTTTTTTTCTAGATTTGAAACATAACAATGATTCATGATGCAAATGATCGTACGAACAATTCCCAATCGTTAGCAAATAATTTTCGTACGAACACACCATTATTATTCTCATTTTCACTTCTACTTGCATATGGAATTATATTTCTTATTGGTTTATTCGCGAATATATTTGTCATTGTCGTTATTATGAAATGTCGACGAATGCGTACATTAACAAATCGTTTCTTATTAAATCTTGCTATATCTGATTTATTAGCAACATTGATTTGTTTACCACCGACAGCTTATCATCATTATGAAAAACGATGGATATTCGGTGAACTTCTCTGTCGATTCGTTCCATTTATTCAAGGTATAGTTTTTTGGCCTAACTGAGAATCGAATGACATGCGCCCTAAGGATGATTTGTACTCTAACTAGAAAGTTAAGAAGTGATGCGCAAAGAAATTAGTTGGATACGTATGTCTTCAAGGCAAATCAATTCTCGAGTAATTTCCTATACTATAATATGAATCAGAAGAAAAGGATAAAGTGACAACTTCAAACAAGTTTGAAATTGATTCGATTAAGTCTGCCTTTCATCCAATTTGGCATAGAAGATCGACAGAAATCGAATTGTCTATCAGTAGCGACAAGGATCTTCCGGTACATGAGTGAAATGAAAGTCTACAAAAATATATTATCGTTGATCTTGTATGACATGAATCCTCTAAAGACATATTTAGATTAATCTAAAATGCATCTCTTTTGAATGTTTAATGTCGAACTGTCAATATGAAAAGAACAATACATTCATATAAATAAGCATCTTTTTTAATATAGGAACTTCTGTTGCTGTGTCGATTTTTACATTGATGGCAGGTAAGAAGCTCAGTATTTTTCTTCGCTGTCATAGGAATGTTGTTTTTAATTAGTAAGTATCGATCGTTTTCTTGCAATACATAAACCAATTCACTCCAAATTACTTTGTACACAATCTCGTGTGTTTGTCATCATTGGATTGATTTGGTTTGTTTGTACGTACTTCTAAACGATACTATTCACGGGTTCTTCGACAATTAAATCTTTTCTTCTAGCATTCCTTCTAATGATACCTCTAATAGTACATCATCGAATAATCGATCCATTTGACATCACATTAACAGCATGTGCTGAAGAATGGCAACAAAACATGAATGCTCGATTAGTTTACGATTTTCTTCTTCTATTTGTTCTATTCATATTACCATTAACATTGATGGCTTATTGTTATGTTCGTATAAGTTTTTCTCTTTGGTTTATTGATTCCCAAGCTCGTGCGTCACTATCATCATCATCAACAACAAATGCTGCACGTTTTTCAACAATTTCGGAGGACTTGTCGCCCGTGGATAATAACAATGTTCGACGGCAATCAACACAAAAACGTCGACCATATTACATTCATTATCATCGAAAAGCTGAAAATGATCTCAAACGGCAAGGAACAAATCAGGCACACGATGAATATCGTTCATTGATCAACTCCACCGGTGGAAAATTGCTGTCACATCAACCACGACGTAGTACAACTATAAATGATATCAAACCGAAATCTTATTCGATTGCGACAACAACGACAATAACGAATGCGCCGGGTCCGCAAGGTCTATGTCGTCGGTCATCATCGTTGATAGGTCGACGTTTTGGTGAGAATGGTTATCTTCGCCAAAATCATCAACATGATGAATATCAACAAGCCAAACAAGTCTTTACTCGTCATCGACGATCGACTAGCCCGTATGCGAGTGGAACACTTCGAACAAGCGTTACATCGCTTCAGAGTCAACATCGAGTAATTCTAAATTTAAATGCTAATAATACCAATTCCAATCATCACCGTTCAATTGTTGATGTTGAACGGGCAAGTCGATTTCTACAAAGCCGTAGACGTGTTGTTAAATTGTTAATAACATTAGGTAAAAGAGGAGACTATCTTATTCGTGTTCGAATTACTACAATTCTTTTGTTTCTAGTTATTGTATTCTTCGTAACACGACTTCCATCCAATATTGTGACGATTTACATTGATATTACATCGAACACCTATATTCCCGATAATTCATTTACCAATCGAACAAGATCAGAAGGCTCTGATGGTACTCTCACAGACTTCTTATCACACGTTGCTACTACAGATAAGAAAATGGCACTAGTTCTCTATGTTAGTCCGATTTTACAGTTGTTTTCTTTGTCGAACTCAGCAATTAACCCATTGTGTTACTGTGTGATGAGCCATGCCGTCAAAAATCTCATTACGCTTATCCGACAGAAACTGCGACGGCGTGGACAAAAGAAAGCGTCATCAATACCATTAATGCAACGACCCATCGCATTAAATCAATCATTGAAAATGACGGCATATAATCGAAATACACATGGCATGAATTAGTTAATTTCCTGGCTCACGTCTTGTTTATTTTAATTTATGAATGAGAATAAAATGGCTAACTAAATCTGGATCGATGAAAATCGTTCTCGGCAAAGACATTAAGTATTTCGTTTTTTTTATTCGGATTTGTTCTGAATGTTTCATGAAAATTAAAATATCTATTCACTTTATGAATATCTGCGAAGAGAAAAGAAATACTTTCATTAATAAATTTTCGAAAAGATAGACAAAAAATTGTTTTTCTCTCACGTTGTTATGAACGTTCTTCGAGGTGTTTCGATGCAAGAAATAGTAGAGTAAAGCACGAAATAGAAAATATTCAACACAACACACCGAGCAGAGGAAAAAAAGAGCAGAAGTTTTTGATTAAAATTCCAAGGAAATGTGTAACGATGAAGACAAAAGAAGCCAAATATATATTTTTATGTATAGTAATATGCACATTGATACAGAAGAAGTGTCATTATCGATCAAGCACAAAGGCATAGAACAAAAATAAATAACAAGAATCAGCAATGTGTAAATCGTTTTTGTTTTCGATATCACTGTGTGCATAAGACATTAAATATCCAAAAAAGAGGGTTTTTCGACGTAGTAAGTTCGTTTTGTACAAAGAATTCGATCGTGCAAACACGGATAGAAATAGTCCAACGAAAAGAAAAGAAAAGAAGAAGAAAGACTCGCAACTATTGAATACAATAACAAGAATCGGGGGAAGAAATCGTAGTTTAATCAACACCTTCGAAAGCTTCGCTCATTTCCATTGCTTGAATGAGTTTTTGCCGTAAATCTTGATAACTTTCATAAGGTGGAAGATCGATGCGATTAAAGCTAAAAAAGAAGCAAATTTTCATATTTGTTTTTCGAATGAAATTAACAAACCATGTGTGAGCACGTGGTAATTTACTACGATCGCCCCATTTTTCAATTGTGAACAATTGTGGTCCAGATGATCCCCATAATTCACGAAAACCATTCATTGGTAATCGAGATGTACCAGTAACAAACTGGAGTAAGCGAGTACGTTCTTCCGTATTAAACGATCCAATCGCCTAAAATAAATATTTGTTCTTAGTATCTATGCAATCATTTGGCGCAATGTATTGATTAATGATATGCGTGTGATAAGCAAAACAAAACAGTCATTAGTTGCAGTTACCTTCCAAAAATGTTGTATCACGGGATTATCCGGGGTATAACCACCTTTATACATGGTGTTCATGCGCCAGTCGTTCACATTGATTTCTCCGAGACCACTGATAAGAAGCTATAAATAGATCATGATATTATCAAACTGGGATTCGTTTTGATTTATTGCATACCTCCACTTCTTTCTCATCGAAGATTTTAATCGCTTCAAGTTGTAATATATCTTGAAAGCCTTGTCTTAAGGCATTCATCTGTGTTGCTATTCGTTGCACAAATCGATAGTTGATTACCAAACTAATCGGGAAGAAACGACAATCTTGATAGTTCTGGTGCATCTATCTCTTACTCAATATATTCCTGTTTATTTTCCTGTGTTACTTGAATATGTTGACCACCTGGTTTCAATTCATGTTCATGTAACTAGAGACAAAATAGCTTGAGACAAAGACAACGAACATTGATGTTACAACGCAACTTACTTCACCTAAAACTTCTTCGCTAACAACAAAATAGAGATCTAAATCCGCTGGATCGTTGTCGACGATATATTTCAAAGATTGATAATATTCACGATCAACTGATTCCATATCGGCAAGCGTAATTGGCTTCGAAAGTAACATTTTATAAAACGGACGAATAAAGAATGCTTAAAAAGATCAAGTTCAACAATATGTCAACTAATTTTCTCCTCATAGAATCAATCTACCTTCTAATAACTTTCCATGATAGATAGCCATAGCAATGATACGACCAATAAAACGAAAGTATTTTATATGCTCCTCATTGAGTATGCCGGACGCCGGGTTAACTTGCAGAGTATAATTATCGCTAGTATAAAGGACAAATTCATCGAACGATAAATATATGTGATAAACTTACATCGCGCTATATTCGAATAGGCCATAATATGGATTGAACATTTCGCGCGAAAGAATTAAAAACCATTCACGACTCAAACCTCCATAATCCAAACCACGTTCACCATCGAAGACAATCCAAAGTCTGGAATAAGCGATTTGAGGAGAAGTTCTTCTGCTATATGATCTCACCTGGTTTTGAATACTTCAACATCTTTGATTGACATCACAGCGCGAAATGATGTCTCCATGATATCTTTACGATTGACGTGTAATTCAATTTGTGGGCCAACATGTTGCTTGGGTCGAGGTAAATTACGGCGAAACATATGGTATTTCGCTTGGTAATCACGCGAATATGGAACAGCCTGCGAAATATTCTTGCTCTATGGCAACTGCAATAGAAACTATAGATACTTACCGGTCCAGCAACACGCGGATCTGTCCAAGTAGTTATTTTATTAGCTAACGAAATGAAACATGCCTTATACTAGATCGAATTTGAAGTTGATTTCTTACCATGATCAATATAATACACTCGACCATCTGGCAATGTACGAACCTCCCAATTTTCCTATGCGAAAACGCGACAAATGTAGGCTTATTGATTTCCTTTCTAGTGTCGTCTTACCGGTAAGGGTCCATTTTGATTGACTTCACGTTGAGTAGCCGGTTGCGGGCTTGGTTTGCCTGTGCGTGGATCCACCTAAATCGTAAAGACGACAAGGGAATGCAATAAATATTGCTATCGGCGATTTTACCCAAGTTGTACGCTTGTTAATATGATCGATAAAGAATTGACGGTCGTTGTCTGTTTTTGACATTTGCCAACCGGGTGGCAATGGACCAAGACCATCTGTTGTGTCGCTCGCTGTCGAGTTGCGTGAAGCTGCTGCTGGACTATTTGTTGTCATGCTTGTGCGTGTGCTATTGGTTGTCATATCGTCGATTTGATGGCGATCGCTCACTTGTGGTTGAGGTTGTTGAGGAGCTGCAGAACTAGGTGAAACGAAAGAAAATATTAGCTAATTATGATTGGAAGTATAGCGTACTTTCGTCCGTTCGGACGATTCCACGTTGTGCTACGAGTGGTATGATCAACATAGTAAGTGCGACCAGAGCCATCTTTTCGTTCTAGAGAAAGAAGAATAATGATTGATGATTTAAACAGAACTAAGTTTTCGCTCGAACCTTCCCAACCGGGAGGTAATGGCGGTTCAGCGATTGACGTGACTGGCTCAGCCGCATCACGATGATTGACTAACTCGAAACCAGACTAAAAAAAAACGAATTACAAATTCTTGTTCAAAAATGATGCCACTTACATCATTCTGAGACGTAGTCGGACTTTCAATTGAACTTGTTCGCAGTACTGTTGGATCTGCATTTATATAGCATAATCCAATGGTTGCATTACCACGAACACGTTGAAGGACACTGCAGTATAGTGTAAAGAAAAGAATAGATTTGAATACAATAAATTTACAACATTCGCTAACCTTCGTTTCAATAACGAATAATCTCTTGTTAACATGGGCTGTTCAGGTGATTCAGTAGGTATGTTGATGCCTAATTCAACGAAGAACATGCCAAGAAATTCATCTTTCGTCTTCGAAAGGAATCATGTTAGGTTATGTTATTATTCGACACGAAAACATACCAGTTTATTCTGATCATAGATTTCAAATGCTAGTCGATGCTTAGTTGGATCAACCTATGGAGTAAAACAACAAAATGTGTGAAAAAAGTCACGACATGATATTATATTAATTTTCTTCCATACTCGAAATACAAAGTCTTGATTCCAAAAAGGATTCAACGTTTTCGGTACGGTGCGCGTTCGGGCAATGTCGACTGTTTGATTGCGATTTTCACGAGTTTGCAAAAGAATCTTGACATAAGGGTCACCTGATCCTCCAAGGAAGTCTCTTCGTTGTAAATCAACTGCTCGTAGAACTTTAACACGTAACAGTCGTGTATTACGTTCGGATGGGTCAGCACCATAAATTTTTTCTCTCGAAGAATCCGACATTTAAAATCTAAAATAAATGAATGAATGAATGAGATAAAATATCAAACTAGCAACCGAACAGATTATTATCATTACTAATAAATATCCAAAGAAGTAACTAGAATGACACAAAATAAATATGATGAAAAGAAAAAAACAAACATTTAAAGGTACGTCAACATTGGAAAAGATGAAACAGACAAGAAGAATGAGAGTAGAGTAGTTTATTATTTAAAACTTGCTGCTTAACGAAATGTCTACACAACAAACCAATCACACGAACGCACACCAATAGATGTCGCCAACGAACACAGAACGCTGACTAAATCGTATATAACACAAGAATTTGCGATATGATCGATGAATAATTGAAGGACTTTCGCTCAGTGATACAAAAACTTCATTTTATTTCATAAAATTAGCTGAAATATACGGTAGTAAAGTAAGAATAAAAACATAAAGCACTTAACCAATTGAAATGAAATCATGATTAGCAATTACTCAAAAGAGATGCGTGCCCCGTGTGTTTTTGGAATGCCATTGTTCAGCGAGAACCCCGATTTGACATTAGAACGATTCCACACTTCAACATCATCGTTCTCGTCTGGATATTCTGGATTTTCGAAACCATTTAAGTGATGTCGACCATTCTTATGAATGAACACACGAATTTGTTGTCGTTTGGTGATAGCTAAGATTAACAGTAACATTAAAAGGAAGAAGCAACCGACGAAAACAGCAAATTGGGATCGACTCAACAATGAGCCCGAGTCGGATTTGTGATGCTTGTGATGTTGATGTTGTTCAGTACTACTGGCAGATGGCTTACTGGTACTACTGATCTTGGGAGAAACCTCTTCTGTTGTTGTTGAACGTTGATACTCCTCTAGTGCTTTGGCGGAATTTTTATTTGTGAAAATATATGGATATTGTTCTGTTGGACATTTCATTGTTTCACCCATGTGCCAAAACCATTGTTTGCCACCGACAGGCTCGAGCATGTTGTTCCAAAGGGAAAGAGCCGCTTGTGAATGACCTTTACCTAGAAAGAGAGTAAATGTCAGTAAAAAAGAACTTGTTCATATGCCAATCGAGTATACTAACCGCTGAAATGAAAGCAATCGGGTGCGAAATAACTGAAATCAATTTGATGATTTTCTTTGCGGGGCAGTTGGGTTTTAGCCAAGAATGGTTGAATAACAACGGTAAAATCATCGCGAGTATCATATCGACCTGAACTGACAAGATCTATGAGAATTTGTTGATACCGTGGAATATAATCATCTAAGATTTTCTGTTGTTCTGCTGTTGGAAAGGCAGCACATGGACATGTTCTCTTATGAAGCACTTGACAAACAAATCCACCACTGTTAAGTTCTTTTACGCTACGAACATCAAGTACAAGAACGAGATTAACAAGAGTACGTGGTATTGGAGCATTGTATAATTTATCGATGGTATCTCGAACGTAACTCAAATATTGTTCTGGCGTATGTTTAGTTATATTTGGATCTTCACAAAAGCTACATAAATCATTACCCTATGGAAAATATATAAATATCAAAATTAGCATGCAAAGACCAATTCCTTCATCGAACTTACTCCAACAAAGAATGTAATCATTTTCCAATCATTATTCCAATCACATAATTCTTCTTGTTTTAGTCGCTTCATCAAGAGATCAGCTTGATAAGGCATATGATTTGAACGATCACCCGATTTAGCTAATCGAAAAGGGAATTGACTACAACTTTTTTGGCATGGAAGTGATACTTACCAACATTGAGATGGTTATTTTTAGCGTCTTGACCATTGAAAGCCATCATCGATACTTTAGTAGAGTATCCCTCAAGGGTGGGACTGTATTGCCGAAGAGTATTGGGAACTGAAAGTACTTTATTATACGTATGATCTCCACCAACTGACCAAGAAACACCTAGAACAACAAAGAAGGATATATATATATTCAAACGAGATGACATAAGGAAAAAATGAGCGGACCTCGATTTTCGAATAATAGACCAATGGGTGTCAAGGCATGAGCACCTAGGCCAGCTGTTAAACTGTCACCCATAGCACCGATACATTTGATGTCACGTGGCCGAAGGGCGTGCACCGATGTTGGAACGACTGCCGAAGCATTTGTCGAAAGATCGCACGGAAATTTTCGATGTTGATCGCCATAGAGATAATCGGGTTGAGAAAACAAATCAAATGACCATTTGGCATATTCTTCCAGAAATGTTTCGTTTAAACTCAATTCATCAATGTAAGCAATGTATTCTTTGGCGTCAAGTGCATCATTTCCACCAAGGAAAAAGGCGAAAAGGGCAAGAGTGACGGCGATAAGTTTCATCACAGTTAACGTCGCTGAATATTTTTCGAATCTGCATACTAAGACTGATAAAACAGCCAAAATATAACCTATCTTCTTGCTGTGATAATAAGTAGATAAGAAAAATAAGAAGAAAATGGTGAAGATGACTTGACGAAACTCCTTTTACTCATGTGATCATTATTCTAACTGCAAAGATTAGAAAACATACGAAAAGTGTGTTGATAAAACGAAACTTTCAACTGCTTCATGCACCTTATGTAATGTCGACCAAACTAATTGTGTTAGCGTCGGAAAATAGTTCGCAGTTCTGATGAAATTCTCATTTCTTGCTGATGTATTGTTTAAATGTCGCAACTCTAATCAGATGAATTTCCAAAACAGGTCACATATAAGGCTCTTGATGATTGTATTTAATTCAATGCATTTATTAGAATAAATTAAAAACAATTTTCTTCATTATATAAAACAATTATAATGACATTTCAATACATCTATATTTAACTATGTATTAATCACCTCGTAAACCATTGACATCACAATCTTTCTGTACGTTTTTCTTCGTATATGACATTTGTTTTTGAGATTCTTCCTTCATCTCAAAGTAAATATGTGAGAAAGAACGACTAGAGAAAAAAAAGAAAACTTCATTACATATCAGAATGGGAATGATTGTTAAGCAAGAAGTATAGGAAGAAAAAAAATATTTACCGATTGCTGTTGCACCTTATATATACACAGGCATGTTCTCATATTAAAAACTCGAAAGGAACAGATCGAAGCATAAAATCTATCATGTCGTCAGCACAAGAAGCAGCTCATGCTCTCCCATCCAGTTTTGACTTAAACGGGCTATCGGGTGCATTCAGTAATCCAGTTCAAGCTTTTCGAATGTTAGATAAAAATAATGACGGACGTGTGACAAAAGAAGATCTACAAATGTTATTAGAACAATTTGGCGTTAATGGTATGGCAGCGAAAGTTTTGTCCAAATATATTTTCAAACAATTGGATGCTAACGGCAATGGAACAATCGAACCAAGTGATCTTGTACATGCAAATGGTATTCTGACAAACTTAATGAAAATGAAACAGAGTGGTACTGCTTAACAACAGAAAAATCAAGATAAAATATGACAGACTAAATTCATCATACTTATTCGTGTTAATGTAGTAATAAAATTTTTTAATGCAGAATTTTTCTTCTAACTCCGAATATGCATAGGAAATCGATCTGTGTATAGCACAATATTTGTTCGCTAATGTGATGTGAAGTACAACACTTACACAGTCCACACTGAGATTTCTTTTGTGATATATACATCAAGATTTGTGATTTTTCTTAATTATCGTAACACCTGAATGTAAGAAAGCCGTAATTCCACAATGAGCCCATAGTTTCACGATCTACTCATTTATCAATCATTTTAAAACCAGCACACCTTTGAAGTGCCCGCTTTTTACAAGACGAACACTGCGTACTAATGAAAGTGCAAGCTCTTCATAATTACAGGTAATGTGGGAGTGCTGAATCATTCGGTTTTTCGCCACTTCCAGCTATTTGATCAACATCACGTGCTTTTGAAGATTTAGACAACATATTACATCTTAGTTGGATAGTGGATGATAATATGAAAGGTCATCAAATTACGACGTAAGACTTTTGCCTTTACATAAAGCACGGGAAACGGCTCCTTGTCACTTCTCTTTATCAAAAAAATCTCTTACCATTTTTTGGAGTGTCATTAAATGCTTATGAAATGGATGTGAAAACTGTGGTCATCTAGAAGGCAAATCAACAAGGAAGATATCATTAAGAAGCGAGAGAAAATTAACCAACATATTATCAAATCTATTCTCGGTGTATTGAAATGAAAAGGCATCATCAGTTAATGATTAGTATTAAAAATAGTTTATAAAAGGAACTATTTTAATAGCGAGCAAAGGATCCTTCCCAGATCGGTCAATCCCATACTCGGATCCGACAAGTAACTATAAGGCCATCATAGAATATAGCTCAAGAGAATGCCCATCAAATTTGCAGTATCCGAAGTGAGATTTACCAGTTGAATTCCGATCGAATCCGTTGTCGGATCGATGCGCCTGAGTCTCACCATATAGGTCCTGCACGGACATTTCGATATTAACTGTGAGAACTCGAAAACGACATGAAATATTACATTAGACAGAGAGTAGGAGTGATACATTTGCTTTACTTTTACTTCAATTAAATAAGGCGGAGTAAAAATAAAGTGTCACTCCTGTAGAGAGCAAAAGCTTAAGCAATGTACCTGTTGAACCCAAAAAATAAGCCGATACAATATATATAGTGAACGCTTCACATTTTGGTAAAGGCAGGTTTTCACCATCACTGTTGAATACCGTCATAAAATTTTCGAACATTTTGCTCTATTCCATCAGTTGCTGCTATAGATTTATCATCTTTTCTTCTACCTCCCCATCGATATCGTGACTTATTGTTGAGACCAGCTCTTTGCAGTTGGTGACTTCTTTACTCAGAGCTTGTATCGTTTCAGATATGTTGCCTATTATCCACGCTGCTACATATTTTGCAATTGCTGAACTCAAATCACCATCAGTGTTCTTCCCACCAGCAAGACGCTATTCTTTTATTAGTTCACGAAAACGCATGTATAGTAGGCAAGCAGATGATCAAAGTGTTTTATTTTCATTGTTTATCCGAATGAATATATAATATGAAGACCTATTTCGGCAATCATAATACTGTAGTAGGAAACTGTTTTAAAAGCTAACGACAGCAGTCTCAATGACTCAAGTATTAACTGGAAATCAGAGGAGATAATCTAGACGCGAACTTGAAATATTCTCAATAAACTAAGTTCAATTGTACCTATCAATTTGTACTGAACA